ACCATATGTACTTCTTTCATTCATTATGTCAGCATGAAACTAAGAAAGGGTGAAAATATATTTCATCATATTTTATTTGTTATTCTCATCACACACATTAGTACTCTATTTCATAATTTCTTAATTCTTTTTTTGTAAGTGAGTATCATCTCGAACACTTTGAATGTGCTCTGAATGATTTATTTAATATGGTACAAATTGGTTTACTTTTCTTTTTTTTTCAACAGAAATTTTCATTGATTACGAAAACGGACCATTCAGGATAATAATCAAATTTACTATCTACTTTCTTAGAATGGTATATACGTACACAGGTTTTATTTGTAAATCAAAACATATTATGGAAAAATAAAAGGCCAAAAAAAAAATGTAAACGAATATGTATGGAGAAAATTGAAAGGAGAATGGTAGAAAAAGGACAAGAAGCTCACATGAACAGAACCAGATTGTTCATGGGTCCCCCCCCCCCTCTCCTTCTCTCTATCTCTCTCTCTCTCTCTCCTCAGCCCATATCTCTTTCAATCTTATATTACATGAGCTCTCTCTCTCTCTCTCTCTCTCTCTCTCTCTCTCTCGCTCCTCCTTTGCTCTTGAGAAATTGTTCCTAATTAATAAGCTTTTTATTTTCTTGGAATTGAAGAGCTTCTTGCTCCATAAACAGTAGAGAGAGAAAGCTTCAATTGAGAGAGATCAGAGAGAATCGTGCTAATCAGTGTAGTTAGGCGGAAAAAAACCCACTTTCTACTTTTGTATAATTAGGTCAATCTCATCCACCACCATACTCTTCTCTCCTCAAATTCTCCTCCTTTTCTCAATTCCAAAACTAGGGTTTCATTTCTCTCTATATCCCATCTTTCTTTGTGTACTCAAAGATTGAATCTTTTTAACTTCAAAGTCTCATCGAGTTGCTCTCAAATCGAATGGGGAGACAGTCGAAATCCGAAGAGATCTGAGATTGATTCCCCGAACAAGAAGATGAATTTAGAAGAAGAGAAGCCTGTGGAAGAAGCTTCTTTAATGGATAGAGAGCACATGTTCGACAAAGTAGTAACACCAAGCGACGTAGGGAAACTAAACCGACTCGTGATCCCAAAGCAACACGCAGAGAGATACTTCCCTTTAGACAATTCCTCAGCAAACGACAGCAACAAAGGTTTGCTTCTAAACTTCGAAGATCGTACAGGAAACTCATGGAGATTCCGTTATTCTTACTGGAACAGTAGCCAAAGCTATGTCATGACTAAAGGTTGGAGCCGTTTCGTCAAAGACAAGAAGCTTGATGCTGGCGACATCGTTTCTTTTCAGAGAGATTCCGGTAATAAAGACAAGCTCTTCATCGATTGGAGGAGACGACCCAAGATCCCCGATCATCATCATCATCAAACTTCCCATCAATTCGCCGGAGCTATGTTCCCTAGGTTTTACTCTTTCCCTCATCCTCAGATGCCGACAAATTACGAAAGTCACAACCTTTATCATCGATTTCAACGAGATCTAGGAATTGGGTATTATGTGAGGTCAATGGAGAGGAGTCATCCAACGGCTGTGATTGAATCTGTGCCGGTTATGATGCAAAGAAGAGCACAAGTGGCTTCTATGCCTTCACCAAGAGGAGAGAAGAGGTTAAGGCTGTTTGGAGTGGATATGGAGTGCGGCGGCGGCGGCGGCGGAGGAAGTGTGAATAGCACGGAGGAAGAGTCGTCGTCTTCTGGTGGTAGTATTCCACGTGGCGGCGTTTCTATGGCTGGTGCTGGTTCTCTTCTCCAGCTGAGGTTAGTGAGCAGTGATGATGAGTCTTTTGAAGCAATGGAAGCTGCAAGTGTCGATGAGGATCATCACTTGTTTACAAAGAAAGGAAAGTCTTCTTTATCTTTCGATTTGGATAGATGATGATGATTATGAGATTAATCACTATTTAAATACACATTATATATATGATAATTATACATATTATATATATGTGACACAAGGATGTCGTTCAAGATTTAATGATAATATCAAGAAATAAGATGTTCTTTTAAAGATTCGAATTTGGTTATAACAAAGTCTTTTGTTTTTATTCTAATCTGTTCTTCAAAAAAAGTTTGAAGTTTTTCCTCGATGAGTCTCCTATTAGCTTTGGTGGGTCAGGGTATACATAACATAAACTTTGGATAGCTAGGGATCGGTGTTAAACTTAAAAACCCATGTCCCTCTGGTCAGAAACTAATCAGAAGATATGGGCTGTCTTAGAAAAGTGAAATGTATGTATATAATGTATTATATATATTTAGAATATGTAATTGCACCATTGTGTGTATACTGATGACATTAAATGGTTATTGATCTGTTTACTTTGTTTAGTTTATTTGATATGGCTGCTGTCCTGTTACTGCTGCAATTTCTGAAGCCGTTGCTGCTGCTTAATTAGTCAAGCAGATTTTGCAGCTTGCAGGAGATGGGCAGAGACAAAAATAGATATTTTTAATCTACATTTCAGATCATTTTTATTATATATATATATATATATATATATATCTTACAGTATTCAATAAATAAATAACAGAAGAGCTTTTTCATCTGTGTAAGATTGAAAAGGTATGATCTGTTTCACATATATCGCTGATGCATTAATTGTTACAGAAGTAAATAATATATATATATATATATTTATGTTTTTTTTTGGGGGGTTCTTTCTTAATTAACAAAATGGTTTATTTGTCTGGATCGTTGCAAAACTCTCTCACACACACAAGGAGTGTTAGTTTTAGGTCTTGTTCGGTGTGTTTATGCGTGTGGTTAACTCCTTGAATTGCATTCCATTGGTAATACAAAGATTTTTAGTTAAATTAGATACACTGTGATGATAAATCTAACTATACATGAATCTGATGTAATATATATGTATACATGTTCTTGTTTTCCATGATTTTTGAATATATTGAGTCACAAATATCAATCCATGTACCACCACTATAGAATCTAGGGCTTATAATTTCAAGATTAGTTTAAAATATATTTTTATATGTATAGATTTGTTAGAGCCTTAGTGTATTGGTAGAATGTCACATTAAAATTAAACAAGAAGTTCAAGCTTTTCACGAAATGATACTACAGATAATATCAAAAAGAACTACAGCCTTTTGGAAGGATTGATATAAATTTTAGGTATGCCAACAGTATTTGTCTGTTATATATATAGGGTTTCTTAGCATTCTGCGTAGCGAGCCTACATATATATACTAGCATGAGCCATGAGCGCATGCAGAGATGAACATGAAACATATAAAAAGATTATATATATATAATATAGAAACAACTTTTATGTATACTCATAGAGAAACAAATCTGTCTAATATGTAAATGATAAGAAAAATAGCAAATAAATACGTTATTTCACTATATTTAATGAATGATCTTAAGCTAAGTATTCTCTTTTATGTTAATTAAGAAACGGTTATTGATGTATAATTGTATATCAGTATATATATACATATAGTAGCGTGTGTGTGTGTGTACAGTTTGCTACTTTAATGAGGAATCTAAACTTGAAATGAATATATAATTTTTTAGATTTTTAACATTTATAGTTCGTTAAACTAAGCAAAACCAGGAGCATGTCAGCTAAAAGTTAATAGCCTACACATACCATAGCTGTGAAAGAAGCCATCGAAATCAGCGAAGGCTATTTACCTATAGATCACATATAATGTAATCATATAATTTGCCTATGGTATATGCGAAGAGCAGATGAGACATTAGACTAAGCTACGAATAGTGATGATAATGATAGGGATGATGATCTGTACATGAGCCACACAGTCCACAAAGAAAGATAAATAAAAGAGAAAAGCAAACCATTTAAAATTGAAGGCATCCATTTGTGATAATAATTTAAATTTCTAATGTTTTCTAGCATCCTACTACTTAGTGAGCAAAACATGAGAACTTAATTTTCTTTGATTCCAGTATGTTGTATCCCAGATTAAAATCTTTAAGCAAAACATTAATTAATAATTAAAAAAGAAACTGATAAACATCATGTTTTATTGGGGAAAACATGTTTTCTTCTGTGTCATAAAAATATCATAGAATGACCTAACTGTTAATATAAAAGTAATACCACTAAATGATACTACTATTAGTCAAAATGATAACAATCTTCTTCTTTTTGACAACTGACAACTGTAAAACTCTTTGAATTGTGTGGAAATTTGCTCCCTCTTCTCTTTTCTTTTCCAGATTTCATATATCTTATGACACGTCATGAATCTTGATAACATAACATCTCTTTTATTATGTTTTTGAACATCGATATCTTTGCCAATTTTGAGCCAAAGTTTGGCTATCTCACAAATAAGCCTTGAAAATAATACAACTCCATAAAATCTTGATAAAAACTGTAAGAAATTCCATTGTTCAAAGGGCTACTAATCAGAACCTAAAAATATATATTTTCAAGATCAATACTTTGCTTCGAATTTTCATACCAGTGGCAATGGCTCGGATTAGATTTTTGTGTACTCATCTTAGTTTGTAAACTCAACAGATATCACTTTAATTATTTGTTATGTGCTTGTGCATTGACATTTATCGTCATGACTTGGTCGTGTCATAAATAAGAAGACTTTGATTCATTTCATACTGAGTTAACTTTTAACTGAGATATCGATTAGAATAAAATTACCATTGAATGTAGAGAACCAGTCATTCAAGTGAAGCGATGATTTGAAACATTCAGAGCTAAAGCAGAACTAAACGGTGACTTAAAAGTGAATTAATCATTTGAAACGTTTGGTTGGAGCTAGAGAGGAAAGTATACAAATTTGCGTGGCTACTCCTTGGTGGAGGATCATGTCTAAAAGCTGAAACCTTTATTATGCCCAATCTCCATAAATCAGGTATCAAACCACATTCTTACTCGTTACTACTACACTATCAATGGCTGATCCATTAAGTATTGTGGCGGAGGTTTCTTTAGAAGACAAACCAAACGAAAAAAGAACTCCAAAGATTCATCCTTTAAAGCAAACAAAATTGAAAGTGATGATATATTTGCACAACCATAAGCAAAGACAAGATTTTTTATTTTGGCACACAAAGCAAAACAACAAGAACAACGTAATTCATTAGAGAGAAAAATCTACTCAACTTTACACATACAAGCACAAAGGGAAAACAAATCTACATGTAAAATCATCTATAGAGAGCATGAATCAATCTCAAACACATTTGATCTACAAAAGTATGACAAGAAAAAAGCTACAAACGAATGGGGGATAAATTCCTTCTCTAATCCGCCATTAACTCTCGAGATCAGAAAACACCAATGAGAAGAGAGAGTCCGAGCAAGAAAAGCCAAACAATATGAATCAATAACAAAGCCTGGCCCGGAACAGAAGCACTCCCGGCGTTACCTGCGTCGCAAGCTCCTCTTTTGACCACACGAGCGCCATGGCACGCTGCGTCGGGACAACCGCACCAGTAGGTAACTCCATCGGCTCCGCAAACTGGATCCGCCCGGAAACAGTTTATTGGACACCCACCCGGATCCGAAACCCGGGGGCAGACATCGCCGCCGGATTTGTCTGGGAGATCATCCGCAGCTTGTAAGCCGATCAAGCAGAAACAGAGCAAGAGGAAGGGAATGCTCAGTGAGAACGACGGCATCGCGTGAAATCGATCGAATCTTGTTCACACGAGAGATTCCAGAAACCAACTCCTTCAGAAGAACCCTAAAAGTTCATGGCGAAGGGAGAAGAATTTTCCGATTAGCGTTCAAAGTGTTCACGAACGATTGAACCCTAATTTGAGGAGATTTGGGGATTTCTCAAAATTTTGCGTAACCGTGTCGTTTGAATTTAGTGGTACAGCTGGCCCGCCCACCGAACCAAAGTAAACAACAAAAACTACGCGCAGTTTATAATCCAAACCATCAAACATCACGCTGTTTAGTACCATGGTGGGTATGGAGTCAAATCTCTTGATTTGTCGTCGGTTCATCAAATTATCTTGACCGAACTTGAAACGACGGAAATTTCGTACCGGTTTGGTTTGAACCGGAAAGATACTCTCTGATTAATCTTCAAGGTTATGCAAGTTCCACAGTTCAGTGATAATTAAGCTTAACCAAAATTCTAATTTCAATTAATCAGAATCGCCAAAAGGAGTTGACGAGAGATAAACAAAAATAGCATAGACACTGAATGTGTTGGTCTCTCAAGTCAGAACTGTGTCCTATCCAAACAAAAGAACCGTTTCGAGACAGTGATGTCCTGAAATATATCTCAGGCTTCATCGATGCTCTTAAGCTTAGAGACTTAGTTTTTTTTCAGGATGATTATCTCTTGCGGCATATCGTCATGCCATCACCGATTGGTACCTGATGCGCAAAAGAAAAGTGAAAAAATCAAGAATGAGCTTGGAAGAGCTCGTTGTACTCGAAACACAAAGCCTTAGAATCCAGAAAAAAAAAAGGAACTCTCACCATACTAATGCTTACGCGTTCGTCATCCATTAACTTTTCGTTGAAATTCCTAATGCTGATGGTCTTCGCATCATTCACCTATTGAACTCATCGTTAACAAAATTGTAGTATTCTTCTCACCGGAGAAGCTTTTGGAGCATGATTACGGTTAAGAAGCATACCATTGGATCTGCAACTCGTCCATGCCAAAGAACATTATCCATCACAATGACTCCCCCAACCCTCACCTGCGTCAACAGAGATAACTGATAAAGCTTAACTTGATCCCTATGGAGAAGAGACTAGTATTGTGATCTTCGTCTTACAAGTTGAAGAAGCAATTCGAAGTAGTCCTGATACATCCTCTTATCGGCATCGACAAATGCAAAATCATAGCTGCAAATAAGAAGAGCTGGAATGAGGCAATCATTTCAAGTAAGAGACACCCTCGGCACTAATATGAAATAAGCCTTCTACTGTATCAACCTGGATCCTTCACCGTTCTCAATCATGGATTTCAATGATTCTGCCGCAAGACCATGCTTCACGATGACCTGACTAGAGTAAACAACAAATCAAAGATTCACGTCATGGATCGACAAGAGAGAGAAAACACATGTTTACAGAACAGCAATGTTTCGTGCCAAAGAAAATCGAATTGAGTTGCTTTTTGGCCTCACCTTGTGAGAGACTCCGGCAAGCTCATAGTACCTCTTAGCAACTTCGAGAGAATTAGGATCCCTGTCACAGGCAACAAGACATCCGGATTCTGGTAGAACCAACGCCACAGCCAAAGATGAATATCCCTGTCGAAAACACCCATCATTGTCACAAGGAAAGATATTGAGCCAACATAACAACAATGCTCTGTCCAAAAATTCTTAGGAAAAAGATAAACACCGTGTAAACACCGACTTCAATACACTTTTCTGCTCCAAGGATCTGCACAAGCATTGCAAGCAATTGGCCCTGATCAGGAGATACCTGCAGCCAAAAATCAAATGTCATTTGCTACAAAGTTAGCTTAATAGTGACAAGAACTGAAACAATAACTTCAAATTCCAAACAAATAGCATAAACCAGAGCTCAGCAACAAGCAGAAACCATAAAAAGAACCCTAATCATATCCATGGGTGACATTACTAGTACCTGCATTTGACTACCTCGCAATTTGGCAGTCTCTTCCCGAAGTTGCCTTAGAATCTAAAAGCAGAATCAAGCAAGAAGCTAAATCACAAGTTAAATCCCTAAACCTGAGAAAGGAAAGACGAAAACCAATTACACACCTTAGGCTCGCGAACGTTGGAGAGGACATAGTCGTAAAGGCGAGGAGTTAGATTGATAACCTGTTTGTTACCGTACTTCTCGTCGTCCGCCACAACAAAAGGAGCCGCCGTCACCGAGCAGTTTCCGATTAGCCGGCGACTGAGTTTCAAACTCCTGACAACGGAGACCGTTGGCCGGTTAAGTAAAGTATCGGCCTTTCTACATACCGAAATTGAGCATCGATTCATAGCTAAACCGGACGCCATCTTCTGCTTCTCCCAAATCCTCGGCGAGGCGTCGTTATACAGACTCGAAAGTTATCTGCGTCTGCTCCAATCAACCAGGTCGGGTCGAAATAATGTTGATCCGGGTCGGTTACGGGTCGGGCGCCGTACTATAACCGATTTCGCGCGATGATGGATATAGATAACTTTTTCAGACAAAATTGCATATTAAACCTTGAACATCTAAAGTCTATCACAGGTAGACCGTGACATATAGTTTCGTCAAACGACCCTTGTATTTTGGTTATTAACCATTTTTGTAAGTTTGTTAAGCTATGATTAGTATGCATTTAATACGTGTGATTAAATTTGATCAAAATTCTCTAACCAATTTGAAGTTAATTGATAGTGATATTGTGACATCACAACTACACCATATATTACAAACCTCTCTAGTGATGTTTCTTTTTGACAAGAAGATTACGATATCAAAATTTACTTTATTTTAAAAACAAATACAGGTGTGATGAAAATAATGGGTATGACTAAAAACACAGAAAAACATATGCCCAATCTCCGATTTAAGCCAACAAAAGATTTATTGCCCTCTGTTAAGTGATAAACTTATGACAAAGCTTCTTTGTAGATGATATTTCTTGTCGTGAAAACATAAACACATGTGGTAGAGAGATCTTCCAAATCGCAGGACATAAACAAAATGATAAGCAAACAAGTTCCTACGACAAATATTTAAATAATACTGATTATTCGATCCCTCGTTTGATGACGTATTTGTTATTTGTTAATGATCTAGCTACGTGACTAGATTAACATTAAAGCAAAAAAACAAAGTTCACTAAATAGAGTGGAAAGATAATAGCTTGTGAACCACATATTGAAGTCCACACGAGAATCGCATTTGAAAATACAATATCAATCAGTCAGATGTGATTTGACAGGCTACATTTATGTTTGCATGTAATTATATTATATTTGTCATTCACTTAAGTTGTTGACAGGTTGTCTTTAATATCATTATAAGATTTACTATTGCGGAAAAATTATTAATTATTCAAAGACAGTTTGAATATGTGATTCCCTCTTATCCAGACATTTTTTGTAGCCTGACTAATAAAATATAATCACTTTTGTAAGAATGGTTTTAAGAATCTTTATATTGACAATGTAATAAAATGTGAACAGAATTTTCAGTTATACTAGTAAATATTATAGAAATTTTACACATAAGCACGTACGTCTATATATATAATTGTGATTTTTTGTCAACTTTTATAATTATTCTAAATATGTTTAATTAAAGACTAAAGAGTAAAAAAAAACTATTTCCTTAGACCGTGTTAAATGCGCGTTTCTTTGTTAATCTAATGCTTTGCTTTCTAACCAATATAGTATTTGTATATATTGGTAAAAATATCATTTAACAAGTGGGAACCCATTTTGAAAAATCGAAGAATCAAGCGAAGAATCCGATCATGTTTAACTCACGATGCGTTACAACCTACAAGAGTCGTGTACCAATAGTTTTAAATTAATACGGTGACAATCAGGAACTTAAGACTATATTAAAAATGTGTGACCTGCCACTTTTTATACATGGTCAATGTCTACGGTTTTATAAACTAGTGTAGGTGGTCAATTTTATTGATCGTATTGCCAAGAGATGCGTGTATGTATCAATACATCTGATTTTTTTTTTTTTACATTTTACGTACTAGTTTTTCTATATCATATATATAAGCTGGTTGTTTATCGAGATCATAGATAAATTTTATTTATTAGTCTATATATTAAAAGCTCATTGGTAAAAAAATTGGCATGAATTCTATGTACTGCCATCGGTAATAATTTGACAGACGTTCCAAAGATACGACCAAAATTACGAAGCATGCACGTGTTCGCCGTCCAAATACTCCGTGTCATATTTACACTTTCCAACTATGTTATAAAGTTGTTTGTAAAAATAAACTAATATATTTGTTTGTCACGCTCGATTACATTTGCTTTTGTATATGTTAAATAAGGTAAAATTTCCAGATATATGGTGGAGGATTGCCCTTGTCGCATCCTAAACGAATATTCCACCGTCGATATATTTGTAACTTGTAGAAGGTGACAGATCTTTTATATCGACGACACCCGACGAATAAAAGTGGTGCTAGGAAAAGAGAGAATAAGAGCAAGATAACAAAAGAAATTAATTAAATGAATTTAGACAATAACTAAATTACCTGTTAAACCGTACCGTAATAACTTAAATGAAATCAAGGTTGCTTCCACGACTAGCATTGATTTCGACAAAACAAAAGATCGTTTGCCTGACAGATGTGTTACCAATTTTTTATTTTATTTTATTTTTGTTTAAACCAGAACTTCCCAAATGATGATGATAGCGTAAACACATTTTTATGTTTTATTCAGAAAATAGCAGATGCTACTTTCTTATGGTTCTGTGTTTTTTTTTTTTGCTAGGTCTTTTATTTTATAGTTTCTTTTTTTTGGGTGCGATTTTTTTTTTTTTTAGAATAGTAGATGTAAAAGAAAATTAAATATCAAAGGAAAAAGCACGCCTTTCACGTTCCTGTGTGACGGCCAGACCCACAAGGCCACAACTAATGGGAATTTTGTTTCCTACCCACAAGGCCACACACATTGTAATTCTTCTTCTTCGGAGGCTACTTTATCATATTATTTTAAAAGTTTACTTTATTACCAACACAACTAAGCATATTTCTTATCTCTGTTTGTTGGCCTCAAGCTTTTTAAACGTGTTGAATCTAAGGTTAACTGTATCCGATTTCAAAAACAAAGAACGAGATTTTTTAAAAAATATATTCATTTCTTTTAGATAATTTTTTGGTTCTAAATTAGAAAACCATCATAACCGAATTCAAAGCTAAACTGAAAAAAAAAGTAAATGAAAAGGTGAATCAAATTTTAGATTTTATTTTGAATTTTGATTTCTACTCCCTTACTATTAAACCAAAAACCCAAACTGAACCTTCTAGATAGTTTTCTCGTTATGCCTTTTTAAAAAAATTAAAAGATCTATTGTTAATTATAATTACTATATTTCCATCAACTATATATAATCCCAATCTATACACGTCCTTAAAAGTTAATTTAGTTTAACAATTTAGCGTGTGAGCTCTTCTCTCTCATTCTCCGCTTTGTCTGTTGGAATTATCCTCCGCGTGAATTCGATTCGTTCCATTTCTCGCGACCTTATCCGTTTTCTTCATCTATCCCAAACTTTCGATTTTCTTTCTTTTTTTCTCGCGCGGGATATTTGTTTTTTGTTCTTTCCTTCAGATTGTTCTCCGCGAATCAAAGAATATTCCTGCGTTCCGCATTGGCGCTGGATTTTGTGGGGTTTCTGGATTGGAGAAAGAGTTTTAAGAGTGAAAAGGGGGACTCGAAGGGTTAACACGAGATTACTTTTGAGTTTTTTTGAACTTTGTGTGGTGACAAGTGTGTGTGGAAGTTTTTGTTTGGATGAGAGATGTCGATACCTAAAGAGCCAGAGCAGGTGATGAAGCTGAGAGATGGATCGGTGCTTGGGAAGAAGACGATTCTCAAGAGCGACCATTTCCCCGGATGTCAGAACAAGCGTATGTCTCCTCAGATCGAAGGCGCTCCCAATTACCGTCAGGTCTCTCTCCCATTTCCCAGATTTTGATTTCCTAGTTGTTGATTTTGACTCGAGTTGTGAGATTGAGGCGAAATAGGAATGACTATTCGCTCGCTCTGATAGTGTGGTGAAAGATTTCGAAATTCAAAAGTGAGCTGAATCTGTGAACCCAAATCGAAATCGGTTCACGGAAGATGCGTTTGGCTTACTTTGAATCATATGCTTAGGCATTACCTTTGATCACTCGTTATGTTTCTAGAACTTGATCATGCTTGATTCGTTTTCTTTGTTTTATGCGTTTTTGTGGCCTTGTTGCTGAGATAAATAGGTTTAATGAGAGATCTCACTTTGTGATCTGGTGTTGGTTTTGTGCTATCTGTCACAGGCTGATTCGCTACGTGTACATGGTGTTGCAATCCCAACCGCTGTTGGGATACGAAACGTTCTCAGGCACATTGGAGCTCACAAAGACAGCAGACAAGTACAAGTCCTTTGGATTAGTCTTAGAGAGGAACCGGTAATTCCATCTGTTCGAAATTCTGTCAAATATGTATAGCCTTAGGTATGTTGCTTCAAAATCCTTTTCTTATTAACTTGCCTGTCACTACACATTTGATAGGTAGTATACATAAATGGGAGACCATTTGTTCTACGTGATGTGGAGAAACCTTTCACCAATCTTGAGTACACGGTACCAAAAGCCTTGCCCTCCTATTATATATTTCACTTGCAACTCCATACACAGTAACACTTTCATTTGTGACCTTAAGTTTATGTTTTTGATCAGGGGATCAACAGGGTACGGGTAGAGCAAATGGAAGCACGGTTAAAAGAAGATATTTTAATGGAGGCGTCTAGGTATACATTTCATTGTAACCACTTGGTCCTATAAAATGATCTAAATTTGTTTGTGTCAATGTTTGCTTTTGCTTTGGGTTGTATCTGACCATCTGCATTGCAGATACGGCAATAAGATACTCGTCACTGATGAACTGCCAGATGGTCAGATGGTGGACCAATGGGAGCCAGTATCAACTGATTCCTTAAAGACGCTGCTTGAGGTAAGACATTGGAATGAAGCATCGTGTGTGTTTGATACAGAGTATGCACCCTTTTATGGGATTTCCAGGTTCATTTCATTAATTTTGCCTACACACTTCACTGGATCTAGGTTTACGAAGAACTGCAAGCTGAAGGCTACCTTGTCGATTATGAACGTGTTCCTGTAACGGATGAAAAGTCCCCAAAAGAAACAGATTTTGATACGCTGGTAAGTCTTATGCTAACTTTGGCGAATTTAGATACCTAGGAGAATTTATCTCTTTCCGTTTGATATTTGTTGGATACATAATAACTAATATACATGTGTTTGCAGATTAGGAAGATATCTCAGGCTGACATTAACACAGAGATAATTTTCAATTGTCAAATGGGACGTGGACGTACCACGACTGGAATGGTCATTGCGACTCTAGTCTATTTCAAACGTACTGGGGCATCAGGTACTTCATCTTCTCTGACCACTCAAATTGAGAAGAGAGTGTAATGAATGAAAATAACCAAATAGATTGGTGTTTAAGCTAGTACATGATGGTAGAAGTCTCTACTAACCTGTAATTTATTTCTTTGGTGTACTATGTTGAAACAAGATCAAGGATTCCCAAGAAACAACTCTTTTGGGAGAATCTTTAAAGCCGGTGAAAATATTACTATTAATCTACCAAATTCTGAGGAGGCAATCCGTAGAGGGGAATATGCAGTTGTTAGAAGTTTGATACGAGTCTTAGAGGTATCTAGTCTCTTTCTCTGTGTCTTTATCTAATCATCTTTGCTGGTCGTGCTGGTTCTAACTATTTATTGGTTTCATGAACAGGGTGGCGTAGAAGGCAAAAGACAAGTGGATAAAGTCATCGACAAATGTGCATCCATGCAGGTATCTTTGTTAAATTTGATACCTAGATTAAGTACACGATATGATATATAAGAAACTGCATAGTTTTTATTCTATTATATGGGGTTTCACTTAGGGTATAAAGGTCTAAATTTTATCCATAATTGAACTAACAGAATTTACGTGAGGCGATTGCAACCTATCGCAGTAGTATTTTGCGTCAACCAGATGAAAAGAAGAGAGAGGCAGCACTCTCATTTTTTGTTGAGTACTTGGAAAGATATTACTTCCTTATATGCTTTGCTGTATACATTCATTCAGAGGGTGCTTTCCTCCAATCTGGTTCGCTTGGCCATGTCAGTTTTACTGATTGGATGCGAGCTAGGCCAGAGCTCTACAGCATTCTTCGCAGGTACTGACAAGCATTTTACTTTTTCTCTCACAACTATGAACCAGCTATATCCTTCTGCTTGCTTGTAGATAAGTTGTACCTCATGTTTCCGTAGGAGAGCTCTCTGCAGCTGTATATATTTAAGACTGCATATGATTTTCAGGTGTCTCAGGTAAGCTTATCTGCCTCTTTCAGGTTGCTAAGAAGAGATCCTATGGGTGCCCTTGGATATGCAGCTATGAAGCCTTCTTTGACAAAGATTGCAGAATCTACTGATGGCCGCCCTCATGAGATGAGTGTCGTTGCTGCACTTAGAAGTGGGGCAGTGCTGGGAAGTCAAACTGTTCTGAAGAGTGATCATAGCCCTGGTTGTCAAATTTCAAGTCTACCGGAGAGGGTGGAAGGTGCACCAAATTTTAGAGAGGTTCCAGGGTTTCCTGTGTATGGTGTGGCGAACCCAACTATAGATGGTATTCGATCTGTCATTGAAAGGGTTGGAAGTTCAAGAGGTGGTCGACCCGTTTTTTGGCACAACATGAGAGAGGAACCTGTTATATATATCAACGGGAAACCGTTTGTTCTACGTGAAGTTGAAAGGCCGTATAAGAACATGCTGGAATATACGGTAATCATCTGTGTTTTTCTGTATAATTCAACTCTTATGATTTGTTTGAAAAACTTACCTAGTAAGTGGCTTTGTTAGGGGATTGATCGGGATAGAGTTGAAGGAATGGAGGCTCGTTTGAAAGAAGATATTCTGAGGGAAGCTAGGCGGTATGAGGGTGCGATCATGGTCATTCACGAAACCAAGGATGGACAAATTTTTGACTTATGGGAACATGTGGACGCTGACTCTGTTCAAACACCCCTCGAGGTCTACAAATGTTTAGAGGCTGATGGTTTTCCTATTAAGTATGCGCGTGTACCTATAACCGATGGTAAAGCGCCCAAAAGCTCAGACTTTGACACGTTGACATCGAATATTGCTTCTGCTTCCAAAGACACTGCTTTTGTCTTCAATTGCCAGGTTGGGTTTCCCCAATCTACTTGGGTATTTCGATATATTTAGTATCCCTTATCTGTCCGACTTACAACATTTCCTGTTTTAACTTTAACGTTCACAGATGGGGAGAGGTAGGACAACCACTGGAACTGTCATTGCCTGTCTAGTGAAGCTCCGCATCAATTATGGGAGACCTATCAAGGTTCTGTATGATGTTCTGACCCATGAGATTGTGGATGAAGATTCCTCAAGTGGTGGTGAAGAAACCGGAAGTAATAACGCTGAAACGAGACCTCGTAATTCTGGACGAAGAACTGAGGAAGAACATGGCCGTACATTTGGAATGGACGACATCCTTCTGCTCTGGAAAATCACTAGGTTATTCGATAATGGAGTTGAATCTCGCGAGGCGTTGGATGCTGTGATTGATAGATGTTCTGCATTGCAAAATATTCGTGAAGCTGTTCTGCAGTACAGGAAGGTTTTCAATCAGCAACACGTTGAGCCGAGAGTAAGAAGTGCTGCATTGAAACGTGGCGCTGAATACTTAGAGAGATACTTCCGGTTGATTGCTTTCGCAGCTTATCTTGGAAGCGAAACTCTTGACGACTTTTTCGTGAAAGGAGAGTCGAAGATGACTTTCAAGAATTGGTTGCATCAGAGACCTGAGGTGCAAGCGATGAAGTGGAGCATAAGGCTAAGGCCTGGAAGATTTTTTACCATTCCCGTGAGTCAATTGTCTCATTATTCAGGCTGGAAAACTGTAAATGTCCTCTTAATTTTGCACATTACAAACTTTAAATTTATTCCATGCAGGAGGAATTGCGGGCACAGCACGAATCGCAACACGGTGATGCAGTCATGGAGTCGATTGTCAACGAACGGAGTGGTTCGGTCTTGGGTAAAGGTTCTATACTTAAAATGTACTTTTTCCCTGGCCAAAGAACTTCAAGTCGCATGCAGATTAATGGAGCGCCTCACGTGTACAAGGTATGCTTCAAAGAAAATGTGAATTCTTTTTGCTATGATAACATTTTTTCACCGTGACATTAATATGAACCGGAAAAACATTCATTTCAGGTCGATAGATATCCTGTGTATAGCATGGCAACTCCCACAATATCCGGAGCTAAAAAGATGCTCGCTTATTTAGGCACCAAACTAAAGGAAGAAGGTGGAGATTCAGCAGGAAGAATAGTAGTCACAGACTTGAGAGAAGAAGCAGTTGTTTACATCAATGGAACTCCGTTTGTTTTGAGAGAATTGAGTAAACCTGTTGATACCCTCAAGCATGTGGGGATAACCGGTGCAGTGGTATGTCTCAAATCACAACTTTTATTACTAATTAACGCAAGTTTCGAATGCGGGTTGATTTTGTATCTTCAACGCAGGTAGAAAGCATAGAAACACGGTTAAAAGAAGATATATTGTCCGAGGTTAGAGAAACTGGTGGTCGAATGCTATTGCATCGTGAAGAATATAGCCCTGCATCGAATCAGTCTCGGGTTATAGGATATTGGGAAAATATTCAACCAGAGAATGTGAAGACACCTGCAGAAGTATATGCTGCTTTGAAAAATGAAGATTACAACATATCTTACAGGAGAATACCATTAACCAGAGAAAGAGACGCATTAGCTACCGATGTAGACGCAATCCAGTATTGTAAAGACGAGTAAGTATTTTTTTTGTTCGTTTTATATATTTACTAAGCTGTTCCGGTTTAACTAATGGACACATTTCCAACAGTTCCGCTGGGAGTTACTTATTTATATCGCATACCGGTTTTGGAGGAGTTTCTTATGCAATGGCCATTACTTGTCTCCTACTTCAGCCTGGTCAGAAAATTACAGCAACACCAAACACAGATTCTTCTACCTTAGAAGAAGTAGATTCGCCTTCAGGGGCTTGTGATGAAGAAGCGTTGAGTATGGGAGATTACCGAGACATACTGAGTCTCATAAGAGTGCTTTCTCATGGTCCTCAAAGCAAATCAGACGTAGATGGAATAATCGAACTGTATGTAAAATCAAAATCTGTCTTTGACATATAATTTTCGCTTAAAGTTAAACTACATCCGCTCATGACTTCCTTGTCTTGTTTTGGCATCTTTATAGGTGTGCTGGTGCAGGACATTTGAGAGAAGACATTGTTTACTACACCAAAGAACTCAAGAAGCTTCCTAACACAAAAGATGAAACCCGTTCATACATGATGGACATGGGTGTTAAAGCCTTAAGGTTAGTCACATAACTCCAGTCCGATTTAACCGACCCAAACCAATCTGGAAAGCACTGAATCGGTTCGTTTCAGTTTCATTTTGTATACACAGAGAAATAATGTAATGTTTTGTTATGGTTTGTATGAGCAGGCGCTACTTTTATCTGATAACATTCAGATCATACCTCTATTGCACGTCGCCGGAAGAAATGAAATTCTTGGATTGGATGCGGTCGCGGCCGGAACTTGGACATCTTTGTCATAACCTCAGGATTGACAAATGATAAAGTATTATTGAGTTTCAGTTAAATATATATATCAATGTAGGCGAGTTATGTTGTTTGGTTTTTTTATATAGCTTTAGTGTATAAAAAAAAATGTAGAGCTTTCTCTCCTGTGTTTGCATTGTACATAGTGAGAGATCTCTGTCTATAGGTTTGCCCTTATGAGATTTGCTTATACAAGCAGTTAATTCTGATCAATAAGTACCTTTTCTTTATATTTTAAAAAATTAATAAAATAAAATACACAATATATATTTATAAATTTTAGCCTTTCTTCGAAGCAAATTTTGATTTGATTTTTTCGACTTCTTTCGTCCCGATCTGAAGCGCCGTCGTTAGAACGTGATCTGGGATCGCCGGAGTCGCCGTGAAAAGCGTGGCGGCGATGGACTGTGTTCCCGGTAACTGACTGTTAAACGCCGAGATCACCGACGCTGGTTTCGCTATGTCGTTGTTCTTCTGGTAATGAATCAGTCCCCTCGGGAAGACAAACACTTCTCCCTTCTTCACAGTCTTGGCGAAGAGCTTGTTCGCCGTCGTGATGAATCCGACGTCAAGCTCGCCTTCCAACACGAATATTACTTCGGTGGCGCGTGGGTGCGTGTGCGGCGGGTTTAAACCTCCAGGCGCGTAGTCGATACGCGCGAGGGAGACTCCGAGCGTGTTGAGCCCCGCGATCTTCTCTACGTTAGCTCCCGTGACTGCGGAGCCGACTGTGTTGTTAACGACGGCGGTTTTTCCGATCCCGGCGAAGAAGAAATCTGAGGCGGTGATGTTTGATTCCGGCTTACATGAGAACCCATTCACGTGCATTCCTACAATCAAATAACGAAATTTAATTTATTCATATGCATTAAGTTCTCCTCTGGCTGAGAAATAAAAATGTATATATAGTACCTGAAGTGGGATCTGCAACGCATAGATCTTGAAGCGAGTCAGGATCGTAAGCAAGAGCAACTACAGTGAGATATAACAAAGCAAAGAAGAACGCACAACATCTCGAGTCCATGATGCACTTGTACAAGAGCAAGTAAACAAGAGAGACGAAGATATATTGATCCTGAGATTTGAATCTGTGATATCTTTATGTCTCGATTGGATCGTTATATATTTGAATTCGTTGAGGAAAATTATGCACAGCTAAACTAACTTAAACGCAAAGCAAAATTGGAGGAGAGATGTGATGTCGTTTTCTTAAAGATGTTTGTTGCATCTTTTATTTAAACTTTTTCAAGGCTTTTGTTTTGGTTTTCTCGAATTAAAACGGATCCTATTCCCAAACATATTTAGAGCTGTTCATTAGTGAGAGATTATCAACTAAATTAAAATTTGGAGCTTCGGTTTAGCGGGTATCCGCATATATATATATGAAACTGCGTTGTTTTAAAAATGTGCGTCGTTTTTACTTTTTGCTTTGTTAATGTGTGTTGTTTTTAACAAAAACTGTGTGTCATTTTAAAACAATATGAGAGAAAACACCTTATTGGCCATTATTAGCCTAATCGATTCTTTCACTTCATCTCTACCATAAACTCGCTTACGCAGCCATCATCACTTTCTCTGATTCTCTCTATATCTCATCTCTCAAACCTTTGATCTATCATCATCTCTGCAAATTGACTCTCCCTCTCTCTCTCTCTCTCTGCAAATCGACCCTCTCTCACTTTCACAGAATACAGTCGAGTCTCGAATCTCTATCTTTGTCTTTCTCCTCTCATTATCGATCCCTCTTCAAGTCTCCCTCTTTCCCCAGTTGTTTTTTTGTGTGGATAAAAATTCAACCCAAAACCCGCGGTGACCCGGGTCGGATCTGACCCGCTTGACAGGGATTTCTATTCGAGAATTCATTGTTCTTAACAATTGCAAAGATGGAGCATCAGCAGTATCCTTATCATAATCCGTTCGAAAGACGTCCCATCCTCAAATCCAAGGCTCCTGCTGTTAAGTGGATCAAGGAGTGGTAATTTCAAAACCTTTTCTTTCTTCTGATTCAAATAGAAGATGCAAAAGAACACTTGATATATATATATATAATCGACGATGATGAATTGTGTTTTTGCTCACCCTTCTCCAGGGTACCACAAGATATCGTTGCTACAGGTGGGAAGTGCTATCTTCGCAAATGGGTTACAGGTGAAATTGCACAATTTATCTAAATTTCAGTTTTTGCTTAGTATAAGTGATCTAAGGTACAGTTTCTGCTTGCCTCTTTCTGATAGAAGTGTATTTGTGTATGTTGGCACAGAGGAAACCGTGAAGAGACTGAAAGAGAAAGAGGAAGAGCCTGAGGTTCCAGAGCCTGAGCCGGAACCTACAACAGAGGTTTTATTTCTCTGCAGCTACGAAGGATGTGGAAAGACTTTCTTTGATGTTAGTGCCTTGAGAAAGCATTCCCACATCCATGGAGAAAGGCAGTATGTTTGCCATTACATAGGATGTGAAAAGGTATAGTAATAATAACCCCCAACGTCATGCGCCTACTTAACATTTATTTTTCAGTGAGACCCATCTCCTTCAATTTTATGTAACAGAAATTTCTGGACAGCTCAAAGTTGAAGAGACACTTTCTCATTCATACTGGGGCGAGGGACTTTGTATGCACTTATGAAGGCTGTGGAAAGGTGATCGATTCTATAGCTTTCATTAGCCAAATTTATGAGTACTGTATATGCTATTACCTATTAGGCGTTGGACTTGTATAGTTTACTTTTAAAACTCATATCTCACCATGTAAGTAACTTGGATGCAGGCATTCTCCTTGGATTTTAACCTTAGATCTCACATGAAGACTCATTCACAAGAGAATTATCACATCTGTCCTTACTCTGGGTGTGGAAAGAGATATGCTCATGAATACAAGCTAAAGAACCATGTTGCTGCCTACCATGAAAAGGTTTCACTACTTATATCCTTTTTCCCCGAAATAACATGTTCTTCGGTTAAGTCAGAACCCTCCTTAGTCAGGATCAGATTGTGTTGCTTTTGAAACCTGTTTGTCTTTATTTCTTAACTTTGGGTTTAGTTTTCCTTGACTAGAGGTGGGAAGTAACTAATATTGTGATATCTTCAGTAATGACACTCGATGAAAGCATGTTAATGCTATGATATCTTTCTTTCTGGCGCATAGAACTCTATTAATAGGTTGAAATTGGCAGAAACAAACATCTCTTAAGACTCAATGATTCTGGTGTTTAACTGTGAATTGCGCTTTGACGATGCATAGCCTGAACAAATGGATAGATTCTTTGAAGTTTACACCGTTATTTAATGAATCTTTGTATGCGTCATCATAGAACTTATCTCTCAGTTTCTCAACCGTTTTAGCAGAATGTTGCTGGAGATACGCCGAAATATACTCCACCCGCAGAGAAGGTGTCAAGGAGTGTCAAAGCAAGTGCAGCGGTTTATGGCTCAGCGTCTTTGGATCGGCCACACGCATGCCCTTACGAAGGGTGTGAGAAAGCTTACATACATGAGTACAAGCTTAAACTCCACTTGAAGAGAGAGCATCCGGGGCATTTACAAGAAGAGAACACGGAGAACCAAACACCGAACAAGCACAACGGCAGTGACAGGAATGATTTGGATGAAGGGAGTGACCAAGAGTTTTACAGGAAACCCGGGAAAAGCCAGACACACAAACAACAGAGCAGAGCTAAGCCAAACATGAGGACACCACCAGCTAAAGTTGGAAAGAAAGGTTCAACCTCTTCACCAGCTAAAGTAAGTATCGCGAAAAAACCATGGCAAGTGAAAGAAATGTTTGAAGGAGAAAGAGAAGAAGAAGAAGAAGAAGATAGCGAGGAGACAGAGGAAGATAGAGAGAATGGCTGGAGGTTTGGGGAAAACAACAATGAGGATGATGACGAAGAGACCGAGTATGAAGACTAGGTTTTGCTTCGTCTAATAAGCCATAGGACGAAGGCTAAGTTTTCCATTTGCTCTCTTTCGTTTGCCTTGTACACTCTTCTTGCTACACATAAGCCATAGAGTATCTTGTTAGGTTGGTCCTGGTATGTATCAAATAGGCCTAGTTGTCGTTATCTCTTAGAATTTTGCTGTTACTGTACTTGTGTTTTCTTTTGGTCTGAGATTCAAGAGAAGGAATACAAGTACTTTTAATTTGGTCCAAATCTTAAATTTAAAACGTGTATAAGATTACGAATGAAATAATGTAATTTGAGGGAGTTTACAGAAACGAAAGACTCGTTGTAATGCTAAACAAATCAAAATCCAAATGAGATGTGAGGCTGAGCAGAGACATCCTTGACAATGACAACAAAAGAAAGCTCGTACCCATATACGGAAGGCCCATTAAATAAATAATGGATTCCTTTGTCGCCCCATACAAACTATATTGGGCTATATACTTGGGCTTATTTAGTATATAGTATTAATTAGGTTTAATGTAGATTAGCGTGAGATGTTGATGATATTAGGTTAAAGAGTAGATCTCCTTAGCAAACCTTACTACTCCTCTCCTTCATCTCTCGTACCGTTTTCTATCCTCTCAAAAACACGAAACTAATGAGGAAGATGCTATGCCGCAACTGCAAAACGACAGTCTCCTTTGATTTCGAGAATTGTCAAAATCCTCTTTGACAATTCTCGAGGTCACAGATTACTGTTGTTTTCGCCGTTACTTAGTCCGGTTCAGCTTTGTATACTCAGAAAGGTGAAGTTACTGCTCGATCACACTCCTTGGCATGTTTTTGTTTCTATCAAAAATGCATTCATGATTTAACCGATTGATCTTTGTTCATGTTTTTTTTTTCTCCTGTGGGTTTTAAAATTAATCAGAATTGATGGGTTTTTTTTTGTTTAATTTGGAATTCGGTGAAGTTTCAATTAGAGTATTAGTTAATATTTAAGCTAGAGATTTAAAATGAGTAACATTTTATTTGACTATGATGATCTCTCCCAAGTGACTTGGGGGTCACTGCAGCAACTGTTTCAATTGTTATCTCATTTGCGTATTTCTGATTCGAACGTTACCATAACAAATGCACAAATATAGAAGGAAACAAGTATGTTACTTCAATTTAAAAATGAACCAAGATATAACTCCTCTTGTCTAAGAATCGGTGAGTGTTCGTACTCTTCTACTTTATCAGTAAGTTGGTTTCCCAGAAAAGCCCTTGCCCTTTTCACTATGATTACACAGAGTACTAAATTGCCCTCAACGTAACCCTAGTTTCTCCCATCCACAGCTATAAAAACCGAACCTTTCTACTATTCTAGCTATAGTTACCAAACAACACTTAGCAGTGTCTCTCAAACCGTCAAAGCCATGTCTGTTTTCCCCGGCGCGTCTGCATTCCCCGGCAATTTCGCCAGTAAGATCTCTCTATTTCTCTTATCTCATTTTAGATATGTTAGCAGCTGTTTTTGCGTTTGCGTTTCGTAAAGGGTTTATGCATTTTTCGTTCTGACTGAAAAAACACGTTGCAGCGGCTGCGTTGGGAGTATTCTGGGATATCCAGCAGTGCGAGATCCCTGATGGACAGACTGCTGCCGAGGTTGTGGAGAGATTGAGAAGCAACTTCAGGGAATCTGGTCATCTTGGTCCGGTCTCTATCAACGCATACGGTGATATGACTCCTCACGACTTTGCCTCCTCGGGAATCAAGCACAATCACTTTCCCGCAGGTCTAAAACAAACCCTCTCTTGTTCCTTCCCTTCTTCTGTAGCTTTATCATCAAAGTCTGTAGCTTTGGTCCGGTTATGATAATACTATTGTATATTGTTTTCAGGAGACAAGTATGGGAGGCAGACGAAGATGTTGGAGGACATTGTGGCGTGGGCAGGCGAGAATCCGGAACCATCAACGTTGTTGCTAATCGCTGGAGACGTCCCAGATGAGTTGGTCGAGGCTGTTAAGCTTTTGAAAAGTCGGAAAAATTACCACTTGCTCTATGTGCACCCAGCCCCACGCCCAACGGTGATTACTCTGTTTCCTCTTCCTGAAGACTAAATGTTGTATCGTGTGGAAAAACAAAGAAACTAAAGTAGTATTGTTTCTTTCTCGTTTCTTGGTTGTATTTTGGATCATCCTCTTTTTTTTGTACAACTAAGCAGAAATCAATCAGATTGGATTTTAATTTATCATTTTTATTGTGATTCCTCTTTTTTATATACTCTCTAGATTTTACTTCCATGTTGTGTGTTGTTGATTATCGTCTAATTACGTTCGTAATCGTACAAACGAAATGATTATTCAGTCTCTGAGACCAAAACCTGCAACGGTCAAAAGCAGAAAGCAAAACTGTACGGGTTCGTCTGTTCATCAAGGATAAAGATGAATAGCTGCCATCACAGCTGGCAAGGACACCTGTCCAAGTTCTAGATTGTTCCTTTCTCCATAATAAAGAGAGACTCATGTTAGCAAATTAATTCAAGTAATCAAATTAATAGTCCACAAAATGGTTTCTCTGTGTCTCAATCAAACTTGGTAGATATTAAATAGATATGATAAAAATCCAAACTTGCTCTAACGTAAACGTAATCTTTAAATTTGGAAATCCACACAAATTATGTTTGGGCTGTTTTGGGCTCTCTCTATCTAATTTCCAGCCTGCCTGCATCTTATTGGGCTCTCTCTTCCTATTTTCCAGCCTGCCTGCATCTTATTGGGCTACCTCTTCATATTTTCCCGCCTGCCTGCATTTTATTGGGCTCTCTCTTCCTATTTTTCAGTCTGCCTGCATCTTATTGGGCTCTCTCTACCTATTTTCCCGCCTGCCTGCATCTTATTGGGCTACCCTCGGCAAATATTAATAAATAGGCCCAGTAATAGTGTTAGGTCGTGATCAATTGCAGCGTAAGTTAGCGGGAGATGTTAAGGATATCATCAATCAATCCAACACACAGAGTTGGTAGCGCTTAAAAACAAGGCTCGAGGCGGTCCTTAACTTATCTGCAACAAGAGACTCTTGTCGAAGCAAACCAAAATCTTTCTTCTTCGCTTCACTTAATCAAGCAATGGCTTCTTCGTCTTCAATGCAGATGGTTCACACTTCTCGCTCCATTTCTCAGGTTCGCAACTCAAACCCCTACATTTTGGGTGGGCTATCTCCATTTTCGTAGAGAATTATGCTTTGAATTACTGTCTGAAAGCCTAATGCTTTTTTTCACTTTTCGATTTCGTTTTTACTGGGTTTAAGTCTTTGTCGTCGAATTATGCTCCTCTTGTGGGTTTTGGGTTCTCAAAACTCTTCGTTTGTTTGTTTGTAGATTGGTTTTGGTGTAAAGTCGCAGCTAATCTCCGCAAATCGAAAATCTCAATCAGTCTGCTTCGGAGCTCGTTCCTCTGGAATCGCATTACCTTCGAGATTGCACTATGCATCAAGTTTCCCCACTAAGCAAATCTCCGTCGCTTATGCCAACACCAAGAGAACGGCTTGTGTTAAAGCAATGGCGGCTGTAAGATTACACCTAATTTTTCATTATCATAAGATGGTTTGTGGATTTGTATAGTTTCTTGAACTTGTTAAAAATCTGTTTTTTTTTTGTAAAGGAGGAAGTAGAGCTTCAAGCTAAAGTGACAAACAAGTGTTACTTTGATGTGGAAATTGGAGGTGAAGTCGCTGGAAGAATTGTGATTGGTCTCTTTGGAGATGTTGTCCCTAAAACCGTCGAAAACTTCCGTGCCTTGTGTACTGGTAAAAATCCAAATCACTCTTAAAAGTTGAATGTTTTGAATTTTTAGAGATAAAAACAAAAACCATTTGACTAAACAAGTTTGATTTCTTTCAGGTGAGAAAAAATACGGGTACAAGGGTTCTTCGTTCCATCGTATTATTAAGGATTTCATGATCCAGGGAGGTGATTTCACTGAGGGAAATGTAAGTTTTTTTCTCGATAAATTACTGACATAACTGTTTGTTATTTGATGTTTCTTTCTAAAGTGTCAATTTTTTTTTTTTTCACAGGGCACTGGAGGTATTAGTATTTACGGTTCCCAGTTCGAAGATGAAAACTTCACATGTGAGTATTCTTATTAACAAAGAAAAATCCTGGCCTTCTAACGAATATAATAGTATTTACTTCTTTGAGGTATTAATGCTTTATGATCTATTGTTGTTTATCTGCATTCGCAGTGAAGCATACCGGACCTGGAATCTTGAGCATGGCAAATGCTGGTCCCAATACTAATGGAAGCCAGTTTTTCATTTGTACCATCAAGGTAAAAGATTTCTCAGCTCTTCACATCATCGATAAAGTCTTGGGATCTTTCATCATTTGTAAAAATTTTGTTTTTGGTTCTGTGTTTTGCTTTTTTGTGTGTAGACTAATTGGTTAGATAACAAGCATGTTGTGTTTGGGCAAGTGATTGAGGGTATGGATGTCGTGAAGACACTCGAGTCTGTGGAGACACGTGCCATGGATGCTCCCAAGAAAACTTGCAGAATCTATGCCTGCGGAGAGCTCCCGTTGGAAGCTTGATGATTCAACATCATCCAGTTCATCGTCATTGTGATCTGTGTTCTGTTTTTTTTTGCTGTTATGAGACTATTGAGGTATCGAAAACTATCAAAAAAGTCAAAAGGGTTTTTAGATTCTGGTCTTTTTTTTTTTTGTTTCTTTATTCCGGTTACATGATTTGTTACAAGTACAATCGATTTGGGATTCTTATTAAAGAGTCTTCTCTTCTTTTAAGCATGAACCATGGTTGCAACCGCGGCTTTTCGAACAATTGCCTCAAGCTTCTCGTCTTTGTTGTCTTCCCATAAATCAGGTATTGCTTCCTTTATGTTGTGAATGCTGCTTAGTGCATAGTCTGCACCTGGAACTAGCACCGAGTCTCCCACGAACACGGTTTTTAGCCCCGTTGCTTTAGCACTAGCGATGTTACGTATACTGTCATCGAAGAATATCTGAAAAAAGATGAAAGGAAGATATACTCTTGAGCTTTTGGTATCTGAAACTGTGATAAAGATTCTTGTAGACTGTTTGTTTTACCGTTTTGCGTGGATGGACGATGTCTGCAATGCGAATGGCGGCTTCGAAGGCTTCAACGGAGGGTTTACAGAGGATTTGAGTCTTTGGATCAGAAGATGGGTTTAGTGTTTCGAAGCAAATGATTCCTTCAAAGCAGTCCTCTAGACCCAATCTGTTAAGAGCTCTTGTCGCGTGAGCTTTGTCTGCGTTTGTAAAGATCTGATTGGTAACAAAAAAAAAACAGAGGATGAGAAACAGGAGTCAATGGAGAATTTTGAGTTAGACTTGGGAGGAAACTTACGATTTTACGGTGAGGCATAGAGAGAAGAAGGTTACGGAGAACAGGATCAGGCTTTAGTTTCTCGTACGGAAGTCTCCCGTGGACATATTCATGGAACTCGTCGTTGTCGAATTCGTAACCCATAACCTGCAAACACGATTCTGTTTCAGTTTGGACTCGGTCTGGTTCGACTAAAATGTTATAGGTCCAACAACTGTGAAATGGAGGAGATGAGAAATCACAACATACCTTGAGACCAGCCATGGTGGTTCCATATTCTTTGTAAAGATCAACACACATCTTTGGAACTTCACTCTCTTCGATTCCGAGCTGATTAGTCATGAACTCTGCAAATAAGAAAAAGACAACAAACACTTTCATTCAGTATATAATTAAGAATTTATTCAAATATTCAAATCATTTTGAAATCGTTAGTCTCTTTTTCCTTGGATGTTCTTTCGACAAGCTAAGTTGATTCCGATGCTCAAAGGGTATAGAGTATCGTCCATATCTGCAACAACAAGAAGAACAAAACAGAGTTTAATTTACTTTTCAGAAACTGCATAGAGAAGGACAAAAAAAGAAGGTTAAGATGATGTGTTTATGTATGTATTACCAAAGAACAAACACTCGTACTTAGCACCAAATTCATCCATCCTCAATCTAGTGAAGAAGAAGAGTTTGAGGGATACTGTAACTTAATGAAAAGTGAGAGAGAGAGAGCTTATGATCAATGTGAAGCAGATGGCTATATTTATAAATGCAACTTCAAAAAAGTGGATTCTCTCTTTATGAGTTAGGAGGACACAGATAATATTTGGTTATCATTGTTATGCAACTTATATTATGTTTTTGTTAGAAATTGCATAATTATTGATAGCATTGATAAATATGTGTATATAATATGGAATATCCTAAAAGTATATATGATTTTAGAAGATTTATCGCGAATATTATAACTAAAAACTTGTCAATGTGTATGTCTGAAAAGATATACGATAATTGTTTTAAAACATTTTTTGATTTCTCTCTAATTTCCCCCTTGTGGTAATACAACATATTTAATTAAAGTAAGCATGATTGTTGATGCTGACTTGGTGATTATGATAATAGATTAATGATCCACCATATGATGTAGGATGCATGCAATAAGATGAGGTGTTTAGCATATGTACGATTATATTTTCTTTTATCATTCTTGGTCATTTCCCACTTTCCGTGACCTGCCATTTTCATTTTCTATAAACAGTATAAAAAGCAAAAAATGTAAAATTAAAGGTGAGCAGTGAGATATTCTGAAATGTCAATTGTAGACAGAACAAAAATATTTAATCATGAAAAAAAAAACATTTTAGTGTATTACTAATACTATTATGATTTTCACTACCATGTGCAATTAGGTACAACCCACGAGGAATTAGATTCATGTTGATAATGAAAGAAAAAGTATATACAGCGTCAGAACGAAAATCAATTCATGTTGACAAAAAGAGAACAATTCATATTTTCCAAATTAAATAGAATTTGTTTTATCCAATGTACATAGTCTAAGAATAAAAATGAATCAGATCTGCATATAATACCACGAATGGTTAGCTGATTCAGAGAGCATGCACGTTTTATTATAATAATGGAAGGAGTTAAAGCCTTAAACTTAATTATAAATCATGTTATCTACAAGTTTAGTGACTAACAAATACTAAAACACTGAATTAGTTTATAATTGTCCGCAGTGGGGACCACTTAGTAGGAATTTGCAGAGATTTGCGTGATTATTTATGTATTTAATTTTTATATATTCTTGAGATTAGTAGAATTATAATAGAAAATATAGATTTACGTCAAAAGAGGAGGAACATTTAGCACAAACATGCACCTGCCATTATATATACTATAAGAATTTAGGGATTATATATTCTAATACACTGCCACTGGAAAAAAAGAAGTTCAGATTTGCTAAATGCTCCCAATGGTATTTTGCTGTTGCTTTTTTCTAAATATTTATTAATAAAATTAGAGGAAAATGAATTTCCTTCCTTTAATTATTTAACTATAAATATATAGTAAACAAAATCACAAAAAGTAGTCACCAGTATCCTGTTTTTCCATATTATACAGTTTAACATAATTAAGTGAGAATTTAAAAATAGCTAAAAACCATTATTTTATTCTAATATTGTACATTCTAGTGTCCAATCAAAACTAGAAATATTATTTGCGAAATCTGTAAGCAGAAAAATTCCAGGAATGCTATTAAAGTTTCCAAATAAATGAATCATTATGGAATGAAATATGGAGAAAAATAAAATACAGGATTTATTTTAATGTGGTTTTAGATTTAGACATTTATATTAATAACAGTATTTTTCGTTATAAAAGGCTTCTTTCTGCTTTCTCCATTTTTTTTGTTCTTTTCAAAACCATTCTTTTTATTTTATTTTGTCTTCATGCAGTGATACGAGTAAAGAAATCGAAATCAATCTTTAATCCAAATTTTGGCGCTCGAGTCGTCGTCTTTGCTGCATTTCCCGGAGCTCCGGGACTAAGCTTATTGCGTCGGCGGAGGGGATGAGGAGCTTATTGTTGTGGATTGCGGTGGCTGTGTGCTCGCTATGTTCAGTCGCGGCGGTGGTTCGGAGCGGATCTAGCGATGGATTTAGGGAACCAAGAGATACTGAGACGGCGATATCGCTACAGGAGAATGAATTGACGGCGACGTCGGCGTCTGAGCTTAACATGGTGCCTCTCACCTTGATTAAGGGAGCTGACTCCAAAGGAGCTGGTACACTCTCTCCCCATCTCTTTCGCTGACCTTTGATGTTCAGAAACCATTCTTTTTATAAATTTTGGCTCGATTTTTGTCTCCCTTGGTTGGAATTTGAAATTATGGAGTTTGATTTTTGCCTGTTGCTCGATTTCGTAGACTCGGATTCTCGTCTCTCTTCCTTCGTATCGATTGAGTTTCAGCGTGTATGCGCTCCTAATTTCAAATTTTGTTCTTCCTCGGATACTAATTACTGCTAATCCAATTGTTTAATTTGTTGCGTAAGAATGTGGAAACACATTTGGATCTTCGAATTTGTGCTTTAAGATTCATCGAATCGTTCCTACTGATGAAATTTTGTTTTCTGGGTAGAAGTCAGTCTCTCTTCTCAGGATTACTTGAATGTTTTGATGATAATAAGTGCTTATTCATTTGCTGCAGTGTGCCTGGATGGGACGCTCCCTGGTTATCATCTAGATCGTGGGTTTGGTTCACGTTCCAACAGTTGGCTTATCCAACTTGAGGTATATGCGCATTCACAGCTTAAGTAAACTTCAATTTTTGGTTAGTTTAGTAGTATACAGTACAAGTTTCTGTTTTTTTTCAATGCATTGTGTGGTGTAGGGTGGAGGATGGTGTAACAACCACAGGAGCTGTGTGTACCGCAAAACAAGTCGCCGTGGTTCTTCAAACTTCATGGAAAAAGCTTTGGCCTTCACTGGAATATTGAGCAATAAATCTGAAGAGAATCCTGGTTTGTCCCCAATGGCATTCATGAGTTTTTGTGCGTGTGGTTTATCCAGTGAATGTATTGATTCTGTTGTTTCGTGGCTCGCAGACTTCTTTAACTGGAACAGGATCAAGCTGCGGTACTGTGATGGTGCGTCTTTCGCTGGGGATAGTCAGGACGAGGTTGGTCAGAGACGAGTGCATTGTGGCTCATAATCTATTGAGGATTGTTTCTGTTGTACCCTGATTATGTCTTATTTTTTTGCTACAATGTTTTTGTATCTAGAGTTCACAAATTTTCTATAGAGGACAACGAATCTGGCAAGTGGCTATGGAAGAATTCATGTCTTTAGGCATGCAGAAAGCAGACCAGGTCTTTGCATTTCGCTGAACCTAATCAGGTTATTTGGAATTTGTGGCAAGTAGTTTGTCTTCTTATCTAATCACTTGCAAATGAATGTTCGTCACAGGCTCTGCTCTCTGGATGCTCAGCGGGAGGATTAGCTTCGATCTTTCACTGTGATGAATTCAGGGAACTGTTACCTAACTCTACCAAAGTAAAGTGCTTAAGTGATGCTGGGATGTTTCTGGACGCGTAAGTCTCTTGAACGTGCCTTCTCTGTTTGAAAAAAAATATCCAAACTTGAAATGTTCTGATTGAAAACGCAGAGTGGATGTCTCTGGGGGCCACTCGCTAAGGAATATGTTCCAAGGTGTTGTTTCGGTGCAGGTGAACTCGGATTCAATTTTTTTTCTTTTGTTTCTTATATAAAAGTTATACACTTTATCATTATCCTATGTTTATTGTAACTCACTTAAATACTCTTCTCTGTTGATTTTATAGAACCTCCAAAATAATCTGTCGAGTACTTGTACAAACCATATGGATCCTACTTCGGTACATCTCTTTCACTTGATTAATATCCACCGTTTCCAGTAGACAAGGCTTGAGAGGATCTTTTGACGTAAATCCTTCGTGCGCTTTCTCTTTTCCTCAGTGCTTCTTTCCCCAGAACTTGGTTTCCGGCATCCAAACCCCAATGTTTCTTCTCAATACAGCTTATGACTCATGGCAGGTTAAGCATTCTTCTTTTACCTAAATCTAGCGTATTGCTTCATCCCCCCTACATTGTTTGATTTTGAGAAAACATAAATATATGAACTTTCTCTATCAGATCCAAGAGAGCTTAGCTCCTCCAAGTGCTGACCCAGGCGGCACCTGGAAGGCATGCAAATTCGATCACTCGCAGTGTAATTCATCACAGATCCAATTCTTCCAAGGTTAAAATTTTAATTACTAGTTACCATCACACTCTCTCTACTCTATGCTGAGCCTGCACCATGTTGATGGTTTCTAATTCCTTCTATTTTTTTTCTTTCTCCTTACATCAAATAGAATTCAGGAATCAAATGGTGCTTGCTGTAAAATCATTCTCGGAATCTGAGCAGAACGGTGTTTTTATAAACTCTTGCTTTGCGCATTGTCAGTCTGAAAGACAGGACACTTGGTTTGCCCAAGATTCTCCCCAGCTAAACGGGAAGGTAACATTTCAATATCTCATTTTTTGGCAATCACAAGCTTCTTAAACTCTGCTCATAGTTATCCATTTTTTTAATCAGCGAGTGGCAGAGTATGTTGGTGACTGGTACTTTGACCGATCCAAACATGTCAAAGACATTGACTGTCCTTTCCCATGTGACAAAACATGTCGCAATCTGATTTTCGAGTGAGTAAATCTTTTAGACCCAATCTCTCTCTCATTCTTTCAAACTTGTGCAATTACTGCTTGAATATTTATACTAAACTCCAAATCTGTAACATTCGTGTGAACCATTTATTTGTCGATTCAGATAATTATTTATATTTCTGTGACATGACGACATCATTTTCATCTGGAATAAGCTTTCTTTAAGTCCTTTTTTTTATCCTATATATATTCTTTGTGCAGTGTGAATCAAACAGCTATAGCTCTAGAGATCTCAGCTTCTTCAAGGTTTTGTTTTCCTCTCTTTAGAGCCTCTCTGGTCTCTCTAGTGTTGACAGAGCTCATCCTCAGATTCTTAGTTTGGTAGAGGACACAGTGTCCATTTCGTTCAAATGTCAATATCTAGTTTTTGACAAAACCCATGTCATTACACAGAATGGAATATATCGAAAAGAAAAAGCATTGTGACAAAAAAATATTTATATATAAAAGCAAATAACAAATTTCTTTATTTCATTGGACTCTACTTCAAAATGTACGAATCGCAAAAATCGATCATGCACTCTGCTTTTGGTAACCGTCTTAATCTCTTTGTTCGGTTTTGAGAGGTCCTTATTTTATTTATGTGCTTCGAGATTCCACAAATGTCAAACGACGTCTGCAGATAAATAAGAAAATGTATTCGATTACTAAATTTATAATATAGGAAGTAACTTTCATTTATATCCCGTATGCTTATTCTTTTATAGTGGATCTACAAAATGTGTAAATATAATATGGATAAATACATGGTGGAGGTCACTTGCGATTCACGCTTCAAACAAAAACAAAGAAAAATCCACATTGATCAATATGGATCCAATCCTTTATCAAAATAATATGAGGATCCGGTCTTATCATTTATCTACGTAATTTTGCTTTATTTTGTTTGTCTTATCTTTCGATCATTTACAAGTTCTATAGTTTCTGCATTTTCAAACAGAAAAAGAAAGATAAAATGAAATTTTTTTTTTTTAAATCATACAAGTAGTTGATCGGAATTTAGGTAAGAACAGTATATATATGGATTAAAAGTTCCAAGAAACATCAAAACAATTGTTTATGTTGTTGTTATATGTTGATTGATTTGAACAGTCCACTTGATTTTTTTTTTTACATTGATATAGTTGATTTATTTTGTATGATCGACTTATTTGGTATAGTCAACTATTTAACTTATTTAGCATGTTCAACTTATTTCGTTTGGTAGACTTATATTTGGAAGAGAGGAAAAACATTTACACTACATTTATGTGCACATCTGCAGAGTAAGATGGACCACTTGATAAAGATTATTTCCATATGATTACAGCAATTAACATATGTGTGTTGTTTAAAAAAAAAAACTCTGAATGGTGGAAATTAGGGATCTGAGGATATAGGAAAAACATTTACACTACATTTATGTGCACATCTGTTTTTTTAGTGAAATGACGTCAAAAAAAAACACTCGATCATTAAAGTCTGAAAATATTGTTGTTTGGGCTTTGTGGGCCGCACAGCTTTAGTTATCTGAGGAAAAGTATCCAACGGTCATGAAGAGACTCAATTTTACAACGGTAAGAAAATAGCCGTTGTAAAAGAAATGCCACAAACAACACAGAAAATCCATTTCAGAAATCTTCTCTTCTCGATTAGTCGTCTTTGCTGCATTTCCCGGAGCGCCAGGAATTGGCTTTGTTGCGCCGGCGGAGAAGATGAGGAGCATATTGTTGTGGATCGCGGTGGCTGTATGCTCGCTAGGCTCTGTCGCGGCGGTGATTCAGAGCGGATCTAGCGATGGATTTAGGGAACCAAGAGATACCGAGACGGCGATATCGTTTCTGGAAAACGAATCGATAGCATCAAAGGCTTCCATGGTGCCTCTCACCTTGATTCAAGGAGCTGACTCCAAAGGAGCTGGTACTCTCTCTCTCTCGATCTCGATTTTTGCCTCCCTTAGTTGGAATTTGAAATTATGGAGTTTGATTTTTGCCTGTTGCTCGATTTCGTAGACTGAGATTGAGTTTCAGTGTGTCTGGGCTCGTAATTTCAGTTTTTGGACAAACATTGGCTCTTTAGATTTAAGATCCATTGCCCAAATTTCTTTTTATTGATGAAAACGATTTGGTAGAAGTCAAGTCTCCTCACTTGTAAAGCTTTGATGATAATTAGTGTTTTGCTCGATTCTAAATTGCTGCAGTGTGCCTGGATGGGACGCTGCCTGGTTATCATCTAGATCGTGGGTTTGGTTCAGGTGCCAACAGTTGGCTTATCCATCTTGAGGTATATGTATGTGCATTATTACAGCTTATGTAACCTTTAGATTATTGCTAGTTTAGTAAACTCAGTGGCTACACATGTAGGGAGGAGGATGGTGTAACAACCATAGTAGCTGTGTGTATCGGAAAACAACTCGCCGTGGTTCCTCTAGATTTATGGAAAAAGCTTTGAACTTCACTGGAATATTGAGCAATAAACCTCAAGAGAATCCTGGTTTGTCCTCAAAATACTACTACCATGAGTTTTGGTCATGTGGTTGTAAATGCACATTGTTTTATTGTATTGATTCTGCTGTTATGTATTTGTTTCTTGCAGGCTTCTTTAACTGGAACAGGATCAAGCTGCGCTACTGTGATGGTGCGTCTTTCGTTGGGGATAGTCAGGACGAGGTTGGTCAGAGACAAGAGTATATTTCTCTTGTACCTTTTTTGATCTTGTCATCTAATATTTGTTACATCGACTTATATCATAGGGTTCACAACTCTTCTATAGAGGACAGCGAATTTGGCAAGTGGCTATGGAAGAATTCATGTCTTTAGGCATGCAGAAAGCGGACCAGGTCTTTGCATTTCGCTGAACCTAATCAGGTTATTTGGATTTTGCTCTGCTTTTATGTTGTGTTTTTGAATCTTCTTATCTAATCACTTGCAAGTGTATATTCGTCACAGGCTCTGCTTTCTGGATGTTCAGCGGGAGGATTAGCTTCCATCCTGCACTGTGATGAGTTCAGGGAACTGTTACCTAACTCTACCAAAGTAAAGTGCTTAAGTGATGCGGGAATGTTTCTGGACGCGTAAGTCTCTTGAACGTGACTTCTCTGTTTGAAAAAAATATCCAAACTTGAAATGTTCTGATGGGAAATGCAGAGTGGATGTCTCTGGGGGCCATTCGCTTAGGAATATGTTCCAAGGTGTTGTTGCAGTGCAGGTACAGTTTAACACTATCCTATGTTTACTGTAACTCACTTAATACTCTTCTCTGGTAAACTCAGTTTGAGCATGCATAAAGTGCATACAACTTAATCTTAACTCAGTTCATTATTTTTCTCTGTTAATCTACAGAAACTTGGAAAGGACTTGTCCAGTACGTGTACAAATCATTTGGATCCTACTTCGGTATATCTCTTTCATTTTGTTAGCTATCACTTTTTCCAGTAGACAAGGCTTGAGAGAATCTTTTGACGTTAACCTTTGTGTCTTTTCCTCAGTGCTTCTTTCCCCAGAACTTGGTTTCAGACATCAAAACCCCAACGTTTCTTCTCAACACAGCATATGACTCGTGGCAGGTAAAACAATCATGCCGTTCGCATTGCTTCATCCGCACACAATGTTTGATTTTGAAGAAAGAAAAAAACATATATACGTATGAACTTTCTCTGTTCAGATCCGGCAGAGCTTAGCTCCTTCATCTGCTGATCCAGGCCGCATCTGGAAGGCATGCACATCCGATATCTCCCATTGTAATTCATCGCAGATCCAATTCTTCCAAGGTATAATTTTTAATTACCTTTCATTCTCTCTACTCATTCTGAATTCCAAACATGTTAATGGTTCTATGTCCTTTTTTCACACCAAATAGAATTCAGGAATCAGATGGTGCTTGTCATAAACTCATTCTCAGAATCTGACCAGAACGGTGTTTTCATAAACTCTTGCTTCGCGCACTGTCAGTCTGAAAGACAGGACACTTGGTTTGCTCAAGATTCTCCCCAGCTAAACGGAAAGGTAACATTCTAATATCTCACTGTAGCAATCACAAGCTTGTTAAACTCTGCTCATAATTGTCTTTTCATCAGCGAGTGGCAGAGTCTGTAGGAGACTGGTACTTTGACCGAGCCAAAAATGTCAAAGCCATTGACTGTCCTTACCCATGCGACAAAACATGTCACAATCTGATTTTCGACTGAGTAAATCTTTTAGACCCGATCTCTCTCTCATTCTTTCAAACCTATACAAAACATTCGTGTAACTCAATAGAGAACCCTTTTTTCTGTTTACCGAATCTCATAATATCACATAATTTATATTTGTGTGACTTTCTTTTTCGGTTGGAATAAGCTTTCTTTCCATTTTTTTCATATATATTTCTTGTGTAGTGGTTCTCGAACAGCTCCTGAGATCTCAGCTTCTCCAAAGTTTTGTTTTCCTCTCCTTAATGTCTCTTTGGTCCCTTACATGTTGACAAAACTCTTATTCTTAGTTTAGTAGGTACAGAGTGAAACCTTATTCTTTCATATCTCGTTTTATTATAAGCATTTGATTCAAATGAGGAATATAGTTAGTGACAAAATCCATGTCATTAAACAGAATAGAATATATCAAAAAGATAAAGAAAAGAACACATTCCTTTATTCATTGGACTCTAATACAAAACGTCCGAATCTCAAAAACCGATCATGAAGCTCTGCTTTTGATAACATTTGTTCTGTTTTTAGAGGTCCCTCTTTTGTTTTTATGTTTTGAAATACCAGTTGTACATCGCTTTATGTTTCAACCCTTTTTACCATTATGAAGCGCACGCTGTTGCAAATTCTATTTATTGCAAATAAAAAAAAATCAATCAAAATTGCGATATTATTAATTCACGTGAATGGCTCTCACGCCTCTCACTAAGAAGCTTATGTAATTTCCATCATCATCCATGAAACAACTACCATTACCGTATTTACAAACACAGAAAACGACCTAAATCCGAGTCCAAACTCGTACATCTCTCATTACCCATGAAGCAGAACGAAACAACAACAAAAAAAACATCAAAAACCCTTAAAAAATCTATTACTTAACAAAAAAGTAAGAGGATGGTAGTAAAACCTAAAACAGAGAAGAAGATATTGAGAAGCTAAGCTTGACGTGACGAAGAAGCTAAAGCTACCGCTTGTGCCCACACCTTCAATCTCGCCTTAACCTCCTTTGGATCATCACCTAAATTCAATAATATACACAAAACTCTTTCAGAGATAAATTCAAAACTAAATAATACTAATATAGCATATTTGATTATTCACCGGGACTGGAGATGCGCCAGGTGGCGATCGGCGAGTTGCCGCCACTACTGGTCTGCGTATCGAAATTCGACCCGGTTGACACAGAGATCCGACCCGGAACCTCCAAGTCGAACCCGAGATCTCTACAAGCCTTCACTTCTTCTAATCCCATCCTCAACGACTTCTCTCCTCCTTTCGCCCTCGTTAACACCGTTAATCCCTCTCTTCCACCGCCGTCACTTTCTCCGTTAAACCCATTAATTACCTTTTTCTTCTTTTCCCTAAGTACCCTCCTCTGCCTCCGTAAACTACACCTACTACCATCTCTGTTACTCTCATTTGCAACTAACTCGCCGGAAACTTGAAATTTTCTTCTCCGGCGAGATGGAGTCACCGGAAGGGAGTAAAACTCAGGTGTTTCTTTGTCGGAATCCCACTCGCGAACGTTCTCCTTTCCTCCTCCTCCATCATCGGAGAATTCTCCGTCAGCTTCTGCTCCGTCGAAAGTCTCCGACGTGGAAACGCCCAACTCCGGCTGATTTTTCGTGGCTTCGTCTTCGCCTACGTCATGAACGGAGCTTGTGCAGCAAATAGACAGTCTCGACAGAGAATTCCGGATCTGGTGGAATCCAACATCATCTTCCAGGACCGGGGAAGAAGAAATAATCAACAAGCTCTCGTCAAATGCCATGAAAGAGAAGAAGGAGAAGAAGAGGAAAGTGAAGAGGCTGACGTTTGGAATGTCCACTATTCTCTTATATATGGTGTGAAACTGAGTCAACTCGTGGTTTAACCCAAAGATGATTTCATTTATACCCAAGTCTCGGGTTTTGTGCTACTTACGCTTTTGCCCCTCTTTTTGTTTGAAAATTGCAATGATTTATCGGTACTTTAATCCTCTTTTCTAATACTAGTAAATATCTCAAACACACTTGTTTATCAAAAGCATGCATAATGCATGCTTGCTGATTTGATTTTGGATGATGGTAAATTGGCATCATCACTAACGAACATTAGTAAACTATATTTTCGGATAAATATTTTAACTCATTTTGTTGATTCGACTATTACTAAGGCTCTAAATGATGAACAGATAAGGAATGAATGAAATAAATGTGAATGGATATATAGATGGATGAAATATACAAAATTATTAGAACAAATCCATCCAATTTAATCCTCTCCCGAATTGCATAAAAATGTTTTCTTCTGAATTTTGTTTGATTATTAATGGAATAAGTATAATGTTCATCGTATTTTAATTAGCACAAATACTAACATTTCAACAAAATGTTTAGCAATGCTCTATTCCATCATATTCTATCCATAAAATTAAATATTCCTAACTATCTTCAACGCGGAATTCATGTTTTTTTTTATAATTAAAAGAAAAAAAAGTCCACCTGAAAGTAGATTTTATAGTACTACTAAATGAAATATGTTAAACTAAGGTAATTAGCGATCTTTTTTCTATCTCTTATCTTAATACGAGGCTGATTATTCATATAATTTCCAAGTTTGTCGCTTTCAAGCAACAAATAGTGAAACGTGTACCCGTAGAGTATGTTATAAGCAGCTTGTAAATGCATTATCCAGTATCGCAAGCAACTAATCGGCCGTTAATTATTTATCATACTCCAAAGCCAACAAAAAAAATCTTTTAGCTAGACTATCTCACTTAATAATGGAGTATTATTTTTGCTTAAACAAGCATTTTTTTGGTGTTTGGTTTCTGAGGATAAGTATGATTTCACTAAAACCGAGTTTTCGTTATTTCCTTTTCAGATACACAAATGAGTAAATTGTGTTAATGTCTACTCTTAAATTAGTGCAAAAATATCACAGTTGTCCAATATCGGCAAATCAGTTTTATTAAAATTTGAGTAAAAATCAATTTTCTTATGTTCTGAAGTCCGAAACATTAAATTATGCATTTTTTCCCGAAATCAAAACGAATATATGCAAGATCACATGCCATGCTAGAATTATTCCAGACCAGGATGAGTTAATACATTGCAACGTCTCTATTTTCGTGTAGATAAGCTTGTAGATGTATTATGAAACTGGATGAATCAGGTGTATTGTGTGGTGTGGATATATAAAACAAATCATTATCGTAATTAATACAACCCATTTATTATAGGCATGGACGGTCCTTCTTGTCTCGTTTGTGTCTTTACACTTTTTCTGAGTTTTCTCTACGTCACTAGTTTTCTTTAGTCTTTACTAGTTTTCTCACTCCCACTTCTTCGTGTGGAACCGATCACACTTTTGTTTATTTATTTATTTCTATTGCTTTTCATGATCACCAAAAGAATGACAAATACTAATTACACATTGACTATCCCATTTTCATTTTTAAAAATCATACGTACGTGTGTCAATCGTGTATTCTCTTCATTAGGTCCCGTATGGCCGGCCCATATGATGTTTACTTATCATTCAGAAAAAAAGAACCAGGTTTTTTTAATACATATATAATTTTGGTAGCTCTCTAATAAACTGATAACTACAGTTTTGTAAAGGAATTTTATAAGAGGAAATTTTGGATGGTGAATTAGTTGGTCAAACATGTGAGCGAGAGCGACGATGGCCGTTGCATCTTTTGATCAGTCTCGTTTTCAAGGCCAAAGCTTAGTCATTTACTAATGGGCCGGGCCTAATTTTTTAAAAGGATTTGTCGGGATTTTAATATTGATGCTGTGTAAAACAAAACGCCATACAGTGCCAGAGATTAGTCAATTACTAATGGGCCGGGCCTAATTTTTTTAAAGGATTTGTCGGGATTTAATATTGATGCTGTGTAAAACAAAAACGCCAACCAGTGCTAAAGTGTGTAGTTCAAACGGCAGAGCATGTCGACTTGATAACACATCTGTGACTTGCCTTTCTCTCCGACGATCTTCGTATAAAAATACTGCGGCGGGAATTCGACGTTCAAAATTCGCAGGATTGGGTCAAAAATCCAGCAAACGTGTGAGTGTAGAAGTCAGTCTTCCTCACCCCCGTTGATTGGTCCCTAAAATTTCACCTGAAATGGAGGAAATGGATTCGGATTCTGTGAAGGAGTTCATACGAAGGGAAGCTCCGGATTGGGACGACGAGGTGGTGGCGAAGGCCAGATTCAAGGCGTTTAGTGGGCAGAGATCCGATTGGGAACCCAGATTTCAGTTTTGGCGCGATTTGATCCTCAAGGTTTCGCGTGAGTTTGGAGTATTCATCATTGATCCCGTTCAGGTCTGGTCAATCCCTTTGATCCCAGAGGAAATTAGTTTCCAAAATTAGTAGTAAATAACTGATTATGCATCGCTTTCTCTTGTTTCCCCAAAGGTGAAGAAGGCGTGGTTTGATCGAGGAGGGATGACGCCTTTGTGCATTGATCATGTACTGGTGAGTTTTTGCAATTAGTGGTGAAAGGGCTTTGTCTTCTTCTTCTTGAGATTGACTCTATCTCTTTGTTGTTACCAGTTATTGATGCATAACGAAGGCGATGTTGTGCGGATTAGCGAACTCGAAGATCCGGAATTTAGTGGGCGTATATCTCGTTTATTGAGGTCTGTGATGAATTTAGTAGCTCAACCTTCAGTGAAGCCGGAAGATATTCTCGAAAGCAAACTCGTAATCGTCCCACTCTTGAAGGTGCGTTTGATTTTTTTTCTCGCTTTTGTAGTTTCAACCATCAATATCTTGTTTTGTTTAGATACATGGATTATACAATAGGTAAAGAATTGTTCTGTGTCTAGGAGAAAGCGGCTGATGTCGTGAAACTTTTATCTGAGGGACACTGGACTTCTACTTGTGTTGTCACTCTGAACAAGTTCCGGAACTTGTGCAACGGCTCGAATGAGGCATCTGCTGTTTTAAGTCACTTGTCACGGTGTGGAAAAGCGCGTAAAATCTCTATCAATCGGGGTGAACTGATTGAGGTTGGTTCTTATCCGTCTTTTGACAAAAGTTAGGCTCAGTTCAGGCCGAGACCTGTTCCTAGTGTCTGAAATCCAACATACTTGTGCTTTGCAGGGTGTTAAAGTGTCCTTATCAGAAGCAGCGCTTCCCAGTATCTCAACTTTAGACTGTGATATTCTGCACTTGCTGAGGACTACAGAGAAGCTTCAAGATCGACTTGAAGTGATGGACCACCGTTGTGAAATGTAACACCTTTCGTGATTCTTGATCTGTGTTGAAATGGTTCTTTTCGTAAACGGTTAAATAGAGTGAACTAAGAGTGTTTGACCTTTTCCCTTTTTGTAGGTCAAGGAAGTCAGCGTTGGCAGCTCTCAAGTGTGGACACAAGAAAGTTGCTCTAAGGCATGCAAGGGAATTGAAGCTGACGACCGAGAGCAGAGAAAAATGCACGTCACTTCTGAACAGAGTAGACGAAGTGTTGAACACTATCGCGGACTCCGAATCAACGCAAATGGTATTTTCAAACATTAAGAACCCCCTTAGGTCGAACCTATCATGTTTGGGCCTATGTAGCAGCGCCAATGTCTCTGGGTGTGTGGCAGGTCACAGAAGCCATCAAAACTGGAGCTAGGGTTATGCAGGACATCAAGATCAGTGCAGATGAAGTTCATGACTATTTGGAAGAAATTGAGGAAACTATTCAATCACAAAAGGAAGTCGAAAAAGCTCTTGGTGAGTGTTGTTTGACCATACATTTACGATTAATCCATGAACTTTTATGTTTACTTGGGCTCTTTGTTGATGTGGCAGAATCAGATCCATATCCAGATATGGATGATGAAAATATCGAAGAAGAACTCATGAGATTAGAGATGGAGCTTGAAAGCGAAAGTTCCCAGGTCAGACCAGCGACTTCAGATACTGCAGATGCACTGACTGAGATGTTCGCAGAGCTTAAAGTCGGCAATACAAAACAAACATTGGAGGAGCAAGCTGCTGAACCAGTTCGGATGAAAGATAAAGGAAAGAAGATTCTTGAAGCAGCATAGTTGTGGTGCGATCTCTTCTCTTCTTGTTGTACAATCAGTATCATATAAATAGAAAGGAACCGGGTAAAGCAAGTTCCATTCTACTGTAAGCTATGCATCTTGTTGGGATTTAAGAAACAAAAGCTTTACACTATTGTATAAACTTGGGAGCTTGTTTCATAAACAGAGCGGAAGGTCAAATTATGATTTTGTCCATTCCGCTAGTGATAGGTATTCACCAAATATTTTCAACATGTCGTATATTTTTTCATTAGTCGGAAACTAGTACTAGAGATTATTATCAGCTCTTCTCCTACATGTTACATGAACTAGAAAAAACTAGCACTAAAAAGAGTAACTTGAGCAGATCCTTCCATGGTAAGTTGTTCTGATGTGGTAGTGCACTTTTGGACCTGTATGGGTTCACCTTGAGATGGCTCCACTGTTTTCACTAGTTACTTCGAGCATATCAAGACGGCAAATCAGAGCAGGTAACTAATATCACTGCCTATTTCATCTGTTCACTGTTTTTCAGATTTTTTACCAGAGAGACTTCCTCCATCTGCTAGTGTTCCTGGATATCTTGTGTTGGTTGTTGCATCATCTAGATTTGACAAAGAGGTGGAGTTTGGTATATGGTCAGGAAAAGCAGCACACGATGGCGGGACATACTGGGGGAAACAGTTTTCCATTGGAGTGAAGAGTGCAGAGTTTTGCATTGGCATTAGTCCAGGATGGTTAAGAAACCGTAGCATATCTGCTGAATTACTAACCCCAGGCAAGGCAGCTCCTAGAACAGGCGCAGGCAGAAACTGTGGTACGCCCATTGGCATACCTGTTGCTAGACCCATCTGAGAGTAATGCGGCCCCAGAGGTAACATCATTGCTGGTGTAACAAATCTGTTACCCATCGTCATCATCTGCCATCCCATATTTATACAGGTTAGAACAAGAATCTTTATATTGAATTTGTTATTTGATACGGAAAAAAAGTGGGAGGTAGTTGTTTATTATACCTGAACGTGATATTGAAGGTTCGTCATATAATTGATTGCTTCATCCAACAATGATTCGTTGTCGTCCTATGAACAGTTGAATATTTAGGGTAATGTGAAGTAATGGTAGAATGAATCTTTGAGAAAGAAAACAAAAAGTTGGTTCTTATGGACAAACCTTGTGAGAATTAGGTAGTAGATCCTGCAAGGTACGCATCTTCTTGTTGATATCGTTTCTTTGCTTCTGTTTTGCATATTACACATGAATGTATCAGATTCAGATTATACTGTTCTGCTTTGTAGAATAATGAGGTTACTTACGCTTTCAGGTGAGTTATCAATCTCTTTGCTTCGTCTTCTCTTGACCAAAGCTTTTCTTGTTCTTGCAGGTACTCGTGGCCTTGCATCATCTGACTCATCATCTAGACTCTGCGTTTGAGACCAAAAATAAAATAAAAATGTCTTCAGACATGAATCTAACAGAAGATAAAACCAAACCAACAAAATCTGTGAATCAATCAATCCTCTTACACTGCTTAGATACGCCGATCCTTTACTGTATTCAGTAAAATCTGTGGAGTCAAAGCCCAGTTCGATCGACCTTTCAGCAACCACAGAATGCTCATCAGGAGGTATAAACTCGATATTCTTCCACTTCTCATAATCAACCACCACCCTCTTTGATGAAGAAGCTTTCAAACTCTGAATCAAAGATGATTCACCAAAAATGTTTATAATTGCTTTTCCAACATGTTTGTTTCATATGCAGCAACAACATATGATGTGGTGGAACAACCTGTGTGTCTCCAAAATTCTTGATAGAGCCACCACTAGTACCATCATGGATACTCTTCTTGAAATCCTCGTTATACTCCGCCTCGTACAAATCCATGATCGATTTCGTACGTTGATTCTGCAGAGGAAAACCGTTGGATCTTTGGCTCTTTGCAAGAATCTGCCCATTCTCAAACACAAGCTCCAAATACTCTTTATCGGTTAACCTGCAACAATAATCGCTTGGTAAGAACATCATCTACATACATATAGGTGTGTGTATTATGTGAATCAAGAACTTAATTTGGTCTGAAGGTTGATGATGGAGAAGTCATCTTTGTCTTGTTGAATGATCCAAAAGGCTTTTCTTTTGTTTGGAAGAGTATGTGAAAGCTATCTTTCTTTTGTTGATCGACTTCATCAGAGTCTTTTAGCTCTCTTATATATTTTCGCTTTTGTTTATTTTTCCCTTTTTTGTTGTTATTATTTATTTCAACTTGTAAAATATTCAAGTGATGTCGGTTTCCAGAAACGAAATCAGAAAATACAATCAGTCGAAATGTCAGAGATCGCCACAACGTAGACAAATATCTTCTGCAAAAATCAACAAAAACAACAAAAATATATTTCCTCAGTTTTCGTTATCTCTCGATAGAACATGATAATTTCAACAAAATGAAATATTAACGACAAAAAAGAAAAAGAGAAGAAAAGAAGAAGAGAACGGGCCAAAAAGCCCACGTGGTTGTGGGAAGAACCTTCACAGAGGTTATATTATAACTAAGGACGAAGGAGAAAGAGTTGGGCCCACCACAAAATATTAATAGGACCCAGGTAGAGTTTTGGCAGCATCCTCCGCAAGAGGAAAAAGTAGAAGAAGAAGGGCGTGAACTTCACGTGAAAGCCACGTGATTCATAGTCCCTTTGTGTTTTTTTTGTCCCCTTTTGCACTGTATTTAGACATTTGTCCACCATAACAATGACTCACTCTTGCATTCTTTTATTTATTTCTTTATTTTCATATTAACTATTGCCGAGCTTGTTGTATACTAATAAATATGTCTCTTCTTGTCATGACCTGATTTTGAGACTTTGTTATTTTCACTATATATAACCACAATCCCATTTTAACCAGATGAGATTAACAACATGAAAAAGCAATGTAGAAGAGTAATCAAATAAAACATGTATAATATGTCTGTGGATCGACTAAAGAGTGTCAAGTTTTTCCAAATTTGATTTTTATTTATTTTTTTCCATGGTATCAAATCCTTAGGCTGTACTTTTTTTGTAAATTCTAAACCTTCTTTTTATATTTGATATTTACCATTTCGCAAACATTAAAAATTAAAAATTAAAACATGTGAAACAATCAACTTGTATGATTCTATTGAACAATAAGATAACTAAAAATATTCGAGAGATAAGGAAAATCATTAGTAATATATGTGAGACTCGTTTAAGCAATATATATATATATATATATATATATGTAACCGTTGTTTAAAAAAGCTTCTGCTACGTAACTGCTCTACGGTTGTATTTTCAACATCATTCGACAGCTAGCAGTTTTACAGTTATCGGATTATTGGGCCCTTAATTGGCTTATAAACAGAATCGAGAGTGTTATTGGTCAGAAATTCAGAATAATATGTATGCCTGCTTAGACTTTGCTTCTCTTCTAATAGAGCAATACGAAACAAAAAAAATATATATACGTAACATGCATCGACAAGGGCAAATCAATTGTCATTTGCAAGAAGAATGACGTCATAAAGAGAGTCTAGATTAAAGGGGAACATAATGTTACACAGCCACACATATCTTTCTTTGTTATCATGTTTTAAGATTTGGGAATTGTTAAAAAAAACAAAAAAAAAATCGCCAAATCAATCACGGGGTTAGTGCGTAATCTAAAATCCAAATAAGTGAAATAAAATATAGTATCAATACTTCTATGAAAAGGCACGCACGCACACACCCCGTATCTTTGCTTTATCGTGAGTCTCATATACATTCATTTTCATTAATGTATTAAGCTTCAACAAACTTATATATATATAAAAATATATGAAAAAGGACATTGCTAATATACCTCACTAGATTGCCTTCCTATAGGACATAGACTACTTTAGAGACCAAATCTAAACCTTCCTCTATTTTGTAAACTTTGAATTTTGTGATTAAAGAAACATGCTTCCACTCGGTTTTAAGGGGCAATCGATATACCCTTTTTTTTTCTTTTGGGTTGGAGCGAACCAATAAAGTTATCGTAAACTTCAGTAGAGCTTATGACCTACAATCGAAATTTAACATTTTGGATTGTGATTTGTTGAGCAAACATTAGATGAAGATTCATTAGTATAAAACTTTCATCGTGGATGATTGACCAAGCTAAACGAAAAATTACGGGAGAAAGATGGGTTTTTGTTGTTTGATTCCAAACCATAAAGACAATGTTATTCCTATATTTTATTGTCATTTTTTTTTTGGGCCTATAAAGTTTATGGACCGTAATTTTTTATTCTTTATCAATTAAAATCAAATTAGTACACATATTAGACTAACAAATATTAATGTTTTTTCGTTCTTAATCTATCAGTGATATTTTCTCATAGAATATTCACAGTTCACACCAAAAAAATACACATTACTTTATTTTTATTTTTACCTTTGGCACTATCATTATTTATGTATCATATTAACAGAAGAAATCTTCATTGTAAAGTAAAACGGGAGAAATAAAATATAAAGAAATTTTTTAAACAGGAGCAAACGTAATTTCCTTATGATAAAATGATAAAAACATCATTTATTAGAAACAAAGACGGAGTAGCTTTTAAGTCATTCATACTCGCCAGGCGGATTATTAAGACTAAATGAGTTTAACTACATACATTTACCGATTAGAATCACATAATTGTATGGTTTTATGTATTTAAGAAAATGTTTTAAGGATGGCAAAGACGGTACATGATAGATAAGTATTGATTTCGAACCTAAAACAACTAATGTGGAGAATAGTTTAGTGGTAAGAAAAACCTCTCCACATACATATTTTATTTTTATATTGAGATGTAATAATTGGTCTTGCATGTTGCTATGGTCAACTTTGTGAGCCCAAAAAAAAAAAGAAGCAAAAAACGAAAAAAATGGAATGAGTTTGGCCAGCGAGAGATGCTACAAAAGAGTCACGAGACATGCAATCATCCTGATTTGAAGCCACCCATGATTTTACTGACAAGCAAACACATTGCAGTAAAGTCGAGTTATCATAATTTACGATAAAACATAAAGTATAATTTTCAAAAAGAGAGAGGCGAAAATTCTCTTACAACTTAATGATTTATAAAAGGACCAGACATTATCATTAAATCTTGAAACTAAAAACTATGAGTGCCTTGAAATCTGAGAGTCACTATTTTCCTTTTGAAATTAGTTTTTCTATGTATATGTTTTGTTTGTTATCTCTGGTAGAAAAATTCGTTCTATAAATCTTAATTCTACATTTTTAGATGTAGTTTTTGTTTGTTTAAAATTTATTATTTAATTTGCTGAAATGTGACAGTCTTTTGGTCTACGCAGTCTTCTATTATATGTTTTTAACGTTTCTGAAAAATTCATACGTTGTATCAGATCCAAAGAAAGATACTGACCAAATACATGCAACATAATGGTAATCTGGAAACAAAAAAAAAGAAAAGATTGTATATACATTTGTTTGAAGGGGACAAAGAATGGTGTAGAGAAAAGATTGAAGAAGAAAAGAAAAAAAGAAAAAAAAAGTGAGGAATGGTGATGGTAATGGTAGGGATGGTGGGGAACATATCTGTTCTTTATCTTTTCCCCTTGTTTTCTTCTCTCTCTCTCTCTATAACATGTTGGGGAGTTTCTTTTGGTTGAAGCTAAATCTTTTTTTGTTTGTTCTTTTCTTTTGTCTACAATCTATTTGCTTCTTTATAAACCAAACGGTATCATCGCCAATAAATGTCGATTAATTCTGATAAAAGACATTGTTTGAATGTTTCAGGTTCAAAACTTTTGTATAAACCATCTTTGTATGGCTTAGTTTTGGCTTATTGATAACGACATCTGATATATAGAGTCAGGATCGTTCCAGACTATTTACAAATTATGTAAAGTTTTTCTTGTTAACGATATACAGTATATAATTGATTTGATGATTTTTTAAAAAACAACAATTTAGGGTTTTAATTTCTATACATATCCCAAATAGTTTTTTTTTAATAATATATAGTAGAAAATTTCCAAGTAAAGACCCTATTCAAAAAGAAGTCTCTGAAAATAATGGTTTGGTTTAATGGTAGTATTATTTTGGACAAAAAATATTAGAGGAAAATTCGGTTAAAAACCTTCAAATTATTATAAAAGAGGGAATTATAGAAAGAAAACAAGGAGTTTCTCTAATCATATTTGAATGGGTCACGGAGAAAGTAAGGAGTGTGTGATTAAAGAGGATTTTGTACAAGTGTAAGTGGAGGCGACAAAGCGAGGAGACACGTGGAAAAAGGCACGTGACGTGGGGAATGTGAAAATGTTGTCGATGGTGTATAGTTACGGGCATTGTGTCTGTGCATTTTCTTGTGCTTGCCAAAATATGTTTTCAAGTGTGTGAGGAGAAAATTGCGACGTCTCCTTAGTCCTTAGTCCCATAGGCGAAGCATCTTTCATTAGCTCCTCTCTTTAAGGTTACGCATTCATTACTCATCATGCTTCCCTTGTCTCCCTTCTCTCCTTTTTTTCTTCTTCCTTTATTTATCTTTTTCCATCCTTCTATTTTATTTACATGTAACGTCAAAAAATATAACGTACGTACAAAACGAAATGACTACAAGTTTATACCCAAATCCAACGAATGTATCACAAATAAAAATCTTGATTTCGTAATAGTTGATCACCTAAAGAAAATTAGTTTATTCATCACGTTAAAATTATGGTAACTAAAATCATGCATGTGAAATCAGTTTTTGATCTCGAATCATAGGAGATTAGCATCACTTTATTCGCTGTGGTTGTTACACAGATAAAAAAGGGTTGGTTTTATTATTGAACATATATATATTTGGTGGACTTGACTATGTGCTTTTATGTTAAGATAAAGTAACAATCAAAGAAATTGTGGAGTGTAACTAAAAGCGACGTGGATTGGAATCATGGGGAAGCTCAAACTCTTGTCATGCTTAAATACGATGGAGTCCACGTAGACCGTTTTGTTTTTTTTGTCATAATTAAAAAAAAAACATTATTAGAGAGTTAATGACGTCTATGAGACGTGTATACCAACTGATACTTAATTAAACCAACATTTAGACTATTTTTATGCTAAGAAAAAACTTTTTTTTTTAGAGTTATCTCGCGGGTTATAAAAAAAAACCCATTAATCATGGAAATGGTGTTTGTCGAACCCACGAATGCATCAATGCGCGTCACGATAATCTCATGCATTGAACTTGATTTAATTAAGTTGGAAAATCAAGTAAACTATATAGTTTTTTAAAAAATGTTGATCGGAGGGAGTATATTACTACAAATACATTGTTGTTAAACGAAGAGAGTACTAGGAGTCGAGTACTTTACCTTTTAGTAATACGGAGTACAAATTTAATTAGAACACACCCAGCAAAAAAATCCGAGCACAAAGTCAAAACCAACACTTTGACCAAGTGTTTGAGTGACACGTGTTTTTGTCTGCTACATCAACAACATCTTTAACCACACTGTCTCATCATTCCACCATTTTCATTTTTATTAATTTTAAAAAACAAAATATCACCAAGACCATATCATCAATATCACTTCTTCCTCTTCTTCGAAGTGCGAACAATCTATTAAATTATTAATAATAATAAAAAATCATCCTCTATATATATACGCACACGTTCAAATCATTTAATCACCTGTTTAGATAAAATCATAGAGAGAGAAATAGAAAAAAAGAAATGGGAAGAGGAAGAAGCTCATCGTCTTCATCGATAGAAAGCAGCTGCAAAAGCAACCCATTTGGTGTCTCTTCGAGTAATACTCGGAACCTAAGCACGGACCTGAGGCTTGGACTCAGCTTCGGATCATCGTCCGGACAGTATTACAACGGTGGAGAAAATCAAGAATATGGAGTCGTTGCGGCTGATCATGAAATGATTATGGAAGAAGAAGATCAAAACGAGTGCAATAGTCTCGGAAGCTTCTATGTGAAAGTGAACATGGAAGGAGTTCCTATTGGAAGAAAGATTGATCTCTTGTCCCTTAATGGTTACCATGATTTGATCACAACTCTCGATTACATGTTCAACGCCTCAATCCTTTGTAAGTATATCTACACACACACATATATTTTCGCAAAACCTAATTGTGATTTTCTTCGAAAGAGATTCGTATATGAAATATGGTGCTTTCTTTGATTAATAATGCAACGAAGTAATTAAGCAAATCATTATATATACCATTTTATTTTGGTTCTTTTAGAAAAATAAATAAATATTGATATATATATATATATATATATATCTTCCAACATGAATTTTATCTCTTTGCATGTAGTTCATGACACATTCTATTGTTTTTTGTTAAGAGAGACTTATATATGAAATACGATGATCTATTGGATTCCTAATGAAAAAAGTACAAATTGGGTTTTATTGTCTATTTTTAAAAAATGTGGTATGGAAACAAGAAGAGTGAAAATATAAGGGGTGAATGGTAAATAATAGTCAAACTGAAACAGGGGCTGAAGAAGAAGAGATGTGTAGTGAGAAGAGTCACGTGCTAACGTACGCAGACAAGGAAGGTGACTGGATGATGGTGGGAGATGTTCCATGGGAGTAAGTAATTTGTAATTTATTATATTAAGATCCAATTAAACACTTCTTAATAATGATGTTCTTGTACATGGGATTTACGTAATTAATTTTTTTTTTGTGTGTATAGGATGTTCTTGTCTAGCGTGAGAAGACTGAAGATCTCAAGAGCTTATCACTACTGATTTTTTTTTTTTTTTGAAAAAGCAAAATGGAATCTAGGATTGACCAATACAGTGGGGAGAAAAAAGTTAGTTTTTTTTATCATGATGTAAATCACTTGTCGGAGATTTATTCAAAATTTTGTTTCTTTCTAGTTGATTGCGTTGTATTAATCGGTTGTAACTTGTAAGGAGGAAAAACTTTTAGACCATTCTTAAGATTAAATCTAGTATGAATCGATTTGGTGCACTACTAATTTCGGTTAGTTATCGGATTTAATCAAACCTATCTTTCATTTACTTTAAAAAAAAGGCTTCAGTTGTTTTTCTATTACAAAAAATCAGTTGAGTTTTTTTTTTCTAGTTAGTTTGAATTAATCCGAATGTTTATTTTTCCTGTTAACTTTCACTTTTCTTCAGAATCGATTTGTTTTTTTCAATTTGGATTAAAGTATAAACACTGATAGTTTCTCTTATGGAGTAGTTGTCAACAAACAAAAATTCAAGTTCAAATGACTATCGTCGGAGATATTACACTTTGTTCTGCTCATACAAACAAACAAAAAAACACAAGAATTTTACCCAAAAAAAAAAAACACAAGAAAAAAAAAACTTTTAAGCCACTCTGATTATTTTCCTCACTGCACACAAATTTACAAGGAAATACCAACAGGAAAGAAAGAACAAACGCATCATTTTTAAGAAAAAAGGAAACCTCAGAGAAAAATTGGAAGGAAAATTGAAGAGGTTTCTTGACAATCAAGCAAACTGTGAATGGTCAAACTAGAGTAACTTACCAAGAAAGCAACCATGGCGATCTACTTAAACCGCTTGATGTCTCCAGATTACTCTCTGATAACCCAAAACAATCAGAGCTATGCTCAGGGAAGATACCCTCTTCAAAAGAATCACAAGTAATCTCCGGCGAAACCCACTGTGAATAACCTCTAACATTTGAGCATTTCCATGGTGATTTCTTCGATTTCTTCTTCACCGTAAGAGTAACATTAAGGAAACATATATTCTTAAACTCATCTCCTTCTATGCCTTCAAGAAGACCCGCAACACCGATGTCTCCGCCATTAACATTCTCAAACGTGATTCTCTCGATGGCCGGAAGTGCCCTAGGATCGAATTTCTCATCAGGGTGCTCACCGTACTTACCAGTGAATCTAATCGCTTTCTGCACATTATCGAGCTTCACGTTGGATACGTGAACGTTTCTGACATACCCTCCTCTTCCAGGAGAAGTCTTGATTCTGATTCCGGTATTCGAATTGAAAAGATGCAAGTCCGAGATATAGATTTCGGACACACCACCTGACATTTCGCTCCCGATGGCGATTCCTGAGCTCGAAGTAGTTTGACCTCTTAACCGATTGATCTTGATCTTGGAGCTTGGTCGTGCGTAGGATATTCCATACTCATCCCATCCACTTTTTATCGATACCAAATCATCTCCCGTAACTATGTAACAATCCTCTATGCAAACATTAGTCGACGAGTCTGCAATAAGAACAAAATAATGACTAAGTATTTGTTGCAATCTATCAAAACTAGTATAAGCTTTTCGAGCTTCTGAGGAATAGTTTCTGATATATCGATTCTACGAGTAAAGTTTGCAGCAATGAAACTAAGTACTAACCTGGATCAACTCCGTCTGTATTTGGAGATTCAAGAGGAGCCAAGATTGTGAGATTCTTTACAACAACATCTCTGTTTCGAACAAAAACTCTCCATGTCAGACAGAACACAAGACGGAGAATTTAGCTGAAATAAAATCGCATTTTAGATAAAGTTAGACTGACCTGCAATAAACAGGATGGATGTTCCAAAATGGTGAATTCAAGAATGTGAGGTTGGAGATGATGAGACCAGTAGAGTTGATGAGCTCAACAAGATGAGGCCTTGTATAGTTTAGCTCTCCATTTCTGAACCAATCCCACCATACACTTCCTTGACCATCAATCGTCCCGTTTTGGCCTATAATTACAGTAATCATCAGACCAACCTTAATGGCCAACATCATCGTGGTTATATAGAAGACGAATCATCTACATAATTATTATTACTACCTGTTATGACTACATCTGTGAGATTCTGACCATATATAAGACTCCTGTGTCTTCTACCGGGCAGTTCTCTTCCTCGTCCATATGATGGTAATGGATCAACCACAGGCCAATTCTCCGAGCTCTGAGGAAGAAGAAACAAGTGATCACCTTTTGTAATAACAGAAAATGTATGCAGCTTGTAAAAGATTGAATGAGGCAGAGACTTGCCGTTGACCCGAGAATCGTCGCACCCTTGTCTAGCCATAACGTTAGGTGACTGATGAGGTCGAAGCTCCCGGTTAGCCACTGACCAGCGGGGACAAAAAGCTTGGCACCTCCTTTATCAGAGAAAGAGTTGAGGTAGAACAAAGCATTCTGAAAGGCTTTAGTGTTTAGAGTCACGCCATCTCCAACTGCTCCAAACTCTGTAATCGATACGCTGTGAGGCCGGTGAAGACTCCCTGCACTGGAGTATTCACAATGCAGGCTTCCTCCAGCACCATACAATCCATGTACCAGGAGCACATACAGGAGCTGCAAGACCAAACATTCTCAAGTCTCAGTCTCTTAAGAGTTAGGTGAGAGACACATTTCACCTCTACAACTTAAACAAAGAGCAGCAAATCAGGATGAAAGATGAAATCTTTGATGTATTCAAAGTGCCTAAATCTTTGTAAGAAACTCTTAACAACTAATGAATGATTGAGACACAGTTAGGTGAGTGCCACATTTCCACAGCAAACATCAAATCAGGATGAAAGAATGAAATCTTGAACAGTAATCTATTCTCAAAGTTTGACCCCAGATCATTTCAGATCTCAATGACAAGATATGGTTACCAGATTTGAGAGACAGGGCATTGGAATATGAATGTCCAAAGAAAAGAAGAGAGAAAGAGAGAGAGAGTGTGTTAAAACTTACAAGGAAAGATCTCTTCATATGAATGGAAGATCTGTGATCTCCTTCAGCTGCAGAAAAGCTAAATCTTGACAACAATCTGAGTGACTTTTGCTTCGGCTCCTTCTCTCTCTCTCACAGACTGAAAGAAGAAGAAAAAAAATCAAATCTTTGAGATGGATTTCTCTCTCATGGGGGGGGTTTGATTGTAGCAAGTTGCAAAGATTGATTAGATGGGTCAGTGGTGAGAGGAAACTGGGGAACCCACACTGGACAAAAAAATCATTGAAAGTGACCGTTTGTGCCCGCCAAAATTCAAGCAGTAGGTCCATCTTCTACCTTCTCCGTACCATTTGCCATCACCATTACCTCCTTCCCGTACCAGAATGGCGAAGCACAGAAAGGGGAAAACATCTAATTAAGGACTTAAAAAAGCACACTTAATGAATAAGAAACAGCAATATTTCGATGAAATCTATGATACCTTGTTTGATGTTCTGTTAGAAAGAGACAAAGAGGGTCACAGAGAGAAAGCCAGAAAAAAAGAGAGAGAGAGAGTGAAGAGAGAGAGTGAGACCAGTCTGTAAATGAACACTGAGGAATCAAATTTTATTTTTTCCTTTTTTTTGTTTTGCGTAAATCATGTGATCCGAACTCAAAGAATATTATAAAAGAATTTGACCTGAAATTCTACATCGAAGATTGATTGATTCTATAGAAAAAAGAGTTTTCTTGAAAAGTTCTGTAATTTTGTTTTTTTTTTTTTAATCAGTTATAACGATGCGAAACGGTGACGTTCTTACTTGAAGAAAAGAAGAAGATGATGGATCACGAGACACGTGGCGTGGATCTCTTACCGAATTGAGTTTTGACTGCGCTAAGGTAGTTGTCAGAAAATTAACAGTTTTGTCAATAATTTTAGTGTTACTGTAGTAAAAACAAATGATGTAAAAAAAAACCAAACAGAAATCGCAGTTAATTTATAAAATTCAGACGTGCTTCGACTTCTGTGCTAGAGAAACAATTAAACAAACATAAAATAAAGGAGGTATTTTTATTGTTCCAAGTTCCAACATTTTTTAAAAAATGCCATTTGAAAGTATATGGACTATGACTTAATAACTTCAACGAAAAAATCAAAATATTTTTCGATTTGCAGAGCAAACCTTCAACTATACTTAAATGAGTTATAATAGTATGTCGTAAAATTTTCAAAAGCTTTTGTGGAATTAAGGATTTTTATAAAATATTTATCTACTAGTGTGATGGGGAACCATTGGAGAGCTAGAATGAATATACTATTATCTAAATTATAAAATCTATTCCGAAAAGAGGCAAGTTATTAGAGAGAACTAATCAGACAGACAGAGTAATGAGACGTGTTGTTTGTCTATAATAAAACAGTACAACACCCATAATTACTATACTTAATTATCCCTTTAAGAGATCAGCAAACATACCATCATGGACCGGACTATCAGGTTAAGTACAATATTTAAACAGTTTAATCAAATGACATCAACAATATTATTTTTACTAAACTAGAGATCTGCAACAAAACTCTTTAATTCCACAAAAGCTTTAAACATTGTATATTACTCACAAAAAGTTTAAATGGACCGGACTATCGTATATTACTCACACAAGAAGACACAACAAAAGAAAGACAAAAACCAAGCCAAACGTAAGGTCTTTGTGACAAATTATTTGCACAATGTAACGTAAGGTCTTTGTGACACATTACCTCTTGGTCGCACCAAGGAGCTAAAATCAGTTTATTTTGGCTAAGTGCTTCAGCAAACTCATCCCAAGTCTTTGCAATTACACACGCAGCATCTCTCTTCTACTTAATTAGCTGCATTAAACACTTCAGTAATATACTATGATTTAAATTATAAACTCTATTCCGAAAAGAGGCAAGAAATTAGAGACAGCTAAACAGACTGCTTAGCTGCATGCATTAAACATGTTACCTCTTTGTTTGCTTCTTCTTTTGTGGCTAAGGCGGTGTGTCCTTCTTGCCATAGGAACTCGCGGCTCCTGTGGTGATTAAATTCAAGATTCAAGCACAGAAAACGAATATATTCTATACTATAGATCAAGAACTTATGAATCTAGAGAGATGAGTAAATACCGGATTAATGGAGTAGCTTTGCTAAATTCCAATCTCACAACATTGTTCCATTGATTAAGCTTCAACGGCAAGACACGGTGGAGATTCAGATGCAAAATATCGAGGACTGATTTGGTTCGAAATTTCTGAAAAAAATTCATAAGTTTTTCTGAAAAAATAGCTTTGTAATTTTAAAGATACTAGGTGTTTCTCTGTAAGGTGCGGGGTTCAATTAAAATTTTTTAAAAGTATAACATTAATTTATTTATAGATAAAAAAATCAGATTTTATAGTGATTTGAAACGAAACTTAATATATTTGAAAAATACAATTTTCATGAGTATATAGTTTTTTTGTGATAAAAGAAAATATATTATTTATATTTTATTTTTTAATATCTTATATATTATCCAATAAAAACTTATCTAATTTTTTTTAAAAAAAAATCAGTTAAAATTTAGATTATATTAATTTATTAATTTCATTAAGAGTAACTAAAGTAAATTCATATAAGAGGCAAAAGATAATCAACTATTATAAATCTCAACCATAATCCAACTTTCTTGCCAATTAATAATATGATCCAATTAATAATATGATCCGTAAAGTAAATTGGATGACTTTTTTACGTTACTTCGAAATTTTAACGCTAAGTTACAACACTTTATTTTATTTACAGTCATCGACGTTATATCAAACTAACGCTATATATATCTTCAGTGTTTTTTGTAGTGGCGATAAAAACCCTAGAAAAAAAATGGAAAACTAAAAGCATATACTATATATGAGAGTAAAAATTGCCATCCATTGTGAAGAAGCTTGATTGTGTCAAAGCTTTTTTTTTTTGTTTTTTTTAGAAATTTGTTTTTATCGATTTCTTTCTAGGGTTTTTAATTTCTTTTGGACAATTGATATGTCGAAGCTAGACCTAATTAGGGAAATTCTCAAGAATGGCAGTTCTAAAATTTCACTAATGCTCAGTTTTTCTTTTACCAACAATTCTTTTGAATTAAAAACTATCTTTGTAGTCCATAATGCGTGCAATCAATAGTTAAAAAAAAAACTCAAATAGCTTTTGGTCACAGTATATCAAACTAAAGCACAATGCACTTGAGAGTTTTTACAAGCCAAAAGAAAATTTTCATGAATTGAACCAAAACGTGATGAACATTTTAGTAACTCCTGCCCCAATAGGTCCATTTCTTCGCAGGCTTTCCTGAAGCGAAGCAGAGAGTGCCTGCATTAAAAAAACGATTAAAATTTCGTGTCAATGAGCAGAGTTTATCAAGAGAGATTGCAATTAAAGGGTCACTATCTGTCTCTGACCTTCAGGGAGTTCAGGCTGATCAAATGGAGAACAAAGGGTCTTAGCTGCTCCGGTTTCACCTTTAGTACGTGCCTTCACATCTCTCTCCACTTCCTACAAATAATTTGATTTCAAGGAGCTTAAAAGTTGCATCCTCCAATGGTTTGATACTATAATAAGATGGAATAAGAGTTTTTTTCTGGAACGTACCTCTTCATCGCACCAGGGAGCTAAGATGAGTTTCTTCTTGTTGAGAGCTTCGATGAACTCATCCCAAGTCTTAACCTCTTCAACACATGCTTCCCTCTTTTGCTTTGCCACTTCATACATGTTCTCCTGGATCTTCTCAAGCAGTGCCTTCACATGTTCAACTAAGCTATCTCTTGGGATATCTTCCTTCACTCCGTTGTCCCGTCTCACAGTTCTGACCTATGGGGATGTAAACCAAAGATAAATGAAATCCGTTTAGCCACATTACAAGTTTACATATTCACGCCAAAAACACTAATAATGCCTTCTTAGTATAAATCAGGCAATTCACAAGAGGAAATATTCAACAGACAAGCCAAGACTAACCTGATTATTTTCCAGATCTCTGGGTCCAATCTCAATTCTCAATGGGACACCCTTCATTTCCCAGTTTGAATACTTCCATCCGGGAGAGTAGTTGTCCCTTAAATCATCTTCCGCACGGATACCAGCATCAATCAAGGCAGACACAGTTGCAGTACAAGCATCAAAAATTCCTTGGGTATTGGCATCCTTGTAGGGCACAGGGATGACAACAACTTGCACAGATGCGACTTTGGGAGGGAGTATCAGGCCTTTGTCATCTCCATGAGTCATAATCATCACTCCAATCTATACAAAATTTGAAATTAAAAAGCTAAGAGTTCCATAGAACACGAGGAAAAACAATCCAAAGTAATTCAAGTAATTACCGTCCTGGTACTGTAGGCCCAAGAATTCTGCCACACCATTGCTGTCTCTCCTTTCTCATTCTCATAGTTGATCTCAAACATCTTTGCGAAGTTTTGTCCCAAACAATGAGAGGTTGCACCTTGTACACCACGACCAGTGTTTGGAATGAAAGCCTATAGTTATAAAAAATCAAAGTATATTATTCATAAAGAGTGAATTCACAAGGGGGAAAAGAAAGAAAGGATCATGTCACTAACAAAACAGAGAGGTTACATACCTCTACACTTGTAGTGTAAAGTCCCCCAGCAAACTTCTCATTTTCACTCTTCATCCCTTTCACAACTGGGACAGCGAGATACTCTTCATATATGCGACGGTAAAGCTCCAAAATTTGAAGGACCTGAGAACAGTAGCAGCAGTAGAATGAAAGGATTTTCTCGTAAATGATGTTTAGGTGCTAAATATTACCATTGTTTACAGTAAAAAAAGGGAGAGACTGAATCACAGGCAAAAGTTTAAGTTCAACTACCTCTTCATCGGCTTCTTCTTTCGTGGCAAAAGCAGTATGGCCCTCCTGCCAGAGGAATTCACGGCTCCTGCAATCAAATAGGTTATGTTATGGCAAAGCAAACTTATGTGTCACATGTTTAAATCCAAACCAAGCCCAATATTTACAGCAGAAACAAAGACTAAATGGGGTAGAAAAAGCTAGAAAGAAGATTTATATGGCAATTACATACCGGATAAATGGGGTAGGGTTGCTGAACTCCCATCTGACAACATTACACCACTGGTTAAGCTTCAACGGAAGGTCACGGTGGCCCCTTATCCACTTGCTGTAGTAAGGGTACATCACAGTCTCACTAGTAGGACGAATAGCAATTGGGACTTCCAAGTCAGATTTACCAGACTTGGTGACCCAAGCAACCTACACATACATTCAAGCCTGTTACAAGAAGGCCTCCTTGTCACAAAGAAAAGTGCCTAAGACTGACGATATACACACCTCTGGGGCGAATCCCTCGATATGGTCCTTCTCCTTCTCCAGGACACCAGGAGATACAAACAGAGGGAAATAGCAATTCTTGACCTTCATTTTCTTGATTTCCGCATCAAAGAAACTCTAGAAAATGGAGCATGAACAAGGAATGAGCTAACTTTGTATCTCCAACTCTTGATTAGAGGAAATTTACAAAAGGGAGGAAAATAATAACACGAAGTTACTCACTTGCATAATCTCCCAAATGGCCATTGACCATGGCCTAAGGATATAACATCCAGAGATATCGTAGTACTCAATCATCTCGTGTTTACAAACCTAGACAGACATAAAAGGCAGAATGTCATAAATATTGCTTGGACCAAAACCAAAATGTTGAAGCCATCACAATCAGAAAAAGCTCGAAAGATACTGAGTATAAAACAAACCTCCGAATACCATTCCCCGAAATTCTCATCTTTCTTAACGCTGAGTCCGAGACCTGTTTCCTTCTTGACGTCCTTCTTCTTCTTCCCACTGGGACCAGCCTTGTCAACCTTTTCTTTCTTTCCACTTGGACCAGCCATTTCAAAACCTTTCTTTCTGAATGCATTAACAACAAAAGAAATACGTTTATAATCAAACCAATGTATCACCAGAAAGTTAACGGATTTGTAAAACCTAAGCACTAATCGAAAGCTACTTCGAGATCTGCGAATCGATTGAGACTAAAACAAAACCGGCCGAAACAGGAGAAGTTGAAACAAAATCATCGAATACTCAAGCTAACAACTAAAATAGAATAGATTAAACTAAAGGCATCCAAGGGGAGCGAAACGAGAGTCGACGATTACATCTATAGACCATTCGGACAACAGATTCCCCGAGATTCCAAAAGAATTGGACCCAAGTCTCAATCGGCAAATCGAAAACATTCAAGAGTAACAGAAGAAGAAACTAACCACCAATTCGCCGGTGAGCAGAAGACGGCGGAGGCAGAAACAGCAAAGATAAGGAGAGAGCGAACTAAAGGCAAAACGTTACAACTCTCTCAAACCTTTGACTCACTTGGCGAGCTTTGCTACTGAACTACACCCAATTATATGTCGCCACGTCTTAGGGCTCGATCTATTTCTCGGCTATTTCTCAGTATACATGGCCCAGGCCCATCTTTTGGTCAATATGTCAACGCTAAATGCATTAAAATACTATAGTCATGGAGAAATGATGGATTTGTATTCTAAATTTCTAATCCTATCTCGCAGTCGATCTATTGGCAACTTGAATAATGGTTAGGTCATGGAAAAGCTATTTTAAATTAATCGTCGGTAACACTCACATGTCATATAACTCGGCCCTAATATTAGCCTACCTTATTGCCCCAATAAAGCCCATGTTTTAATTTGCGGCCTAATTAGAATATGATTAAAATCAAATGTAACAAGGTGCAAATGAGATCACATGTCAAGAGCGTAAACTTATCTTATAACATTAATTAAAAAAATTTTAGTTCATTAAATTTTCAAATTTTTTCATCAATTGTCGGGAAGCGGAAAAGTGTTACCGCACCACTAAATCGACGATGACGTACCAACAGTGAAATGATTTGACCCCATCCACAAAATTGCTACATTCCCAAATTGGAGAAGAAAACCCTAGCGGAGATTTGTTAGTCCGATGGAGGCGGACGAGCGGCGGAACGGCGATTCGACAGGTCACAAGCACCGTGCCCCGAAGAAGCCACGCCTTACTGGGTTCTTATCCGAGTCGGATATTCGGTCCGAGTTCGCTCACCACCAGACCGGTGTTGCTAGAATCAACAACGGCAGCTTCGGGTGCTGTCCCGGCTCCGTTCTCGAGGCGCAGCGTGAGTGGCAGCTTCGGTATCTCCGTCAGCCCGACGAGTTCTACTTCAACGGTCTCCGTCGTGGATTGCTCGCTTCTCGAACCGTTATCAGTGGCTTAATCAACGCCGATGACGTCGACGAGGTCTCGCTGGTTGATAACGCGACCACAGCTGCCGCTATCGTTCTTCAGAAAGTGGGACGGTGTTTCTCGGAGGGGAAGTACCAGAAGGAAGACACTGTAGTGATGTTCCACTGTGCGTTTCAGAGCGTGAAGAAGTCGATTCAGGCTTACGTCTCGCGCGTGGGAGGCTCCACTGTTGAGGTCAGGTTACCTTTCCCTGTAAATTCGAACGAAGAGATAATCTCGGCGTTTAGAAAAGGATTAGAGAAGGGCAGGGCGAATGGTAGAACGATTAGGTTAGCTATCATTGACCATATAACGTCGATGCCGTGTGTTTTGATGCCGGTACGAGAACTGGTTAAAATCTGCAGAGAGGAAGGCGTGGAGCAGGTATTTGTCGATGCGGCTCATGCCATCGGTAGTGTTAAAGTTGATGTCAAAGAGATCGGAGCTGATTACTATGTGAGCAACCTGCACAAGTGGTTCTTTTGCCCGCCGTCCATCGCGTTTTTCTACTGCAAGAAACGTAGCTCCGAGTCTGAGGTTCATCACCCTGTGGTGTCTCATGAGTTTGGGAATGGTTTGCCTATAGAGAGTGCATGGATTGGGACTAGGGATTACAGCTCGCAGCTCGTGGTTCCATTTGTGATGGAGTTTGTGAACAGGTTCGAGGGAGGGATTGAAGGGATAATGGATAGGAACCATGATGAAGCTGTTAGAATGGGGTTAATGCTAGCTAGTTCCTGGGGAACGAATCTCGGGTCACCTCCTGAAATGTGTGTTGGGATGGTTATGATCGGTTTACCTTCGAAACTCTGCGTGAGGAGTGATGAAGATGCTACGAAGTTGCGGTCCTATCTGCGGGAGCATTATTCAGTGGAGGTTCCGGTTTACTTCCATGGATTGAGGGATGGGGAAGAAGGAGTGAAAGATAAAGACAGTGGGCTAATCACTGGGTATGTTCGGATTTCGCATCAGGTTTATAACAAAACAGAGGATTATGAGAGATTGAGAGACGCAGTAACAGAGTTAGTCAAGGATGAGTTGACTTGTCAAAACCTTCCTCCATTGTAATGAAACCAAGGTATGCTTCGAATTGGCAAATCTTGCTTTTATCTTTTAGAGTTGATACTCAACATCTGAGATTTCTTGATTTCCCGATCTTGTATCTAGTAAAATGGTGCCACTTTAAACCAAGCTATATGATAATCACCTATAAACCAAACTGTTTTTTGAATTGTAAAAAAGCTGACAACTTCAGATGTTGTTCCATGGTCTACTTGATGTTTGATTGACTGTATATGACCAAACCCGTTAAGGAGTTGTGTTCTTCTAAACATGGATATATTTGTTTTTTTTTTTGTTTTGGTGGCAGATAGTTTTGATATATCCACAAGAGCCTCACTTAGACTCTTCGATAGGTCAACACAGGGTTCCGGTGTAAACAATAAGGCGCTAGAGGCGCCACCGGAGGTAACTTTATTGATGAGCTTGTGGAGGAGCGGCTTGCAATGGAAGAAGAAGAAGCTAACCTCGAGGGTTTTTCTTTAAATGTCTTTTTAACGTTTAACAGCTTTTGTATTATAATTTGTTCAATAAAAGCCTGTCCTTTTTTTTCTTCATAAGACATTCTGCTTTCATAATCTTGTGTTACATTCCGAGAATTTTTCTTTGTTGAATAATTTTTATATCTCACATTTCACAATCAAATTGATAAACAATAAGCATATATACATATGTAAGACCTAGTTGGAGTATGATTTTTATTAATTACATCTTTGTCTACTTTCAAATCAATAGTCAAGGTACTAAATTGATTCAGATGAAACCTTTAGGGTCAAACCCGAAAACAATATTATGACCCGATGGGAATTTCTGAAGAATTGAAAACTCTAGAGATTTTGAGTAAATAATGATGTGACGTGTCATACATCCGGTTTGAGTTTGACGGAGAAAGAAGGAAGAGTGTTAAAATCCTGCGACTAATTCAGAGCAAACGAAGAGAGTAGCAGCTTAGAGGAAGCAGATGGCTGAAGATATGGCTAAGCCTATTAGGTTACTAAATTTCGTCTCGGAAGAACAGGTTTTCTCCCTCTTGTCTCTGCCTCCTGCTCTCTATCGAACCCCTAATTTTGTAATTTCAGTTTTAATTTTTGTGGGCAATTGATTTTCGTGACGCAGTTAGATGAATCGAAGAAAGAAAGAGGCGAGAGAGTTGAAGATGGAACATTCCAGAGAGATAGGGCTCTCTATGAGGTTTTTCTCTATCCTTCATTGTCGTTTCGTGGAAATTTTCAGTCTTTTGATCCGATTGCAGCTGAATGGTTAATTGAATTTACTTGTGCTTTTCTCTCTCCCCATGAGTAGTCATTACTCGATCGTGTTGTTCAAGTTTCATGGGGCCTGCAAATTTTGCATTCACAATGCTTCCTTTTCTTCTTCCTCACTTGTACATATTAATTTCAGATTTTGAAAGAGAACAAAGACAAGAAGGACGCTGAGTTTAACGAACGATTCAAACATAGTGAGTCACTACTTTCAATCTGTTATCGCTTATAGTTTGCAACATACTTGGTTTAATTCTCCTTTCTGGAATTACAAATTTTGTGGTTGTGCCTTTTGCTCAGTGGTTTCATTGAAAAAGAGATGTCTTTTAACTCTTTTTGCTTTTGAATTGGATTGCCAGGACCACCCAAAGCTCTGGATGAAGATGAGACTGAGTTTCTGGATAAACTCGAAATGGTGAGTTCTGTAATTTCTTGCCTGTTATTATTCAACATGTCTCGTAAGGAGTGCATATAGCATGACCAGTGTAATACTGTATATTGATGCGTTTATGTTTATAAGCTCTTGAGAATCAGTGATGGAAGAAGAATCATAACTTGATGGCTTGCTTGAGTCTCGGGGTCATATCTTCTCTCTGTAATCTTAATTCCTTCGTTTGCATTTGTTTTTATAGTCAAAGAAACAATACGAACGGCAATTAGCAGATGAAGAGGAAGAACAGCTTCGTAGTTTCCAGGTAAACTTCTTGTAAATTTTGACAAAATAGTTAACAAATCTAAAAGGCTAGATCATCAACCTTGGATCATGGTTTCATTTTCAGGCGGCGGTTGCAGCACGATCAGCAACCCTTCACGAACCAAACGAAGCAGCACTGCCACCACCAGCTCCGACCACCAAAGTGAGTGTCCCGTATTTCGAATTGGCTCGTTTGATAAAAATCTAAAATTGGAGAGCTGTTCAATTGAGAATTCGAACCACATGTGTATTTAGAGTGTATCTTGATCTCTTTTGTAGGAACAAAAACCAACCAAGAAGAGAAACCCGGCGACTCGTCCATTTAACACGATCGTAAAAGTCAAGCCACAACCGAAGAAGGCTAAAGCGACAGAGGAAGAGAAGAAGGAAATCTCAGGGAATGCAGAACCGGCCAGCCAAATCAACCAGACTTCTTTAGATTCTGTGACAGCCAATGTTACAGGTAAATCTCCTGGAGCTCTGCAAACAGGTTTAGCCTTAGTCTCATATAGTGATGAAAGTGAAGACGATGATTAACGTTTTTGTTTTACTGACACAAGAATCTATAAACATTCACAATGAATCGAAAAATGAAAATTTGTTGGTGTTAATTCCATCGTATATTACTCACAAGTGGTGTGATTCATAAGAAAAAAAAGAATTTTTTTTTTTTTATGTAGAAGCACTCAGGTGAAGCTGTACTAAAGAAGCATAAACACCATCTTTGATATTAATCAAAGTGTCATGCTTTCCTTTCTCCACGATAACACCATTCTTAACCACTGCTATTACATCTGCGTTCTTGATTGTTGATAACCGATGTGCCACCACCACGGTGGTTCGGTTAACCATAACTCGGTCCAATGCGTCCTGGACAACACGCTCTGACTCAGCGTCGAGAGCACTTGTTGCTTCATCAAGTAGCAACACCTTAGGATCTTTAACAATTGCTCTGGCTATGGCTACTCTCTGTTTTTGCCCGCCTGATAATTGAACTCCTCTTTCACCCACCATTGTATCATAGCCCTGCAAATGTAGTAAAAAAGTTTAATTTAGTATGAATCTGGAAGTTAGAGCTGGACATTCGATTTCGGTTCGGTGAAGTTTTAGAATGACCTGTTGTAGTCCACTAATGAAACCATGAGCGTTAGATAGCTCAGCTGCAGATACGATGTCGGTTTCAGAAGCATCTCCTCCTTTTCCGTAAGCAATGTTTGCTCTGATCGTTTCATTGAACAAAACCGGTTCTTGGCTCACCAGCCCGGTTTGCTGCCTTAGCCATTTCAGCTGCAAGGTCTTAATCTCAACTCCGTCAAGTGTGATCTGACCCGAGTCAGGATCGTAAAACCTCTGCAGCAACGCAATCACTGTCGATTTCCCGCTTCCGCTCTCTCCAACCAAAGCTATTGTCTGAAACAAACAGAGAAAAACAAAATAACAGAACTCAGGATATAATTGATGATACTAAGCCGAAACTAGAAAACAAAAACTGAAAACATGTTTCAAGATCAAGGTATAACCTTTCCGGCCCGGATAGACAGACAAAGATCCTGGAAGATCTGAACATCTGGTCTTGAAGGATACTTGAAACTGATATGACGAAGTTCGATATCTCCTTTAACATTATCAAGAACCCTCCCAGACTCGTCACTTGGATCAATTTTCGATTCTCTGTCGATAACCGCAAAGATGGATGCAGCCGCGTTGCTAGCTTTGCTGGAATCAGGAGATAATGAACTTGACTGAGAAATAGCTACAGCCGCCATTGTCAAAGCAAAGAAAACCTGTTCTCAAACAAAAATAAAAGAACAACCTTTAGAAGAATGATAAAACAGAGGGATCTTGTTGATCTTCTGATGAATTATTATTAAATGTTATACCCTGAAAACAGCATCGAAGGTTGTTTTGCCGTCATCGACAAGCCTTGCGCCGGCATAGAAACTGGCGGCGTAAGAAGCAAAGAGGACGAAGAAAGAAACTCCGAAACCGATACCACTAACAATGCCTTGACGTATTCCTGTTTTCATAGGGCCTTCACATTTCTTCTTATACATTTTCATCACTTTCTCCTCTGCACAGAACGAAGCAACCGTCCTTATGCTCCCCACCGCATCATTCGCTACTTGGCTCGCTTCCTCGTACATTCTCTGCCAACATTTTTTTTTTCGTTTCATCAGACAGGACAAAACACACACACACACACCACTTCTTACTGAAACGAACATGAATTTACAGAAACTGTAGAAAACTAAAAGAGATTATACAAGTTTTGTACCTTTGCATCTGCACTGAAGCCAACCATGAACTTCATGTATACGTAACCGTTAAGCCCGATTAGTGGAAGCATCGCGAGAACGATGAAAGCTAACTGCCAGCTCGCGACAAACGCGATGACAACACCTGCCGTTACAGACGCAAGATTCTGAACCGTTTGAGCCAGAGCGTCTCCGACTAGACCACGAACCGTAGCAGCATCAGCAGAAAGCCTGGCTCCAATAGCCCCACTTGAGTTCTCAGTCTCATCGAACCATCCAACTTCCATGTGAACCACTTTCTCGAAACACATGGCTCTTATCCGCTGCACCAGTTTGCATCCTGCTATGGAGAAAAAGATGGTCTGTGCCGGGTAGACCACCATTGAAGCTACACCGAGAAGCATGAAGATGATTGCCCAAAACCTTGTATCGGATTTCAACTGCTCAGGTGGTTTGAAAAACGCTTTGATCACGCTTGAGATTAGGATCCCGAATATCGGAAGTATGACTCCGTTTAAAACCGCGGCTATAGATCCCAGTATAAGCATTGGAATCTCTGGTTTGTTTAGAGCGGCGACCCTAAGGAAGGATACTTTCTTGTGCTCGGTGGTTTTTTCTTCTTCCTTGATCTTAGTAGTAGAAGCCTCGCCTTGCTCTGGTTTGGATTCGTTGTTTGTGTCTATTCCTGCTGGAAAACCAAACATAGAGAAGGAAGACGATCTTTTGCTTAAAGACCGGCTTAGCGATGACTTTCTCAAACTAGACCGTTTCATAGACTCCATTGATATCTTCTTCTCATCCGTTGGATCTTCCGATTTTCTGTTTTCTTCTTGTAGACGTATGAGCTGAGCGTAGGCTCCTTCGGGGTCTTTTAGGAGCTCAGAGTGAGAACCTGAGCATACGTTTATCAATCAGCTATCTACTGTCAAACAGAACTAGACATATACATGAATCATGTGTGTATGTGTTTACCTTTCTCTACGATCTTGCCTTGATGAATGACGGCGATCATGTCTGCGTTTCTGACCGTGCTCAATCTGTGAGCGACAACGACAGTAGTTCGGTTGACCATGATCCTGTCAAGAGCTTCTTGAACAATCCTCTCAGACTCTGCATCAAGCGCGCTCGTTGCTTCATCTAAAAGCAAGATTCTTGGATCTTTTAGAATCGCTCTAGCCACTGCGATTCTCTGTTTCTGCCCACCGGAAAGCTGAGTCCCGTGTTCTCCTACCATCGTGTCTAAGCCCTGCAAAATTTTACAGTTAATTTAGTTACATCAAAATGAAAACATAGACAATACAGAGGAGGAGAGGTGAAGTAAATCTCAAACCTGAGGAAGCTTATCGATGAACTTAGATGCGTTTGCGAGCTCTGTGGCCTTACGAATCTCTTCGACCGTTGCGTTTTCTTTCCCGTAGGCGATGTTTTCCTTTATGCTTGAAGTGAACAGAACCGGTTCTTGACTCACAAGTCCTATTTTGCTTCTGATCCATTTTAGCTGAAACTCCTTAAGGTTAATTCCATCGATTCGGACTTCACCTGCTTGTGGATCATAAAACCTCTCAATCAGACTCACAACTGTTGATTTCCCACTTCCGCTCTGCCCAACTAGAGCCACCGTCGAACCACTCGAGATTGAGAGCGAAAACCCTCGAAAGATCTGCTCTTGTGGCCGTGCCGGGTAACTAAAGCTCACATCTTTAAGCTCTATATCTCCTCTAATATCATCCATTACTTTCCCGGTTGTATCGGAAGCATCAATCTCCGGTTTTCTCTTGATCGTTTCGAACATTTTGTATGCCGCGGCTTGACCAGCTGCAAACGCGCTTAAACAAGGAGATGCTTGTCCTAACGACCTGAAATCCACAAGAAGTTCAAAATGAGATTTAGGGACCAAAAATTTAAAACCGGGAAGATGAAGATTGACGAAGAAGCAAGCTCACATGGAACCGGTTAAAACGGCGAAGATGATGATGAGAACTTGTCCTCCTGTGTACCCTTTCTCCAGTATCATCTTCCCGCCGTACCAAACCGCTAAAGCATAAGTGCAGAAGATGACTATATTGAGTGTACCGAGACCAAGCCCTGTGGAAGCTCCTTCAAACACACCTGCTCTATAAGCAGAGACAAGATGCTTATTGTAATTGCTTATCGCTTGTTTCTCCCCTGTAAACGATGCAACCGTTCTTATAGATCCAACTGTTTGCTCAACCACAACCGCAGCTTTCGCGTAAGAAGTTTGTCCACGAGAAGCCATTTTCGAAATGACGATAGCGAGAGCTGCACCAGACATTACTAGAAGTGGAATTGAAGATACCATGACTAGTGTAAGAAGCCATCCTTCCATGAAAGCTATCACAAATCCACCAATAAAGGTTGATACCAATTGTATAGCCTTCCCAACCTGCGAAGAACAAACTCTAGTCTCTCAATTTTCGGTATAAGAGTTTTGAAACTTTGAATTAAAAAAGTTGAAACTTTGTAATGTTTTTGGCTTATATATGTTTAAACACCTTCTCTCCCATTGCGTCTTGTATAAGGACAGTGTCACCTGACATTCTTCCAACAACTTCTCCTGTGTTGGTTTCGACATCGAAGAAGGCAATATCTTGTCTCAATATGGTTTTCAGATACAAACTCCTTATTCTTCCTGCTTGTCTCTCCCCAGAGATCATCCAACCAGAAACCTCTGATCATATGCAGAAACGTTCATAAAGATCAAATCTTTCATATTCAAACAAACACTAGAACCCGCTAAAGATTTTAGACAATATTGAGGAGTTCTTACGGAGAAGAGCTGCAACTAGAGTTCCAAGTCCAAGGTAAACAAATTTCAGAGCCACCTGTGAGTGAAAAACTGTGTTAAAGATCAATCGTTGTGGGTCTAAAACAACAAAGGTAAAAGAGTAGAAACTGTTCATTATTACCTTAGCGATCTTATCAGAAACATCTGAACTGTTTTGGTTTTGTCCGAACACATCAATCACATCTCCAAAGAGGATCGTCATGATAGGGAAGCCAAGACCGTTACCCACAGCGCCAATAGTCCCCAGGATCATCAAAAGGATGTCAAAGGAATCTGCAAAGGCAAACAGCTTATGAAACGGCACCGTTTTTGTCTTCTCGTCTTCTTCTTCTTTCTTTTTCTCTTTTTTTTTCTTCTCTTCTCTCAGAACAGACCCTGTCTTAACTTCTTCATGGGTTTTCGAGATTGAGGTCTCTGCTTCTGCTCTGTTTGGTGAATCCACCTCCAGTCCTTCCTCTGCTTCCATTACACCATCCATTGACTTATGATCCTGCTTTAAAGATCAAACAATAGCCCCACTGAGAAAACCAAAGCCAAGGATTTACAGATAAGTGTTCACCAACCACTGATAAATTGTGCTATTTATCGAAACATAAGATCTATATGAAAAAAGAAGATGATGAAGATAAAATTAGACTAATAAAAGGTCACAAACAATAAATAAAAACTTCATTCGACGAGAAACCAGGCCAAGTACTTAAAAACAACGACCAAAAACAGAGAAGCATGTACCTGAAAAATATAGACTCTTGTGAAAATAGCAGTGAAATTAAAGTTCGCGCAGGGTTGAATATCTACACTTGTTCATTACTTGAGGAAGAAGCAGTGGATTTTCAATTTGAAGAACTCGTAATAACTTCTTTTAAAATCTGGGATTTGAATTGATTCAAGTGGAGTCTGGGACCTACTCATGAAACAAGACCATAGTCGTCAAAAACGACCTTGTTAAAAGAGATGACGTGACAGGACAGACGCCAAGTGGTCTGGTCTCTTCTCTGCGGATAAGTCTTACTGAACTTTATTGAACATAAACAGAGGAGGAAGCTTCTATCACAGAGAATAAAGAACACACAAAATAGTATTTTTCGTACGATTTCTCGTGTATTATTCTTTTAAACTTGGTTTTGACTTTTGACTAACCAGCTTTTATTTTTCCTTTGTACATACAGGGCAAAACATTGGTCATTCGCAGCATGTTTAAATATTTACATACCATTCATCATAAGCAGACAAAAAGATGAATTCATATTGATTTCTGCAACTTGCATGACATTTCTTTATTTCGAGGGCCATGGCATTTAGGCATTATAATTGAAAAGCATTAAGAGCAAATTATCACAAAATAACTTTTCAAATGTACTTAACCCTTGTTTTTTATTTTATAATATGTGTGGTGTGTGCACTCATTTCGCAGTTTATAATCTCAATTCGGACAAAAGAATAATTATAATAATCTGTGTGCATTGCACTTCAGTACGTAAGCAATCGAATTTCAACTTTCAAGCAGCCAATGAATTCTTTTATTCGTTTTCCATATATAAATCATGTGTTTTATAGAGGGCATTGCCATGAATACTTAAGAGTTCGGAAGCATTTCTGAAACAATACCAGAGTATTGGGGCAATTTTGTAAATATCCAAACTTCTACGATATTTCCCTAAATACTCGCAGATCTGAGGCATTCCCCTAAATACCCATAGTCGTGGGACACATCCGTGAATATCCGAAGTGCGGAGGCGTTGCCGTAAATAATACAAAGCTCGGGCGCATTTTTATAAATACATCAGAGTTCTGGGTCAGTAAAGCAAATATACTAATTTTGGGCACCGATCTCATAAAAACACAAATGTTCTTGGGAATTTAGGTAAATATATAAAGTGGTGGGTCATTTCCCGAAATATTATAAAATTCGGGATCATTTAGGTAACTAAACAAAAGATCTGGAGCATTATCCTAAATAACATAACGTTATGGACTAGTACCGTAAATACATTAAGCTCCAAGGACATTCCATATATAAAATCAAAGTTATGATCATTATCGTAAATACGACAAAGTATGGGGTTTCCGTAAATAATAAAAATAGTGAGATGTTATTGTAAATATCAGGGTAAAAAACTGAAAATTAGGGTGATTTTTTTAGATCTCAAATACAACTTTTATAATTCATTGGTTTGTGAGAGATCTTGGTGAAATCATTTTAGGATTAAAATTTAAAAGAAATTCAGTAATTAGAATAATAAAAAGAAAGTAAAGGCACTGAAATAACATAAATTTTTTTTTTCTCATTTGCACGTGAAACAAAAGCAATCATATACAAACTTCATCTCAAAACGTCTAGAACCCTATATTGTATAATACCCAAAAAAGGAGCTCTGATCCCAGAGACGAGGTTGTATCGTTACCTTTTTTTTACAAAATCACATACTGTTTTATTCGTTAGTTAGTAGTCTTCTTACAACCCAAGCTGGACAGGCACGTTGGCTTCCTGAATCCAATTAGCCGGGCCGACCCAGTTAGCGACGGTGTAACCTTCAACCTCAGCCGCAGACTTAGCCACCTTAGCCCAAGGAACCCTCGCAGCAGTGTTAGCTCCTGGTCCACGGTTATTGAACTCAATGTATTTTGCAGTCTTGTGGAATTGCTCTCCTTGCCATTCGTTCCATCCTTCTGGTTTAATCACATCACTAATCTCGGTTCCAACAACCACGGTGGTGGCGAATTGCTTCCACGGCCGTCCTAGGTACGACTTGATGGTTAGCTTGTCAGCTTCGAGATCCTTGTCCGGCATGATCCGGCAGTTGTGGAGAACGATACCGATCTTCATCGCTGCACCCTTCTCGTTACCGTCGGCTGTAACGTAGTTGGATTGTCCGGGGCTTCCTTTTCGGATGAGGATTAGTGAGTTTTGGATCACGGTCGCTGATTTCCCGAAGATGAAGTCGACTGTACCGGACACAACAATGTTCCTGTAGAACTGGCGTCCGTTGTTCACATAGAGTGTGTCTTGGTAACCGTCAAATCTGCAGTTGAATATGACCGCACGGTCTCCGTTCACACGGAGTGCGACCGCTTGGTGTCCCAATGGACCAGCAGTGTTCTTAAATCCGATCCACTTTGCCATGAATCCCTCAGATTCAACCTCTGCATGGGAACATGTGTAGTTATATATTTAGCAATGCAATATATATATGGTTGGATCAATAAACAATAATGTTAACTTGAACGGGACTTACGAACGGTGCCACTGAGTGAAGTAGTGGTTCCAGGGCTGAGTTTAACACTTCTGTTAAAAGTAATGATGGTCTTTGTAGCACCATCACCGAACATGAAGATGTTGTTCTTCTTCTTAGGGATAGTGACTTGCTCATTGTATATACCAGCCTTGATGTAGATGATGCAACGTCCAGGGTTCTTGTCCGGGCAAGCTTTAACCGCATCGGAAACAGTCTTGAACTGTCCACTTCCATCCTTAGCCACCACGTGAGTCGGCTTGATCTTACCGCCACCACCACCGCCTTCACCGATACCATCATCACCAGCTGCACCACCGCGTCCGGCCTGAGCCATAAGCTTCCTGTCTTTACCAGAATGCCATTTGGGTAGTCCCTTGGCGTCAATGTCTTCAAGAAGGCGACGCGCAGGAGCTCCCAATCCTCCGATGGTCACGTTCTTCATATCGTCGACCTTGACACCCATTTGGGACATGGCGGTCACAACGGAATGGAAGATATCGATGGCGTTACTGGTCAAAACCTTGGAGTTGGAGATTCCTTCACCCATGATTTTCCTCAAGTCAACTGCCTCAATGTCGTCAAGACAATCGGTTTGGTAATTGAAAACTCCGGTTAACCATTGTTTGAGCTGGTCAAGCTTACTTCCGCTCTGCTGAAGATCTGCGCCCATTTCTTCAACGATGGTCTCAAGATCCTCAAGAGCGTAGGTCAACACTCTCTTACAGTAATCAAGAACGGCTTTGTTCGTCGCGTTTATGTTTTTCCCCATGCCTCCTTCGGTCGTAGCCGTGAAGTTTGAGGATTTTGTGATCGCGTCTTTTGTAGCCATCAAGAAGGCTTTGATAAGCTTGCTTGGATCGTCGCTTTTGACAGGCTCGAGAGTCTTGGCGCACGAGGCTTTGTCTGTGGTTGGCTGACAAATTGTCTGAACCGCTTTCTGATGTGAATTCAGAGGAGCGTTCTTGTCGCCGCCGCCACCGTCGCCCTTATTAACATAGGTGACAACTCCTATGGCAACTCCCACCACCAAAAGGATAGAAGCCACAGATACCACGATTTTTCCTACGGCCATTTTTTTTCAAACTTTTTTATATTTTTCCCCTTTTTCGATTTTTTTCCTTTTTTTATGTATTTTTTTTTTCTCTCCCTCCGGTTTTATTCGGGAGGTGAATAGGAGAGGGAGGGTTTTTTTATTATTAAAACAGAGCCCGGTGGGTTATTATTAATGGGGCAGGTATTAGATTATTGCATTGTTGAGAGAATCTTATAGGAGTTGTAGTTCTAAAATTAGGGTTTGCATGAGTTTTGCATGGACCGAGAGATTTAAGGTCGTTGAGTGGCTACAAATTCTCTAGTCCAATATTGGCTACCAATTTAAAAATTGGCCACCACAAGATGATTTTATTTTGTCCTGATCAAGAGGTGTAAGTTCGATTACTAAAAATAAAATAAAATGTAATTTTAAGATGAAATGTTCGTCGCGGTAACTAGATTACTTAATAACCCACTAACTTTTATCTTTTGAATTTTAGAAACCGATTGCAAAAGTAATTTATTTTGCACTATATATATTCATTCCTATGTTTAATGATTTATCCCAATAGTTTGCCCTCATTCTTAAGTTCGAAAACAATTGGACATTACAACAAAAAAAGGGTAGCTATTAGCCTAGTGCTAGTAAAAAGTTATCCGCTACTACAGTCTCAAGTATGAATGGTTTTGATTGAATCATTCTTTTTTTTGTTATGTGAATTAATATTATATAATCAAAAAAGAATACAGGAGTAGAATGCAAGATCGAACATATAGGTGGGATACAAGACCGAAAATTAACCACTGTCTCTCAAACCCGAAAATAATATATAACTACGAAATACCAAATTAATACAACAGGGAGAATAAATAGCAAAATTATAAAAAAAAAAATAGCGGTTTTGAATCATTCAGCATGCATGTATATTCTTCTTTTATTGTCAAGTCTATGAGTTCATCATGCGCATGCATTTTTATGTCTGATATGAGAATGAGATTACTTCAAATATTTATATAACGATCGTAAATATTGCGGGGTTTTGACGTCGAAATTTCAAAAAAGATTCGAATTGAGTGAGTATTAAAAGTGATTGTACAATTGAAAACCGAAATCATATTATTCGATACTAAAATCTAAGAAATAGGATTCAGTGAGCTATTGTATATACTATATAGAAGACCGTCATCACACTCGAATTCTATTAATATACACATTAATTCAACATATTCGTATGGTCGTGATTCTTTTCGAGCCTCGAATGTACAATAGAGGCAAGATTATTTGTATGCAAAATCATTCCATTAGTTATACTTATCGCTCGTATCAAATCATATATAGAAGAATATAATTTCTTTTCTTTTTTTTGAGAACGGGCCAGTAGGACATAACTTCTGCCTTTAAAGTTTTATCATTCAGAATATTGCGGCAGTACTGATCAATGCAGAAGTACATATACTACATCTAGATCTATTATCAAATTTTAATATTTGTTCAATCAACCTTTTTAAAATTTATTGATGGAACAAATATTAAAAATGGAAAATAAGAGTAATTTAAAGTTCTAGGAATTTATAATTTCAAGTGATCATCACCATCATTAAAAAAAAAAAATTATGTCCTCTTAATATGTCGACTATAATAGACAAAAAAATCATATCTCATTTATATATAAATCCTTTCCAATCATCACGAAACCCGCCCGTACATGTATAAAGAAACCTAGAACATACATCATCACAAATGACGCACAATCATACATGACAGAAACATCTATATATGATTCCATTCGCAGTCATCGCTTTAGGCATTATACGATCTTAGTTAATTTAACACACATAATCAGAAATAATAATCCGACAATGGTGGCGGTCGTGGCGATGTGTCTTCTTCGTTAAGCTTCACCTTAATACCAAAAGTCTTAAAAATAGTATTCAAAGCATTGAACACATCAAAGGAATCACTGCTTAGTTTCTTCCCAACTCCAATCCCAATCTCCACTTCCTTGAACAAATTCTTATCTTCAATATCATCCAAACATGTCGAATGATACCCCATGATCGACATCAGCGTCTTCTTGCATGTGAAATAATTATGAGCCAACGTCGTCACGTTTTTCCCCGTAGCTTTCCAAAACTCGGCGAAATCTTCCAACGCGTATTTCAAGTTTTTCTCGCAGCTGTTGATCGCTGCGGCTGCGGTCGCGTTTGATTTGTGTTTTGGTTTGATTTCGGAGAGGAAAGCCACACTAGTTTTCACGGAGGTTTCAGCCGCAGCCGCTAATGCTCGGATTAGTTCGATGGGGTCATCGGTAGGAACGTGTTTAAGGGTTTTGCAGCATAGACTTGTGTTTGTTGGGATCACGGTGCATATTCCCGCGACTGCTTTTGCGTGCGGTGTGAAAAGGTAGTTTGTGCGTTTGGTTGGTGTAGCGGTTGCGATTGCCGTGACGGATAAGAAGAGAAAGGCTAGTTTGATTGGAGTGTTCATGATTGTATGAACGGAGGAAACAAAAAAAAAAAAAAGTATCGGAAAGGAACGGATTCGGAGGTAGAAGAGATCTTGGATATAGAGAGATGCAATGTTGTCTATATTTATAATTCGTCTATATTTGGTCGATACTAGATCCTTTTACTTTTAAAATTATACATGTGGTAGCGAGGGATTTGCGGGTTAGTTTTCAGGTTAAACGATTACCGTTTCAAATATTGCTGTATTTCAGTTTAACGTTATATAATGCAAATATTGTTTTTAATTAGTGACATACTTCTGCTGTTGAAAAACAAATATAGTTCAAAGTTTTGTTAAATGCAATTATGATTTGGAGGTTTAAACAAGAAGAAACAATTACAAAGGCATCTTAGATAGTGAGAGATTCTGATAGTTTTGATAAATAAGACCATCTCCATTCGTAAAGACCCAGATAAGGTTGTTAAACATTTTTTAATATAATTTCTTTTTTTTTTTCTAAAAACCTTTGTATTTAATTTAAATTTTTTGTCCTTCTATTGGTTGAACCTCTAATTGGATTCTTAAAAAAAAACTAAATTGTAAAATTATTTTATTGTAAACTAAATTAAAGAGGATCTGATTCCATAAATCAAAGTACAACTCTGCTGAGAATCCTGCCTTTGCCATGAGCCCAACTGATGTGATCAGTATCACCCCAACGTAGAACACAGAAACGTCCGGCTGCAAACAAGGAGTTAGGAACACAACATCAGAAACGAGAATGCTCAACCTTGAAAGCAAGAGGAAAAATAATAGTATTGAATCACTAACCTGTTCAATCGAATAAGTAATTTTCTTTCTACATCGGAAGAAACCAACTACTCCCGTGTTTTCTCTTTCCGTAACACCGCCAATAAAGCACACTCAGTGTTAGCACCGAAAATTTGTCTGACTCTCGTAATAGCACCAAGCTTTAGTTAAGATGATGCTATGCTTGATGATCTCTCCCAAAGCATTGGTCAACCTGAGAATACATCAACGCAGAATTTAATCAATAATTATGATCAGATGATTGTTACAATATTAAATATATAGCAGATGAAATCACAAAAAAAAATTCTGACTCACTTCTCAACGAGTTGCAGGATGCTTTTACAAAATCAAGATCATAGTCTTAGCCTTCGTGAGAGATCTTAAAGCATCAGTCAAACAACTTGTAAGTGTGTTTCTATGAAGTTTAGATAGAGAATTAAACATACTCGAAACAGAGATGCTTTGATCACATTAACACACACATGATCTGACAAGATTTGTAGCTGTTGGGGTTCGAGCTCCGGAAGGAGAGTAGCAGACTACTTGAATGAAGCTTCTCAGAAGTGAAGACCATTATTCTCTCTTGTTCAAGGAATTCACAGTCTCTGTCTATAGCTCTTAAATCGCCCATTACTTCCTCTAACTCTTGGTCTGTTTCTCAAAGACCAAGCATTATGGATGTCTTGGCGATCATTCCAGGTTTGTTTATCTTCGCGTGTTTTAAAACCGACATGTGCTCTGCTCATATCTGCATTCTCCACATGAGATCAACATTTCAAAGGAGATTTACTACAACTCGAGATTCAGAACACTATGTAATAATAGACATAACTGAGAGGAACAAAGGAATCTAAGATTTTAAAACCATATCCCAAATAGTTTAGGCAAAGTTCCTATAAATTCCATAACTTTTTCCTGCATTTCATTCATTTCATCTTTACATCTATACTTCAGAAAGCAAACATCATCATCAATACAGTTTCTTCTTTTGTTTCGTTATCAGATATGCAAAAGAAGGCTTGTAATCAGATATGCATGTCGAGTTCTATAATCTCAATGATTTACCAAAATCCATTCCTATAAACGATTAACTAAAGCAAAATCTCAAAAAAATTCCAGCAGTAATCAAGAAAACAGAAAATGGTTTCGTATAAGGATCACACAGACCTGATCGCAACATATATATCAGACGGACAGAGCTTTTTGAATCGCCTGAAGATTCCTACAGTCTCCATCACAGCCTCGATTCAGATGGCTTGAAGAAGGAGAACGACGTGAGCTTTCACCGATGAAATCAGAGTCGGATTATGGGGTTTCATTGTTTGGATTTTTAGCTTTCACCGATGAAATCGTAGAGGGGGAAAGAGAGTATAGGGGGAAAGATAGATTGTGGTTTCGATTTCCTTTTTCTTTTTAATTTTTTTTTAATAAAAATAAATCATGCAACTACAGATTGATACGTATGAGTTTTTTAAGTGTTCTGAAATTGCCTGAATAAGAGACGGCTGTTAGAGATAACACAATTAAATCATTTTTTTAATATAATTTTAACTTAACAAACCTCCTAAAAAACCCTCTAAATACTCTGATGGACATGCTCTAAGTTGGACAGAGTATGAATTATTGATGTAATAATGTTTTTCTTTTAAAGATATCAATGTTTGAATTATTTAAATGAAAATTAATATTATTTTATTTACATATTTATGTACTAAGATTTGAAAGTTAACATAAACTAATTGACTATAACTTAACTTTTTGAAACATGTTAAATTTTGTATTACACTAAGGTCTTTAAAAAAAAACCTCTTTTTGGGTCTATCAGTCACGCACATTTTCGAATTTGAATATGGGATGATTACCGTATAGTATATATTATCTTTGTTAATATTTTAGGCTCATTTTTACCAGAAAAGTTAAATATGCCACAGCAAGACACTAATGGTCGTGAGGTGAACACGTGTCCAAGATATATGAGCCTCAAGCGAGAAATGAGGTGTGTATGCATACCGATTCCGAGTGTCGAAACGTAGACGCGGGAAAATGCAGGTGGAGGAAGCCAAGATCTTGCTCGGTTTTCCTCCCAATTCTCGTCCCGATCCCTCTCAGGTTTTCAAACTCGCCTCCTCTTCTCCTTTCAATTTTTTTTGATTTGTTAGCTTTTCGGGGGAATTTCGATCACTGAATTCGATAATTAGGGTTTTGGCTCCATCGTTTGATTCGGCGATCGCATGGTTGAGAATCTCACTGTCTCCTCCGAATTTGGATTTTCGGTTGATAGAATTGAATTATAGCGCTGAATTTTTTGGTTGGGTATATAAGGGATCTTTATAGTTTTGGGGTTTGATGGGTTCTGTGATCCGGTAGGTTAAAGCTGCTTACCGGAAGAAAGTATGGGAATCACATCCTGACCTATTCCCAGACGATCAGAAACTCGGCGCAGAGTCTAAATTCAAATCGGTGAGTGAGAGAACTGAGAATCTTCTTCTTATACGCACACATATACGTTTCAAATTACCCTCTGATTTAGCAGTTCTTTATTCGTTTTCAATTTGTTGCAGATATCTGAAGCATACTCTTGCCTTGAGTCAGGTAGAGATCGACCTTGCCTTGGTTATATAAGAATCAATGGTCTGCAAAAACCCAAATGAGCTAGTACATTCCTGTGTGTCAAATCAGGTTTCAGTGATGATTATTGTGCATTTTCATACCTTTCGGTGTGTGTTTTGAGTTTCTACATCTTTTTGGCTTACCTTAAACCGTTTGTCATTTTTCCAGGAGATGATATGTTTTGTGCAAAATGGATGAACGCAGCAGTAGTAAGCTGTTCATACTGCTTTTGAAGCCTCGATCTTTCTTTAGTTCCAAGAGCGTTCCTATAGTTTTGATATTCATGTCGCAGATTGAGTCCTTGGAGCTACTCAATTCTAGCTCATTTGGGTTTACAACTTTGCAGATCAGGACACATTTGCTCTGTTTTTTTTTTCTTTTTATAGAATTGTAGCATTACACATCAATCATGCCCAAACCTTTGTCTCTAGTAAGTTTTCTAAGTTTCACATTGGTCTCTGTTTGCAGGTGATGTTAAAGGCCAAAGATATTCGAGAGCAGGTACAAAAAACGACTCAACACTCCGTACGTGTTATAAAACTAAGCGTAGTAGGGATTACACATTGATGAGACTCTCAAATTTGTAACATTGATAAGGTGTGTATTCGAGAGTGGTCAAGACGGGAGTCCCACGAACATATGCATATGCCAAAAGAGGTAACGCTTGGTTGATCGGTGCACCTTTCCTTTTGATCGTCCTTGGAACCATCGGGCTTGGTGGAATCAAAGCTAACAAGTCAGTTTTCCGCATGCATTCTTTTTCACTCTTTTTTTACTTGGTTTATCGTTGAGATCATTTCTCAAACTTTAGTTTCTCTCGACTTACAGCTGCTATACTGAAAATTTTGAAAATACTTAACGACTTCTCATTAAATATGGTCATTGGTGTGTTGTTTTTTTCTGGCATTTGCAGGGCATATAATATGCAAAAGCAGACGTTCCCGTCTCACAATCCTTTCCTTCCTTGATTCGTTGTCTATCTCAACACTACATTTTGAATCATTGTATACTAATGTTATTCCAACAGATTTTTTCTTTCTTTGTAGAGAAATTTCATTGGTGTCATCAGAGCATATAAATTATAAGGAAAATATCAAGAATAATATTTTATTTTATTTTATTTTTGACTAAATGGGATTGTCTCTCATTCATAAAAGCTGTGGAGAAGACAATTGATAACTTACGTTTAAACATAGCACATAGATAAACTCGCAAAGGCAAAAGCATGACAACAGAGGAAGTAGGAAGATTTCTCTTATTTTGCCTTAATCTGACTATGTGAACGAGTAATTTGTAAGTGAAACCAGGTGATGTTATCAAAAATATAGATTAAAATTACATAAGATTAAGATTATAGGCTTGGATGTCTAAGCTGAGCCTCCCTTATAAAATATAATCACGTAAAATATTTCTTAATGCATACATTTTATTAATAAAGAAAATACGATAAATAAAAGTACCAGTAGGAGTATCGTACATCAAAATAAAGAAAAGAAAAGAAAGCGTCATGATTCAGAAAAAAAAAGTGAAAATACAGATAGTATCCCTCCAACGACACTAGGAAATATCTGGAACAGAGATTGCAGAAGCTAATGCAGAAACTTTGGTGATGTAGAGATTCCCAAATCAACATTTACTCTCCCACAAACTTGTTTATCCTCCAGATGATGAATTTGAGCAATCTTCTTCTTGATGGACACTAAGGATTTTATGAACCCAACCATGTAACTAATACATAACCAATGTGTCTAAACCTTAACCATCCCCCAAATTTGTAGCCTTGGCTCATTTGAAATGAACCGACGAAAGTAAAATGAAAAAAAAAAAAAAAAAAGGTGCTACTACTACTACTACTACTAAGGTAACTAGTGATCAAGACAGAATCATCGCATTCTGCAGCTTTTGATATGGAAAAAACTATTTTCCATGTCTTAGTTCTCTAGATTTAGTATTCAAAGTACCCACATATGCTCTGGCTTATGGCTCCTACCACTACATCTTCGGTACTTTATGGAACAAAGATTGGGTTTCAGGCAACAGTTTGGATACCTGTCACGGTTTCAGTAGCGTTCTCGTTTGTAGTCTCTGCAGCAACAGCATGGTTAGCAGTAACTGGTTTCCATCCTGTTTCAGTAGCTTTCTCGTTTGTAGTCTCAGCAGCAAGGTTAATAGTAATTGGTTTCCATCCTGTTTGATGATAGGTAATCCACTTCTTCGAGGTTGCTGTTATATTCAAGATATGAACTATGTCACCTAAAGTATACTCTTTTAGGCATTCCTTCTTCAGAACTTGTGCAGCTTCGTAGCTACATATAAGATTCAAGAAAGAAAAAAAAAAAAATTTTAAGAATGATTAATTTAACAATGAACCGTAGATTCCATAAGTAAACAGACTTTTCTAACCTGCACTTCGTTGCCGCAATCGCCGCCCGCCCAGAGGACGAGGTTAAAAACTGTTGTATTCTATCCCAAGTTGGTTTAGGATACTGCTTAGCGTTGCCCCCTAAAGGGTTTACACAGTTCCATAGTGCTTCATCTTTGCCGATGTAAAGCTTTAGTTTACCCATATATACCACCATGATCATATGGTGTTCCTTCGCACTCTCTAAAGCTTTCTTTACATCAGTACCGTGATGCTTTGGATCTCCATACTGAATGCAATCCGAGATATTAGGCTCGGTAGGCATAATTTTTTCAGCTTTCAAAATGTTTAGAGCATGCAAGACAACGCCTATAAGGCCTTGTGCATACTCAGACGGTGGTGGACAATCTTGTGTTCCCCACACACCATTGCTGGAACCAGATCCAGAAGTAACCACTGGAGGCTGAGAAGGTGAAACTCCAGGAGTGGAAGAGTTGGTGTAGCCCGTGCTTGTGGTAGTATTGGTTACTGGGGCACTACTACTCCGTGGAAGATAACCTTTATTCGTACCGTTTAAGCTAGGTGAGTATGAAGATTCCGCCTTTGGTCTGAATTCTTGTCTAACTTGAGGACTGAAATTAGGACGATTCTGAGTTTGAGTTTGAGTTTGGCTCGGGTACTGAGACACACATAGAGTGCTGAGATCAGGTGCAGCCATGAGAGGAGGAGAGGGAAACCTAGGACCGTCGTTTCTCGGAGGAGGCATTGGACGGAAACCATTACCCATAGGAGGATTCATATTCTCTGTGCGATAAGGTCGGAAAACGTTACCGTAAGGCGGCCGCATGTTAGGAGGACCTGGCCTTGCAGCATTGGGGTAGTAGTTCTGCGCATGGTTCGGGATGCTGTTTCCGTTATTCCAAGAAGGATTAGCGTTAGGGTAAGGTTGTCTAGGAGGAAAAGGAACAGGTCTTGGAGCATAGTTGTACTGATTCTGAGGATTACTCATCACATTACCAGGGAACGCGTTACCATTGCTAGTGGCTACAACAACGGGAGGAGCGGTGGAGACAGATGGCTCGTAAGGTTTCTTAATCATCTTTCCTTGACCGAGTTGTTGCTGACGCTGGTTATTGTTAGCCTTGCATTCCTGAACCTTTGGCACGGCAGGCTGGTGATTGGACGACGGTTTTGGTAGGTATTTGACCTTGAATTTGTTATCGAGGATTCTTCTGGTGTCAGGGTTTGAGTCCAGAGGCTGGCTTGATGGAACACACTCCTGTGTTGAACCAGAAGCTGTGGGCGTCGCATTGGCAATAAGCTGTAAGCTCTCGGCTCGTGAGAGAGGGTTTCCACCAGCTGAGAGGCTTGTCCAAAGCCATACAGTCTTCGCAGCGTGAACAAGCGGCACCGACGCTTTGCGAGGCTGCGCCAAGAGAACATTGTACCGTCTCAATCTCAGCTGGTGAAGAGCATCGGAGAAGTCTCGATCCCCTGAGATTAGCATGAAATTTGCAGGTGCGGGATTATCCAGTGCCCAGCAGAACATGTTTACTAAAATCTTCTTATCACTCGCATCTTTCGCTCCTGAAACATTATCCACCAAAAGCAAAATATTTAGCTACTGAAAACATTATCAAACCAAAACAGGTGAAAGAGAAACTCGACTCAGAATAGAAATCCGATAGTGAAAAGAGACGCAAAAAGGTATATGTGCATGATCGATCAACAGAATTAGAAACGTGAGTGACAGAGAGAGAGCTCACCGGCGGGGACGTGATTGAGGGCAATTCCGGTGGAATTAAGGGCTTGCTGGATGTGCGGAGGGATGCGATTCGTATCGCCGAAAGCGGAGATTGAGACTGTACCACGATAATTCATCTTCTCAAGTGCGGAACTGATGTTCTGAGCAATTCCATGAGCATCGACACCCTTGGGGACTTGACAGTTCTCTATGTCCCACCACACTGCCGTCTTCGCAGTCACGTACTGCGCCTCAGCCATCTCCGCCGCCACCACCGGCCTCGTCTCAAAATCTCCTTCGCCCGCCGTGTTCATCGCCGCCTCTACCGTGCCAAAGGGCATTCAATTATTATTTTTTACCCAAAAACCTTTTTCCTCTCGCCTTTATTATATAATTCCCCTGCTGATGAAGGTATTGTGAATTGACGGTTGTACCCTTGGATTTGCGACAAGAGGGGAAGGGCAATGTGGGGAATGAACAATGAAGCGTTTTGATTGGTGGAGAGTCGTGGTTATTGCCTTGTTGGCATTAGTTGAGTAGAGGTGATACTGTGGAAAATACAAGTGTTAAGTGTGGAAATTCTCGTGCATCGTATCGTTTCCGTCCGTTGACTTTGACTTCAACGAAAGACTCAGCGTTTTCGTTTTCCACCAAGAAACTTCTTCCGTTTTTCTATTTTCTTCCAATTGTCACAGAAGACATGACGTCCTAACTTTTCTCACTGTCCAGCCAATTTTCCACTGAGACTAGATAATGCCCTCTTCTTCTTTTTCTTTTCTACGATTTAATGTATTTTAGTTACTTTTGTGTGTGTCAGTCTTTTAGATATATTAATGTTTTCTCAAATATCCTGATCATTACTTTAAGATATTTCAAGATTGGTTTTGGTTTAATACCCTAGTAACAGCTTTTGGAGGCTAATCTCCCCCGAGTTTTGAATCAACACACTGCTTAACTATATGTCTTCGCTTTGCTTTGGTGCGTATGAGTTTAGTAAGATGTTTGTAAAGATAATGATGCGAGACTGTTCAAATATCTTTGAAAAGAGATCAGTATTACTCATGTGATGTGACTAAACTTTTGCTGGCCTCGAGGCAACGTATGATCAACGGGCTCAATTTCATAACTTCCTATGTAATGAAAGTGATGTTTGCTTCTCTTAAGCAATCAATGATCAAACTTCACTTTTAGCTACCAAAATCGATAGAGAAAAAAACTGATAATTTCTCCAAAATACACAACTCAATTTCAGAACATCCTCTGATACATACAAACATCCATCTTAGTGTTATATGTTTTATATTTTCAAATTTCGAGTTTTATAGAAGTTGAGCCAAAACAAGCCCACGTTACAGGTCTCTGTTGAAACACCAACAAAAACAGAAAACGCTTTGATGGGGGCTTTCACTTGTTTCCTCTACGCACTTCTTCTTTTAGCCTCGTTCTCTGCGATCAAAACGTGAAACTCTGATCCAAGCATGTCGTGTATGTCGATATTCTTCGTGTTGCTCAAGTTCACAGTTTCCATGATCACTTCTAGAGTCACGGTGAAGCCTAGATTAGACAGGACCCGTATCGCATTCCCGATTCTGAGAATGCTTTGTCGAGTCTCGAATGGAGTATGGCTTTGACCTTTTCTTGTGTTGTAGGTGTAGGATGAGATCATCTCATCATCCACAGCCATAGGATCTCTGACTTGGACGTGTTCCCCGACCCAAATGAAGCCATTGCGGCCGAGAATCAAATCGATCCCAAGACTTTCAATGTAGTGAAAGTGGTTGTTGCTTCTCTTAACCAAGTAAGGATCAACCTTCAAAAGCTGTCCCTTGTCGAGCTGTAGAAGGGAATCATGGATTAGTCATATACATTGTTTAGAGGAAGAGACTAGCAAAAATGTATAACTTTGACTATATTGTGCCAGATCAGAATCACAAACCTTCCCATACTTGTGACTTCGAGCTTGTAGCTGCAAGCTGCCATCGCGCTGAAAGCTGCCTACTTCGGCCTATAGTTTGTTCAAATCAGAAGAAGGAACCTTTTTGTTTGTCAGGTGTGTTCAAAGATGAAGATATATTTAAAGATGGTACATTTACTAATCATAGAGATAGGACTTACACAAACGACATCATCTTCTACAAAGATATTCCGCATATTGAGTTCATCCACAGACGTTCTTCGCTTCTGCCAAACACAGACAAACTTGTATCATCACAGACAATGTGGACGCCAGGAATCATGCAAATTTTGAAAATACCAAACAATTATTAGGAATAGGACTGTAACCTGAACAGCATCAGAAATATTCATGGAAGAAAGCTTCAGTACTCCATCTTGAGAAAAGTTGAGCTCCACTCTCCAATGGCTTTGAGCAACCTATATAAGAAGGGTTTTTAAGATTATTCTCATTCAGAAACTGCGCAATGTGATTGAAACCCTTGTAATGCTACTCCCTCTCTCTCTGAATCTGATTTCAAAACCCAAATCACATTACAAAACTATACCTCAATGACACGGCTTACCACAATATCATGAACCTCAGGCTTGTACCTAAACGCAGATTTCATCATCAGTTGGAGTTAGTTTACATTCGCAATTCCTAGCGAATTAGAGAGAAGAAATCAAACCCACCTGGCTCGCAAGGTGCGTACATAGACGAGCTTGTCCACACGATCCACAACTCCGCAGACCGTCGCCAGCAACTCGCCGCCGACCTCGGAAGTTCCGTGTCCCCTTCATTCAATAGTCAACAAAGATGATTAGTACAAAAAAATTATCAAACAGAGAAGCTGGGAGAAGGTGAGATTATTACTTAAGAAAGGCATCTTCGTGGTTGACTGGGATGGACTCGGTGACGATAACAGAGTTTCCCGGAGACTGAAGCCGCTCCATAGCTCTCTCGAACCTGACCTTCTGCGTCTGGTTCAATCGTAGCTGTAGCTTTCTCATCACCATCACTCTTTCTCTCTCTACCTCCCTAATTTATCCAAACAAACGATGCGCGATTGAAAAGCAACAAGCTTGTTTGTGACACAAGTGAGCTGAAAAAGCCCCCCAAATCCTAGGGTTTCGGCTTTCGCAAGTGTTTACAAATCGGTCCTCCCGTTTAGGCGGTCTATTTTCGGCCAAAATCAGTGTAGCGCCCAATTATTTACTTATTTTAATTAGAGAAACGACAAAATAAATATGAGTAAATCAAAGAAAAGGGAAAACGTGGATTTTACTGGTTTGTTTTAATATTTCTTCAATTACTCCCACCTGTTTTAGATTCAAATTAAACAGGAGTACAGGACAGTTTAGTGGTCAAATCATTAGGATCAAGTTTTTTAATTCTATGAACACAATGTTGATGGGTTGTATGGGAAAGGGAAATAAATTTTCCGGTATAAAAAATAAACTTTCTGAGATGGTGACGGCCAAGGGTTCACACTAAAGTGCTCCTTCTCCGCCAGGTCCGGCCCTAGTATTCAACAAAGGTTGAAGAGCCTTCACGACAATGCTCATGTTTGGTCTGAAATCAGCTTCGTATTGCACACACAATGCAGCAACAGCAGCTAACTGCATGATCAACAAAAAAAAGTCCATCAAACGGTGAAACATTTGAATCGGTCGAGGAAAGCTCTTGATTTTCTTCTTCTCTTGTGTTCTATAATCACTAGTTCAAGATTGGTTTTAGTTTAAGAATACCTTAGCAACAGCTTTTGGAGGGTAATCTCCTCCGAGTCTTGAATCAACACACTGCTTAACTTTGTCTTCGCTTAGCTTTGGTGTAGCCTAAGGGGGAAAAAGCAGAGTTTTGATTGTAAAGTACAGATATTGATGCGAGATTGTTTGAAAAGAAACAAGTGTTTTACCCATGTGACCAAACTTTGCTGGCCTCGAGGCAGCGTATGATCAACGGGCTTTCGACCTGTAAGAAGCTCGAGCAGTATAACGCCGAAGCTGTATACATCACTCTTGGCAGTCAATTGCCCAGTCATTGCATATCTGGTCAAGAGAAAGATAGCAGCATGTGAGAAATGAGAGCGTTGAGCAAGGGAGACATGACAACACGAACTTACTCAGGAGCATGATAACCAAAGGTTCCAAGAACACGGGTCGAATGAAGGCGTGCAGCCATGTCAGGAGCTTGATTTGAAAGATCAAAGTCGGCGATTTTAGCAACATGGTCATCAAAGATTAGAACATTGCTGGACTTTATGTCGCGGTGGATGATATGTGGATTCGCCTTTTCATGCAAGTACTCAAGCCCTCTTGCTGCTCCAACCGCAACCTTGACTCGTTGATGCCACGACAAGAGTGGACCAGGCTTGGATCCCTTGACACCTTTTCTCCCTGAGGAACCACCCAGTGTGATGTTATTAACACCAACAAACAAAATGCAGAGAAAGATCATGACTCAGCTTAATCTAAGACTGTACCATGAAGTAGATCATGAAGAGATCCATTTTGGGCAAACTCAAAGACGAGTATCCGCGAGTTCCCATCAACAGAGTAACCAAGAAGCTCTACAAAGTTATCATGCTTCAACCTCGAAACCATGGAAACCTACAGGTTTCATTTTCCAAATCAAAGACGGAACAAATATGACATAATAATAGTAATAAGAAGAAGAAGAAGAAGAATCCATCAGCAAACAAAACCTGGGCAAGGAACTCATTGTCAGGCTGTTTGTTAGAATCCAACTTTTTGATCGCTGCAGGCTGATCATCCTTCAACAACCCGTGATATACTCTTGCATAAGATCCTTCACCGATGAGAGATTTTGATCCAAAATCATCTGTTGCTTCGATGAGCTCATCGGCGAGAATGGCGGCGACTTCTATAGGCTGCACCTTCACAGTTTGAGAACCCTTTTGTGCAGTTTCAGAGGCATTTCGCCTTCCATCGTGCCCTGCCTGTGACTGTTTGCTCATATTCTGGCCTCCATAATCAGCGGCTCCAAGCGAATCATCTTCACGGCAAAAACCGAAACAGCTCATCGTTCCTCTCTGTGATTCGATCATCGCAAAATTGGAATAAGAAAACATACACCGAAACTCCCAACTCAATCAAACACACATTACACATAAATTCCAGCAAAGACCCAACTCGTAAAGCGTATATCATATAGCTAAATCGAAGCGTCTCAGTTCAATTCAAATCGGAAACGAATCCGAATATAATCGAGAAGCTAATCACCTTGATCCGAAGCAGAACACACAAAAACGAAGGAGGATCACTAGTGCGAGAGAAATTGAAGATCTATAAAACTCGCCTGTGAAAGCGTAATCTAAGCGTAAACAAAAATACTAATTAATTTTTTTCTTTTGCGCTGTGATAAGAAAGAAATCGAACGTTTTGGTGGGACCGCTTTCTTCTTGACTGCTCTCTAACTTGGACTTAAATGTCAACGTTTTGACAGCTAGTCAACGTTCATTCACGCCGTTGGATGGCGACAAACGGAGAATAAAATCCCCGATTATCTCAAGAGTTAAGAGCACAATCCCAAAGGAATGATTCACACAAAGAGTTTTAACATATTGATGCATCCTTTTGGGATACCAAAAATGATTACAAACGTGAGGATCACAAGATCATGGCAAATGGAATGATATTCGTTTGCAAAAACCCTTTGTTTAATGTTAATTCAAATGATTGGGTAGGTTTAGTTTGTTTTTCAGCTTATTAATTTTCCTTTCTAATTATAAACCAAATAAAATTAAAATCGTTGTAGTGTAACCCATACATTTGCAAAAGAGTTGTATAATTTAAATTTAGAGGTTTTTTCTCTATTATCACAGTTTCGTTACTTTTTTTAATCCTTTCAATCAAAAGAGTGATTAAAGTACCAAACATACCAAAAGAAGATGAAAAAAACACAAAAAGAACAAAACTCCATAAACAATAATAAAATCTCCTAAAACGCTCACCTTCACACTGTGACATACAAAAAAGTGAGCAGACGAGCTTTTTCAGGGTTTTATCAATCCTTCTCTTCACGCTCCATGAGAAAATTAATCCTTCAGGAGAAAAGTCTTGCACCTCCTTTACGCCAAACACCACGCACCGGCACTCCACCGGAATTGTCGTCTTTTGATTCTGGTTCGGGCTCATCATAAGACTTGTTAAGATCTAGCAATGCAGCCATTGATCCATCACCAAGCCGTACTCTGTGAAACTTGGAGGTTTTCTTACGTTGCTGCTTGCCTCCGGTTGAAGAAGAATCCACTCCTGCTACCTTTGATTTGCCTTTGTCAGACCGGTATGCATTCTTATCTTTCGATATCATCTCTTCTTCTTCTTCATGAGAATTCTGTGAGGACTGTAATCTCCGAACTGTGTCCATAAAGTTATCTGCTAATGCTTCCTTAGGATCAACAGCTTTCACACCTTTCCCTTTGTTTTTCTTTGAACCTTGACTCTCTTGAGCTTGAGAAGAGCTCTGCGCGGCAACAACTTGACCATTCTCCTTTGTATCGTTTCTCAGACTGGCATTGTGGGTATCAATGAGTTCCTTCTGCCTCTTCGGGTCAGGGCAGAGTGTAGCAAGATCAATAACCAAGTGAGACAATCCATAACCTTTCACATACTCCAAGTAATTCTTTGCATCAATCGAACCTTGACGATACTGCCCTGATACATCTTTGAAGGACATGAATAGTTCTTCATCATGACCAAGTGCAGACCGCATTTTCTCAACCAGTGACTTGTTGGCAGACTGTACATCTGGAGGCGGTTGGGAGTTTGAAGATCCCTGTGTGATGGTGGATGATGTCTTGCGATTTTGCACTACAGCCGAAGAAACGGGAGGAAAATCTGAAGGCTGAAGTGATGATCTTGTATCAGATAGATTAGGGGCTGATGATGAGTGAGGAATCCTATTTGCATTACGAGCAGCCTGTGGAACCACAGAATTAGGCGGTCTAGGCTGTGAAACTCTGGCATGGGACCAAGATTGGGCTGAAGAACTAGGGGCTTGTACAGGTGTGCGACCTATTGCTGGCCATCCCGAAGAAGAGTTGCCACCGCCTCTTGTATTGGACGCTTGTGCTGGGCTGCGGTTAACCGCTGGCCATGCTTCAGAAGGATTAGCGATAGCAGTAGTTGCGGTAGCAGTTCGATTTTTCTCACGCCTTAGACGGGCAAGCAAAGAGTTAACTGGCGCACTCTCCAAGTTCTGTCCAGATCTCGGTTGACCAGAAAGAGGAGGAAAAGCAGATTCTCCAAGACGCGAACCACCAACAGCTTGAAGATATCGCGAAGAGGTCTCCACATCGGCAGTTGATAGCGATTCCATTGGTTGGATAAGAGGGTCCCCATCATCAACGGGTCTGTTATTGTTCTCAGAGAATCCAGGTGGTGCACTTGAGGGTTGAGGAGCAGGCTCTTGCCGAGGATTCTCAGACTCAGATAAACGAAGAGCAGCATGGACTGCACGATTATATTCATCATCACCATGCTCACGACGAAATGATCGAACTCTCCCACGACGATTCTCTTGGTCGTTTCCACTTCGGTACCGGAAACTCGTTGGAATCTGGAGCGGAATCACAAATATTAAACATTTAGGAAACCAAACCGGAAGATGAATTAACAAAAGACACAAGGTAAGAGGGGATGCATGCCTGTAACGCAGCATTTCTCTGAGCACGAGACATTTTACCCCCATGCTCGGTAGCATTATGCCTCTGAAAACACAAATACAAATACTTAACGAAAGCCCACAGACCAGGACAAAAAGGGAACAATGGGAAATTAGCCAAAAGTGATTACTTTCAACTCCGCTTCACTTGGGAAAACTATGAACTTCTTTGTGAGGCAGGAGTCGTCTTCACAAAGGAAATGGTCTCGTCGAAAGTGAAGCTGTTGCAAAAGTATATAGAATCAGAACAGATGCAGTACAGTAACAAGATTGGCCTAAGCTATAGCGAAACTGGTTGATAATTACCTCCAAGTCATCATAGTTTTTGTAATATTCATATTGTCCTGCCTGCGACCTAAATTGGATATTGAAGTCAATCAAGAAGTCGTTCAGGTTACACACTCTCAAAATAAAGATTTGGCAAATAAAAACTGGCATTACCTTTGGCATATAAAACAGGTGTAATGATCTGTAGTCATGTGAGTATATAATTCATTGTCACCGTAGAATGGATTCCTACAGAATTCACACAAAGGATGTCCGGCGAAGCCTCCTCTTTCACTCTCACTTCCATCAACTACAGAGTCACCGGTGAGTATATGCTGGTTAAGCTGTGCCCTGGTATACAACTTCTGTTCACATATGAATATCTGTCCATGTAGAGAGTCGACAAGAGATGTAAGAAAATGTGCAAAAGTTCCAACAGGATAATAGCAAATAAGCTGCGCATATTGAGTTTTGAATCTCCCACCTTACGCCCTTCGAGACACAAATTACACATATTCAACTTGTGCTTATGAAAGAGATGACCCTTCAGCTGTTCAACACTCTTAATCCGCAAACGATGCCTTGGCCCTGGTCCTCCTTCTCTTGGTTGATCCTCCGTCTTGTCACAAACACTGCACGAGAGTCTACACATCGCTTTGATCATCCTGTACTGATCCAAGTCATCAAAGAAAGCCTGAGTGTCTTCATGATACCAAAACCCTCCTGCTACTCGACCTTCCCTTGGTGATGATGGGAAGGTTGAGAAGTCATTGATCGTCCTCGTATAATCACCCAATGCCTGCAATTTTTTCCATCAAACCCCTTAATAAGCATTCATTGTAGGAAAACGCTTAGCATGCAACAGAGAGGAACCAAGATAGAAACACTATTAATTAACTGCGAATAGAAGGCTAATTACGAATAATAGCAGAATCAAATCTATTCGATGAAAAGAGCAGCTCCGATAATATTTGGCAACGGAGGTGCAATTAAGAAGAGGAAACGCCTAATAACCTTGGTGACGAAGACAAAAGGGGACTCGGTTTTGCAGATACAGCAGCGAGGATCGCCGAGGACGAAACGGAGACGAATTACGCATGTAGAACAAACTTCTCGGTGACCACAAGATCCGTAGCCAACCCATTCGAGATTATCGGCGCAGACGGCACAACTATCATCCATGGCTCTTGTCGAATTTGGGATTGGGGTTGAGAAATTGTTTCGATGCGAGGGAACAAAGATACGATGAGCAGAGATCTAGGGTTCTCAGAGGGCAGGCTAAAAGGCAGCAATATGGAGGATACGAAAAGGCCTACGAATCATAGTCAAACAAATACCAAACGAAAATTGGAAAAATCATTACTATTAATTATCTAGCTGACAAATATATTATTAAATGTTGCGTTAGCACTTGGGGATGTAGCTCATATGGTAGAGCGCTCGCTTTGCATGCGAGAGGCACAGGGTTCGATTCCCTGCATCTCCATTCCCTTTTTATTTTTTTAACTTCTAATGAGTATGGGCCTATAGAGACACAGTGAAAGCCCAGAATTATAAACCCAATTAAATTGTTGGCACCATAAAATAAGGGTAGATACGTAATTGAAAGCCCAGAATTATAAACCCAATTAAATTGTTGGCACCATAAAATAAGGGTAGATACGTAATTGAACTATTCAAAACCCTAGAGTCCCTTCTTTTAACTTCATTTCCCTTCACTACTAAATATCTCCATTCTAGTTTTTTTCCCTGCAGCCGTTGTTCGCTTTGCCGCAAAGATGCAGATCTTCGTGAAAACCCTTACGGGGAAGACCATAACCCTTGAGGTCGAATCCTCTGACACCATCGACAATGTCAAAGCGAAGATCCAAGACAAGGAAGGAATCCCGCCGGACCAGCAGCGATTGATTTTCGCGGGGAAACAGCTGGAAGACGGCCGCACGCTCGCCGACTACAACATCCAGAAGGAGTCGACGCTTCATCTCGTGCTCCGTCTCCGTGGTGGTGCGAAGAAGAGGAAGAAGAAGACCTACACCAAGCCGAAGAAGATCAAGCATAAGCATAAGAAGGTGAAGCTCGCCGTCCTCCAATTCTACAAAGTCGACGGATCTGGCAAGGTTCAGCGTCTCAGGAAAGAATGCCCAAACGCAACTTGCGGTGCCGGAACTTTCATGGCTAGTCACTTTGATCGCCATTACTGCGGCAAGTGTGGTCTCACTTACGTCTACCAGAAAGAGGGAGCTGAGGAATGATTTCTTAAATCGGTAGATTGATCACTCTCTTTCTCTCTCTCTCTTGCTCTATCTTTAAGAACTGATTTCGATTTGGTATTTTTATATGTTTTTTGCTATAATGGATTCAATGTTGAACATCCTTTGTTCTGGATTTTTTATCTAGAATGATGAAATTTCGAGGTTTTTGTTTATGTTACAACATATTCAATCATTTCTTCTATTCGAATTCGACAATTTACTATGTAGAAGCAAAATTCGAATCTAGTTCAGGTTTGCGAACTTGCTTGAAGAACAATGGCTTAACTATCTTGATTGGTTTCTATTAGTTATGCTTACTATGCTTATTTAATCAAATTCCGGGAAACTATTTTTCACATCGTAATTTGAATTTGTTTGAAAATGAACTTTGATTGTAGCATTATCAACTCGTTTAACAATTATTCATGAATATCTCTATTGGATTTTGAAAAGCAACACATTGGTCGTGATAACACTTGAACAAATTTGTTGCCACGGCTTAGTTCATCCGCAGTGGTCGTAATCCTCTTGCTATTACATTGTTAAAATGAAAAAACACAACCATGCAAAGACTAAATTCATCTCTGTAGTCGTGTTTTATTTTATAATAGGCCGATACATAGTTCTGAAAATTACCGAGGACAATTTTTTGCGTCTTGCGAGTAAAATTCACATTTATGAATCTAAACACACCATGTCTACTGCTATACTGCGTAAGCAAACAACTAATCTGTCGAGAGAGAAGGAAGAGGAAAATGTATCTGCTTATTACTCAAGAGTTTTCAAAAAGTTAACAAGTTTTTATAACATGTAGAGCAAGAGAATCATTCAGATAACAATCAGACTTGACTTGAGGGAAAAGAGATATTAAAGAATTGGTGGGTACTGTTTCGCCTGTTGTCGCACCTTTCTTTTGTACTCAGTCTTGTCCTGCAACCGCAACAAAATAAAATAAAAAACACACTTGCTTACATTACTACAAATCAAAATCACAATTCCATAACTCAAACCAAGAACAAGTGATCTCCATCACAACTACATGCCATTTCAAGTAGCCACTACTCCTAAAGAAGTATTGATTCTGCTATTTAGCTATCAAAGACTAGTTAAGGTCAACAACAGGTTTTACAGGAAGTGCAATAAAGCAGAAAAGAGAAACCTGGACAAAGAGCTGGTATCCTTCCGTCTGAGCAGGGTCATTAGGGTTTGGTTCATCAAGCAAGTCCTGAATACCAACCAAGATTTGCTTCACAGTGATAGCTGGTCTCCATCCCTATAAGATCGTAAAAAGGATCCTGTAAGCTTCGTTTTTTTTTAACCATTAAGCTCCCAAGTAGAAGAAGAAGAATAGTTGTGTAAGTGCTTACATAATCCTCGTTGAGAATAGAGAGGCAAACTGTTCCAGAAGGATAGACATTAGGATGAAAGAAACCTTGAGGAAACTTGCACTTTGGAGGTTTGCTTGGGTAGTCCTCTGAAAAATGGAGTGTCAGTGGATAAAACCCACCTTCCCAGTCTGTCTGCAAAACAACAAACAATCCGACTTTACCATATTCACTATACCAATCATAAAAGAAGCTCAATAATATAACATACAGAAGATACCTAAAGCGCACATACAGCTACGCATGATCTAGTAATCTTAATGATTCAAAAAGAGCCAAATGGAGCAATATATATATATATATATATTAGCAAGCGAAAGTGGAAGAAATGTCACAAAGAATATGCAAACACTGGATAAGCCAACATGAAACACCATGTGTAAGGCAAAATCTGTCAAAAACGCAAAAGATATAGACATCAAAAACGCAAAAGATACAGGTTATTGCTCTATACTCTATAATGAAACAATTGAACACCCTTTACAGTCATTACTGACAAAAATAAAACTTGAACTCGAACTAATCAGAACAATCCAAATTGAGTGAAGGAGAAAGAGGCTCTCACCCCAGATTTGCCAGGGATAATACACTGCCAGACCATTAGGTTATTTGTTCCATCTGACGAAGTCTCCGGCTTGGCAACAAATGCCTAAAGCACACACAGAGACAGAGGAACACAGATTTGATTTGAGGTAGAGAAACGAGGGAGAAGCAAAAAGGGGCAAACGAGAAGAAGATCAACGATACATACGTGGGGATGGTTCTTACGCCACGCTTTCCTCTCCTCTGTGAGTCGACCCCGTGCGATTCCACCGGACATGACTTCGCTCTCTTCTGCTTTGCTTCGATCGCCAAAATCCAAATCTCCAAATCCAAATACCCCAGGCTTAAGTCTTGTTCTTCTTCTTCGTCGGCTTTTGTGTTTTTATACTTAGACCCGAATTGTTTTCTATTTTCTAATAGAAGGAAAAAAATTAGTTTTTTTTTTTTACCCTAAAATATATACATTGACAAGTAATAGTCTTTCAGTAATAAAAATTTCTTTAAATTCATGAGAATATTATATACACACAATTTAGGAATTAATACTACTATAAAGTGGTGAATTTAAAAGTTTATTGTTAGAGTTTGCCTTCGAATACAGTAATTTTGTTACTTTAAGATGGAAAATGAATAATGTTAAAGGAAAAAGAAAAGATGGAAAATCAACCGAGATAATGTCGACACTCTGTAGGAAAGAAATAAGAGAGATGGGATCAATAATTGTATAGTTTTTATTTCTTTCACTGTACACAAAACAATCAACATTTTCTGTAATCACACAGACAACAAGCACACAACAACATGTGTATTCTCTCAGCTGCTTAAAACGTCAAACTCAAATACAAAAAGCAGCGTGAGAGAGAGAGATATTTCGTCATTATCAGTATCCACCAAGAACACAATAGTTTCAGCCATCCAGAAGATTCCTCAAGCTACGAAAAGCCTCCGGCGTAAGGCTACAACACCTTTTCTTCTCCAGCGGAACCACCGACTCCTCATCTCGGTCCACTGTCACAAAACATACCACAACAGCTGTTAAGTTATCAAACGTGTTCAGCCTCAGAGCCTCCATCACAAGCTCTCTTGCACATCTCGTGGGATCGCCGTGTCGGTTTAAGCCGCGCTTCACAACGCCAACCGCTTCTTGGCTTGTCAAGACATCCCAAATCCCGTCGCACCCGATTACAAGAAACTCGTCGTCCTCCGTTAAAGTTATCTGCTTGATCTCAGGTTCGGAGATCAGTGGAGACTTAGAGCCGTGTGGGCGTTTCATGTCCCAGTCGCCGAGAGCCCGGGTTACAGATAACTCTCCGTTTAGGTAACCGTCCTCAATGACACCTCCAGATTCTTCTACTCTTCTTCTCTCCGGTAGATTCACCGGTGTATGGTCTTGAGACATCTCTATCGCTCTGCCTTTTCTGCAAAGAACCGCTCTGCAGTCTCCAGCATTTGCAACCATCAAGAGTCTGCAAAGTAAAAGTACCCCCATGAGCAATCACAGTTAAACCACCACCAAATCAAACAGAACCAAAACCTGATAAACCCGGTGAACACAACTAGCTACTATAGCAACATCAGTACAGGACAATAATGAAACTTCCTCAGATCACAGGCTTGTTATACACCGAAAGAACTAATACACTTACCTTCCGGAAATAAGAGCAGCAAGGGCCGTGGTACCAGAGGAAGAGCTGATGCTACAGTCCTCTGCCAAAGCTAGATCAGCTTGGAGAAACGCATTTCTCAACGAACTCTTAACTTCTTCCACGTAAACACCATTCACTTCCGATGTCTGTGGAAATGTATCGTCTTCAAAGAAAAGCCTGATGGCATTTTGCCGTACATACGTTGCTGCTTCTGATCCTCCATGACCATCAAAAACCTGAAAAGGAAGTCTAAGTCAGGTTCTATCTTTAAAAGAGCATTAGATATTGAAGGAAGCTAAACGAATGATTACCGCATAGAAAGCACTTGGCTTTGGTAACTCAAAAAGACACCCAACTTGGGAGGATAGATCATCTACGCAAATATGTTCGTCTTCCATGAATTTCTTTGGCCCGATATCAGCGTAGCTTCCAGACCGGATGGTCGGAACATAAACCGAGACACTAGAATCATCCTCCGGCTTCAGACCCTAAAAAGGTACACACACACTATTAATGAACAAAAAATCAATATCTTTATAACAATCAAATTTAGTCCCAATTCCTTCAATCGAAGGAAACTACCGATTGAAAAAGACTAAAATTCATGCTCAATTGAGAAAATCAATAAATGGAATACAAGTAGAGTGAAGACAAGACATATTAACAAACACAATAACTACGACGGATAGGGCTTCTAGAGAAAAAAGTAGGTGCATTTAGTTCTCAAAGTCACCAGCTTTAAAGTCGGTTAATTCACAAAGTTTCGGACAACAATCATCTAATATCTGCTACAACACGCAAGCATACATGTTGAAAGTGTTCCGGATCGTTTTGTTTCCTATAAAGTCGTCTTCTTTGATGAATCTAAAGAATCACCCTCAATACCAAACAATTCGGTTAAAATTTCTAATTATAGACGGTTAATTTCAGAGCCCAGCTTCTTCAATTCTCTTTCGCATGAGCCCAGTAAGAAAAGAAGAAAAAAATCAAATCATCAACTAGTCGAAAAGCTTAATACTTACCACCGGAGAAGTCGATATACCCTGTTGAAATAAACCCTCTGCTTCTGCTACCATCTCTCTCTTTCTTCGCTATCAAATTCAATCCCACTTTCACAACAATTATAAGTTAAAACCCGATCGATTCTTTGAAACTTTCACTCGAAATCACCGTCTTTTTGTTTGATTTTTCTCCCAAATCGGTTCACTTGTTTTCAAAGTAAATTTGACAATTTCGAAGTTTGTGTATTTGTTTTTCCTCTCGCGGACGAAAATTCTGTGACGCGTTGGCTTTCTCTGTGTGTATATATATATATATATATATATACTCTTTAAAATTAAGAAGACGAATTGTGGGTGACTGGGTAACCGGTGAATAAAGTGGACACGTGGAGGTTTTGTGGCGAATCATAGATCTTATGTGGATTATTATCGGTGTTTAGTTTGTGGATTACACACGGCTTAGACTAAGCCCTATCGATGACACGTGTCCCAACGGTGGAGTTTGAGTTTTGACGCGCGTACCTAAAACGACGTCGGAGTTCGTAACATCCTCCTTTCGAACTTTACCAAACCATTGCTCGGAAATAACGAGGAATTAATGTAATAATATTAAACAATAAGGAGTAGTTTGGGAAATAAAGAACTAAGAATCTCAAAAGGTTTGTCCGTGTCCACACCTGCGTTACATGAATTGAAGATAGATTAATCTAGACCGTTAAAATCACCAAGGTGGCCTTGGATCCCAAGTTTACCGGTTGGTCATGACACGTCATCAGCTTTTTTTTGTCACGAATGATTTTGTGGATAATTAGTTCAGTGTTTCTTAAATAATTTTGTGGATAATTAAGTTCAGTGTTTCTTAAGTGCTCGCTTCTATCCAAAAACATGACCAAAAGCATATGTATTCTTTTCCTCCAAAATTTCATTGTTGTAAAGAAATGAATAAGAGTAACTTAATTAATAAAATCATATTTGTTATCCGCCTTTGTTTATGATATAATATGTTTCTTCTAGACTAAATCAAGAACTAACGTGTTGTTAAAATGTGAAACGTGTTTCGTGGAAAGTCTGATAACCAATTAAAAAACTAGATGATACAGAGACTTATCAGCCAAAAATATAAATATAGCCAATAGGAATTAACAAATAATCAGCCTAAGTCGGCAAAATGTTGCTGGTGCTATTATTGTATATGAGTTTAAATAACATGACTTGAAGAAATCGTCACGTTGATGATGAATGATGACGACGGGCAGTATTTGATGGACCATCATAACTAGCGAAAAGCCCATGAAGCTTTCCACTAGTGAATTGTTTGGAACCCATTGAATTGCGTGCTTTTGGGAAGAATGTTAAACTATCACAAATCCAAATTAATCGACAAAGCCATAGAGGTTTGCTAACATTTAGACTAGAATCATATAAAACAAATTGCTTTAAATATATATTAAAAAAAGACTACAGTAAAAAGTTACGTTCGCATAAGTAACATCAAATCTTTGACTGTAAATATTGTATTTCCAGAACCACTCTTTAAGAGTATTGTTTTTACTTTAGCTTCTAAACTAATCTTGCGGATGATTTGAACACCATCAAAACAAACATGAACTACTTTGGAGGTACATACATAACATGCAGTATATATACTTTTTTGGCCAAATTTGTTAACATTAAAGTTACTGTATAACATTTTTACCTTGCGACATATCTGCCTTTTTATTAACTGACATTCGAAAGGACAAGTAAAAGAAATTTACAGTGATTAGAATCGAGAGATCAAGATCAGAAAATGAAAATGCTAACGCAAAACATATGTAAAAGGAAAAACTCAAGAAAGCTTTTAGATCCAAGATCAATTAGTCAGCTAATTTTAAACATAATGTCTCCATAATGGCCAATCTCACTTGGACGAAGATGGGTTTAAAGGGCTCGGCTTCGGACTATTATGCCCTTTCCCGGCGAGCCTAGGACTCATCTCACTTTTCAATTCATTAACTCGAGGACTAAACACTTGAGACAGATTCCGCTTATAAACAGGCGTAGAGGTCGAGCTAGTAACTTTGGGACTACATGTGTGTCTAAATTCTCCTCTACTTCTTGTAATATACTCATCAAGAATCTCAGAATCACATGGATATGAAGCTGGTGTTCCCATCTCAGATTCCTGCGAAATCGTAAAATCTGTTAACAAGAAGCCAAAAATGAATTTTGACTGAATTTAGTAATGGAGTCTTCTTTACCGCCACTGCGAGATTGAACGGTAAAGCAGGTGCTTCTTCATACTCTGCTGCGTCTAAGTCCTGAAGATGCGCACTTTTGAAGAATCTTGGGAGGATATATTGCCTTACAGGTACTAGAAACATGATCATCAGAGGGAACATAACTCCAGCGAGTGGGATCCAGGTGAGACCGAAGCAGATTAGAAGATAAGTTGTTTGGAAAATAGTGAACATTGCAATCGTTTTGAATGGAACAGTTTCCACGAATGTCGCGTGGTTGTCTTCGAGAACCCTGCAAATTTTTCAAGCATTGTGCTTGAGTAAAATGAGTCTTGAAGAGCGTAAAGGAAGATTTAAAAGATTGAGACTTTACTTGAACCGACGACTTGGGGCTGTGAAGAGAAGTAAGATTCTTTCCCAGAATTGGTTTCCGGGTAAGCTTTCGATGGCCATGAAGGCAAAGTAGCCCCAAAGGACTGATGTAGGGATCATTTTTAGGAGAGGCATAGCTGCAACACATCCTCCAACCATTATTGCCTGAAGCAAGTTGCTTACTCTCTGTTCTTTGACTTCTATCGGCAGTAAATCGTCAATTTCTTTCTCGATATCAAACAGGGTTTCATCAACTGGCGCGTCGAGGTTTCCTGTGAACGTTGTGGATTGGATTGTTGACTCTCTCAGCTCTCTCAGACCCTGCAGAAGAGACAGTTTATCCACGTTACAGCCTCAAACCATACGAAACTCATTGACGAACTGGAAGATTACACAGAAAGGTTTCTTTACTTGAGGCTGTTGGTATACTAACGGTGTCTGCATTTGATTATAGACATCTTGCATGTTTCCATACAACTGTCCTAAGCTCGCATTCTGCTTGATGCTTCTGCGTGCACTTGCAACTAGTCTGTTCCGAAGCAGCTGTGGAAAGAGCAAACAACGAGCTTAAATCCAATGCCTGAAAGGGAAAAATATATAAAAAAAACAACGCGTTATCAGTAACGTACCTGGTATTTTAGTGTTGCAAGGCTCTTGGTATGCATAGGTGATTGAGGGATGACTCCATTTGACGGAGGGATTCCCAGAAGACCACACATCAAGGTCTGCAGATGGGGCGGAGTTATAAGTAAGTTGAGCTCGAGAAGATGATGAACAAATGACTAAATTCTTGCAGATACTCACCAGAAACCCAAGAAGAAGCAGATCATAGTGGTAAGAAGAAGGTTTTCTCAGATTGAATTCTTTCTGCTGTGAAAGCTGTGATGCTACGCTATGGTCGAAGTAGTAGAGAACTGCAATCATTGTTGCGGGAATGAAGGCACCAATTATGAAAACAGTTGGAACTTGGAGCATCTCCTGAGATTGAAGAGTCACTAGGCATATTAGTCATATTGTTCATCTGGGGGTGTGTCAGGTTAAAAATGTTCAATCTGGGAGTAAAAGACACACCTTTACGACGGTCCAGTTCTCATAAGCACCAGGGGACCAAGGATTAGGGCTAAAAAGACGCCGAGGAATTCCTTTCGGAACATCTCCTGTTGGGATGTAGGAGACACCGGTCCACACCAGAACCATGAGTGGCACACCATAGTCAGCTATTAAGCTTCTAAGCCAGCCTGTTTCACGAATAATGATTTTTGTTTTTTATATAAAAATAAAGTGAATCAAGTTTCTTCAAGAACAAGGAAGAATTGACTGAGATTGGTATTGATTGGTCAAGATCCTTAGAATAAGGAGATTCCAGCTCATGAGATTAAAAAAAGAAAATGAAAGTTGACTAACTACATCGATACCTGTCCCATATCTCCAGGATCTGGCTTTTCTGCTTCTAAGTGCAGTTATAAGAAGACCAAAGGAGAGAACCAAAGCAAACATCCCATTTGCAAATCTCCAGGAAGGTAAAAACTCCAGAAGTTTCAGATTTTCTCTCTCAGGAGAGCGAAATTCATCAACTAGTCCCTAAATGTATGATAATCAAAGGTTTACATTAGAGGCAAATAAAATCGGATTTCTTGGTATCGAAGCGAAATCGTAAATCTTCTTACTTTGATGGCTTCTTGCATGAAGAGCATAGCTATAAGAAGTCCAAACAATTCTCCAGCTACTCTGGTGAATCTGTTGATTATTGAACAAGCTCCACATATAGCCAACACAAACAGAATCAACGAAGTCCAAACACAGACCCTGCACATATTTGACTTGATTAACGCCTCGTTGCTCGATATTTCACAAGATTAACAATGAAACTAGAAGAGAAGTTACCATCCAGACCAAGCCAAGAACAAATTGCGTCCTAGTTCAGGTCTCCCTTTTGCAAAATTAAACATGAATGTGTACATGATTACAGTTGGCTCAGCAACTCCGAGTATTAGCAGAGGCTGGCCTCCGATAATCGAGTGGATGATTCCGCAAATCGCTGTAGATGCCAGTGTCTGAACAGCCGTGAGAACTCCATCTGCAAATAACATAATCCGATTCAAGTTGCAAATTTTCTATAACATTCATAAAGCTGACAGCTTTTTAAGAGAGGAGAAAGTTGAGTACCAGTGCTTCGTTCCAGTTGTTCGCCGAATGAAATAACAGGAATCGCAGACGCGAAGAATATGTATGTGGTGGGAGCAAGAATCCTACAGAATTAGTGATTTGTATACATATGTGAATAAGTTCATAAAAACAGAGAAATTTTGAAGAAAAAAAGAATACGAATAAGGTGACCCATTCTAGTACCTATAGCCAGCTTTGAATCCTCCGGTCCAATCTTGTTTGTAGCACATTAACCTTCCTTTAAGATCATTCTTGATACCTTCAAACGGAACGAAAGTCTCTTCCATTGGGTTGGGTGGCTTCTCTTTGTAAAAAAATCACTCTGTTTTTAAGGTCCTCTGTTTTTTCTCTCAGCCAAATCGTCAAACACTTGGAGAGCTTCTTTGCTTAAACACTCTCCAACTACAAGTAGAAGATTAGCTTAAAGCCGTACTGAAACGAAGAGGAAAAAAAAACTACTTGAAATCGAACAGACCCATTTTACAGAACATTTCTCAGAAACTCTAGTTTAGGGGACAGAAGAAAGATGGACAAAAATCCAGATAATAAGACCCAGAAGCACAGAACCCAGTATTAAGGAGCTCGTTACAACAATGAATCTCGTCGAAGAAGAAGATTGGGAACGATTCATTTAACAAATTTACATGACAGAGTGTTTTTTAGAAGTAATTGAGAAGCAATAATGGGAAAAAAGGGACTGTATTGCTTGGATGGCAAGAAAGTGGCAAAACTGTTTCAGCTGAGCAAATTGCAATGTACGTCTTTGGTGGCAATGAAGAAGAAGCCGAAGCATCGTTATATATATATTATAATAATGACGGAAATTAAACTTATAAATTAATTAAAAATTTGTGAACAAAGCGCGTAAGTGTGTCGACTGTAAAAGTTTTAATAACACTTTATAAAATAATAATATTCTGTATAAAACATTATTATTGCTCCCCACCATACCTTTGACCTTTTTTTCGAGAAGAACAAAAAAAATAGTTCAAAAGTATTTTGTTGTTCGGATGAAGAGATTATACACTAATTTTAGCTGTAGCTACCGTATGTCTATATTTCGATAGGTAACAAACCGATTTTAATAGACATAGCACGTTTTCACATATACTACTAAGTTTATCTAGAACGAGTGTTTGTATGAGTCTAGGGTTTACTTCAGTCTATTTTACAAACATTTGTAAAGGTGAAAATATCTTTGAGAAGCTTAAAAATGACTGTCGGATATGCAATACAGCCTATGGGGTAAAAAAAATAGGCCAAATGTTTTGTAAACTCACATATGTATACAGAAACAGTTGAAATGTTTATCTGTATCCAGTGAAAATGAAATTCATGTTCCGTACGATGTTTAATTTTAAAGATAACAACGAAAAATAAGAAAAATGTATGAATCACTTTTTGAAGGTGGTGCGGAATGCGGATAATATATACATCTATCTAATCATACACTGACGTTGGAATAGTAAGAAATCAACCTAATACATACGAACATCTTTTTAACAATTAAGAAGCAGAATTTGACATAATCATCCAATCACATAAATGGGTTTACTAACCTTTCATTTGTCACTTAGTTAGTTAGTGTCTAATTAATATATTATATGATCTATCGTGGATGTATATGAATAAAGAGAGGTTGAAGTCCATGTGCTATGGACAACTCATTTCTTGGCGCCCTCGACGCAATCTCACAATCACATATACAATATTACAAATTCACAGCCGCATTTCTCAACTAACCTTTCTGATAAATAAATACCACGAACCATTTGTACATAGAAACACATATAGAAATAAAAATGTATACTAAAAGATCATTAGTTTTGCGAAAACACTCGTATTCACTTTACAGCTACTTGAAACTCTTCACACGAAACCAACCTGTTCAAAATCCATTTACCAACGCAATCATCGAAAAGCCTTAATTATATTTCACTGACTTAAGTAGGAATAAAGTTCATGAAAATACACGTATAGTAAAAGTCGCCTATATTTGCTCTACACATGTTAATATATTTCTAATCATTGATTGTTCCGCCTTTTATAATTCTTGTGCTTCACTTTTTATGTCTTTTTTTTGGTTCAATAAATAATTTATATGAATCGTGATGAATGTTCCAATTCGAATCCACAATATGATCAGCAAAAGTTATCTTAAATTTCCATTTGTACTAGATTTTTCACAATTTTAGTAGAACAAAATAAGTAATCAATCATATTTTTCACTATATTAAAACTTTACGTAAAAGAAAATTATCTTAAGTGGACTTGTATATCCTCGTTTGCTTTAACAAGCTGTTTTCCTCGTTTGGTGAGTTTATTCAAGCATTCATATGATTAATTGTTTTGTAATAGATGTATTTAGATAATTTACATTTCAATGGGTTTGATTGATTTAGCATGGGTGTTGCTTTCTTTGTATAGCTACGTACCTCATCTTCACCTTAGATATTTTTTTGTAACTGTACTTAATAACGAGAAAAGGTCAACTTCTATGTATGTCCATAGATATTTCCCGGATAAAATATTGATATCCAAGAGGGGGCATGATGACATGACATTGAGTTACATATATTAGTATTGTATTACACGAACCTTATTTTAAAATATCATATAACCGAATAACTACAGATGCCCCGCCTCCATGACTTGACAGTGTGAGACGGTGAAAAAGTGATAGTCATATGTCTGTTTTACTCGTCGATCTTTTTACAATTATCATATAATCGAATAATTACAAATGCCCCACGATCTTTTTACAGTTATATCGCCCGCCTACGACTGTGAGTTCTTAAAACATCTCCATCGCTCAGATATTTTTAATTATAAAAGCAAAATTAAACCATTTATATAAAATATGTGGCTAGAATCTCTTTAAAACCAATTCTTAAAATTTTTATCTAGGAATAATTTATTCTTTTCTCTTTCACCTTTTTTTTTCATTTTTTAATACTTAAAATACTCTATAAAACTTCTTGATGGAGGTGGTCTTACGCAACAACTTTTAATAGATTCATTTTAAACAATTTATTTTTATGATCCATTTACAATCAGAAAGATTTTTATCTTTAAAAATTTTAATAATATTTTTATTTCTAAAATTTATATGTAATATATATATACAACATATCAATTCTAATATCAACATCACAACTATTATTATATATCAACTTTTATTATTATTAATATTATTCATTCTTATATTCATAAAAATAAATAAAATAAAACAAATATTAAGTAAAACAACAGTTAAAACATGTAAAAAACATGTAAAATTAAAGCAATAATTACTTTTTTTCTTTTTCTGATTTTTCAATTAGTATTTTTTTTGAAATTATACCTAGCACACAGTCAAACCCAAAAACATACTAAAACGAACTAGTATTCGACTCAACTTGAGATTTTATCAGTATCTTAGAAAGTCGATCCTAACGACGACGGATACTTTGGGTTTTGCCATGGAACCAAAAAACCCAAATCAATTTCAGTTTCATGTTTCAATTCCATACCTAATAGAAATGTGTCAGTCGGATAGTCAAAACTTTGCCACCACATTTTGTTGGTTGCATCTTTCAAAATGAGATTGTCGTTGCCTAAGAGCTCTACAACACCAGCTTCGATCCAGTAGAATTTGCTGACAAAATTGGGACATTTTCTTCACCGATGACAACAAGACTGTTACCTCTCCACTTGAGAGTACCTTTCAAGCCGAGAAGAGAGTTTTGGTTAGCAACCTAGACATTAGTCGGTAGCTCTCTATTTTGGTACAAGATTCCTAAATATGATCCATTGACAAATGTAAAAAAACCTAATTTAAATTTCGAAAAACAAATTGTGTTTCAGGTCGCAATAGTAAGAGATTGAGTTCGATACAATGTGTTTCTTCTAAAACACAAAGTGAGAAAAAAGAAAGCGAAGAAGAAAAAAAATAGGTAAGACATGGCTAATCTTTTGAGAAGGTAAAAAATCTGAATAAGATCGGCATCTTCTTATTCGTCATTTCCTAGTTTCTAATTCTGTTTTTACTTTTGTATATGAATTTTGCACTCGTGTTATATATCTGTTCTGGAATAATGAAATTTAATTTGTATTAACCGAAATCATTAAGTTTTATTTAATTTAATTAATATTTGATATATAAGATGGAGCATGACATATATAGTATTGTATTACACGAACCTTATTTTAAAATTATCATATAACCGAATAACTACAAATGCCCCGCCTCTAAGACATTGAGTTCGATTTTGTCTCTATACTTGACATTGAGACGCTGAAAAACAGTTAGTCATATTTATTCATTTTTATCTTCATAAAAAAAAACAAAAGTAAAAAATATGTAAAAAATAAGTAAAATAAAAGTAAAAATTATCAATTTTTTTCTTTTTTTCTTCTTATTACTCACTTAGTGTTTCTCTGAAACACATTATGCAAAACTCAATATTATATTATGCAATTAAAAACACAATTTTTTCTACAGAATTCAAATTATAATTCTTTACATTTGTAACAGATCGTATTTAGGAATATGCTAAATATGTCGCCAATCATAAATGTTAACAAAAAGAAAAAAAAGAAAGATTCAACAGATCGTATTTAGGAATATGCTAAATATGTCGCCAATCATAATTCTTTATATTGAAGAAGTTTCGTTATCCCGTAAGATTCAACAAATGTTAAAGCATCGTATTTTTTAAAATTTGCATGTTCATAAGCAAGATGCATTTATACACTATCTAATTTTATTGATTAGAAATTTAAAATTCCTTTTTAGTCTAAAAACTTAGCAAATATAGGTTAAAAGCAAAAAAAAAAATAACTACCGAGACTCCAGTTCTATGATCGTGCATGGTTTTATTGACGAAGAGAGGTTTGGTTTCAGTATTCTCCATATGTAATTTCCGGGTTGTTGAGGCTGAGAAATAAGCATGCTTTCGTTTTCGAACAAGCATATATATGACTGTAGCCATTTCTAGTCTGTGTTCTGCATAGTCTTGCACACATATGAAAACAATGTGTATGAATTTTAGGATTTGGTTTTCCAATAAATGATGATGATGATGATAGAAAGTGTCTAATCACCAAATCAATCATTTCCAATGCTTTTCCTTCATTCCACTTTGTTCATACCAGTAATTTTTTTTTGTTAACATCATAGTTCATTAATGCAAAACAAGATTAGAAATCTAAAATTTCTTTTGAGGTTAGAAGTCTAGCAACTGTGGTATTATAAAACTTTTAATATATAAATATTTAAAATAATTTATATTTACATGAAATCTTAATATATTTATAAATTTATATGTATTTGAAAACTATAAAAGAATAATTAATTTATAATATATAAATTTTTTTTTTACGAAAATTATGTTTACAACTTTTTATTATATGTGTAGATATTTCTTGTAAATATTATATTTAAATTTGTAAGTTAAAATTTAGTACATTATAAAGATAATTAAATTCAATAATAAATTATGAATATAAAATAAACTAAGAAAATAAGAAAATATGATTTATTTAAAATTTAGTTCTTTATAATTAAAATTTTTGGCTATCAAGATTTTTTCTTTCTTTTTGTTATTTTTTTTTGTTTGTTTACAAAAATCGAAGTCTGTGATTAACGATTACGGGACAACAAAACTTCTTCAATAAACCGTCTGTACATGCCGGTGCTTTATTATATGTATATTCTTTTAGTCATGCTTCTAGAACGAGTATATATATAGAGGCGGCTATAACTGTTGAGTGTAGATAATCTAAACAATGGTTAGTCTGAGCATATTCTATATAATATCTACCAAGAATTTTGTAACATTTCTAACCGACTAAAATAAATCTTGAAACAATATAAGTATTCAATTATAGGCTTCGAAGTGATATACAAAAATCTGTGTTGATCTTTTTCTATTTTTTATTGTTCGAAAAAGATCGATGACAAAGTTTAAAATGCATGCATTGATGATTGCATAAATTAATGGATATATTATGAGCGGTAAATGCATCATGTAATATGCAAAAATTGCTTAGTTTATTAGTACTAATAGATTAATCAACTTGCACATTAATTATACATCAGATTCTGTAAATGCTGTCTCACATTTCTCATATTCTTTGTCTTTTCTTTTTTGAATAGCGTTTTGTTTGTTCGTATATATTATTCGTATATATTATTCGCTTCTCTTTATATTATACAAATTCTTACATGAATATCTCCACGAACACCACCACATATTAATTTCCGAAAAAGGAACTAACATTATTAAAGATTCAATTATGCAATTCACTCATTTTATGCCTTTTGGTTTTTCTTTTCTCGTCGTATATCGATAACGTGCTTACTTATTTCCATCTACCCAATTATATACAAGCTGGGCGCGCGGAATCTTCGCGCTTTCACTTTCCAATCCCATTACCGATTTTCTTGCATGTTGAACCATCAAACAGTATCACGTTAAAATTCGTTATATACTCACCAATTTACGTAAATTTCCCTTTACAGATTTAGTAGAAACTTGGACCAACTTAAAAAATCCAAAAAATGAGGTCTTGTCGTGAAATATGAAATTGCAAAGGTCGAACAACAAGTTGAAATCTTTCTTGGTGATATGATGACATTACATAACTCAAACAACAAATTACGTATACTATAGGTGAATACATGATGTGCAGTATTATTTATTCAGACAATAATGACGACGACTTTTTTTCTATTATGAAGGAAGCAACAATAATTGCGGGAGAAACATAAAAGAGTGAGAGGCGAAAGACAAAACACAACAGTGTAGCATAATTAAAGCTCACTAAATATTCTCCACCAAAATATCAATATAATCCTTTAGCACAAAAAAAAAAAAAAAAAATCAGTATAAGCCAAAAACAAAAACGTAACTCAAAGTGGAAGTCTGGTAGGTCGTTTCTCATTATTAAAGGGTTATTAAAAATCGAAGCTTGTGATCTTGCTGGCTCATAGTTTGACTTGCCACATTCACATCATGACGCAATCAATTGTTGGACTGGACCGACTAATATGAGATTAATTAATGGGTTAATACTGATTTCATATGTAACATAATTTTTCATCTCTTATCATCGTGAAAAAAGAAGAAAGCTCTATAACCAAATCGGTTTTATTGATTAATTTGTTCTAGACCTGCCAAAACCGGTCCATATAAATTCGTGGGTAAGAGTACCGGTTTGACAGAATTGCATCAGCAACAAACCGGTTAGCAGCTTCAGTATAGTGAACTCCGTCCCATACAATTGATTTGGTCACATCACGGCAAATAGTTGAACCGGGTTGACCACACGTGGCTTTTCGATCGTAGTTGTTTGGCTTTCCTCCATAACCGCAACAAGCCATTAACGGATCCACAAATCCTGAAACCGATTCAAACCGATTCTGACTCTGATATACAATAGGCTTAAAACATGAATTATGAACGCGATCGTTACGTACCGTATCGTTTGGAATCGACGAAGAGTTTATACTTGATGGAGTAAATATCAACGTAGACGAGAGTAGCGTCTTTGAACTGGGCTCTCATTTCGTTGATTAGACTAAAGAGTCCTTTGTTGAAGGCTTTCGCCACTTCGTTGTGAACACGGAAACAACCAATCGGGTCAAGATCCGATCCGTTGTGTGGGTTAATTGCCAATTCCTTGGGTGCACAACCCAATGGGCCTGTGTTATGTACCCAAAACTTTCTCCCTCCGGATAGGTGTACGGTCTTCATACAATATATATACCAAATTACAAACCGGCCGTATTAGTAGTTTTAAGGCAAACAACCAAATTACAAACCGGCAGAAACATCATCCGAGTTAATCTATCTTATGATAATTAAAGACTTTATTGGGACTAACAGTTTAATGATTATGTGAAACATCTGAGAAAGAAAGGAAGTACCTGTATGGCCTTTTTAATCTCAAGAAGCATGGGAGGAATTTTGTCTACAACGGATGTATACGTCAAATTTGAATCGTATAGAGCAAGTAGAAGATCATTTTGTCCGATATCGATCATGTACAATGCGTTTTTAAATCCATTATCATCAATAAGATCTCTTCTCCCTGTTAACAAAAACACAATTTCATCAAGTTACTTAATACGAGATACATAGTGATTGTTTGGTAAAAGTCACTCACCGGAGGAGATAAGTTCTTGAGAACGGTTTTTGAAGTGGATGAATTGACGGATTTGAACAGCAAGTGGGAAGGAGAAGACGGGAAGAGCGGTGGCTCCGGAGACTGCGAAATTGACTCCTCTTTTGAAATTTGGTGAGAGTGAATCCAAATATGGACTCAAGTATGTCATCTTTAAATGTTCACCTTAACCATTTAAGAATCATAATTTTGTAAATTTACATGTATATATACACACATAAAACTACATATATATAGAGGAATGGGACTCACAGAAAAAGTCAACTATGAGTCGACCGTCGCCGAGACGACCTGTGCCTCTGTGGAAGAAGGTAATGCCATGAGGGAGTCCGATGGGAAGTCCGACGCCAGCAAGAACTCCTCCGGTGTCGGAATTGGAGTCGCCGAAGTTTATCAAAATAGGTTTCTTGCTTGATTTGGAACTACTACCTTCCGAGTTAGAACAACTCAAAAGAGATAAACATATGATTAAGGAGAAGCATCGAAGAGTAGAAACAGTGTGATCCATTTCGTTTTAAAACATTGTTACAAAGAAGAATTTAATCAATATTCAAGAGATATATCTTTACCTTCGAAACTCAAGATTTTAAATGGCAAGTCAGTAAATATGTGAGCTCCTTTTCCAAAAAAGGTCATTATATATGTGTTAAAGCTATTTCAAGTTGCACTATATCGTTGCTTAATACAATATCAAAGCAATGTTAGACTTAGATCCGATCGGCCATATTTGATTATTTTCTGTGGATTGTCAGACCTTGTTGATATATCAAATTATCCATATACTTTTTGAGTTTTATATTCATCTGGGCCAAAATTGTATTTTCTACCACATATACAAATTTAACTCAGGCCCAAGCCCATTCATCTATTGTTGATATATGAAATTATCCATATACTTTTGACTTTTATATTAATCTGGGCCAAAATTGTATTTTCAAAATTCTTGATCACATATACAAATTTAACTCAGGCCCAAGCCCATTCATCTATTGTTGATATATGAAATTATCCATATACTTTTGACTTTTATATTAATCTGGGCCAAAATTGTATTTTCAAAATTCTTGATCACATATACAAATTTAACTCAGGCCCAAGCCCATTCATCTATTGTTGATATATGAAATTATCCATATACTTTTGACTTTTATATTAATCTGGGCCAAAATTGTATTTTCAAAATTCTTGATCATACCACATATACAAATTTAACTCAGGCCCAAGCCCATTCATCTATTGTTGATAAAAAAAACATTGCGGTGAGCGTGGATCGAACACGCGACCTTCAGATCTTCAGTCTGACGCTCTCCCAACTGAGCTATCCCCGCTTATTGTTAATGTTGCAATTTTGTAAAATATAGAGATTAAATCATAAAATACAGGACGCGAGAAATTCTCTTTTTTGGCATAAGTAGAGAATTATTGCGTTCCACGAATCTCCTCTTACGTTCGAAGACCATTTGCTTGTTCTTTGGACGACCATCGGCGACAGTGAAAGTCTAGGTCATCTTCGCCGTAGTTTTTTCCCCGGTATGTACCTGTTCTCCACCAAATCCGTCTCTCTCTCTCTCTCTCTCTCTCTCTCTCTCTCTCTCTCTCTCCCTATTTGTTTACTCGATCGTCTGTTCGATTTTCTATCGCGCGATCCTGGTCCGTCATTTCCAGATCTGTGTGTATTCTCCCAATTTCTTTGTGGATGCGACATGATTTCTTGTGATTGTTATCCTTGGTGATGATAGATCTGTATCTGCATGGTCGTTATACAATGTGATCTAGCTTCGTTTTTCAGATCGGGTGTTCACCTCAAATCGGAAATTTAGATCTCTTACTGTTTTGATTTGATCGGGACCTGCTTATACCTAATGAGATCCGAGCTAAGTTGTAAATATAATCGTAGGGACATTCGCTAGCGAGATCGTAGGATGCATCGAAACTGCTTTGTTTTGTAATTGTTTTATCAATCGATGGACATTGAATCTTATGTGGATGCTGCAAATGAGTGTGCGTGCATGTTAATTGAAGATTTGAATGTGTAACACTGAACAGGTTTGAAAAAAATGGGACTGTCCTTCGGAAAGTTGTTCAGCAGGCTCTTTGCAAAGAAAGAGATGCGTATCCTCATGGTGGGTCTCGATGCTGCTGGTAAGACAACCATCCTGTACAAGCTCAAGCTTGGAGAGATCGTCACTACGATTCCAACCATTGGTAAGTTTCTAACTTTTCCTGCTCTTATCAATCTCATAAGTTTTGTATGTGAAATTGACACATTGTGCATTCATCTCGACGGATTCGGTATAACTTTTCGTGGTGGATTATGTAGAAATTATTGTTTGGGACATGCGGTGTACTTCTACTTGTTCAAGTGTTTTTCATCTTTTGCTCATTGTTTATGATTAGCGGATTGAGTGCTTAGTGCCTTCGTTACTGTGGAGTTGACAATTATTGTTTTTGCTAAGGTTTCAATGTGGAGACTGTGGAATACAAGAACATCAGCTTCACCGTGTGGGATGTCGGGGGTCAGGACAAGGTACTGTCATTGCGTTCCTGTATAATCATCACTCTGTAACTAATACGCTAAATCCAAATCATCTGGCATTTCTGGTGTTATCCTTGGTTTTCTTAGAGCTTGCCCCCATTACGCTGAGTGGTATTCTTCGGTAATTCCAATATGACAAAGTTTGTTGCTTGCTCATCCAGATTCGTCCATTGTGGAGGCACTACTTCCAGAACACACAAGGGCTCATTTTTGTGGTGGACAGCAATGACCGTGACCGTGTTGTGGAAGCTAGGGATGAGCTTCACAGGATGCTGAACGAAGTAAAACTCAAAACCGAAACCTCCCTCTTTATTTACATAAATATGCTATAGACTTGAGTTTCGAGGTCTCATGTTTCCTTTTAACTGTTGCAGGATGAGTTGAGAGATGCTGTGCTTCTCGTCTTTGCTAACAAGCAAGATCTTCCTAACGCAATGAACGCCGCTGAGATAACCGACAAGCTTGGGCTTCACTCTCTCCGTCAACGACACTGGTGAGCCCCCCAAAAATGAAGCCAGATATTTAAACCGGAACACGAATATCTAAACCGGATGAACTGATGTAATCTTTGGTCGGGTTTCAGGTACATACAGAGCACGTGTGCCACCTCCGGAGAAGGGCTTTACGAGGGACTTGACTGGCTCTCCAACAACATCGCAAACAAGGTACATCAAATTTACAACTTGTTAAATCGTTTTGGTATCATCTTTTGAATGTTAAAAAGACTCAGCCAAATGTGTGATTAATTGCAGGCTTAGGAGTGGAGCGTGTGGTGGTTTGGTTTAATCGAGGAGAGTGTCTTGTCTTCTTCGTCTCTCTTTCCTGCTTTCGTCTCAAACTTTTTATCATTTCATACTTTGTTCTTCGCTCTAATAATTCATAAATTTTCTTCTTTTATCCTAAAACTCAGACGCTTATAAAATGGGCCCAATTCCGGCGGAGATTCCAATTTCTTTAGGTTTCAACATTTTTATTAAATTTATTTTTTTGGGCTTTTCCTACCTATTTTTATTCCCTATACAGAATTTAAAAAGAAATTAAATAGTACGACTAATTAAAAAACGACGCCAATAAAGTTCGTTCTAAAACATTTTTTCCCACCAAACGGAGTTTTATTCGATTTCCAATGTCATAAACATATACTATAGAATGTCCAAATTATATAACCAATGCACGAATCGCTCGACGTTATACGACATTGGCTCTTTAAAAAAGGGTGGCAGTAATAACAGAGTACTGTTCCCGATCTAGTCATAATTAATATGGGAGAAAGTAAAAATATACTGTATTAAATACTATAATTTATTAATCCAAAAAGATTAATAAACAAATACTAGTAATCAAAATAATTTCTTTTACACTGTAAAACTAAAAAGGTGTTATTGATTTTTGTATTTTAATGGATTTGAGAATCCAAATCAAATTCAGTGTTATTGGTTCTTGTATTTTAAAATTTATATTGAAATACAGTATTATTGTATCTATAATTTTAAAATTCATAATGAAATACAGTGTTATTGGTTTTATCATTTTAGAATTTAAATATTATAAAAATTTAAGTTTTAATTGAATTTGAATGGATTTGGAAAGATTTTTATGACTAAAATACAAAAATCTAAATACAAGATCTAATTTTAGTATTTGAGTGGATTTATTTTTTTTTCATTTTACTAATTTTAAAATCAATAAATTTATCAAATCCAAAGAAGATTTATAAATCCACCAAAAAAACTAATAACCCCTATTAAAACTCTTAGTGGCAAGGTATCACAAAGTAAGAGTATTTTCTTTCATTGTGTGTTTCAGCTCTGGCCTAGTTCTAGGTTTAGGTGGAGAAGAGAGAAGTGGGTTGTGAGAAAAAGCATGTTGTTAACTTCTGGGAGAAAGGAGAAGCTCTCCGTTTCGAAAGGCTCGGAAATTGAAGCCTCTTCTAACGAGTCCGAGCATGGTGGTACCGGCAATGTATGGTATCGCTGTGTTCTGGAAGAAAACCTTGCTAATTCGAAGCGGAAGAAGCTCTCTGTTCGCCACTTGAATCCTCTGTCCAAGGAAGAAGAAGACTACTCGCCTCCGTTAATCACAACAACCTTCCATCGTCTGATGCGCCCGGTCCCGCCGCAGGATCTGTTTCCTGACATCGATTTTGAGGAAGGTGACATGGTCGACGCTGCTCATAGAGGTGGCTGGTGGTCTGGTTGGGTGGTTCGAGTTTTGGGAGATCGGCGTTTCCTTGTGTACCTCAGATTCGAACCTGATGTCATCGAGGTTCATCGAACGGATTTGCGCCCACATTTGGTTTGGGAAGACGAGGAGTGGTTTCGCTCCGAAAAACGTGTAAGTGTTCCCCTTTACATGGATTTTGATTCAAGTTTTCATTTTTTGCTGGTATCAAGAAAGATATATGAACTCATTTTCACTGTGTTTTTTTTTTTTTTGTGTGGCTGAAGCAATTGAAGGAGTCGGATTTTAGCGCCGGAAAGGCAGTAGAAGTGAGGACCAAATTAGAACCTTTTGGCGATATTTGGGCTCCGGCTATGGCCATTAAGGAGAATGAGGATGGGACATTACTCGTGAAATCCACTAATTTGAGCGGTGAAGAAGATGAATGCACCAAGACAAGCGTTCCTTATTCCAAAATCCGGCCTTCGCAACCGCCTTGTGCTTTAAGGGCTATTAGGTTGATGGACAATGTGGATGCGCTGCTCAAGTCTGGATGGTGTCAAGGGTTAGTAACCAAGGTTCTCTCCGGGAATAGATACACTGTGCTCTTGGGGCCAAACAAGCAGAGTCAAGACTTTGACCACCTGCAGCTAAGACCATCTATGGTGTGGAAAGATGGAGACTGGCTAACTAAAGAAAAGGTAGTTACTTCTCTGTTACAGTGGTTTTTAAACCAAAGAACATTCTTTGTATTTACTGGATGCATTGAGAGATCAGAAATGTGTGTTCCAATTTTAGGTTTCGGATAGAGAGGAGAGCACGCATGCAGCTGAAGAAACAACTGTTTCGCCGCGCATAAGGCTAACTGTTCGAACTTCATTGGGAGGAGACATTAAAGCTTGTGGTACAGGGATGGCCACACGCTCTTCTAGTGGCGCTGTGAAGAATCCTCCTCCTGCCTCTTCTGATGTTGCAGAGGCTGTTAAAGAATCTGTCTTTGCGAATGAAAAACCGCTCTCCCAATTTACAGTTGTGAGTTAGATATTTCCCTCACCGCTCTTTCTCTCTACTTACACGCTGCTTCAACAGTCTAAGTTGAATCAGCGAGTTAAAGGTTATAACTTTTCAGTGTATTTAAGCAATCTGGCTCCAATGAGTAACTTGTGTGGTTGTGTAGCAGTTATCTGGAGATTTAGGAAGTAGCATGGCTAATGCTGCAATGAACGGGAACACTCCGGTCGCAAGGCAACCTGAGATGGCAGCAAGTAAGTGTTATATCACTCTTTACCTTGACAAGCATGATGGTTATTTTCTTGTTGGAAGTCCAATTGAATCTACATGTCACTATTTCCAGCAAAAGAGTTTCACTCATCGGTAGTCCTTGGTGTAGCCGCAACTAGGCTGACGAAACAAACGGTCAAAACACAAGGAAAAACATCACCGAGGAAGAAACTTCAGGCGATGAAGAATCAGAAGGGCTCTGCTAATGATTCTGTCGGAGAGAAGGTGAAAGCTAGTTCGTCGCACTGTTGAAACATACCACTTTTTCGGTTGCTTATCCTATTGATTCTATCAATGCAGGCACCTGAGGAGTCGACAAACAGAGAGAAGGTTCATAAGAGGAAAAGAGGTCAACCACGTAAGTTCTTAAGCGCAGAGCCTAAGAAGAAGCAGAAGACTGGTATGTTGTCTTAATTTAAGTGGATAAGTAAAACGGCATTTGGTTCTTTTGTATCTTGAAACATTCTTGGGTAATAACTTGTAGGTGTGGCTGCTAATGGTTCAGCAAATGCTGCGATTGTGACTGATGATGATCAGCCGCTCTCTTCATGGATCCACATTGGAAATTCATCATCAGGTTCGAATAGGATCTAAGTGCCGAGACGCCATTTGAACAATTTGATGCTCCTTTTAGATCTTGTGTTTTTTTGCTTCTGAACAATTATTCTCCAGGGAAATCTGCTCCTCGGACTCCTGACTACCCAATGCATAACTCTGTTGTGGAAAAGCACGTCGATGTTGTGGAAACTCCTACAGGGAACGATTCGACAATGGTTCTGCCATTTGTAAAGAAGTCACCGTGTTGGACAGTCCTTGAATCAATGGAGATCTTCAAAGCTGTGCCACAACGACCACATTTCAGTCCACTGCTAGAGTGCGAAGAAGAGTCCCGTGAAGGGGACGCCATTGGCGCAATGGTGAAGTTCACTGGGCTGTTAGAGAAAGTCAACAATATACAGGTCGACGATCCAATAAGCGGGATAAACAGGATCAAAGAGTGTTTTCTCCAGTTAGAGAAACACGGGTTCAATGTCACAGCACCTATATCTCGGATCGGCAAGCTTTTGTCCATTAAAGAAAGCCAGACATGGGCACTGGAAGAGTTAAAAGTTGTTGAGAGAGAGATCACAGAGCAAGATACTAAAAGAAGGAAGTGTGAAGAAGATATCGAAGACATCTCAAAGAAGATTGTTGAGTTGCAGAGACAAGAAGCATTGCTCAAGGAAGAGAAAGTGACAAAGGACAAGGAGATAGCTCGGATGCACACTCACGCATTGATTCTCGACCAAAAGGTTCAGAAAGTAGAGCAGGAGTTTCGGTCAACTGTGTCTGCCCCGTGGTAATAACCAAAGCCAATATAATCTAATCTGTGTCTTATAATCTATCGGAGTTGTCAGGATGTTCGTTGAACAAAACTTTGACTAGTTAAGTAAATTGTCGTAAGAGGTTTATCCAAAGATATCTATTTTTTTCTCTTTAGACATATTTGTAACGTCTAATAATTGATCATATCCCGAAAGTGTTATTGCTAATTGTTAATAAGGAAGGCACAAACAATACAGAAAGCCCACAAAAACGAGAATTTCGAGAATCTTTTGGTCGAAAAAGTTGTAATTATAATAAAAGACAGGCTTTATGGATTGTCAGAGTAGAATAAGATGTTGACATGTGAGAATATGATTCTCTTTCACCTGCCTACAAATCCATCGCAACATTGTCATAGTGAATAGTGAAAAGCAAAATCTACTTGTTGCGAAGCTGAGTAAACCATAGAAAACCAATGTCTTCATTAGATAAATGTGAAAGAGAAATCAGTAATAGGAGGAATCTTTAAAGGGATCAAAGCTCTTAAAAGAAAAAGAAAAAACTTTTGGGTAAATGCAAACGTTCAATCACTTGCGGTTCTTGCTCTCGTCCTTCTCCCTCTCTCTCTTCTTATAGAGCTTCTCAAGAACACGTTTCGCCTCACAGTTGGGAAAGTTGGAAAGATCGTAATAGTGATTAGCAATATCTACTAGCCTACAAATCCATCGCAAAGGAAAAATAAATTAAAAAAGATTTCTCAGAAACAAAAAACTTGATAGAGAGAGAGATACTCTTAACCGGATAAAACAAGGACAGGAAATGTAAGAACTTACCATTCACCGCGAATATCTGTCACAGTTCTGATGAAATTCCGCGTAGTTAAAACATATTCGTCGTAGATTACCCACTCCGGTTTGTGATCCAAGCAATTGGATGGGTGCAAATGAACCACCTGCAAAGAAAAATGAATTTTTTACCATCAGAGAAGAATCTTTTTCCAATGGAAACAGCAAAGTAAAGTGGATTCGTTTAGACAGACCTGATTATCTTTGACGGTCAAGTAATTGCCAGTGCGTTCTAAGTGAGCCACCTGCATGAAATAACCGGCAAGCATGGCCTTTCTTATGTTGGTGTAGTAGTCGCGGCTGTTGAAATCACTGCTGCAGATCTTTAGATTATATCTTGACATTATCCTCTCTAGCTGCTTCCTAACATTGTCTGCAGATTTCATTGCTCTACTGTTGATGAAGTTCTCGTAGCACCAGTTTGAGTCTTCGTCTGAAAGATTTCATATTGACCCAAGTTTGTTATTGTCATATTATACAAGAGAGGATAAGAAGGAGAAAGGTTAAAAAAACTGAGATATAACTTACTGTTTTGCTTAAAAGCGTGGTAGACGTTAAGCAGTGTGAGGTGATCTCCATCAATGTGTCCAAACCTAGCTTTAGCTTCATCTGCTGCTTTTTGAGCTTCTCTAGGCCGAATAAAGCAATTCGGTACTAAAGAAAGAATTGGTTTTTATAACAGAAGAGGCCCATGGAAGAGGTCAGCAGATGCATAGAGGCCAAGAGACTGATACCATTTGCTTCATGAGAGAGAATAACTGAGAAACTGCAACTATCTGCATCAGCACTTACTTAAGATACCCCTTTAACTATGGGTATGACAGTACCCAGACTAGAGACTGCTGATGACAACCTAACTCGACTATTTAACCCTAGACAATCATGCACATGCTCGCATAAAAGATGAGTTCTAAATGCAGAGAAACAAGCATGTCAATGGAAACTAGTAGCAATCTTAAGCCTACCCACATCTAGATACCTACCCCAAGACGACAATAACAAATGAGATAATACAAGCGAAGGGCGTACCTGAGAGCATTGCTGAAATCGAGAGTATCTCGTTTGAGCAGTTGAATTCGGGACTGACTATGAGCATCTTCGCCATCTGCGGATCCAAGGGGAACTCACTCATGATCTCCCCTGTCCTCGTCAAGTTACCTTCATCATCCAGTGCTCCCAAATAATTCAAAACCTCCAAGGCTCGCATCAGTGTCTCGGGAGCAGGGGGGTCCATAAAATCGAAGTGCACCAAGTCATCTATGCCCAGCTTCTTCAAAGTCAGTACCGTGTTTGCGAGATTCGACCTCAATATTTCAGGATACGTCTGCGGCTGCAAGTCATTGTTGAAACTCTTCTCTGTGTAAAGCCTGAAACATTTTCCAGGCCTGGTTCTACCGGCACGACCTGATCTCTGGTGAGCGCTTGCCTTTGATATTGGGGACACCAATAACGACTCAACACGGATTCGTGGGTTGTAGACTTTTTGCTTGGCGAAACCAGGGTCAATGACGTAAACAATCCCATCTATAGTTAAAGAAGTCTCAGCAATGTTGGTCGAGACGACAATCTTTCTCCCAGGAGGACCACCTTCCGTCAGAGGATCTGGAGCAGGATCAAATATCTTCTGCTGCATCGCAGGTGGAAGAGTGGAATACAGTGGTACAACCTTGACAGGTCCCACTTGGTCCCCAAGGTTACTAACCTCCTTGTTGATTTTGCGGCAAGCATCTTCAATCTCCTCCTCCCCAGTTAAGAAAACAAGAATATCACCAGGTGGCTCGCACGTGTGAATCTGGACAACCGTCCTAATAGCAGCCTCAAGATAGTCCCTCTCAGGCTCCTGCGTGTAGAAGATCTCGACGGGATGAAGCCTACCGGGAACTTTCATCAGAGGCGCACCGCTGAAATAGTCCTGAAACTTTTCAGCTTCGAGAGTTGCACTCATGACAACCAGCTTAAGATCAGGCCTGTTTTTCAAGACCTCCTTCAGAAGACCAAACAGCACATCCGTGGATAGAGTTCTCTCGTGAGCTTCATCGAGAATAATCACTTTGTATCTCTCTAGAAGCGGGTCCGCCATGGCTTCCCTCAGCAGCATACCATCAGTCATATACCTGTGAATAATGATAACACATGCTTAGATCATACACAAGTCCACAAGCAGATAAACTACAATTTTAAAGTTTCGAACATTGAGAAGCTGTAAAGAGAGACAAATATGCTTACTTAAGCACCGTTCTGGGGCTGCTGCAATCCTCGAAACGGATGCTGTAACCAACTTCTTCCCCAATGGCAACATCCATCTCATCGGCGACACGACGGGACACAGACATGGCTGCAACTCTACGAGGCTGCGTGCATCCAACCAACCACTTCCTACGCTTATCCGTGATTTCAGCATCCACCGCATCTATAACAAATTGTGGAATCTGTACAAATGGAAGCAAAAACCACTATTAGCTTATTCATATCCTTGACACTGCAACATTATCTCCGATTAGAATCAACCTAAAAAAAGATAGAAACTTTACCTGAGTCGTTTTACCACTACCGGTCTCACCGACGAGAATTAAGGTTTGATTGGCCTTTAAAGTTCGGAGAAACTCTTCTTTCTGTAGCCAGACGGGTAGAGTCCTCCGTTTCTCCATTATGTCATAATATCTCTGCGAATACGGCTTCCCGTTCCATTTATTGATCAGACTGTTGATGCCGCCGTCAGCGAGACCATTGGTTCTGGCGGTCTTCGATGAAGCCGAAGGATCGTCCATGACATCGAACAAACTAACTTTCCTCTTTCTCTCGGTACCCATCACGACTCACCAACGACGGAGGTAAGAGAGAAGCAAGGAGGAAGCACAAAGCGATGAATTGGAAAATTATGAAGTTTAGGGTTCGGCAGCGTGTTTTAGGAGGAGGGAGTGGCGGCGAAACTTTTCATGGAATTTTCAGTTTAATCCCGCATCTTTTAAAATACTTTCTTTAACCGCCCAAAATATTAGGAAATTACTACAAAGTCCGTTATGTGGGCTAATAATAGCCTAATAGTATTGTAATCAGTTTTTAGGTACCTGTTAGGCCCGGCCCGGCCCAATAATTCCGTTATGTGGGGTAATAGCCTAATAGTATTGTGATCAGTTTTTAGGTACCTGTCAAGCCCGGCCCGGCCCAATAGTTCACGAGATGTAAAGCGACGAAATTTCCAACTGACCCAAAACCTTTACAAATATTTACTTTATGGCCTAAAAGATTTAGGTAGTGACAAGATCGTCCATGTTGAATTATATAGCTGAATACAAGCAGATTGTGTTTACTTCAATTGGCTTTAGAGTTACTGTTCTCATGGTCATAATGAACCCGGTCAAGCCGGTATACTTTGATTTAAATTATGGAGTATATGTTAGACAAAAAAAAAAAAAAAACAGTCTGATACACATGAAAAGAAAAGACCGAAGATTTGAAAGTTTAAAACAAAAGAGTGAAGTTGAAGAAGATAACGAAAAGAAAAACAGAGATGTGATATCATTGAGGTCTCTGGAATCTGATGACACGTCTTGCTGGTCAGGTTCCAAGTGGCTGGTCCGACCTCAACAGAGGGTCAAACCACACTCACTCTCCAATTTCATCAGGGTTTTGTTTATTATTAGGCTATTAGCTCAGAGGATGCGTCAAAAGACACGAATCTTGTATGAATGAGACCCTTTTAGATTCACGAGGCTTTATTGTCATCACTTTAGTGCTACTCTGATGTGAGCTCTGGGAAAGCTAAGAACTCTGGATACCATATCCAGACAGAAACCATTTTGACAAAACCAAAAGAGATGCCCAGTTGAAACAGATCTTAAATAAAGTAATCTGTTTAAAGGCTGAAATATGAGTACAATGAAATGGTTTTTTACCACTACTCTTAGGCAAAATATCTTTAGAATGTAAAAAGACAAACCCAAAAGGAAGAGCTAGCAGTATTCAACATTGCCCAGCAGTAAGGAACATTGAACCTTGGTTGCGGATTGTACAGCCAAAGATCAGATGTGGAGGTGATATTTGACTTGTTCGTCGTTACCCAGATCCATCAGACCCTGAAAATTTCAGAAACCTTTTTTAGGCCACAGAGTGGAGACAGACAAAAGATAGACTATTCAAGGACAGTAAACTACTCTTCCATCAAAAACCATGAACTCCAAGAACAGTAAATTACTAACTTTTGTCTTCAGACACGGGAGAAACAACTTACCAAACAAGATCTGACAACAGTGGTCTAATAACGATTGTAGGCTTTCCCATAGTCCTCGCGTCTCTGGCGTTGGAAGCCAGTACCGTAACTGTTGTCTTGATGCCTTGAGGGATAGTTTTTTACATGGTTTGGATATCTGCCTTCAGATTCCATTGGCACATTGTTTCCACCATAGGGAGGAGGATTCGCAGAGTAACCATCATCATAAGGAAACTGTCTATAGTTACTACCATAACCCAGACCAGAGATTTGCTGCCGTGCTTGCTGCTGGCGTCTCTGAGCATCGACTTCAAGGAACTCTTCCCATTGTTTAGCGTTCATACCCCTTAGCCCACCCAGTTTCTTCACGTAACCCTCTCTCAGTTCCCGTATCGTCTAAAAACTCGCACAAATTGACGTCAGAAGCTGAACTAGTTCCTCGAAAGGAGTTGCATTTCACAAGGAGACTAGGGACTAAAACTCTGGTTTTTGTCACTCAACTAGTAACAAATCGAGGAGATATCCGCTGCCATGTAATTCTCTATGAGCAACTAAATTCTTTTTTTATAAAGTATGAAAGTTTCTTAGTTGCAGGAATTGCCATTTCTGAGGTGACAGCACCTAAAACTCGGTTTTGAATCTAAAAGGAACACATCAGTCACTGGATCTCTTACCTCTCTATGCTTGTTATTCTCCGCATCTTCTTCCTTGTCGCGCTTCTTTTCAAGCTCCATTGCCTCCCTCGTATATTCCAGTTCTAGTTCTTCTAAAGTCTGTGGGAAAGCAGGGCGTTCAAACTGATGACTCACCTGAATGTCGCTGGAGCCGCCCATTCTCTCTTGATCCCATCTTTCAGACCTATAACCACTCACCTCAGGTTTTTGCCTATCATACGGTTTATCCCATCCACTATAACGTGGCCGCCCTGGAGATTTCGAATGTGTGGAACGACTCCGAGCTCTCTCACTACCATAAGCTTCATAAAATGAATAATAATGTTAACCGCTTGATCACGAGACTTAACCAAAAGTTACAGCTACAGTAAGACACAGGACCTCAACTTCAATCAGATAAGATGCAGATTTGAGGCAAAAGTTCAGTAACTAGTTTATTTACTTCAGTACTGTACAAAATGCTTGAACATAAGGACTTACCTTTGGCTGCAAAATAAAGATAAGAAAAGGACATTATCGGCCAAAAATGCCGGAAAAGACCCAATCGACTTTCCCCGACAACAGACTAAAAAGAGACAATAGCCATCTCTCTAAGGTATCCTACCCTGTCCCTACCTTGTGGAGATCCTCGGGAAGCATTTCGCAGGTTCTCACGAACACGATTCTCTTCGCGCACGCGATTATCCACAAACTTATCCTGCCTTCCAGAGCGCTCTGAGAAACTGGATGAAGCATGTGATGGGAGGTGCTGTCTTAGAGGTTCAGAGTTTCGAGCACGTGGTGGACCAACAGAAGTTCGTCTAGGTGACCTGGATCTGCTCCTGTGAGAGGCTGAGGCAGAAGAAGTTTTAACATCGCCATCCTCCTTAACCTTGTGAACAGCATCAACACCTTTCCTCAAGATCAACCTGTCCTTGCCACTAACAATTATGAACTTCTCATCCATTTTGATCTTGCAGCCGGTCTCCCTTTCAATCCTCTCGATAACTTTCTCAGTAAACAAAACTCTTACATTCTTGTCCCTAGCCGGAACCCTTTCAAGGAATTCTTGAGAAGCACCAAGTGTCGATGGACATCCCTATAATAAGGAACAAAGCGCGGTCAGAAAGATTGCACAAAAGGGTGAGTAAACAACAAGAGTGGAGTTTGAGAATGACCTGAGTAAAATGACCAGACTCGCCACATATTTTACAGATCATTTCTTCTTCTTTCCTCTTCTTCCAGTTCCTCTCAGTAGCTTTGGATTTAGCCTCCCAAACCTTAGCCTCTCGGCTAGTGAAATCGGTTGGTACAGAATTGGGGTCAGGGAGTTGCTCTTCTTCATCACACCCATCTTCAGGCCGTTTGATAGGTTTTTCCTTTTCTTGGATGTTGTTGGTCACAGTGCCTGGAGGACCTGTGTACTCCTTGTAGATTTCACTGAAGTCGTCATCAAGCTCTGGGTCTGATCTAGTGCTTTCCATCTGAAAACAAACACAACTTTTTCAATTTCAATTTCCAGACAAAGTTTCAATGCTCATCAAGAATTGGTTCATCCAAAGCAGCAGAAGGGTTAAAAGTAATCAACTTGAAGTCTGGAATTACAAAAATTAGGAGAAAAAAGAGAAAAATTGTGACTTCAGAAGAAAGAAGCCACATGTTCCATTAGACAGATAACATGATGCTGATAAGTTATTCATTACTGGATACGATTAAACACAAAAAGCGAATGGTTTTCTGGAGAAAAACATAAACTTGCGGGGAAATTCGAATGACCCTGTTACCAAACTCGCTGATTGTGACGATGCAATAGCTCAATGCGAATCATATAAACACAACTAAAGAGCGGCTAAGGAAGCGAACGAAAAGGGTTTATGTGGATATCTGGTGTTAGGGTTTATCGTACCTTGCCAAATGCGAATCAATGGCGACCGAATATCTCGAAAACGAGAAGAAGACGCTGAACGAGATAATTAGAGCTAGGGTTCGGAAGAAATGAAATCGAGAGCTAGCTTCCCAAAAATCCAATTTTTCCAATTTCTCGTTTTGAACCTTCGATTTCATAAAATAACACATTATACCCTTAGAAAAAAACGTTGTCGTTTAGTTACTATCAGAACGAACGTTGTTGATATTCACGTAGTATTTAATCCTATATATATGTAGTCGTTTTATGATCTGATCTGATATGAAATCTCAACCGAGTTCTTCTTACCAGTAAGTACTATATACAATGAAGATGAAGACATAGAAAGATTCTTATTATTGTTAATGAGATCCATATAAAAGCCGTAAATCATTAATTAATCTAGAGATTATAGGCCAATAAAACGAACATTCGATCGACCGTATGAAAATATAGGTCTCTTGATATGAACTATAAAAGATTTGTTGTGCGTCGTTTTCACTCTGAAGATCTCTTGAAAAAAGCCTCTAGAAGAAAAGTAGTCGAGTTTTGATTATGATCTCGAGACGTCAACAACAACGAGTTTTGAACTATAGAGTTTGCGTAATTCAACTGTATATGTATTAATTATATTTAATAACGAAGAACGGAAGAAAACGACCATGATGATGACTTTGGTTTTCCCTTCTTCTTTGTTTGCCGTTTGGAGTAACGACCATGTGATACGATCGACTAGATGAAATGTGGGACAGAGGGTGCTGAAACCAAACATTTCTATAAATAGAAATTGCCGTATAGTGTGGTCTTTATAGGTGTTTGACTTAATTCAAATGAACATCTTTAATCCCAATTCCAAAAAGCTTGAAGACGGAAAGAATCTCAGATTTTAACAGATATAAAATGAGAGTGTCTAGATCCACACTAGGACCAGACGTCATTGTTCTATATAAAAGTAAAAACTCATTTATTAGATGTTAGGTTAGAAATTGAATTTGTTTTCTTCTTTATTTTCGTTTTGTGGGGTTTTAGAAGAAAACCATACGATGAAGATAAAAAAACCCAAAATGAAAACGTTAGAGTTTAAAATAGCAAACGACGTGGACAGTGCAAACTATTTTTCAACGCGCGCAGTAGGGTAATCATGAAATACAAGTGTGGTAAGTTTTTTTTTTTTCCTTTTCCTTTAACTTCATGTATACTGATCCTTCCCATTTCCTTTTCCATACACTAAAAATAATACGTAACATGATTGAGTTTTTTTTTTTTTCTTACCATCAATATTCCTTTGAACTCATAAAGTTTTGTTTTTCTGTCAGAAGGCTATTGATCAGAAGTTAATTGCAATCACAAAAAAAGAAGATGAAATTAATCAATTAATACGTTTTGGTTCGAGGTCGGTTTAGTTGATAAGCTTAGTAATCTAAACCTGGATAAAACGGCGGGTACTGTGTAAACTGAAGAAATCTAGCTCGCTTAAAATGAACTCATCATGATCAAAATACAAGTGACAGCAACTTATTCTAACATTATTATTATTTTTTTAAAAAAATTTGAACACCTACATGATCCATCCAAGATGACAAAGGAAATGACTATTTTGTTGTTGTTGTTGACATAATTAGAAAATTTAAACCTAGCTATAGCTATTTTGATTATGCGATTAACTAATGCTCTTCCTTAATGATATGAGACGAAACAACATCTTGAAGAAGGCCATGGTCTTTGACTAAACCAGCCCCATCGAGCAGACCCTGATGAGTTCGACTCTTGTTCATCACGTGGTCATCATCATGACCAAATCCCTTTTCTTGCTTTCCGAACAAAGACAGCTGGTGTTGTTGTTGTCGATGATGAAGCTGAGGAGGGAGCCTAGGGAGGCCAAAGTGGGACCTAGAAGCCGAGCCATTGGATACAAAGCTGCTTCTGTTAGACATGATGAGTGGTGTAGGATGCGTGTGTTGACCTTCGTAGGTTGTGATTATATTGCTTGGATCACTGAACGATCTCTCCACTCTCTTCTTCACGTCACACCGATATGTAGTGCAACGGTAGTAATTCCTTGCCAAAGACAACAAAAAAGACCCATTAAACTTACAAATCTCGTTAAGGATCTTTGATTATCAATATAATTAAGAAGACACAAATTAAGGAGATTAAATCTCACCTTGGAAAAGGGCTGTTTCTGACAGGTTTTTGACCGTATTTTCTCCATTTATAACCATCGTCTAGATTATTAATTTGGCTCTTCGTGATGAATGACACTTTTGGCACTCTCGCCTTCGTCTGTTCTCCGAGTCTTTCATTTTTGTTTTTGTCGAAACAAATTTCGTTAAAAGAAGAGAAACATAAACTTTGGAAGAAGACAGGGAAACGAAAACTCACCGCTTATTTCTCTTATGTTCTTTTTCAATAGATTCCCCGTAGCCTCTCTTCTTTTCCTCTCCAGTCACAGCCTCGTACGACGAGTTAGGAGGTGTCGCCGTCGCCGGAAACTGCATCGGCGGCGGGTGGATCAGTGTATTACGTGAGATGCCTTGATGAACACCTAGCAAATCCATGAACCCTACCGTACACCTCTCTGCCGTTAAATCGGACGTTTGCCCTAAATCGGAAAACTGCATCCCAACACCAACATTCTCCATTTTCCTCTTTTCTCCGGGAAAGTCAATCAAACACAGTAAAGAAAACGAATCAAAACCACTCTGGATAGGAAATTACGAACAAATACAGAGAATCTCTTCTCCAAGAAAAAGAAAAGGTACAGAAAGAGATTTTAGGGTTTAGAGAAGAGAGAGATACAGAGAGTGAGATTTGGCGAGTGAAGGAAAGGTGAGGAACTCAACATGGATTCTTGCTAAATAAATGCGTTGAACTGGTGACCGGCAATTGTAGGTGGACAATGTTTTAAACAATAGTCCGATAAGATGGTATACGCTTTCGAACGTTCCATTTTGACTGGCTTTAGCAGTCAATCGGGTTTCCCCTTGTGTGAACGAGCTTTCCGTGTGAGACTAAGGGATATACACACACACAAAATGATTCCCCAATTTTTACTACTTGGATCTGTCGCTTTCATTTAAAACTCTAGTGCAGTCCTATTTTACACAGTACGTACTTAATTTTGTTAGATTTCTTTTATAGGGTTACATTAGATATTGTATCCTAATTGTGTTGTATCAATTTCGTTCTATAGCAATGTACCAACCTTTAGATTACAAAGCCCATAACTAAATCTGAAAAGGGAAGAACCCAAGAGAACCCCCTTTTAAATACCCAACTACATTGAATCCCAAGAGAATATTCAATTTTGATAATAATAAATGGTTTTCAACTTGCAAGTAGTCAAAGTACTCCATTATTCATACAAAGGATCGAGAGGGTATCTTGTTCTACTTTTTGAGCATATATGCTGACTGGTGCTGAATAAATACTCTTGTTGAGTCAACAAATATTGAAAAAAACCCCAAACGTCAAGTGGACATATTGATTGCTTTCCCAGCAAGGCGGCTAGAACGCGAATTGAGGTTTAGGTTAGAACACTGTGTACCCACAATTAATATAACTTTTCTTTTCTTTATCATACTAAAACCAATGCAGCTATAAAAACCAATCTTTCATTTGGGAGAGTCTCTCATCCGCAGCCACAGAGATGGAACCCTAAAATTATTCTTGTTTGTTTTTTTCCTGACCAACCTAAGATGTCGAGTTCTGGTGATCATTCCGTCAAACCCTTGGGTGTCTATTTCGCTAAGAGTGCAATCGCCGGTAAGATGTCTCTCTCTCTCTCTCTCTCTCTCTCTCTCGTTGAAGCGTTAGATCCGTTGTTTAAGTCTTTTCATTAGATCTATCGATGTTTTTATGTGATTGATTTAAAGAAAAATGTAGAGGGTAGATCTGATTCTCACTTTGGGATTTTCATGAATGGATCTGAATTTTCCGTCGTTTTGTGTGTGTTGGAAGCCCTGAGAGGGGCGAAAACAGTGGTGTTCTGGGACATGGTTGAATGTCCGATCCCAGAGGGTATGGATGTTGTTTCTGTCTCGAAGAACATTAAGCGTGAATTTGTGGAGGCCGATGTCATGATCCATCACTTACCGGATGGTGAACTATCTGGCACACACACACACATACACACACTCTCTTTTACTTATGTATATATAAAATTTGATGTGCGTTTATTACTTCCTATCAGGAGACAAAGAAGCCAGACGTCAGATGCTTTTAACGCACATGCTCTGCGAGGCAGTTGACTATCGTCTACCAGTCACTCTTATGCTAATCATGGAAGACATCATGTCCGCGCCGGATGACCAGTTCATAAACGCTTTTGAATACCTGAAAAGAAACATTACAATTGTATTGTAGCACATCCTCAAGACTTACCAAGGTCGAGCTATTATTACGTATCTACAGCATGGCGTTGGGACACCCTATCAGCTGGAGGAGAACCTGTCAAAGCCTTACCATTCGGTCCTTCTGATGCTATCACTCCCCCACCACCTGCCATTTTCGATTGGCCGTATACCAACTTCCCCTGTAAGATGTCTCTCCTTATATCTCTTGTTTTTGAGATTTGAATTAGACTGTTTCTGTGATTGATTAAGAAAACTATGAGAGGAAATATTCCTAGGAAGCTTTTTGGATTCACGAATTGATTTTAAAAAACTAGACTAGATCTGAATCCGGCTTCACCAGTTTGGGATAGTAAACTAGTTGATATGTTATATTAATAAATTAATCAATCTCAAGTTTTGAGTCGTTTCTTTCTGTTTCTTCATAACTCTTGTGCGTTTTCTGTTTTGTAAAACCTTCCAGCGGCGGAGACGTTCATCTTCTGGGACATCCAAGCATGCCCGTTCCCTGACAATGACGATGCTGGTAAAGTTGTTGGGAACATTGCACGGGCGCTTCATAATATGCGTTACAGTAATGTGACGACACGCAATATCGCTGCTTATTGTAATGTATTTGAGATGATGGATGCCATGTGCGAAACCAATATCGGGATGAGACACGGAGGTGGATTCCCTTAATCTCTCTCTCTCTCTCTCTCTCTCTCTCTCTCTCTCTCTCTCTTGGTAGCACACACAGTCTCTTTTACTTATATATGTCTCGATCTGTGTTCTTTTCAGCTACTGAGGTCGACAGACGCAAGAAGATTTTGGTAGACTTTATGTACAAGACAGCTGGCAATCGTCAAGCAATAAATCTGATGCTAATCATGAATGACACCTCAAGACGCCCGGAGTTCCTCCATGCTTTTGATTTTTTGAAAAGGAGAGGAAATTTCAACATTCTTTTAGCACACCCACAGGTTGAAAACGTGCCACGCGTATCAAAGACGCTACCTGGTTCTGTCCGATCAATATGGCTTTGGTCGGACCTATCTGTCGCAGGAGGCCCTATGGAGGAAGAAGAGACTATTGACGAAGAGGAGGAAGAGAACAAAGAGGAGCTTATTGGTGAAAAAGAGCTTAGCAGCGAGTATTTTTCATCTACTGATTCTGAGGCTAGTGATTATGAGAGGGACAGACGCTGATGCTTTATCTTATTACTCTAGTTACTCCCCTGTTGGAAGAGATCTATATGTTGTGTTCTGGACGAATCTTGTGTGACATTTTGCTATGTTGTGTTCTGGACGAATCTTGTGTGACATATTGCTTCACTCTACTGTTTTAAACAATCCTTGACTTGAAAGAGAAGGAAGAAATGTGATTTTGACTGGTTTCGCAGTTAACCGCGTTTTGGATCTGTCCCTTTCATTTAGAACTGTAACTTTCTTTTCTTTCAGACGTAGTCCAATTTTATTACAGGGTTATATCCACTGAAAAATAAATCTTATAAAGTAATTGTCAAAACTGATATAACAGAGCAAAAGATTCTAACGTAAATCACACGGTAACAAAAATGAAAATGGTAAATAAGAACAAAAAAAGGGGACTAAACTAGAGTGTTACTCTGGAGTCTAGGATATGAAATGTGGGGATTAGAGAGAGAGTTTCTGAGTTTGGAAAGTTTTGAACTGAATAATTCACTCTACCGATATATATATATAACAAAAACGAAAACAAAACAAGAAGAAGAAAGAAACAACCGAAGAATGAATAATGCTTCAGAACGTCTTCTTTCGAGCAACAGCCTTTCGAGGTTCTCTCTTGGCAGAGGCAGACGAAATCCCAACCGTGGCTTGGTAGATGTCTTTCAGCCTTGTGTTTCATTAATTACAAGCATGTCAAGTTATGTGAATTACTTACTACATCCATCTTGTAAGCTTTCAAATTCACAAAGTTCTAATTTTGGTATATGTTACCTCGGGATGCTGATGAACAGAGCAATTGCCGAAACGCCAATAACCAGCGGCAATATAGCTGCAGGTGTTACTTCCTGAAACCGATACAAATCAAAATCACAATGAGAAAAGGGCACAGTCTATTGAAAATGTGGAAAGACTGTCTCTGTGAATTGCATATCCTACCTGACTCTGGTGATCTGCCACGATGCTGTATCGAAGTGGACCGACATGGGTTTGGGCATTCGTCTCCAAATCCACTTCAATGATCTCTGATACTACTTTATGGGAGCTTGAAGGACGACTGGATCTAAGCTGCACAAGGTGTTTACCTCTTGATAAGCCTTTTACTTGGAAGAAGTTGGAAAGTGGGAGTGGAAAGACATTCTCTGTTTTTGATTCATCAGTGGCTGATTTGATCTCCACAAGCAGATTCGAGTTCAGTTCTTCGTTGGGTTTTCCTTCCACGTGGCATGTTAATATGGTCGTCTCTGGTTGTTCAAAGACCAAAAAGTCGAGCCCGTTGATATCTTCATAACCAATCTAATGATAACAAGAAAAATTTGCCAGGGTTAAATCCTGTTGTTGAAACTGCGGATGCGATGAGAATGAAATACTACTGGAAAAACAGAACAAACCTGAAGAGAAACCGACTCTGGAGATGCACGTTCGATTTTGTTGTTGCCTGAACCATTCTTTTTCGATACTTTGATTACATATGTTGTATCTGGATGTAACCCTCTTAGACGATAATTTCCATTAATATCACTTGTAGTCTCCTCATAGTATCCTTTGGAGTCAGAGCGAGCTTCAACTGGAACGCCTTCTTGTGGCTGGCCAGATAAGAGAGCGACTCTGCCCATTGCACTGCAAAAACGAATTTACAAGGTATCTTGTAACAGAAACAAACAAGGTTTAATGGAATGCAATCTAAGCCTACAATATATGTAATAGCTCGAATGGCAAGACTAGTAGAAGACCAAACATTTCCAAACATCCCAAATCAGAGGGTACTGTATATGAGATGCAACTGAATCAGAACATTGAAATGACATGTAACTCTCTGCTCATTGTGAAATTGTATACGTATCAAAGAAAGTGTGTTGCTATTATTTTACTACAGAAGAATTGATCCTCGAGCAATCATACTTCAAGAAACGAACAATTTTAGTTTTTTTGACATGAGTAAGAGCAAGGTGATTTAGAATTAGAATAAACCTGTAGGCAACACGAGTAGCCTCAAAGACAGCTTCACTGGACTCCCCAGAACCCAATTCTATCGCCAGTGTTGAAGGTTTGAAAGAATATTCCTGAAAAAACATATACAAATCAGATAACTCAACTCAGGAAGGAACACAGCATTACTGTTTCAGCATACTGCCAGTCATATCATTCTCACACAATACTTTCCTAAGGGAATGGGTTAATTACCTTAAGAAGGGGACGCAAGTAGAAATTTCCAGGGAATAAGCTATCAAACACAAAGAGTCCACCAGCGCCAGATATAGAATTATTTCTGTAACCATGATCGCCACTTAAGGATAACAACAGCGGAGGGACTGATGTGTCGGCATTGTCCTTTGAGGAAACACGCACAGAGATCTGACCCAGCTTCTGGCAGGAGAAAGAGTATGGTCCTAGTCTTTTAATATGATAGCCAGGCTGCATGTATAAGCAGCGGATCAGGAACACATTATTTCAGAACAAATGAATGTACTTTAAAATGCATGACAGAAGAGTGAAGAAAAACATAATGACAAGGCCAATTTACATGCACATGAACATAATATCAGTAATATACACCAACCTTTGAAGCTTCGGTGTCATATGGTATATCATCATACAAAGGCCCAGCAACAAATGAACCATCTGGTGATGTACTTGTTTCAACAGCTACTTCACCTTTCTTTAGTGAAGAAATAAGGCTGTCTTTTGCAGCAGAGACCTTGATGTTAACACCGGGAAGAGGAGGAGAGACCGATCCTTGTATGTAAAGACCAAGTCGACCAGTAAATTGGGAAACTGAAGCTTGGCATCCATCATTTGACACTACCGCCTATAAGAACAAGTATAAATTAAGTTTGATGTGCCCATATTAGAATCTTTTATCGCTGAGTATTAATTCTAGCCCATACTTACATGAAGCTCTTTCGGATAAAACAACATCTTTTTCTCCACATTACCCCTGAAACAGAAAACAGCTATAGCTGAAGTAACTTGAAAAGAATAATAGTTTCGAAGATATTTAAGACATGCAAGCACCCAAACACTCTCTTGGTTGGTTGGAACAAGAAGTTCTCTCATATGATACATTCTAGAGACAATTTACTGCAAACATTTGAAGTCTACTTCACAGATTCCCTGATAACATAAATGGAAGATCATACCTAGAATCCCGAGGAACAAAGCTAATCTTTTCTCCAAGATTTGCCCAGGTATAGTACTCATAAACGCCACGCCCATCAGATGCAAGTTTGGCGGAGATACTGTTGATAACTCTTCCTTCCTTGTCTTGCATATCAACAATGAAATTCTCTGGCGACTCAGGCTCAATCTCGGTTGGACCAGACTCCACATTTATCCGACCTTTGAGGAGGTACTTCTCTGCTCTCAGATGAATAGGCTACAGAAAGAAAAGCACAGAGATGCTCAATGAGGGACGAATCAAAGAATGTTTAAACAAAAGAGGCAAGATTACAAACTACAACCTGTGGATTTGAGACATCTATCTTTATTGAATTGCTCCCAAAGGATATGCAGGAGTCAGAAAGCTGAAGCTCATGCCCTCCAGGTGACTCAACGCATATTTTCTGCAAACCTTTCTGTAAATACCAAAAATGAAACAATTAGTTTTGATAGACTTGAAATATAGCAAAAGCTATGGAGAGAATCCACAGGACATATAATACCTTGACTTTCAAATTAGTAGGTGATCCATTAGGATGAACGATTTTAGCATCCACCTCATGGGTGGAGATAATATTAATCCAGTAACCTTTCTGGACAAATTCGATCCCTTCAATATCCTCAGTTCCGACATTCACATTAATGGAGCTACGGTCCCAGCACCAACTGTCTTCCTCAGATGCGACTTCCGGTGATATGCTTTTGACCTAAAATAAATCAACCGTGACAAGAAATTAGTAAACGTATTTAGCTACTAATGTGACATTTTGTCCATCTCTTACAGAAGTATCAAAGAGGAGAAACAGAGTTGAGAATAAACCATGCAGCCCACCTCAACTCTGTACTTTCCAGGCAATATGTCTGCAAAGTGAAATTGACTGCTCTCATCAGTTAAAACAACTGTCTTCTTGTCACGATCGCCAGCCACGCCCACAAGCGCCACTGAGACAGACGGACCACATTTCTCCTTGCAAGTAACAGAACCATGCACATTGACTCGGGCCTACATCAACACCCAAAAAAAAGCTTTTGAGAAAAAAATCTCTTGAACATGTGGAAGTATATCTTCCATCCTACAACTCCTACCAATTTGATGCTATACCAAAAGGGAAATATATTGGATAACTTCTGAGACTAGGTGCACCGTAAAACATAACAATCTCATATTTTGAACTGATACAGAAACACTTCCAAGAAAGTGATATCATTCACAGTCAATCACCTGAGAAAATTCTATGTTCAATAATGGACTTTTGACGGCAACATCCACATAAGCTGGCAAAAACAGAAGCTCGGAAGCACTCTTTGGTGTAGCAGCCAAAGCAGACAGCCTATATTCGCCTGGTGTAACCTAGAATATATATGATGTAAAGAAAATAAAGAATGTGTCACGGGGTAAGAAACAGAGAATTCATCCACAAACATGATAAAGTTAATTTTTGTCTAGTGGATTTACTACAAACCTCAAAGCAGAACGTTCCACTCTCATCTGTATGCTTCATTTGCGGTTTGACATCTGTGGGTCCATGAGTCAAAGCTACCTATATTTAAAATGTTAAAACGTTAAGCACGATGCATAAATAACAACAGAGCAACATATGCCCAAATATGCGCAAGAATTTACCTTTGCCTTGTGACCAGAACCAAATATCCGCACCACACCACAGATATCATAGGATACAGCACTGATATCTGGAAGTGAAGCCATATTTGGTAAAACCTAAGCAAACAAGTTTAACGAGTCATGGAGCAATTAATTTAGCACACCACGAAGACAAAAAAAATAAAACTGAGAGTGATACCATGAACTTTTTCAGTTTGTCGAACTTGAAATGCTCCTTGACTGCATCTATCGTATATCGATTTGATGTAACCTAAGGAGTTTAACCAACATTACATTACATCAACTGCGACTAAATTATTGATCATGAAAGCAAGAAAAAGAGATTGAAGGAATGGTGGAAAGAAAACCAGATGGTAAATATTTGAAATATTAAAAACAAAGACTTCAGAATTGTAGCCAAATTCTTTACTATATATTATAGAAGCCTTGGAACATTCACTAGGAGAAGTTGAGTAAAAGCAGATCTACCAGGCTTACAACTGGAACAAAGTTTGAAGTATACACTTCGAAATAGCAGTTAAGCATACCTGGTCAAGCTTGTAATAACCTTCCTTGTCCGTGACAGATCTTAGACTACCATCTACTAATATTTTAACGCCCTCCACTCCCTTGGAATTACCGTCAACTATACGACCCCCGATGGAGAATCCTGTTACCTAAAGGAGCATTCAGTTCAATATTTAGAGGAAGAAACATGTAAGCAGAGTCCAAATATAGAAACAAAGAGCGGTATAAATTTTTGCAGTAATTCCATCTAACCTGAAACTTGTTGGGAACAGTGACATGTTGATGCTCTACAGAAACAGGCATCACAGGAGGTGAAACATCAAAGACCGTGTTCTCGCCCTTATAATGCGGTATCAGTTCGTACTTTCCTGAGGGCGAAAAAATTAAAGTGATAAGAAAATAGATCAATAGAAAATAAGGGCAGCCTAAAGTTGGACCATGCAACAAGAATTTCAATTGTCCGTAAAGTTTAACATGTTCAATTGTCCTTTAACTTGTGTTGCACAATACGGAATTCATCAGGCTAAAACTTCATGTAAAATATATACTCAATGAACAACGTATTAGAGCAATTGATCGTGGATAATTCAACGCTGATTTACCACATGGAATGGACTTGAAACTGAATATTCCGTCCGCATCAGATACAGCATGGCAGAGAGGCTTCCTTTCTCCCGAAGCGTCACCAAATCCTTGGGGGCAATCCACCATGGAAACATCATCCGAGTGCAAATATATATGAACGCCCAGGATTGGATTTCCCTACAAATGGAAACGCAAAATGTTTTCTATCAAACGCTCAGAAGTAAGAATATTCCACAAGTGCTTGATCGACAGGAACCTAACCAACTAAATGACACACCAACTGATGTTTCCAATAAAGATCATAATAAAAATTCACTCACGAAAGCAAAGGAGGGAAGAAGGTTTCTAACACCAACTGAAAAAGAAAACAGAGAAAATAGAAGGATCACCTGAGCAACAACAGACCCCTTGAGATCATAACCAAGGACAGAGAATATGCCATCCACAGCGCCATTTGCAAATCCAAGTTCCACCTACAGGTAAACAGAGATGCTTCTACCATTAGCACGCAGAATAAAAAACTTCAAGCCAAATGTATTGAAGAACGGATAAAATAGAAAATAAAAGAGTAGGGAAAGGCAGGTGTACTATAATCCAAGGCAAAAAAGTTGGTCAGGAAAATTTTAACTCGAAATGTTAAATAAAAAGAAGGCAAAATCAAAAAGATGTGAGACCTCTGTTGAACCGCGAACTTCAACTTGCAGCTCTGGATGGGAAGCACGGATATTGTATTTTCCTGAAACCAATCAGACAGACTCGTCATTTGACTATCACAAGATAAAAAATGGAAAGCATGCACTTTTCCATTTAAAGTTACAATATGGGAAACTTCCGACTACATGTATAAAAGGCCAGAATAACAAAAGTGATCTAGGAAAGAAAAGACACTGATGATGAAAGCTTAATGAGACTCCTTACCTGGAATAATATTCTTGAATAAGTAGCTCCCATCTGACGATGTGAGAACAGAAGCAATGGGATCTCCATCAGAAGACAATAATTCAACATTGACATCAGCTGGACCTCCATTCTTAACCATACAACTCTCCCCACCAACAGCTCCAAGGACTTTACCGGATAATGTAAAACTGTAATATATAAACGAGTAAAACACGAGAATTATAAAGGAAGAAAAATGACCTAACCACCTCTAAGATTAAGATGAAAAAGAAGAAACAGCAGCAAACTCATCGGCTAAAACTAACCCAGTGAAGCGGAAGTTAATATCCTCATTGTTGTTGCAACTAGAGTCGTCAACGACAACAGGGACCTGCCACACCAAAATTAATGTCATAGCTAGCTACAAGCCTGGTGTTTTTTCTTTTTCTGGAAAAAGTTATGTATGAATAGTCCTCAAGAAAAGAAAAAAAATGAAGAGCGGATAAACCTTATCTGGGTTCCATGACCATCCTTCAGGTCCATTTATCTTGAGAATGAATGAGCCCTATGAGAAGAAAGCGTAGAAATTATTTGCAGCACTGATTCATCCAACAGATACATTTTTTAACAGACCCAGACGAAACAAAGATATTGTAGAATAAATACCTTGTCATACACTGGGATGAAATAGTAACCATTTGGGGCACACTGTGTACTGTCCTTCACCAATCCATCTACTGTTTGAAGCTCCACCTTGTCATTTGGAAAAAATCAAAATCAGTGAAACATCGCAAAAGAAAAGAAGAACAAGTAGTAGTAGTCAACAAATTGAATGCTTACCGTGATGTGCGAATAATCCAGTTTCCCATCGGCTCCTTTCCGAGTCCTGACCAAAGACGAACTCGCCTGCACGTTTAATAATTCAGAAGCATTCATAAATACTTCACGTCCACGAGAATCCAGATCTGATCTTACACCTAGCACTTAAACCATTAACCATCCCCCCGAAATGCAGAATCTCAGATAAAAGTACCAAGCAGTCCCAACTAAACTGAATCTACCTTCCAAGCAAACATCCCCAATACCACACACTCTCTAGTAATCGATCAGGGACAAAAACGGAACGATGGAGAAAACGAATCGAAAAATAAAAGAGAGATAAACCTCGACAAAACCACCGCAGCCTTTTATCGAATCCGCGGAAACACCGTAGACTGTAGAAATCGCTATGAGGAAGACGATCAGAGAATGAAGAATCTTCGTACTGGCCGCCATTTTCCCGATGTGAAGCTCCGGTGACGGAGCTTAATGGTTGGACTTAGTTAGGAAAGAGTGATGTTCGTCAATGGAGCACGGATCCAATATATCGGACCGATGACTCCGATCTGATTATCACGGTTGGTTTTAAATAAGGTCCTTGACCCATGAGGGTTTTATGGGCTTTATGAGGCCCATTATAACAAAGTCACCACTAAGTCGATAATTGTTGTTATTTAATTGATTAGAGATAATTAGTATATCAAATACAGCTGTCGAGATTTGCTTACCGTTTGAAGAGTCGAGCTCAAGCGAACGAGTGCGAGAATTTTTTTGGATAAGTAAATCGTCAGTCAACTGTAGAAACCAATCCCAGAAGTGAAATCTCTGGAGAATCGAAATGCTTCAGCTCCTGGTTATAGCGTGTCTCTTGATCTTCGGGACGGAGACGGTCGTGTCGCACCAGGAATCCGGCGAATGGAGTTGTGAATCAGACTCGGAGATCCAGGTCATGGCCGATTACGGTCCCGGGATCATCACCCTCGATGGTCACAACGATGACTGGAAGGACATTGAAGGCTCCGAGTTCCCGCTCCGACCCGCACTTGATCCCGACGCCGACCACGAGTATGCCGCCGGGAAGATGACGGTCAAGGTAATGTGTTGATTCGAATCGTTGCATTACACATTGATTGCCAAACTACTTAAGAGTTTTTTGTATAAAATTGATGAAAGCCGTGCTGAAATTTCTGATTTGCCAATATCTATTTGGGTGAGTTTGACCAGAGTATTAGTGATGCAGACCTCATTGTGACGTTTTATTTCGATTGATAAATCTGGATTTTTTTTAGGGAGACTTCGAATTCCATGAATCGTTTTCTAGGTCGTTCTTTTAATTGGGTGGATCTCTCCTTGTAGGCATTGCATGATGGTCGAGATATGTACTTTATGCTGGAAATTGATGGAAATTACGCTTATCAGAAAGGGTAAGTGTGTTTTCGTTTCTAATTTTGCTTGATCTTCCTGAAAATTTCTATCCACATGGATTGATTTATTCTGTGTGAGTATGATATCTGGTTAGGTCATGGATTCTTGAAACTTATAATTTAGTCATGAGTTGTCAGGCTCTGGCATGTCTATGACTTTCTATAATAAAGTGGTGTCAAAATACATTTGGGTACTGCTTTCAGATGATACTGAAATGATCCTTGATTTAATGAATAACTTAATTGCAAATCTGTCACTACTGTACTAAACTCCTTGCTTCTTTAAATCCAGTGAAAACAACAAGTGTCCTTCGGTGTCTCTCATGTTCCAAATTGGCGATCAAGCTACTTATCACAATGTAAGTTTCTCAGGTGAATAGAGTATTGTGTTCAAAAAAGATCCATGAATATTGTTTTTGTGAAACAACTGATGTCAACCTTCTGCTCCACAAGATGGGTGGTTGTAAAGAAGGGACAGATTCATGTACCAGCAAGGCTTGCAGAGGCTTCGAGGTTGATATTATGCATTTCTCCATTGGAAATGCTATTCCAGGACGCCTTTACGGTGGTAATCCAATAGACAACAGGGAAGGAAATGGAGGTGATAGGTAATTTGTAGTGCAATCAATATATACAGTTTTTTCGTCTCTCTCATAGTTTATCTCGTGTTGTACCAGTTTTGTGAATGTAGTTCAATTCCTTATATGTTTGTATGAACAGATTTGGTCATCTGGTTGACATGTATGCGTGGAATCCACATTGTCGATACCTTGATGGCCTTGGACCCTCAGGTACTTCTCAGATAACCTTAACAAATAACCAGTTTCAACCTTAAACAGAAGTTACCTAATTCTTTTGCTTTGATACATTGGAAGCTTAGCTTAGTAATTGATTATGCCTTGTCGATTATTTAATAATCCTCTAATGTGTTTCCCCAAGTATAAGACGTCCTTGAATTCCTTAGATATATTAATTAGTTGTTTTCTAGCTAAATGCTAGCTACTCGGGAGCTTGAAGAGCGATCTCTTTATTCTGTGCAAATTACAAATATGTGATCCCCATGGATATTCTTCTGCCAGGAAATGATTCTAGTGCACAGAACGATTGGCATGGAGCATGGTGGCACAGTAGCTTCACTACTCAATCAGGTCAGTCTTACATATCTGCATGATCAGTTCCATGAGTTCCCATCTCTTAGACTTAGGCATCTCCTCGGGTTACTTATATTTGAAGCTTTCAACAGGTTATGTAGAGGAAGACAGCCCTTACACGCCCGATGGCAAGAAAGGAACTTACTATTTTGAGTTCTCAAGGCCTTTGAGGACTATGGACCGTCTCCAACAGGTCAGTACCTCCTCTAATCGGGTTAACTAGATTCGGTTACCATTGGCGCTTCCCTAGAGTATAGTATAACCTCCAAGCATGCTTACCTCTGTGAATCAATATTTACTCTTAAACGAGAGCCACTTTTTTTAAACACTTGACAGAATGGTATGTGCTTAAAGATGTGTTCTGATTTATAAGACAAACATCTTGTTATCTACAGGATGTTCAGTTCACGCTTGGCTCACCGGCCAAAATGTCGGTTGCATTCTGGTACCCAATGGACAGCAAACCGTGGCACGGATCAGGACACTACACGATCAACTGCGATTGGATCCCGCTAGATATCTCCTCAGGCTCTTCTTCGAGTCTCACCACTTCAACTGTCGAGGGCTCAAGCGATGGAATCAGCATTTCTGCCATAGTGCTGTCCATGATATCTCTTGTTGTGTCGGGTTTTATTGCATATAAGTTATTTCTCCCCAGGGACGATCGATTCACACCCATGGTGGACAATCTGTAGGAGTAAATAGGTTTACAAGGATCTTTGTCCCACTCGTCACACTGCTGATTTGGCTTTGGTACCACATTGAGAGAAATTAGTCATTTTGGCTTATAGTGAAATCGGGTGAATTCAAGTTGGTCTTTGCTCAATAATTATTCACATTACAGCAGTGCCTAACATGTAGAAATTATTCCAGATATAAATTTAGACACTTACTGACTGATTAGCCTAGAATTTCAATAATCTTCAACTTAGTGAAATGAAAGTTTCTGATTTTAATATCAACGATTAGTTTCTACATCTGATGTCAAAGAAAGTCAACCATGAAGATGATAGAGTGTAAAACGTCTAAATTTGCAAACATAAAAGTAAGTGTACTTAGCTGTCAAAAAAAAAAAAAAAAAAGTAAGGGTACTTATTTGAATTCAATTTGGATTGTTTGGTTTATGGTATAGAGAGAATACACTTCGGATTGTTTTCGATTTGGATTAAGAGAGGAACCTTGTTTATTTCAAAAGTTTTTTCCAAAAAGTCGCTTTATTTCTCTTGAAGTTTAGGTTGGTTACGGTTATAGCTTGTTCGGGAATATATTTGAGTGTAAAAACATCATTGTCGTTTATGGTTTTCTTTTTTGTGTTATGGTATCGGTTCGGTTTGGTTAAACCAGATTTGAGGAACCCCTACATTAAACAAACTGTAGTGAAGAAGTAAATTGAGCATGTAATTATCGTTTGTGGAGCAAATGGAGGAAAAGGAAGTGGTTCCAAGTATCAGGAACACCAGGGAGACACCAATGGCTGCAATCTTGAACAGCTTGTGAACGCCGGTTTTCTCGTCTTGTTCCGAAGATAGAAGGGTGAGCGTCGATTCTGTACTGAGACAAACCGCTTACGTTCAAGAGAGTAACCGGTGTTTTCATCTGCTTTAGTACTTGCTCAACAATGGTGTTTCTGCCTGAGTAACTCGGCTTGAATGTTTGGTTTAACGGCCTGTTGGCTTCCCTGCAATGGCCTCCTGAGTTCCATTCTCCTCCACTGTCCAAATAAACCAATACAGAGTTTGATACACGGAGAATAAATAAGTCAATACACAGATTATAGATTGGAGAAAAGACCTGAAATGGGAAGGTGCGGCGCTTCTAAAGAAAACTCGGGTTTTCTTGGGATCGACATTTCTGTCAACCCATGATGACCAAGTCTGCAAAGCTTTCTTGAAAGCGGTTGATACATCGAGCTTTGGATAAATCTCGTTTCCTTCTTGGTAATAGTTGACCCTGCAACCTCAAAACTGTCAAAATCAGAATCTTTCGTTCCATTTTTCTTCTGTATGTTCTTAAGGAAGAAAACACTGACCCGGATTTGGTTTTGTAATGAGACCACCAATGTGCTGTATTGAACACTAAGATATCAGCACCTTTCCATCTCGAAGAGGTTCGGTCCATAGCGTCGATCCTAAGCGTTTCTCTTCGCTTCTTCCCAATTCTTGCTTTACCCTCACGAACCAAGAAGTGAGTAACATAGAATTCCACAGTGCATTTGTAATCCTAATCAAAAGCACAAAAGTAACAATAAGCAAGCACACATCTAAAAGCTCTCTCTCACTCTTGCGGTCATTAAGATGATTATAGTTTATGTACCGCGAAACGGAAGCTGTAATTCCCTTTCTCTTTGGTGATTCTTCGGTTGTGCGTTTCGTAGACTCTCTTGGGATCTTTCACAGCTTGAAACAACATACAAAGCATAGACTCCCACTGGTTCCTGTTGATCGAGTCTCCAACGAACACTAGCCTCTTCCCTCTTATCATTTCCAGCATTTTTGTAGCATTGAACCTAAAAACTCAACACATACCATATATGGCCACAATTTCCCCAATTAGGACTAAGAAACGAAATGCATATTACTGTCAAACTCAATGAATGCTCCAGTGGAGCTATGAAACTTAATTACCATTAAAAGAACAAAACTTAGGAAGAAGAAAGCGAACCTTGGAGCATCACAATCACGAGGCTCCCATCTCCATTTCATGTAATTGAGATCCAATCTTCCGTTGCTTTGACAACCGAATCCTTCATCGATAAACGGACAAGACGCATTTGTGTACAACGGAGAGTCACTGTCGTAAACCCATTTCCCGTTCGTCACATCGCACTCTTCGATTCTCTTCTTCTTTTTCTTCTCTTCACCATCGTTGCTCGGAAGTGCAATCACTTTGATTGAAGTTAAATTAGCAACTACCTTATCTTCCTTAACCAGAATCTCGCCGCGAGTTTTCTGCTCAAAACCCGGAATTTTCGCGGACCCGGAAGTGTTTTCAGGCGGGCTGAAATGGGTAGAAATCAGAATCGGGCTTGCTCGTGGGGAATCTGAAGAGTCGGAGATATGGAGGTTGTTAGTCTCGGATATGGCTGCAATAGGGCTTATATTGATCTGGAAGTTAGCGTCTGTAGTTTGGAAAATAGAAGAAGAAGAAGAAGAGTTCGATTTGGTTAAGGAAGTTGAGAGGAAGGTTAAGAAAACAATGGCGGAAGAGATTGTTGTAATACTCAATGCTAAGACTCTTGTGGACTTGACAGAGAAGCTCCTTTGTCTCTCCATCTCTAACTGAAATGGACTTAGTGAAGAAACAGTCTCGCAATCTATAATCGGAAACTTTTGAATTCGAAATGCAAATGTGAGAAAGAAAAAAAAAGAGCTTGAAATTGGAGTCGATAACGGTGGTTGAGTCGTGGGGTATAACAGAGAGGAGATTCGGTAAAGGAATGATAATGACGTTCTTACGAACTCGTGAGCTCATGAAAATACAATGATTAAAGAACAAAAAATGGAGGAAAAGATAATGACGATTTAAAGTCAGGATTTGGAATAGTTGTTAAGTGACAGATTGAAATTTTGGATTTTAACGTGGTGGGGACGGGGACACTCGGGAGACTTTCGCTGGAGTTTTTCAAGGGACACGAGCCCCGAATGGGTTATCTTTTGAATTTCCATAAACGCCCCTGTAGTTTAAATTATACTAATATACAAGGCCCATAGATTTCGGCTTTATGAAGCCCATATAAAGGCCCAATAAGAGATATGGAGTAGAAGGGGACTACTGGGTGATTGTTTGTCTCTGCTTTTCCGCAGGTACAATCCCATTTCGTTTCCTCCTGCTTCTCTCTATCTCTCTCGTTCATCCACGCAATCTGACTCGGTAAATCCCAAATTCTTTCTCTTGATATCTCTGCCTTTTGATTGAAAATTCTGGGGTATTCTAGTTTATGATTTGATTTGCTCTCTAGATATGTAGCGGATTGTAGTTACGATTGACTTTTGTCAGATTCAGATCGATTTCTCTTCTTTTAGTGTGGATCGATGTGATTAGTATCGAATTTCTATTTACTTTTCCAGTTTTGATTGACTCTTACGGTAGCGATTCTTTGCAAAAATCAATCATTTTCTCCGGGAAAGCTGCCAATTTTGGTGTTGCAATTGCTGTATCCTGTGTATTAGTTATTTTAATGAATCCGTAACCTTTGATATCTTCCGTTAAATACTACCGATTTTTGACATAAAGCGCACATGAACATATATATGTAAGAATATGATGAGGCTGTATATATATTAGAGGTAGATGTTTCGTGGTGCTTTCAGCTTTAGCTTGGTGTGAAGTTGTCAGATTGTGGTTAATGATAGTATTGAGTCAACATTGCAGAGAATTTGGCGGTAGGTTGAGAAGAAATGGCGGGACACAGGGTTGCGCATGCGACACTGAAAGGGCCGAGCGTGGTGAAGGAATTAATAATCGGTTTGACACTCGGTTTAGCTGCTGGTGGTCTCTGGAAGATGCACCATTGGAACGAGCAGAGGAAAACCAGAGCTTTCTATGACTTGCTTGAGAGAGGTGAGATCAGCGTTGTCGCCGCTGAAGAGTGAATTATCAAATTCCTCTCTTAAAGTCTTCTCCAGCTCCATTTTTTCTGTTTTGTTATGGCTCCTTGAGATCTCAGATGATGAGTGACCTGAGAAAAGGGTTGCTTAAGAAATAAACACATCTGAGATCGGATTTTCGGGATTTGGTTCACGTATTGTTTTCCGGAGATACATTCTACTATTCCGTAGTTCGAATTTTCAGACATCTTTCTTGACTTTTTCCTTCAACAGTGAAGGTTACTGCACTGTTTATTCTCCACCTCATCTATAAATTGTAAACATACTATTAGTCTATTACCCGGTTTCTATATTTTCGTCTTTGATTTAAAAAATTTCTCATAAAATATCTAACTAGCAAGTTCTTAGAAAACGGCTTGAGCGGCTGCAAAATTTCAACGTTGTACTGCCTTGTTGTTTACCGAGAAAATATATTTCTTAGTTCGATCGAATAAAATAATATCTCAGTGTTATTCAATTACGTGTAACTCTATGGTTGGTTAAAAGAGGATAAGAAATGGGGTTCACAGAATTAAATTCACGCACACTTTATATATACATATATCTTCTTCGCTCCAATTTATCTGAAGTATCTTCTTTTGTCAAAGAGAAAAACATTCAAAAAGTATTTTTTTTCCTTCATCCAACGATGGCAGCTATAGCTACTAGTCTTAACATTGCAACCCAACGAGTGGTCGTCAGCAGCGAGAATCGACCGGTTCGTCTCGCCGGTCCGGTATGTTTGAACAATCCGTGGAATCTTGGATCAAGAACAACGAACCGGATGGTGAAATTTAGGCCGGTTAAAGCAGCGCCAGAAGGAGGGATAACGGATGTGGAGAAGAGCATTAAGCAAGCAGAAGAGGCTTGTGCGGGCGATCCAGTGAGCGGAGAGTGTGTAGCTGCGTGGGACGAGGTGGAGGAGCTTAGCGCAGCAGCTAGCCACGCTAGAGACAAGAAGAAAGCTGGTGGCTCGGATCCTCTTGAAGAATACTGCAAAGACAATCCCGAGACTAACGAGTGTCGTACTTACGACAATTGAAATTTAAATCATCATATTTCCGGATTTCGTTTATTACAAATCTTTGTTCCGGTCAATTTGGCTTATGTGATATGATATGAAAATAGCTCTATAAACATTGTAATTTTGGAGATTCCTTAGCCACAATCGAACAAATCGTTATCTCAGTAGAGGCGAACGGCAGATAACAATAACAAAGCTCAAATTCATTTAGAAACACATTACAATGTAGACGACACACGACAATACTAGAACAAGACCGGACAGACTGAAATTACCGAAAAACAAGAGACTGAAGTTTGAAAAAGATGACACAAACGACTCTAATTGTGTTACAAAACTCGACCCAAACAACACGAACAAGGACAAACGAAGTAACCCGAGCAAGAAGAAACCTCAATGCTTCTTTGGATCCTTTAGAAAGGGAAGTCCTCAGCAATCAAACATATCAGCAGAAGCCATGATTGGTTGCAACGGACAATGAATCTGCCACGGGTTCTGCATAGACTCAGGGATCTCCGGAATATCCAAAGCCTGACCGCTCATTTCCTCCACCATCTCAAGCACAGAGTTCAATGATCTTAGCCTGTCCGTTAACTCCAAGGCCCGTGCTCTCAAGACGTCGTTCTTAGCCTCCATCTCGACGTACTTCATCGTAGCTGCATCAACCTGCTCAGTGATTTTGGTGTTATCGGTCTTGAGAACAGTCACTTCGTTGATCAGATCACCAAGCTGCTTCTGTTTCCTCATCCTTGATCTCCGAGCGGATTCTCTGTTGGAGATCATTCTCTTCCTTTTCCTCTCGTCCGTGACCGACGCGTACCTCGGATCATTGTCGGAATCAGGACTTGTCTGCCTTTGCAACGACCCCATTTTCTCGTTGACTTTTTTTTGACTTTTTCTCACCAAAATTAAACAATATAATATACTTATAGAGACCCTATAAAATGCCCAAACTCTAGACACAATCAAAATCCCCGCTGCTCTCTAATCTATCAAAGAATTAGTTAGATGAAACGAAAAACCTCGAATTTTTTTTTTTAAATCGAGAGCTAAACAAAACAAATCAGATCGGAAACGATTACTTCATGAGAAAACGTACGAATAGTAGAGATAAACGACGGAGAAAGAGTGTAGAATGCGAATCCGACGAAACAGGATTGAGTAGCTCATAGAAAATCTAGAATCATTCCTGCTTTTTCAGAATCCCTAATTTCTTCAACCAAACCCTAGATCCGACAGCCAAAATCAAATTCCCCAAGAGAAAACAAAAACTAGATCTAGATCTTATAGATCTGGGAACAGGACAGAACGAAATGAATTAGACGAAGGAGGAGAAAGAAGAAGGGATCAATAGTATTTAGATGATCGAGAAGACGATAAACAAAAAAGCTATAGATCAAAGGCCAAACGAAAGAAGGCGATAAAGTAACCCTGATGGATCCTTTTAAAGGAGGAGATGGTGATGATGATGAGCTGGTGAAGGCTTTTTCAATTATTTTTTAATAAATTAAATAAAGCAAGATAATAACTGTTGGCAAATCTTTTATTTTAAAAGCATGATTGAAGACTGACGACAGCTGTGACGCCAGCTGGCATTTTATAAGGGAAGCACGTTTGTTTTTCCGTCCTTTTCACGGATGGAATATTCCACGAAGATGCCTCCAATAAAAATCTAAAATGCATATATTTGGGACTTGACAAAAAAAAAAATTGAGTTTTATCTTGAAAATTTCCACACGAAAGCAATGTCGCACACACAATTCATAAGCGTAAATTGATTAAATATAAAGCGACCATTAATCATAACCAAAGTCTACCATAGAGCTATGCGGCTCTATTTGGTTAAATGACGAGGTGATAATTAAAATGCCACACGATTTTGTAAAGCTTTTTAAATTTTTAAGCACCGACAGAGTTGAGAATTTAAGTCATAGGCTTTCTAATGGGCTTAAACAAACTTAATGGGCTTAGCATATATGTCAATCTTCGACTATATGAAAACAGATAGCATCGTACAATATTTGCAGCAGAAGCAAATACAGGAGCAAACAATTCTGACAAAAACGAGTCGTCACTAACTATTAGTTAATTTACATAGAAGGGGACTAGTGTGTTGTTGCCTTGAGCATGTTCCTCCATTTATCCTTAAGATCAGTGGGAGTACGTGTTTGGTGGAACACTTTCTCTCCCATTTCAAGAATCTTTCTCCATGGCATGTTCCTGTTTGCTTCTGCTGCAAATTTCTCCACTCCCACCTGAACCAAACAACACAAATCAACAACACTTCTTATGCAGAAAAAACAGATTAGTATTTATAATTTAACCATATATACCTTGAGCATTTCTTCTTCCTCGGGTGTCCAAAGTAGTCTCCTTCTCTGATCCTTGTTAAAAAAGGAAACGTCCCTACAAACCCCATGAGGTAACTAATGTGGAAAACGAGAGAAGCTACTACTACTCTCAGAGAATGAAGTCAGAGAATGAAGTCAAAAGGGAACAAACCTCAGTGTCTTTGACTTAGCAGCCACTTTGAGTTTCTTGTGATGGTTCGTCACGTGCTCAGTAACATGATCTCCATTTGGTTCCTCAGCTGGTGAGATTTCACTATCAGTAGCATTCATTTCAAGCCGTCTTCTTCTTTGTTTCTCATTCTGTTGGACATGGCCGTGTTCTTTTTCTGTAGATATTCTCTCTTCTTCTTCAGATGCTTTAACTTGGTCGTCTATCACTTGATCTTCTTTCATACCAGTACCCACCTCAAACTTCCTTTTACCCTTGTCATCTTGCACCTGATCCTCTTTCGATGAGCAGCCTCCATGTAACCCTTGATCACTTGCAATCTCTTTATCTAGATACTTGCAGACTGCCTTTTCCGCCTCGATGGCCTGCTCTCTCAGTGATTTGGATTTGAGTGATACGATTTTGAACCAGCAATAAGGACAGAATGGATTTGAAAGATCCTCACTACCACCGAACTCAGGAGTCAAACACTTCCCGTGGAAGACAACACGACAGTTAATTCCACAACAAGGGGATACCAAATTGTCTGAAATTCCACATACAACACAAGCATCGGATCTCAGCGGCTCTCTGTCTGTCCCAAGACGACAATGACGCTTCTTGTCTCCTCCACCACAAGTATCTCGAACCATCTCTTCACACCCAAATCTTCCCTGTGAGACGAAATTTATGTACAATACACCAAGATAAGAGTTACAAAATTCAAATCCAGCTTCTACATTCAAGCTTCTCGGAGCTTGGATGTAGGGAGCAAAACCTCTAATTTTTTTCGATTCGATTCGGAGAAGCAAATAGAAACGAATAGCGTTACCGGAAGAGATGGAGAGGGATCGAAAGACTGGCGCTGGGACCTAACCGGAAACGATTTCGTCCTCATCTTGATCTTCTTCTTCTCATTCCGACTCTCAACAACAGAGAGAGAAAAGAAGAACCCTAATCAAGGAGATGTAAAGTTTGATGGTACGACAACGTTTTAAAAGGTTTTACTTTTTAACTTTTCATTTTTGAGGCGAAGAAGCCAGCGAAACAAATTACCACCACAGTGAACTTAAACCCTTCCGGGCAAAACACTGTATTGTTGTTAAATCCTCGAAGCTTAAGCTTTGCTCCATCGGAAAATTATCGGAAGAAAATTTCTACATCTCTTGAATTCCTCTGGAGATCTATTTGAATCCGGGAATCTTCGCGGAAATTTTTAAGTAAAAAGGGAGGATGCAAAAGCCGAGATTTCTAGATTGGTATTTGAAGATCGCGATTGGATCGGCTCTCATCGGCGGAGGAATGGAATTCTTCATGATCAAGACTGGATTCTGTAAGTTTCATCATTTCCCCATTCTTTCTCCCTTCAATTTTTTTTGTGCTTTTCCATTTATCAAAGCGGTCAATTCTTTGTTGGGTAGGGTAAATCACTCGTTCGTCAAGTCAAGTTGATCGGAAAATTTGGTTTCTTTTTTTTCCCGAACTATCGATTGACATGTTGATAACATTGGTTTCGGAAATTTTATGATAGAAATGTTAGAGATTTTCGCCGTTGAGGTTGAAGTTTGCTGCTTTCTTGTGCAGTTGTAATATTCATGTTCATCTTCTAATTTGTACATGAAAAACTAGATTCTAAATACTTTTTATTACCAAAACTTGCAGACGACAAGGTTACTGTACTAGAAGCAGAGAAACGGGCGTGGGAAAATTCTCCTGAAGCTCAAGCCATGAGAGAAGCTCTTAATCCCTGGAGAAACAAGGACGCAGAAGCCAGCAAAAGTCCATAAATCAATGATGAACTCGTTAAGTTCCTTTCACTCACTCTCAAAGTCAAACTTGCAAATGCTGCTTCATTTTCTGTTGTTCCATTTGCAAAATGTAACAGCTTTGAACATGTTTTCATGTTATCAAGATACGAGATGCTTTACCATCAAACATGCCTTTATTTTCACTTTTACACTTTCACCCTATTTCATCTACAGATGTCTCTCAAGTCTTATTTTTTGCATATACTTCTTTCGTAACTTGTGTAGCCATTAGTTCTTTATCTAAAAGAAACTAGAATGTCGTTCAGACAAATGTTACAGAACAGAACAAAGAGCAGAGGCATGGGTGAGCCATTAGTTTCCGTCAGCACAAACAAATCCCTTACTTGATCATCTCGTCCCAAACCTCTCTTCACATCTAGTAGTTTCTCGCCATGAAATAAGATTTCATTTCATTACCATGTTCAATGTGTGTCAATGGCTCAATCCTGTTCTGGGTCAGCTTATTGTAGATCCTTGTGGCGTGTGTTCCAGCGTTTTTCTGCCGTTTTTCTGCTCGACCAGTTTGGCTACAATAGACTCAAAATGCATATATCAAACCGGTTATCATCAATCTTCCATGGAAAATGCATAATGATCCTTTAATTTCTGTCAAGAGGCCTTTGGTTTCATCTAAATGAATATTGCTGACCCAAACAAACCTAGACTCAATGCATATACATCAACCCGGTTAAAACCTGCTTCAAAATACACATGAGCAATCATTTCATCCTCACCAAAAGAAAAACCAGATGTTACAAAACAAAAAGCATTGGCATCTCTTCGAATCTTGGCTTCCTGAACGGGTTCTTGTTGAGCCATTAGAACCTCATGTGGTGATGGCTCAAAGTAAACCCAAATGTGATCAGCTAAGTCCAAGCTGTGCGAGTAAAGTAATGTTCGGCTTCTGGCTCAAAACCAAGATTTTGCAGATGAGGCTCAAGTATTAACCATTTACTAACCAGCACACGCTCTCTCTTGAGTCAGTGAGTTGAAAGACCCAGTTAAGATCCCAAGTCATCATCAATCTTCCATGAATCTCTGTTTGAATTTCCTTCTAGTCATCTGAGCCCATCTTGCAAAGATCTCCGAAGCAGCAAACTTACCAGAGAACTTGGCTCTCTGTGCCAATTCCTCAAATATCTCCGGTTGGCCTCCTCTGTGAAAATCAGCAGCAAACTTGTTATAATCAATCAAAGGGGTTTTCATTCCTTTGTCAAGCATCTCCTCCAAGTATCTACACGCCTCTCTCGACTTCCCTTCACCTATAAGCCCTCTGATCAAAACCGTGTACGAGTTGTCATCAGGACAAATCCCTTTCTTGATCATCTCGTCCCAAACCGCTCTTCCCGTCTCGTAGTTTCTCGCCATGAAGTAAGATTTCATGATCATGTTGAATGTGTGTATCGATGGCTCGATCCCGTTCTGGATCATCTTGTTATAGATCCTCGTGGCGTGTTCTGGCATCTTCCGACTCGCCATCAGTTTGATCAGCGCGTTGTACGTTTTGCCATCCGGAGGATGCCCCTTTTCTTGCATCTCCTTGAGCAGTTCGTAAACCGTGTCCAGCTTCTTCTGTGTCCCAAAACCCGTGATGAGACACGTGTAAACCGCAGAATCGGGTTGCAGCCCGGAATCAACCATGTCATCGAAGTACTCAACAGCAGTTTCCATGCTCGACTGTTTGCAGAAGTCACGGATCATGATGGTGTAGCTACGAACGTTTGGGTTAGGTCCCTTGGCTTTCATGACATGGAACAACTTGATCGCGTCTGACCTTTTCCTGCACCTCAACAAACCTTCGAGCATAACGTTGTGAGCTACAGTATCGGGTTTCAAGCCCTGATCAATCATATGGTTCCATATTCTAGCAGCTTCCATCAAGTTCTTCACACGGCACCAACCATTGAGTAGTACAGTGTAAGTCATGAGGTTTGGAGTAAACCTCTCCTTCAGCTTATCAAACAGAACCTGAGCTTCTTTCCCAAGCTTAGCCCTCCCAAGACTATCAAGCAAGCAGTTAATCGTCTCGACGCCAATTTGAAACTTGTACTTCTTCATCAACTCAAAGATGCCAACAGCTTTCTTCCTCTCCTTCGCAGCAGCGAAAGCTTTCATCGCGATGGTAAATGTATCCATCGTCAAAAGCCCTTTCGCACCCATCTCTTCAAGAACCGAGACCATCGTCTCGAACTGTCTAGTCTTTGCTAAGATACTCATCATGGAGTTATAGGTTGTTGAGTCATGAGCAAAACCTGGTTTCTCTGCAGCCCAGCAGAAGAACCTGAATGCAGGCTTCCTAGCATGTCGAAACCGTTCTAAAACCTCTACGATCAGATCGTGCGATAAGTCCACCTTCATTTCATCGAGAACAGCTTCCATGTTCCTATCTAATGCGAACAATTCATCAATCACTTTGCACACTCTCTCTACTTCTTCGGGATTAGCACTTGAATCAACAACACACTTGACCCCAATTTCATCCTCACCAACGTCTTCATCATTATCGCATTCAGATTCGATTTCATCATCACATCCACCACTACCATCAGAAGTAATACTAGATAAACCTCTAAAGCCTACAGAGGCGTGTGGGTGAGGATGATGAGTAGATGAATGAATCAGAAGAGAGAAGGGTAAAGAGCTAGCACAGGGAAATCTTACATCCTCTCCTCCTCTCCTGCCGCCGCATATCATCGTCCCGCCGATTTCGAGGCTTTTACCGAAAGTGAATTCATCGGGATTCGATGAATAAGAGCGAACAAATAGGCACTGGATTCGGTGAGAGCTGAGAGGAGCTTTAATGGAGCTTCTTCTCGTATATAGAAGTAGCCATGGAGGAGGAGGAGGAGAAGCCATCGAAGCTCGTCGGCGATTGGCAATGGCGAACTTGGTGAATAGAGCGGCTGAGCTAAACCAAAAGCTTCCAATCATTGAGGCCCATTAAGCCTTATTTTTTGAATGGAAATATAGAATTCTTGTCCCATTAAAGGCCCATTCATCTGGCTGCATGTTCATATGCTATTACGGTTTAACCCCTGGGCCCACCAGGAGCATTAAAGCGCCAACGCATCAAGATCATTCAAAGATGTCAGTATCTTAGTTGGAAGGTATCTGTATGCTCTTATCTTCATTTTAGGGTCATGATATTTTCTCAAGTTTTTGTGACGAACCAATTATCTTCAGATATTATTTGCTTCAATCACACACTTCTTTTACTTTACGTAATCTTTGTATACGTTTATGGATAATACAAATCTGAAAATCATGATCAGTCAATCAGTGTATAAACTTCAACAACTTGTGGTATACTTAGTTTTGTCCTTTTTGTGTTAGAAAGTGCAAGAATTTTAAGTCCAGAATCAATCATAACATATACTGTATATACTAGTTCAAACGGATTTAATAATTCTCTTTCTTTTTCAGCGATGTAATAATTATGTACAGCATGAATTATCTCTATATACTGCAAATATCACATAACACTATGAAATTAGTCACGAGAAACTTGTACTTGCAAAATCCAGAACTGTATCTAAACTAAAACACTTAACTCCAAAAGCGGAATTCAAGTGGGTTTTGGGTTTTGCCTAGCTGCTTTGTATAAATAGAAACACAATCGCAATCTCTTTTTCCATCAAGCTTTCTTCATTAGATATTTCATATTTATTTTCCAATAATTGAAAGCAAAACAAAACAGTTTTTATTCATAGTAAAGAAATGGAGGAAACGAAGGAGAGAAAGATTGTGGTAGCAGTGGACGAAAGCGAAGAAAGCATGGAAGCTCTCTCATGGAGTCTCGACAATCTTTTTCCATATGGTTCCAATAATACCCTCATCCTCCTCTACGTCAAGCCCCCTCTTCCCGTTTACTCTTCCATTGATGCTGCAGGTTAGTCTTGTCATTTCAAACTACCCTTACCCTAATTCCTCCGGCTTATAGAGTTTGTTTTGTCGATTTTCAGGGTTTATAGTGACGGGAGATCCGGTTGCAGCACTAAAGAAATATGAACACGAGCTCGTGGAATCGGTCATGACTCGATCTCGGACCGTGTACCAAGATTTTGAATCCGATGTAAGATTATTTATGTTCGGTTTTATTCATTATAACCGGTTTAGTTCAGATTTTACAAATTTTAAACGGAAATGAAAGAAATTCTGTATTATATATATATATGGAGTTCATTTTGCTTGTTATCAATTGGTTCTTAAACAAAGAAAAACACAGTTACGTGTTAACTTTTTAGTTACAATGTATTAGTATCACTATCAGTTGATCATAGAAAAAGACAAAAATAATACATTATAGTAGCGATATATCTTCTTCCCCAACAATTTTGACGGAAACGATGAAATAGTATTAATTAAAGCTATTGTCAATGTGCAGATTAATATAGAGAGAAAAGTTGGAAGAGGAGATGCGAAAGAAGTTATATGTAACGCAGTTCAGAAACTTAGGGCTGATATGTTAGTTATTGGCACACATGACTATGGCTTCTTCAAAAAGTAAGGCCTTAATCTTTTTTTTTTTTTTTAATTAGTATATGACCCAATATATTTGATTTAATGGTTATTAATATGATTTATATATGTCTCACTGATAGGGCTTTGCTAGGCAGTGTAAGCGAGTATTGCGCCAAACGAGTGAAGTGTCCTGTGATTATCGTCAAGAAGAAGCCTCAAAGTAATTGAGCTCATCATAGTTCTTATGATTGTATATGTTTCAAAGCATTTGCTGTTGTTGACCCAAAAAAAAAAAGCATTTGATGTAACACTTGACTCAATCTTCGTATGCAATAATATATCCGTGACAAGTTTAAACTATTACTTTAACTCACACATACACCTAAACGACGTCGTTTGTACCGACTCTTTCGTCAAAATTGTTCTTCAACCTATTGTCCGTTTTACGCAAAAGCCCCGATAGTAGCTATTATTTACAATATTCAGGGAGATTAAAACGAAATTTACAATACTTACTCGAATTAAAACGACGCAGTCTGCAAACGCCAAATCTGCGTGGAAGCTGTTTCTTCTAACAGCCTCCTCCTCTGTCAATCTTTCAGTTGCTGAGCAGTAAACTCTCGCGAGAAGAAGAAGAAGAAGCGATGTTCCTCGTCGATTGGTTCTATGGAGTTCTCGCAACTCTCGGATTGTGGCAGAAGGAAGCGAAGATTCTGTTTCTCGGTCTCGACAACGCCGGGAAAACCACTTTGCTTCACATGCTAAAGGACGAGGTTCGTTTTCTTCTTCTTCGATCAGATCAGTAATCGCCGTCGAGGAAACTCGTTTCCCATAGTGAATAACTACGATTCAAAGTATAAATCCTCCGATCGTGATCATCGTCTGGTTTTTGGTTTCAGAGACTGGTCCAGCATCAGCCGACACAGCATCCGACATCGGAAGAGCTTAGTATCGGGAAAATCAAGTTCAAGGCGTTTGATTTGGGAGGTCATCAGATTGCACGTAGAGTCTGGAAGGACTATTATGCCAAGGTGAGACCTTTCGTTCTCGTGCTATTGCGATCGAGCGTTTATAAATAGAATTCTAGGTCAATCAATTAAGAAGCATTCTATATTTGTAGGCACTAAGGTGATGTGAAATGAATCATTCTCTGTGCGCGCCCACTTTGTTTCTGTAATTCATATTCATTGTGTTAATCACTAGTCTTTCGTCTGTTACAGTCTCTTCCCTGTCTCTAAGAAACAATAGTCTTAGATGAAGTGAAATCTGTAGATGATAGCTTGATATGACAAGGTTGTTGTTCTGTGGAGTTTTATCTCTGACTTGAAGTTTTAGCGGATAGCAAATCGATAAGAATCTTCACGTTATTGCGGCATGAGGTCCATTGTTATGGTGGTTATATGTAGATAGTAAGCTGATTTGAATCGTGCTGTGTCTGTGTACTCCCTACTCTATCTTGTTGCCATTGTGCTAACCACTAATTGCTTATCTTACCAGTTAAAATGTCCCCTTGTTCCAAAGAAACAAACTTTAACAGATACTAATTTTAAAGGGAAGATCTAAATTGAAATCTGCAGTTGATAATTTGAAACAGTAGAGCTGAAGTGAACTCTCCAGATAATATAGTTTTAAGTGATATGATGATTGGTATGTGGAGGATGAGTTCTTTGTTCAAATTTGGTAGATAGCAAATATATAGACGAATCTAACTATAATTATCGCAGCATAAGGGTCTCTTTGTGTTACATTCTGATTGCTGATGATTCCAATTTGAATGAGAGATCAATAGACTTTGGTGTCAAATTATTTAACCATCTTCAAGTTTTGTAACATTATTGTCTCTCGTTCAATTAGGTCGACGCAGTGGTTTACCTGGTGGATGCATATGACAAGGAGAGGTTTGCAGAGTCAAAGAAGGAACTTGACGCACTTCTCTCAGATGAATCCCTCGCAAATGTGCCTTTCCTCGTTCTTGGAAACAAAATCGACATCTCGTACGCTGCATCAGAAGACGAGCTGCGTTATCATCTAGGCCTAACCAATTTCACCACTGGGAAAGGTAATGTGAATCTAGCAGGAACAAACGTTCGCCCCCTCGAGGTGTTCATGTGCAGCATTGTCAGAAAGATGGGCTACGGCGAAGGATTCAAATGGGTTTCTCAATATATCAACTAGATGTATCAATGTAAGTTTATCCACTCGCTATGTCTGATGTGTGATTACGATTCCAAGTTGTAAAATGAAGTATGTAAGTGTGTGTGTAGCTGTGTATATGTTGTATGCAAAAAGATTTCTACTTTGGACGACTTTTAAACTCAAATCCGATGAAGTGTGTGAAGAATCCAATTCTGTCAGTGACTGTGTGGGTCTAAGGCAATGGCTGTCTCTGAGCTTTTGTCGAAAAAATTGAAAGATGAAGACTTTACTTTAATAATGTATGTAGAAAAGGCCATGTGAATCGAGTTTGACATTTAACAATCGCAATGTCCTACATCGAAGACCAATCAATTTGACATACAGTTGTACCATAATGTGTGTTCGTATAGTATTGTTTTTACATGTGTTATGTCTATTTCTGAGCTTATCATTTGGTTTCTTTTCGTCTTTTTAGGTATTGGGAAACTAAAACAACCGAATCTGTAGATTATGTGAACGATAGTTTAAAAATAAATAAATAAAGCTTTTGATCACAAAGTCACAATGCGTCCATAATCGCAGCCGCATGAAAAACGTTCAAGTCGCAACGCAATATACATGCATAGTAGTGCTCTGTAGCCTAACATCCCATTATATTTTGCAACTCAAGTTTTTCTGTCGTCCAGATTTTGCGATTCAAGTAACTTCTTCCTTTGGATCGATTCTTGTCTACGTGGTGGCCCAAAGTAAAAATAAAGAAATATTATTACTACTATTTTCTTTGGTTATTACCGGCTCGAAAGATTCGTAGTTTATTTACTTTATCTTTGTTACGAATTTTGGGATGTCCTTTTTATTATTCGCAACATTTCAGCAAAGCACAGCCGAGCTGGAGACTGGTCCTGTTTATTTCTTTTGCATTATAACCAGTTTTAGTCTTAACAATGTGTCTACAGTATGCTGTAATAAAATTTTAATACTAGCAATATTTATTAACATTGATTTCTTTTTTGAAAAAAAGTTAAACCGGCCCCGGTTACAGATAAAGTTAAGAAATAGAGTAGTAAAAAATTACAAACACTTTGGAGTTGGTTTTTGGGGTTAAGGGATGCACATGGATCACTCATTCCCACGTGATATCTAAGCCAAGAACACGTGCCGTCCTCCGAATTCTCTCTGACTTTTATTTGATTGGTTTCATTTTTTGTTCAAAACCCGAAGCTTTTGGATCAAAAGAGGTCTCTATCGTATGAATTTGAGCCGAACTAGATGATTAGTTTGATGCCCAACGCAATATTCCCTATTTGTTACTTAAATATTTGTATTTAAATAAATGACGCTCACTAATCACTATACAACTAGTATTTAACAATATATATTAGTATCATCTATTGTAAACAAACGAAAATGATTCTTATCTTAATACTTGTGCGAATTTTGACACTTGTGTGATTCAATATAAAACCCATGTCTTCATAAAAGTCTCCAATAGACAATGCACCCATCATGTTGCAAAGTCCAAACACTCAATAGTGTGTGTGTATGTGTGTGAAACAATCGATAAGTAAAATATTTTTGGCTGCCCATGCACTTGAAGAAATCTTGAGTTTAAACATTTTTCCGAATTTTATAAAGTTGCATATATATGATAGTTGAAATTGTTTTGCGAACAAAACTAACATGTTGTTTTCAAAACAATAGATAGGAAGGATTAAAATAATGTGTATGTGTATATATGGATTATAGGAAGATAAAGATGTACAATATTATATTGGGGAATATATATATAAATACGTCGTCATGAGTCATGAGTACTCGTGATATGCCTCTTGAGATGCTAACATGTTTATAGAATGGGGACCGTACCCTTAACTAGCTAGACCCGCTTCTAAACCAGATCATTAACTTATTATACTAATAGTTAACTATGGTCGCGTAAATGTTTTTCTATATATGCATTATTTCATCATACTAGGTCGTTAAGTCAATCATGGCATAATCGTCTCAACGATTGGCATTATGTTTCATGTTTGTGTATATATATATGCATTACCCTAATTATGTGACCTCATGTCATCAACTATGTAGTGTTCGAGGTTGTTTTCAAGTTTATTGTACGTATTTTATTTGAATAGAAACTAAGAAAATAAGAAGTTTATAGTACGTATACATATAAAACATGCACTACAGTTATTTTATTCAAGAAAACTTTTTAAGAACAAAACACACATATGTGACATTTATCTCTACTTCTCAACTAGTTCGGTGTCATTAGAAGTCTAGAAATTCCAATCAAAACATTTAACTATGTACAACCGAATGGAATTGGATTTGTCAAAAATACAGAATCCAAAATTCGTTAACGTGTTAGTGCATTTGTTTATTTATCAGAAAATATACGATTGAAGGAAAACTGTATTTTAGTTATTCGATGGAAAATAGAAAAAATGTAATGCATAAATAAAATATCGATATTATATCTCTGAATGATTAACAATAAGCTATGTATATAATTTGTAGGCAACACACATACAATTTTGCCTATACGTCCAAGAAAATTATGGAAGGAGGTTGTACCAATAATATAATCATTTTTTCAGGTGCATTATTATTATTGTTGTTAGATTTACGCAGAAAATACAGTTCCCAATCATAAAGGCTAACCGTCCCTTGCCTTTGCTACAATAATAAAATAAAAAGAATCCTAAGGAAAAAAAGGTTGGATATATATATTTGACATAGCATTTTGATTTCAGACCATACATATTAAATCTTAAATCTTGCTGCATATAATGTTGACATTGCATTGTTTTTGGACCATGCAAAAAAAAAATCGAAATGATTCGTAACAACATGTTTTTTCTTTCTTATACGTAATTTCACGATGGTATAAAATGAAAAGATCGAGCTAAATATCTACTCATGATAGAAGTATAACATGTATCGAGAAATGACTGAAACTCGTGTATCTGATTCTCATTCATCAAAGCTCTAACATGCACTACTATGAAATTTTTGACATGACCAACATCTCATTATAATTATAACTTAATTCTAAAAAATCCTTTTTGGCAAACAATAATAGCCAGAGAATCTAGCGAAGAAAATAAAACATGAAGTATATAGTAAGAAATAATTGAACATGATTACTGAAGAGATGGAAGATAAAAATAATGCAATCATTCGTCATAGTATGACGAATTCATAAAGGATATATGACAAATCACAATGATGTACTACATATATATTTCAAAGTCTACTATTTTAATTTATAAATCAACTGTTTTAAAAAATGTCACAGTTATTTATTGGTAAATATCTCAGTTTATAACTTTATACATAAAGAACTTTGATTAAATTCTGTCACAAAAGGTTTTAGTTGCTGCAAATGTCATTTCTGTAGTCAGTGCCCGATCTTTGATAAACATAAATAAATTAAAAATATACGAATCCCTTAAACAAAGGTAAATAACATTTGACTTATTGTATTTTTTTCAAAAGCTGGAATGTTGTTAACTACTGCAAAGTATTTTATTTCTCAAAAAATAATTTAGTCAGAGACATATTTGATTTTTCTTCTGCAGTTGACAGATTTTAGGTGGCTACTTCTACTAGTTAAATTAATACTGTTTCAACATCGATCACTAATGTTCTAGACTCATAAGCCACAAAGATATACGGGTCAAAAATCTAGAATACCATGGACTAAAAGAAAACTTACAATTGAAAACTGAGTAAGGAATAGTAGAATTTAGTCCAAAACCCTGGGGATTAGTAGATAACTGAGACTATAATCTACATTAACTTTTCCTTCTCCAAGATAGAGGAGATGACTATGATTCGACGGGACGCTAACAATAACAAGAGGGTAATTAAGAGTAATTACAGGAGATATGATTGATATAATCTGAGATATACACGAGAGGGATCCCATACACGAGATTAGCTATTAGATCATCAACTTAATTGCCAGAGATTAGACTGATTGCTTATCAAAAAAAATTTACAAGAGATATGATTTGAAGATAAACGAGATTGACAAAAGTACTTATAGCAAACGAATATATTATCAAATAGCAAATATGTATATTTACCTTTTTTTGGAACAGATATGTATATTTAAGAGAGAATCTGTAAAAGGGAAATTATGCCAGCTATTAAGTATAAGGATTCTCTCAGGTCAAAGCTGTCATCTCTCTCTCTCTCTCTCTCTCTCTCTCCTATACTCCTCTGTTTCCTTTTCTCTCCTTACTTCATCTCTGTCTTTTTCCGCTCTGTTTCTTTATAAGCACTTCTCTTTCTTTTCCCAAATCTTGGAGGAGAAGAAGCAAAGAATTTTGGGGAAAGAGTAAAAAAACAGAAAAGGTTAAAATCTAGTTTTTTTGGATAGTTTGATCTATTGACCCAATCGGCAAAATCAAAACTCATTTTTCTGTAACAATGGCTGTTTATCCTCTCCTTAACGGCGGCAACAAGCATTGGTGGTTAACACACAAGAAGGTAAAAGAACAACTCTGTTCAATCTCTCTATCCTTTCGTTAATGGACATCGATTAATTCACTAAAACAATATTAACTCTCTCCATTTTCTTATAATCTTTCAGCTTATTGATAAATACATAAAAGACGCAAGGTCTCTATTGGCGAGGGAGGAACAGACAGCCGCTGCTTCAGCCATTCATATACTCGACGCCGCTTTATCCATCTCGCCGCGTTTGGAAGTTGCGTTAGAACTTAAAGCCAGAGCTTTGCTCTTTCTTCATCGGTTCAAGGACGTAGCTGATATGCTTCAAGATTATATTCCAAGCCTTAAGCTCGCCGTGAACGACGAAGACGGATCCGTTTTATCCGACGGCTCTTGCTCTTCCTCCTCCTCCTCCTCCTCTCAACTCTCCCGGAAGCTCCTCTCTCCGGGCCGTGACTTCTCCTCCTGCACCTCCTTCAAGTGCTTCTCTCTTTCTGAACTCAAGAAGAAAGTAATGGCAGGGATTTGTAAAAACAGCGATAAAGATAAACAATGGAGGTACACTCTTTTTTCCTTGATTAGTTCCTCGTTTTCACTAAATCAGAGTGTAATTTTGAAAATAATATTTTTTTGTTTTGTTGGAAAACTTCAGATATGTTGTTTTGGGACAGGCTTGTTGCCACCTAGGACTAATGGAGGACGCACTGCTTCTTCTTCAAACCGGGAAACGCCTCGCGACCGCCGAGTTCCGTCGTCAGAGTATATGCTGGTCCGACGATAGCTTCTCTTTCCTTCTCTCCGAATCATCACCATCCTCTTCTCCTCCACTCAACGTCACCGAATGCGAAACCGTCTCTCGCCTTCTCGCCCACACAAAACTCATCCTCCGTCGTCGCGCCGCCGCATTCGCGGCTTTTGACGCCGGACATTTTTGCGAATCGATCCGCCACTTCTCCAAAATCCTCGACGGCCGTCGTCGCCCGGCGCCGCCAGGATTCCTCGCCGATTGCTATATGCATCGCGCCGCCGCTTACAGATCCGCCGGGAAATTTGCGGAGGCGATCGCCGATTGCAACAAAACCTTAGCCCTCGAGCCGTCGTGCATCCACGCGTTAGAGACCAGAGCAGCGCTTTTGGAAACGGTTCGGTGTTTACCGGATTCGCTTCACGATTTAGAGCACTTGAAGATTCTCTACAACACGATCTTACGGGATCGGAAACTTCCCGGACCGCCGTGGAAACGGCACAATGTGAAATACAGAGAAATTCCGGGAAAATTGTGCGTATTAACGTCGAAGTCGAAGTTTTTGAAACGAAGAATCGCCGACGGGGAAATCGGGAATGCTGATTACTACGGATTGATCGGAGTTAGACGCGGATGCACGAGATCGGAGCTCGATCGAGCGAATCTCTTGTTGTGTCTCAGGCATAAACCTGATAAGGCTTTGTCGTTCATCGAAAGGTGCGATTTTTCGAACCAACAAGAGATTGATTCCGTAAAAGATCGAGCGAAGATGTCTTCGCTGTTGCTTTACCGCTTGATTCAGAAAGGTTATTCCGTTTTGACGGCAACGATAGCGGAGGAGGAACAGAGGAAGAAGATGATGGTGTTGACTCAAAAGTCAACGAAGACGGTTGAAGAATACCAACCGGTTGAAAAACCTGGTTCAACCGCGTATCAAGGAGTTTTCTGCCGAGATCTTGCCGCGGTCGGGAATTTACTATCTAGGACCGGTTTTAACCAACCCATCTCAATGAAATACGAAGCCCTCAGTTGTTAAAAGCTTAACCGGGAAATTTCCGAACCAACAAGAGGAAACGACGCCGGTTCTGGAGGAGTAAGAAAATCAGTGAAGTAAATGTATGTAAAATGCATGCAAGAGAATTAATTCCACTAGGATTTTGTTGTCACTTTAAATATTCCAGTTTCTCCTACTTTCTCTGTACTTCTGCAAAGATAATAATAATGCTTTGGATGTTTAGTGTTGGATTAAAAATTAAGATACTAATCGAATATTTCTAATATTTTTGAGAGGTGTTCCTCTTAGATTTGTAACAACGAGTCTGACACATCGAATTAATATTCCGGGGGAATCTTATCTACAAAGTTTGCTATCATATAGTAGTATTATGTGTAGTATGGTTTATGCTACTGAAAATATTATGGTACAGTGTAATAAGTCGCTGATTTATATTCAATTTTTATCATAATAATTTAGTTTCTTAGAATCTTGACCAGACTGATGAATTTAGTTCGGCTTGGTCAAGTATTCTTCCCTGCAAATTTTAAAAATGTGAGAGAGTCCTCCTTCTGGAATTATTTATCTGCCATTTTCACATTTTGGGTTCCAGAAGAATTCTCACAGAACGCCACAGAGAACACTATGCAACCTACTACTATTTATTAAATTAACATTATCTGTCTCTCTCTTGTGTATTACACGCATTGATATTTTGACTATATATATAACAACTCCACATACATATTTAATTTTTTCATTTATTTCCCAAATTTGGAGAAATCTGCAAGAAAAAACATTGAATCAAACGTTTAACAATAGATACTCTTGTGGGAAGTAGTAGTTAGATTTAAAGTGGCCATGAGAGAGCAGGATTCGGTAAATCAACCTCAGGAAACGAAACTTGTCGTGGCCATAGATTCCTGATCATAAAGACATAAACGAAGTAGTTCGGATTGAGCTTGAGCTTGGGGTAATGTGGTCGAATTAAGTCATTAACATACATTTGCTGGGAAATGAGAAAAGTAAGAAAATTGAGGGGGCAAAAGTTAAAATAAAAGAAGCACGTGATGTATAGGATGTTGGAGACATTGGAAAGAGGATCAGTCGTGGCCAGGTATCTAAGTATGATGATGTCAGTGTGTATCCATGTGAGCCTATCATGTCTACTTATTACTTATTTAATACTGCTACTTTATTCAAGTTTTTTTTGTACTCAATACTATATATCGTACTGAAAATTTTCAAAAATATATATATTTTAAATATAGACGAAGATCTAAGAACGATCAAAAGGACAATAAGGTACTTTGGTCAGAAGAAGAGAGATGGGGGTATTTTAATTTGATGGTAAATATAACGAATCTCGAGCCAACAAAAAACAAGCATAGTTAGTCCACCATGAATTATAGTATTATGTTAGTGCGTGACAGAAACTAGATCGAGTTTTCGGCCATTGTAATATGGGTTTGGCCGAAGAAATAATGGTTAAAGTACTGACTGACTTATATAATTGGCCATTTTTATATGGGTATGGCCGAAGAAACAATGTTTAGTAATGACTATTATTATTGGGCTGATCGAACCTGTTTATAGCGGTTATTGGTGTTTGTGTTGCTGTGTATATGAGGTCTTGTCTATCCCCGAAAAGCCCACTCTTCTTCTTCTTGTCCATGATTAAAATATAAATCCCTTAATATAAAAGTAGGACCGGCCTTGATGTTAAACAGATAATGGACACCTAGAAATGAAAAGAACTGATGAAATTGATACATTATTGGGCCTTTAGCCTTCTCTGGCTAACACAAATAGTGATATATATATATATATATATATATCTAGTTGACTAAAGGCCCAATAATGTATAAAGTGAAGTAGTTGACATTTAATAATTCGAAAAAAAAGTCGGAGGATATTTTAGACAATGCAGATGACACCTACCCAATTCGTCGTTAACAAAAACGTGTCGCGTCTTCTGACTCTGATATAATAATTATCGTCAAGAGAAGAGTGATCGGGATTATTATCGGCGATGGATTGGTTAACGAGATTCCTAGTAGCCGTGGCGTTCTTAGCCGCCGGAGTGATATTTTCGCCGGAGACATTCGGATCGCTGTCGAGTGGAGAGAATTCGGCGAAGCTCTTGATCTTCCTGAAGCTAGCTCATCTACTCAGCTTCGCTACAGCTTGGGGTGCTGCTCTCTGGGCTACCTTCATCGGTGGAATCATCATGTTCAAGTACACATCTCTCAGTCCTTCTTCTAATTGAAAAAAAAGTCTAATCGTTCTTCTTCGGTTTCGCCGAATTGTGGGAATTTGGATTTGGAGCGATTTTTTTTCTCTGGTTTTGACTTTTGAATGTTCAGGAATTTACCGAGGCATCAGTTCGGTAATCTTCAGAGCAAGATGTTTCCCGCTTACTTCACTCTGGTTGGTTCTTGCTGCGCAATTTCACTGTCTGCTTTTGGGTATTTGCATCCATGGAAGTCATCTTCTGCTGTGGAGAAGTATCAGCTTGGGTTTCTCCTTTCGGCTTTTGCTTTCAATCTCACCAACCTGTTCGTCTTCACTCCCATGACCATCGATGTAAGTTTTACGACCTTTTTCTCCCGATCCCTCCCATCGCGTAGTAGAGCAATGCTTAGTTAGTGTGCTTTGGGTGTAGATGATGAAGCAAAGGCACAAAGTAGAGAGAGAGAACAACATTGGAGATGAGGTTGGGTGGTCCAAGAACAGGGAAAAGGCAAAGACTATCCCCAAGCTTGCTGCCATGAACAAGAAGTTTGGTATGATTCACGGCTTGTCATCTCTAGCTAACATCCTTTCATTTGGAAGCCTTGCTATGCATTCTTGGTATCTAGCAGGGAAGATGAATCTCTAAACTTCCTCTCTCTTACCAACTTTCTTTGTCACAAAGGTCTGAGCTCTTATGCCCCCTTTAATGAATAAACCTCTTGCATTCTATTTGCATTCTATTTGCCAACCTTTCTGTACGATTATGCCTGTAAGATAAGACTCCAACATGTTTCAATGATAGAGTTCCTTCTTCTTTGAAATAATTGATGTGTAGATTCTATTACAGAACAGTAGGCCTAAGTTTCACTTGAAGAAACTAAAATGTGCTTGTGAATGCTGAAATATCACACCACAGACACTCATAATTAACAATCTAATTGGGAGAAAGAAGATGATCACTAGTTGACTGCTCCTTGATCCAACAAATCTAGTTATGAGTTTCAAGGAATCTCTCCCAGTACGTATAACGTTTACAACAAAGAACTTGACCTGCCACTGATCCCGCTCAGCCTTCATCTGCTTCAGCTCCTTCCGTACCACGTGCCTCAATGCTTTCAGGTAAGAGCTCATGTCATGGTTTCTTTTGATTTTTCCTTCAGACCCGTAAGAGCAACGATCGCTGAGAATCTCTAGAGGGTGTGGTGAATTAAAGAACACGCTCTTTGCAGCCCTTAGTCCTTTTTCTGTTTCATCTGTATCCTTGGATGTTAAAACATAGAGACCACTTCCCGGAGGAAGCAGAGGGTGTGGGGGAGAGAATTTCTCCGATGGTTGCAGAATCAGAAGCTTTCCCATTGGAGAATACAATAAATTCTGCAGAGCAAAAGACAGAGTAAGCCTGGAAACAACCATCTGAAGCAAACACAGCTTAAAGATGTCTATCGCAGTACCTGGTTATTCAGACAAGGATGGTTCCGGAAGTTTCTATTCAATGCCTTGAGAAGCTTTGCGGCTCGGTTAGGGTAACTGCAGGAGAATGCTCGGGGAACAATATCTCTATGCATTGAGATTCCAAGATAATGACTCTTAGGCAATCCGAGCTTCTGAAGAAGCCTATCGCCTCCGCACATGATGCAAGGTGAACCAAAAGTGATCACCGGAAGCAGAGAAGAAGCCGGGACTTGGCCTCGGATCAGAAGCATGAGGTTCACTAACAGTGACAAGCTTCCTCCTAGAGAATGTCCGCTAAACCGAAGAAAAGCACGGTTCTTGCCACGGGAGTTTAGGTGGGCGTGAACTTCGGGTAACATCTGTTCGTATATTCCTTTGGCGGCTTCGTATATACCTCTGTGAACAGGCACATCAAGCTCCTCAAATGGGACTGGCTCGAACAGAAGGTTAGCTTGCCATGAGGCCAACGAATCTGATCCCTGCAAAGATGAGTGTACCTTCTTAAGCTATCTTTTTGGCAAAACTCAGACCATTCAAGACTAATAATATCATCATCACAAGGAAACAAATTACCTGAATAAAGAAGAACCTTGTGCCGCTTTTATCATCGTCGCATATGAACCACTCACAAGGCGGTGAACGGATGGATTTCAGATCATCCGCCACCGCCTGCTTAACGTCCTCTTTCGCCGCCACAACTGCCGTAACCGAATCAGCAGTGGCCATTAGAGATGCTTCGTTCTCTTGACGTTTAGAGGATCCAAAAGGAAGCACCGATTTTGAATGGGAGAAGAGACGAGACGCTGCAGAAGCAGCTATTCTGTAAGCAACGGCTGGGTTGATAAGCTTCTTCTCCTCCTCTTCCTTGTCGTCGTCGTTGTTGTTCTCCTCCTGTTGATCAGAAGAAACCCTAAGACTCACCCTCTTCTCAATCGAGGAAGTCACGAATCTCAGTTTCTGATATTTCAACAGAGTCTCAGGCTGTCACGAATCGAAAACAAGTCAAAAACTAAGGATCAATTCAAAAACACAGAATTGAGGTTTTGCTTCAATCCCTCAGTTCACCTTGATTGTAGGGATTGAATAAGCCAGATTTCCCAAATAGGAGAGTTTCGCAAACATCTGTGCATCATCGAGCGGAATTTTCATGAGCATCTTTGAGAAATGTTCTCTATCAAACACCATCTCCTCCTTTTCTTCTTCTTCTTCTTCTTCTTCATCAGGGATTTTGCAGAAATCGCATTCGTCACATAACGCGTCCTTGTTCGATTCCGTAGCTTGGCCTTCCTCCTCTTCACCACCGCCTCCTGATCGTTGTCTCTTCCCTCTCCAGATTGACCCAACCTCCAAAATCTTCAATACCCAGTTTCCGTTTCGCTCCTCTCTCTCCAACAAAACGGCGTCGTCTCTTACGGTTTCATTCCTCGTCTTACCGATCCGTAGAAACTCAAGCGGACGACGTGAAACCCAGCGCGGCGTCGTTTTCTTCTGCGGCAAAGATCCAGCCGCCGGTTTCTCCTCCACAGAGCCTCCGATCGACCGTATCAGCGACGGTCCCACCGGAATCTTCGGAGATACTCCTTGCACCGACATTTTTAATAAAACGCCGTCCATGAGCATAAGTCTTTCGTTAAATTTCCTCTTCTTCGTTTATGATGTTTAAGGGCTATAGATCCGTATATACATACGTATACGAGTGGCGAAAATTTACGGCGTTAGCGTGCAAGATTGAATGAATCTATCGTCGTTTTGGTCTCATTCTCAGTCTCCTCCTCCGATCAATCTTCCTTTGACAGAGATGTATCTCAACACACACATTTATATATATGTGTAGAAAGCAGGTGAACGAATGTTTTAACACGCCTTAAGCTCGTTTTAAGAAAATAATTTCTCTGGGGTCGGGTTGATTTTGAAGGTGGTGATTATTACTCGATTGGCTTATAACTATATTGATTAATTTCATGAAGTTCGCAATTACGGAGTATATAAAATGCTAAGGGTTAGGATCTTTGTTGGTGGGCCGATATTGAGGACACGTGGAAGGTGAAGAAGCGTCTAAGAGCCTGACACCACCACGTTTCTTGGAACAAAACAGGTGCTAGATATATTGTTGGACCTTTCATCACAACAACTAAAACCTAACTTCGTCGCCTAATAAATAGAAATCAAAATCTTTATTATTCTTAAACTTCATAAGAGGACACAACAGCCATTCCATTTTTTACACTTTTTTTTTTGTAATCAGACAATATTCTTCATTTTGATACAATAACTGATAACTGGCACAGAAACGAGTGATGGAAATATATTTCACAAAAATAATCTAAAGCTTAGAAAATTAATAATAAATATGCACTAATTTGATTAACAAAGCCAAGACTATACAGAAGCAAAACGGAAAAATTTATAAAAACCTCCTCCTGGCTTTTGATTAACTTATACTCCGTAATTGCGAGCTTTCAGGATCTTCCTTTTGAAAATCAAGATTAAGACATTAGTACAATGATTTATTAGCGCATCCTGAAGCCAATTCAAAGCAGCTAATTATGTTACAACTACAGGAAGCCTCTAAAACTCACACTACGCTACGCGTTGCCAAAACGCCGTCTCCAACTTATATATTTCTTTTTAATATGTTTTAAGTTTTAAATGATCGTGTTGTGTCCAAAAACAGTAGCTTTGTTGTGTAAACTCAATTTTGGGTCTTTGACATCTTCTCTTCAAAGGGACTTGCAGTTTTATCCCTTTCCCATCAATGGAGGTTTTAAGCTCTGCTCGTCCTTTGCGTATTTATGTACCTTTCTATAATAAAAAAAATTATTCCTGGTTGATTCAGTTATAACTAGCACACACAAAAAACGAGTATTGGAAAATAGAATTCACAGGAATAATCCAAAACTGCACTAATTTGATTAACAAAAGCGAAGAAAATAGTAGTACAGAAACAAATAAAAAGACAATCTGATCAAAACCAACTCGTGGCTTTTCTCATCTTCCTCTTTGTCTCCCCTTTTTTTCTTTCTATATTAAAAACCTAGTCATGTTACATTAAGTACCATCACGATTCCTCTTTAAACCCCAAGCTTCTAGAGAGAGAGAGAGAGAGAGGGGAGAGAGAAGTACTAAGCCAATACTTCTTTAATCTTCTTCTTCTGCTCCTCAGTGAGAGAAGAAGGAAACAAAACCTCAAAAGTGACAAAGAGGTTGCCTTTCTTTGTGCTGTAGTGAAGTGGCATCCCTTCTCCTTTGAACTTCTTCACTTCCTTGGGCTTTGTAATTCCCTGTGTCACACAATATTCAACCCCAAACAAAAAAAAATTCATTAGATCATAAAGATCAATCTCAAGTGTTTGTGTAGAGAATGATAGTGTTAACCTTGGAACTGATGTCAACTTCGTGATCATCCAAGTGTTTAAATGATTTCTCAAAACCAACTAGCGCCTCAACCTGAAGGAAGATTTAGTAGAATCATAAATTTTGTTGGTTTGTGATGTAGAGATACACAGCATGTTTGTGGAATTTATTTACCAGTGTGATGTTGACGGTCATGTGTAGATCGTTGCCATCTCTCCGGAAGCGGGCATGTGGTGCAGTCTTGATTCGGAACTGCCAAGTATAATAATGGTTAATTCTCTCTCTGATATTAAGTTTAGTAAATCACGTATCAGGGAAACTTAGGTAAGAGGCAAACCTTAAGGTCACCAGGTTCACCGTCGAGAATGGGTTCACCATCTTCGTAGAAAGACACTTCCTTCAAGGAGAGATCGATAAAGCTCACAGTGAGTATAAAGCTGCTTTGAATTGTAGTAACTAAGATTTACGATAAGGGAGAGTTATGAGACTTACCTCTCCGTCTTTCATTCCTTTCTCAATATCAACTGTGACAAAGTATCCTTCGCGTACGTACTTAACATTTGGGCATTGGTCACAGACCTGGCAGGAACCAGCGTATTATGTTTTAAACATGATATTGGACAGAAGAGGATGAATTGAAAGACTTGAACAGATCTGCCTTACCTGCTCTGTCATCTGTTGGAACATTCCAGGACCAATTTGTCTGTGATAAACCTCATTCCTGCAGTTACACTTTCTCTTTCCAGGAGCTGGTTTTATGACATTCTTCTCCCTCCATACCTGATGATTTAAACGTGGGACACCTTCGTTGAGAAACCAAACTTTAAGGCAAGTCCTTTTTCATAAGCATTTCTCTCAGAACCGATCTATTATAACCACAACATCGCTCAAAAAAAGAATGTATGAGTGAAACTAGGAAATCATGTTCATTAATAATGGCTAAATATTATTTTTCCAGAAGATTTACATGTATAACAATCCTGTGACAGGGAGCTTAATATACCTTTACAGAGCCTCCCATGTATAGATCTTCTAGAGTCGCCTCAAGTTCCACAATCACGTCATCACCCTTGACAACCTTTTCTTCTTCTTCCTCCGCCGAACCTCCACCAAAAAACCTAGGCACATTAATAATTTCTGCACATTAGGAATCTGTAACATTTTAACACCAAGGTAAACCATTATCCAAAATTAAGGTCTATTTGCATTACAGTAAAGACCAATAACATTACCAAGTTTATTGGTATCCACTATCCATACATATAAATGACACCACCTGGTCCACTTCTACTCTAAGAAGGGTTAGAAAAGATAAAAGCTCTAAGGCAAATGTTACCAGAACCCAAACTAAGATTCTTGAAAAAAAAACCTTAGCCACTGTTTTATGTTCCATTAATTCATAGAATCTAATAACCCCGAATCTTGTACCACTAGTTGGAACCTAAAGAGTATCCATTATGATCTTCCAATAAAAGCGGAGACAAGAACTAACATTAATCTCTCTTATGCTTACCATTTAGACCCTTGAAGACTGGGGAAATCTAAAAAAGAAAACTTACTGGCTAAATATGTCCTGCATATTCATGCCCCCTCCTCCTCCTCCTCGTCCTCCATTTGCAGCAAACTGTTTTAGCCCTTCTTCACCGTACTTGTTATATACCTCCCTCTTTTCCTCATCCGATAGCACTTCATAAGCTGTTACATCAACAGACACCATAGAGTAAATTTCAAAACAAAAAAGGGGTTATCAGGAGTGCAGAATTAGAAACTGCGACAGGAAAAGTACCGTTGTTGATCTCGGCGAATTTGCGAGTGGCTTCCTCGTTTCCTTGATTTTTATCGGGATGATACTTCAAAGCGAGTTTCCTGTAAGCCCTCTTGATCTGTTCGTCAGACGCACCTTTCGGGACTTGCAACACATCGTAGTAGCTCTTCCTGAATCACACCATAGATTTTTAAGAATTCGCAATGCCAATAAAACGTTGCGACAGACCAGCATTCACAGACGAATACACCGCACATTCTACGCAATAATGCGGCGTCTGAGGTATCGGAAGATGTGCTTACCCGGCAATGACGCAGATGGCGTAAGACAGTGCGAACAATACAATACACAGCTTCGACCACCGAATCGCCATGGATACGTAAAAAATCAGGAGAGAATCGGATCTCTCCCCAAGGACTTCAGCTCCTAGAGCTACTCCAACCTGAGATTCGATACGATTGTTAAAGGAAAACTCTCGGATTTAACAAAAAAGAAGATCTCCTTGGCGTTTTTTTCTGATTGGGAACTCGAATCTCTCTATTTCCCTTTCTCTCTTTCGCGGAACGATTCCAAAACGATTTTAGAATTCGAACTCCGTGGTCGGTTGACGTGTACACTGCTATGCTTAACCAATCAGGATTTAGTCTCTGACAAACATAACCAATAGATTTAAGCCACGTGGAAAATCACCGTAGAATCGCTGACTGTTCTTTCCGTCGACTTTATCAGTACGATGTCGTTTGAACTATATTTCTCAACAGACCATATCTATAATGGGCTTAGGTTAAATGGCCCATATAGGGGAGACTCTAAATGCCCGATCTTGTTATGTCACACGTTATAATTATGAGGGAAAGCCTGCAAATGGCCCAATAGACAAGGCCCAGTAAAAGTACGCAGATGGCGCCGTTTTGAATGTTTTCTCTGCGTTTTGACACTAGCTTGGACCCTCTCTCTCTTCCCGGCGGAGCGACGACGATGTTTGCGGCGAGAGTACGAGCTTCCCTAAAACCTTTGTTCCATGGAAGACGCAGCTCCACTTTAAGCCGAAATTGTACGTTAAGTTGTTTCTCTTCCTGTATTAATCTTGCACCTTTAGGTATTCGAGTCCCTGGAAATGAAATTTCTCGAAATGGCTTATTCCCCAGGTGAAATTGCAGCGATTTCGAAGCGTATACCACTTGATAGGTGAGGTTAGATGTAATAAATGTTAATTATTATTGCAGGACTTGTCTTCGTTGTGGTTTTAGATTAATTTTAGCTTGCAAACAAATGAAGTTTCTTCTTATTGGATTGATTAGATTCAATGATGGAATCGGAGTAGGAATCAAACTTTTAAACCGCGCATTTCATAGTTCTCCACAGTGTTATTCATCTGAAGCTGATGTAGGTACGCTTGTGAACCAGAACATTGATGATTGAGAGGATATGATCGGTGCTCTTGACAATGAATGTTGAGCCTGTTCTTCTTTTCTGTGAACTTTCAGTAGTGAAAACTATCAATCCTGCTGCGTTATTTGCTTCTCTGGAGGATGCTTTTGTAGCGGAGGCAGAGCCTTTTCAGGTTGAGAAACCAGAGCTTTCTAAGGTACGCTTATAAGGATTCTCCTTCTGTGTTCTTGGTTAGTGAAGTAAAGATTCATTCATTGTATCCTTAGGACGCTCAGCTTAGTTCTTTTAGCAGCAATGGTTTTTATCCTAAAAGATTTAAACTTTTCCACTAGAAAACTAAAGGCAGGAAGACGAAGAAGCATAAACAAGCTGCTGATTCAATTTCGAGACCAAAGTTGTTGACTGAAAAGCCACAAGTTTCTCGGGTATATACGTTCACAACATTTATTCAAACTTTTTTCAGATGTTTTGAGCTGTTGCTTTATGCAATGTTTGTGAGTCACAAAAAGATTGAAAGCTCTAAATTGTGCTCAGCCCTTTTTCTGACCAGAAAACTAATGGTGAGAGGAAGACGGACGCACATGCTTCTTCGCCAGCAAGAAATGTTACGGATTCATGTGTTTCATTCTCCAAGCCAAGCAAGTCATCGTCTCCAATCCCAGATCACGAGTCCATTGCGAAGAACAAAGCTAGCTCCAAGGGTTCTTCTACCTCTCGTTCACGTTCAAATCATCCCTCTTTGGCTGTCGTTATAAGGATTGGTAATCTAAACTCAATAACAACTGATTCAATGATACACTCGAGGTGCTCGTCGATTGGCTCTCTTGAGGGGCTTTCTAGGGTTAATGAGGACAGTGTTGACGTTTTGTTTCGAGCGAGAAACATGAACGAAGCAAATTCTTTACTGGAAAAGTAAGTAACAAGAAAACCAGTTTTGATTCAGAATCCCTGAAGCTGTTGCTAGTTCCTTGTTCAATTACACTGTTACTTAATTTCTTGTCCAACTTCTTTTTCCAGGCTAAACGATGCAACCGTAGATCACTCTCAGTGGATGGCTGAGATTGTACCAGAAGCCGAAGAAGCTTGTAGAGATCAAATGGGTACGAGGATCAGTAGCTGTATCGAGGATCTGGAGAAACAACTAATGATGCGACGGATACTTGTGAAAGACTATGAAGTTCTGCTGCATTCGGTAATGCATCTGGAGAATCAGCCAATGGCTCGAGAATGAACTAAAGCTTACGGGTCTTCTCATGAAGCCTAATGGCGCTTTTGGGTTATTGTTGAATCTTGCAGTGACACTGATAAGTAATTGAATTGGGGGTTAACTTGGTGCAATTTTAACGTAAGGGAGTGTAACAAAACTATTACGAATTTCAGGGGGTATAAAGTTCTTAAAAATCCATTCGTGATGGTGGATTACTACCTTTGACAAGGCCCGTTAAAGCAGCCTATTACTGATAAGCCCCTTATACTAAATTTACAGTTTTAACCGTTTTTAGTTCCCGTTGTAAATTGTAAATTTAAACTTCAAACTCAATCTACATGTAAACGTAAACATAAATACAAAAGGCTAGTTTTAGAAACAATCGGAAATATATATATTTTCTAAATAAACTCTATAAAACTATTTCTTAGCCACCGAAGATTAATAATACTAAATTATTTTCAATGTTTTTGTTTGTGTTATGAAAGTCCACTTGCCTTGTACATTTTCCAAATAATTGATAATGATCGGGACAAGTATTCGTCTTTTATTTCTCAAACAAAATTACCTATAAAAACCTGAACTTGAGAATATATAATTAGCTATAAAATAATTAATGTTATTTTATTATAGGGAAAAATATAAATTACAGCATACACTGGTTATTGGAAATAGAAAGTTCCCACACATAAACAGTGGAGACAGATCAGATCAGCACAGCTAAGTGATGAAGTGTACAGTAGTAGTAACATTCAACAGAGAGCTGTTCACGATTGATTGAAGTGACTCATCCCACGTCACTTTTTACAACTTGTATTCTTGGTCCTAAAATTATTTCCTGTGAATTATTCCAAATAACTCCTGTTTTATTTTTCTTAAAATTTTAAATAGTATACTATGACATGACTGACGATTCTTAAAATTTTAAATATCACCTATAAAAAAACTCTCCCTGATGCGTTAAAAAGCATTAAGGACCCATGACATGACTGTCTTTAATGTAATCTGGCCCAAATTATTACTCTCATTGGAGTTTTATGGAGAAGAAAGAAAGAAAAATGAACACTTTTCAGAAGAGGGAGTGGGGCATGTTTAAGTATGGACCTCCTCTGTTCTTAATACTCTTGTCTTACGACAACTCACGTGGCCCTTTTTTCTATTTTCACAAAGTAATCAGAGAATCTGTATATATTGGTGAATAAGCGAATGTAGATGTAGCAGCAGCATTAGGGCCCAAAACGAAGACAAGTTCATGTGGGTTGAGTCGTATATTTCAGATAGATAAGACAGCTAAATGTTTTGTTGATGTGCGGTGTAGATCTTCGTAGGTCGCTATACGTGCACGTAATCTCATTTAATATTCGGTTTTACTTTCAACGACAACTATTGCCGCAGCTGTGGCAGCAGAAAACGACACCGTTTCATATACGTTAGTGTTACTCGTTATTAATTGTCTTCCAAACAAAAATCATTATTAGCTATGGAGCAAAACCGGAATCCATTAAAAATCATAGACACATTTCGACAAAAATCCGATCAACCATATATACCGTATTCGAATTTGCTTTTGATTTATCAAATCAAGTAAAGACGCAATTTGGAATTTTTAGTTCGCCTCTATTTATCTAGAAATGAATATATACAAAAAGATGGTCTTGGAAAAGTAAAGTTCATATGGGAACAACTAAAAGTTATGATATGCAGATCTCTTGATTTATCAAATCAGTATGAAAACAAAACCCATACATTACTCACGGTAGGTGAATTAAGTCTAAAGATAATATCCAGAACAAAAATCCAAATAATGAAAAGATATATTAACTATAAAAAGCATATATTAATATAGCAAAAGGCCAATTAGATAAGACTTGAAAGATGCAGTTTCAATCACCAAATGTTTAATAAGACAAACCACAAATGGGTCATGTATATGATGAAGATGCTCTCTCTTAACTCTACTACACACATTACTCCAAAAACAACTCACCTATGGCCCCAATCTTTTTTTTTATTTTTCTCTTTGCAGATCTCACCGAGTACTTACAAAAAATTATTGCACTCACTCGCAACCAAAACCAAAACCCCACCACCATTATTGTTTCTTAACCTTTCTTAACTTCATGGGCATACGAATAATAAAAGTTACAACAACACTGTAAACTTTAGATTCTGAAATCATTCCCAAGAACTACAGAGAATTATAATAATCAAATCTAAGAACAGAGATGCAATGTTCTTCTTGCATTATACTATATATTTTTTTTATAACTTAAAAGGATTACTGAATCCGTAACCTATATACATCAACATTTGCTTAAAAATAATTAATCTATGACTTAATTTGGATTTAACCGGATGAAACCGGGTTTAAGCTTCGGGCTAAACCGTTCAAGGCACTGTAACCTTTGGAACTGAACCCTAAACAGCCGAAGAGTCCATGCCTGTAAGGCAAATATGTCCTCTTCTTCATCTCCTCTGCTTGAGCTCTGTTTGTTGTGTAATGTAGCTCGTGAGCAGAAGGCTGCAATCCTCGCCGTTTCGCAATGCCGTTTGTTGGTTTGCCGACGACCGGAGACTTCTTCGCCGGTGGTTGTTTCTGTTTCGGCTTCTTGGGATCGACGGCTGCGTTATCTGTTTCCGGGATAGGTTTCTCATCCTTTGAGATGGTGAGGGGTTGAGACTTGAGTTTCTTCTCTTTGAAAGTGGAAGGAGAGAATGAAATGTTGGACCAGAACTTTTCCTTCCCGTTTCCTCTTCCTTCGCTTTTGCTCCGGTGAAGCAGATCCTTGAGGAATATCCATTTCTTAGAGTTTCTACCGTAAGACGACGATCGAGAAGACGAAGCTGAACAGGACGGTGTCGTTTCAGCTGACGGAACGTTTCCGTTACTCTTGTCTTCATCCTCGTAATCTCCCTGAAGCTTCCGTATGCACTCCTTCACCTCTCTCTCCCCGGCGACTCCTTCTTCTTCCTCTTCAGTCCATTGATACGCTGCGTTTCGGAGCGGGGAGAGAGATCTGGCTTTCCGGTGAACAGATCTGCTTCTCAGCTTCAGTTCTCTCCCACGCCTACTCATTTCGCCGTCTGGTTTCGCGTCTTCTTCGTCCTCTTCCTCGTTTTCCAGATCTAGAAGCGGCGCCAAGATCTGAGGCCTCTGAAGATGCGAGGAGAGCTTCATCGGCTTGATCTGGCCGTTAGAGAAGAGCTCTTCCGCGGAGGTCATTGATACGCCGCCTAGAGGACCACTGCTCGAAGACAGCCGAGACGAGAAATCAAACTCAAAGTCGCCGCACGCCGACGACTCGAGCTTTGGGTTCTCCGACGTAGCAGCCGAGCAGAGGAAGAAATGCATCGGACTCGACGGTGCGCTGAAGTAATAACCCGGCGGTGGACCACGGCCGGGACTAGACGGAGCGCTGACGAACGGCGTGGAGCAAGCAGAGCCAGAGCCAAGGTCGTCGCTGAAACGCGCCGCTTCTGAGAAATCGACGGTTTCTGGCTCGCCATGGCCAAAGCTCTCAACAAGAACCATTGTACTACGCGAGACAAAGATGTTGATAGATCAGAGAGTAGATCGATTGTGACTGTGGCTTGTTTCTCAAGAAAATGTTTTTTGCAGAGAACAGAGAGAGAGAGAGAGAGCGCGAGGAGCGAGGTGAGAGGAGCAGATATGCAGTGTATGTATGTGTATGATACTGCTTTTTTTATTCCTAGTATTTATTGACATTTTTTAAATAAATTTAATTGCGATTCTCGAAACCTTTTTTAATTAATTTTATTAAAAATCTTCTTATGCTATTTTTTCGTAGAGAAAAAAGTAGATTATGGTATACTCGATCTTTTTTTTGCACAAATTAAAAATGTTTAATCATCTGACATGTTGTTTGCATTGATAAAATATTGAAATCTACTGGTATATTATAATCAGTAGACGTAATTATTTACTTTGTATGAATTTCATAATGTAGGTAATGCTATGGTTGTTGCTTAGGATTCTGCAGGCTGATCCAATAGAATAAAGAAGAAGAATCTACGGATGTTTTTGGAATTTACAGTGCCATTTTACGAATTTGCTCCCAAATATTTTTCTATTTACCCTTAATACCCTCGATTTATTGCGTCTGAAAAACATTTTATTGTTTTTATACAACCACCTTAAAACAAAAAATTTAACTGGTCGGCTTTACAACTTTTTTTCCTTTATATCTCTCATTTACGCCATATCTCACAATTCATTCAGTATAGTGCTTCAAAGCATTTTAAAACGCCAAAGAAAATTTAATTTGAAATTCAAATAGAAGTTACTGACCTTCATAAATGAAATGAGAAAAATACCATGATCGTGTGTATTTACATCGGATCCGTTAATGGTTTTCAAAATTTCTCATATTTGAATTTATTTTTGCTATTCATGTACAATACGTAAAGGATAACATCTACGTATGTATATAAATATCGTCATTTGTATACATCTATTTCTTTATTGCAAATAATTGAGGGCGTGCAGAATCTAGAAAAACATAATACTACGTGATTAAAAAAAAAGTAATCCATCAAACTTAGGGGGCAATATAGTAATCTCGGTAAAGGCTATTTGAGGTCAATTGAATAAAGAGAAGACGTGGCTTCACGTGCTAAACTATGATCGTGCGTAGAAGGTGGCTCGTCTTTTGTTTAGTACTTAAAGCACGATTTCCAATACCGACTAATATCTCTCCACTCGATTTCTACTAATGGGCCTTACCGATTAATACAAATCGAAAGTCACTTAATTGAGTTAGACCAATAAAAGTATTATTTGGGGCTCAAATAAGAAATAAAGAGCCTTATTTGGGCCACAAACCTGGGCCGTGTTTGACCTGATTCGTTATAGACTAAATATTCCATGTACAACGACGTCGTCTTGTTTCCAAGAACAAATCAAACAAAAGCCCTAAATAATTTTGCCTTTTGACACAAGAAAAAGTATTTGCCGGTGGCAGCAAAAGGCACGATCTGCCGGAGAAACAAAAGGCTAATTATAATCCATGTATAACGAGAGAGCACCTGTTTTTGATCCAAGAAAATCCTTTTTTAACCGTTGATTTAACTTTGCCTTCCATGGCATAGGCCTTATACGTTGCGATTCTCTTCTTCCTCTTTGTTTCTGGGTCGGTAAATCTCCATAGATCAGGGATAGGAGCACTAGTATGCGCCGCAGTAACACCTCCAGGTGGAAGTGGAATCGATCGTTGATAATCCGATGATCGGGTCGGATGGAACTGAGTTGCTTCACCAACGTTGTAACCCTTACCGTTAACAATTTCTATCCATTTGTCAACGGCAAGTGTTCTCTTGTTTGATCCAAATCCGTCCATTTCCCTAACACCGAAGCTCTGTCCGAATTGGAAAAAGCACCGGTAAGGGTCACGAAATCGGATGGTTTTGAATCAAAAGCTTTGATTAATAAATGGAGAAGATGGTGAGAGGTTCTGCGATAGATGAGGGTTTTTTTTTAAAAAAATGATGGTTAGTAATTGATAAGAACAAGAAAAATAGATGATTAAAATTGGAATTGTTGAAAAACTAATTTATCCGACTTTTTTCCATTACTCTTGTAGTTGTAAATATTGAATAAACAAAATCCTTGTTTGAATAATTAAAAGTTTATTAGAAAGAGGCAAGTAGACCCACATCCATCTTTTTCATATAATCAAAACACAACAATAACACTCATGTCTCTCCATAGCTTGACACGTCATCTTTTTGAAGCTTTATAAATATCACACCTCAGCAAAAATAATCACCAATCAATATATTTTATTAATACAAATCATCTACTTATTTTTAAATTTTAAACTTAAACCCTTTAAAAACCAAAATACTTTTTCTATTAATTTTTATTTTATTTTTTACCAAACTCAAGTCCAAATAATAAATAAAAAAATAAAAAAAATTGAGTTTTTGATTATTTTTTGTCAAACTCAAACCCAAATAATAAATAACAACAAATAAATAATAATAAAAAATTTCTAGCTATCTGTTTGTTTGACAGAGACGTATATGATTGAAAAAAATGTAGGCTCAGCATCAACCATGCTTCAACGAGAAAACAAATTTTCTTGGCTTTGGCGGAAATAAAAATTTTTCTGTTTTGCCGAGAGTAGGAGATATCTTGATTTTGGTAGGAAAATGTGATTTTCAGATTTAGTAGCAAAACATAATTTCTCGGTTATGGCGGAAAAAACAAATTCTTAGGTTTAGCGTAAAAACGTGAATTCTTGGTTTTGGTGAGAAAATAAAAAAAAAAAATTTTGACGGGAAAACAAAATATCTTAGTTTTGACAGGAAAATGCGATTTTCGGTTTTGATGCGGAATGCAACTTTTCAATTTTGACGAAAAATGTGATTTCTCAGTTTTGATAGGAAATATAAATTTCGACTTTTGATCGGTTTCTTGGTTTTTACGCAAAAATGTGATTTATTAGTTTTCATGAGAAATTACAGTTTAATGATTTTGGCAGAAAATGTAATGTTTCGGTTTGACTGGAAAACAAAATTTCTAGGTTTTGGCATGAATAAGCAATTTTCGGTTTAGATGAGAAATGCAAATTTTCAGTTTTTGACGAATAATGTGGTTTTTTGGTTTTCGCGGAAAAATATAATTTCTTAGATTTCGCAGGAAAATACAATTTCTTAGTTTTCGCGGGAAAACACAATTTCTCAGGAGATAATGCAATTTTTGGTTTTCGTAGGAAATTGTAATTTATCTGTTTTGATAGGAAAACATGATTCTTGGTTTGACGAGAAAATAATTTTTTTTGTTTTGACGGGAATAGACAATTTTTCGGTGTTTGCCGGAAAATATTTTACTTTGGTTTTGATGGGGAAATACCATTTTTTGTTTTTGCGGGAAGATGAATTTTTTGATTTTGACGGGAATATGCGATTTCTAAGTTTTATGAGAAAATAATTTTTTTTTATTTTGACGAGAAATGAGATTTTTCGGATTTTTTAAGAAGATAAAATTTCTCTATGCTAAATTTCCAGATTAAAGTATGTTACAATAACCAAAATTCAATTATTTAACTTTAACTAAAATATTTTTTCAAGACTTCAAACAGAATTTTCTGTTCAGTGCTAAAGCAATAGCAATAATTCTGATATGAATGTTTTTGATTATAGTTTTGGAGTTTTAGAAATAAATATTTATAATAAATATTGGATAAATAAATAAATTTTATAATTCGCGATAATCATATTAATTAATAAATCTTTTCTTTAAAATGGCATTATGCTTTATATAATTATAAAAGAGGATCAAATGGTATTTTATTGGAGAAAATAGATTATATTTACTATTAGCATAAAAGTACTAAAAATGTATTGTTTTATTTTTACATATACATTTATAATTAGTTAGCTAAACAAATTTAATAACAAATTATAATTTTGAAAAATAAAAAAATATACAATATTTATGAGATTTAAAACATATAAATACATAAATTTAGCTAATAAAAAATAAATACAATACTCATTTCTTTTATTTTAAAAATATAAACAAAATTTAAAAAAATATCGTGCAGCATAGTACGGGGAAATACCTATTTTTCTTTTAATTTTTTTACGTGGTCTTTTTTATGTGTGTGCAAATGTTTACGTGGTTTTAAATAGCGTGAAATCTCTCTGATTCCAAAATTAGGAAATCTGTATCCTAGTTAGAAATCTAGACATTTATTTGAATTTATTACAATATACTCTAACCGTTGTATTTCATAAAATGTTTTTATAAATAGTAGGTATCAATTCTGCACTCATTTTTTGATAATTGTTTTATATACTTCTTGTTTATAATTTATTCATATATTATATAAATATTTTAAAACATGTATAAAATAATTCAAAAATATATTATCCATGTTTAATTTATTTGTTTAATTAATAATCCAACCCAAGTCACCATGTATGATATAATGCAATCATTAGGGCTTTCCCTTCACCTTCAAGGTTGCATAAGCTGTAATAATGCACATACATATACCTCAAGATGGATAAGCCAACTGTTGGCACCTGAACCAAACCCACGATCTAGATGATAACCAGGCAGCGTCCCATAGAGGCACACTGCAGCAATTTAGAATCGAGCAAAACACTAATTATCATCAAAGCTTTACAAGTGAGGAGACTTGACTTCTACCAAATCGTTTTCATCAATAAAAAGAAATTTGGGCAATGGATCTTAAATCTAAAGAGCCAATGTTTGTCCACAAAAACTGAAATTACGAGCCCAGACACACTGAAACTCAATCTCAGTCTACGAAATCGAGCAACAGGCAAAAATCAAACTCCATAATTTCAAATTCCAACTAAGGGAGGCAAAAATCGAGATCGAGAGAGAGAGTACCAGCTCCTTTGGAGTCAGCTCCTTGAATCAAGGTGAGAGGCACCATGGAAGCCTTTGATGCTATCGATTCGTTTTCCAGAAACGATATCGCCGTCTCGGTATCTCTTGGTTCCCTAAATCCATCGCTAGATCCGCTCTGAATCACCGCCGCGACAGAGCCTAGCGAGCATACAGCCACCGCGATCCACAACAATACGCTCCTCAATGCTTTTTCTTTTCGATATATTCAATTCTGTGTAATGAGGTTTTGTCAAAAACTAGATATTGACATTTGAACGAAAATGGACACTGTGCCCCCTACCAAACTAAGAATATGAGGATGAGCTGTGTCAACACTAGAGAGACCAGAGAGGCTCTAAAGAGAGGAAAACAAAACCTTGAAGAAGCTGAGATCTCTAGAGCTATAGCTGTTTGATTCACACTGCACAAAGAATATATATAGGATAACAATCTCTTTTTAATATGAACATTTCGTTTCAGCCCATTTTTGAATAATATACTAGGCCCATATTTGAAGTAACGATTTCGGGAAGATTTCGAAACCTTGGGGCTTGGGTTTAGGCCCCTAGTTACTTGTTAAAATGTGGTAATGCACAGTGACAGTGTTACACACGTGCGTGGGTACACATCTGTGTGTGTGAACTCCCCACGTGCGGTGAAGAATGCATCGAGGGAATATATCGACTCGATACAAAAATTACACAGCTCCATAAGCTCATTAATGTTGGCTTTTTGCGTTTTATTTAAGTCAAATGTTTCCCACGATAACTATTAATGTACACATGAAACTGATGTAGCGCCACCTAATACATGCTACAATTAAATTTGATTCAGGTTTTGTTTACTTCAAATTTTAAATAAAACTTAAAAACGCAAATAAAAAATAATTTCGAAAAATATTATTATAAAAGTATACTAATCATACATGTACATGCGTGTAACACTCACCCTCTTCTGTCTTACAATGGACTTGCGATGAGGAATGACGATGAGAAAGATCCAACGGTTAGGATTCGGTGGAGGGTTGTCACATGGCCCATGGCCCATGGCCCATGGGAGTGTCGTCACACATCGCCATTATTGCAATAGCGATCGATTCGCGCTAAACGCCATTTCCGCTTATCGCTTAAACTTATTGATTTAAATATTTATTGTAATTTTCGTTAGAAACGAAAGAGCAAATGCTGAGAAATTAATTAACATCAGTTACATGAAGACAATAATCACCAATAGTTGACTAAAACGAAGGAATCAACGCTAGTTGACAAATAATTCAACGATAAAGCTGCTTCATTCATCATTCAGACCATTCGTTTTAGATAAAAACAAATTGGCCCTGATACGTTGAAATTTATTCGTTCTTTAAAAGTAAATATCTCTAAATTTGGTACATATTTGTGCCGACTGCAGATACGAATAATCGTTAATGGCAAAAATTAAGAATATATTGAACTGTTTAGTGCTTAAAGATTGTATCTGAAAACAATCTTCGTTATATGAGCGGTGGACAAATCAAAACAAAATAAATTGGAATGCTTTATTGACAACAACAAAAAAGTACCAAAGTTTAGTAAAATATAATGTTTATTTCGACGAGCCAATATCAGACATAAGTTTTTGTTAGGTCGAACTCGAGAGTTCCTTTATATTCCAAAACAAACAACAACAAAAAGAAAACTTAAGAAAAAAAAAGTTTACACTTGTATAGTTTATACAAAACATCAATACCTATAAGGCATCAAACTTGGGCAATACATTAAGTCAAAATAAAATATCTAACTAGAACAAAACGATATAGTTATGTTTATAATATAATAATAGATAATTTTTAGCTATATTAGTAACTATATAGTTGCTATATTTGAAAATAACACAGTAGAAAGAAAAGAAATGATAGGGGAAAAAAAATGAGTATCAATTCCATACCGAATAGTATTAACTTATAATCGCATACATATAGATGCGTGTAACTAATCACGTGTCTACTGCTTCATACACACTGGATTTAGCCATTAAGGTCTTCGTAGTCATTATTATAAATCTCAACCGATCTCTGTCTCTCTCTTAAATTCCTCATTCGTTAAAGCTTCCCCTCTCTCTCTCTAAATATATAAATACACCAAACAAATATACCATACATATATAGACCGTAGAGAGAGAGAGTGTGTGTGTGATGGAGATAACACCGAAGAGGTATTGGCGGAGGTGGAGAGGATACGAGAAGCTTGATGGATCATCGACGGCGGGTCGAAGGAATGGGAAACGGGTCAAAATGGATCCAACACGGAAGAAACGGGTTTGGAGGATCAAGATTGTGCCGAAACTGAGAATCCTCAAAAAGGCATCACCTCGGAAGCTTTTGGTTTGGATACGTGATTCTTACGTCAAGATGATGATGCGGTTGGCTAACTCGCCTGTCGTCGGATCCTCTGGATACGGTGGATCCGGATTCGGGTCGGGTCAAATGAAGGAATACGATGAGAGAGTGCTGGTGGAGATTTACAAGTCGATATTGGTGGCGCAGGCGCAGGGGAATCTCGTGCACCGCGACACAACTAATAAGCTTCCTTCCGAACCAGCAGTCATCTCCGTCTCTCCGGTTGTTAGGTAATTAAGAAAGAACACAATTATCCTTTTTCTTTATAATAAAAAAGAGAATCAAAATTCTTGACTTGTTTGATATAACTCGTTTCGAGATTGCTGATAGAAAAGTTATGATTTTGATCTGTATCATAGTTATCACAAAAAAAGAAATAGTTGATTAGAAAAGAATAAATGATATAGATGGTGGATTGTGGGTCCAAACATCAGTAATGTTTATTTAATGGAGTTTTCAGTTCTTTTATCAAGTTTTGTTGAATCTATGCTTCTGAAATATAAAGATTCGCATTTACATCGTAATTGTATAGTTCGTTGTTGTACCATTCATGCCCTATATGTGTAATCTTTTTATATTAAAATTGTCCCTATAATTAACCTATATCAAATCTAATTTTGTTGACAAATTTGTGGAGATTCAGTTGACCACTTTTGCGTTGTATGATCTCAATCTTAACAGCGTCCAGAGACCTTCTGAGAAAGAAGGAGGGTTTTCGTTGGGTATTTGTTATTTTCAAGTGGATAACTGATGATTCTATATGAGTCAGCAAGCACGTATTGTGTTTCTTTCAACTTAACCTAAAACAAGAATCCAAATACCTAACCATGTGAACTTGTGTTTCTTCCGAGTGTTTAAACAATACACACAACCCAAATATAATAGTATCCAGTATTAAAAGCATAATTAGTTATCCATCAATAGTCTATAGTGTCCGAAAATCGGGACTTTTCAGACGGTGTGACGTAATTAGATTGTGGACTCGTCAAAATGGGTCCTTTTTTTCAGATTACCATATTTGGTATAATTTTTAACTAGTTGGGCTTAATAACGTACAAGCCTAAAATGGGCCTAAAGGGTTAAAATATAGGAATTTCATAATTATTCTTCCCGGGTATCAAATAGACTCGGTTAGTGGAAAATGCAGAGGAGTCGTGGAAAAAGAAAGGTGTATTAACTTCATACAGTTAAACCTAAAGGTAGATGATAAAAAAGTTTGTTTGATTGATCACATGTAAGTACACTGTACACAAGCATAAGGTTTGATGTTGCTATCGATCATCTACACGCTATACTTTTATTTCTGCTCAATTAATTGACTTACACTTTTCTTCTCCAAGTTACTAAAAATGTAGAATAACACTAACTCCTAAACATTTAATTAAGTTAATTACTTATGTGGCGCAAGAATGATCATAACGAATCTCCGCGTGGCTCCTTGGAATTGAAGTTTAAGTTGATTAGCCATCGTAGTGATCAAAGTGTTAACAGCTACGTCCATTGAATTTTAGTTTCATATTCATATGTACATGTATATATATATATATATCCTAGATTTTATTATAATTCTTGTCCCCTCGCGATGAAGAGATCCAAAGTGTACATATGTGTCCTTTGAAGTGCTGTTCGAATTAAGTGGATACAAGTTATTAATCAGGGAGTTGACTAAATAATATAAAGTCTAGAACCAAAAATGAAGTAAAAATAACATAAAGTCCCTTTAGCTGAGTAGTGAACGACGAATACTCGAACGCTATTTGTGGCACATGGAGTTTCGTGGTCGGTCCATGGAAGAAAACAAGTTAACATAATATGAAATATTTGTTTATTGATTCTGAATCTCGTATCACGAATAATTTCATACATTAACTGAATTGTCCAGTTGATTATCTTTTAATTTCTTGAAATATATGTATACTATAGACTATAGTTATACAACGACATATGAACTATCTCTGGTTGTTATCAATAGTGAAATATGAGTTTACTTGTGTAATATTGAATCGTCTTTGTCTCTCCTACACAAATATTAGTATTAATTTTTTAAAAAATTGGACATTTCAACTGTAACAATTGGATAATATTTATATTCCCAACTATAGTATTAAGATTATTTTAAAGAGAAAATGAAGAAGAAGATCACTGAGGTGTTAACTAAGCCTACATGTACCTAATGGTGATAAAAATAATCTTCTTTGGGTTTGAATTTGCTGCATACATATATGTTACCGACATCTTTCTCCATATTAATTGCAGATTTGCAATATAAAATCTTATAGATGTTTGTGTTTTTAATTCTTATTTGTAACATGAACAAAATCGGAATACAATAAGAAGAGAAATATACAGTTCATAGTTCACATTAAAGTATGTTCCTATTTTCTGCCACTTATGAGTCATAAATCATGAATCATGGGGTTCACTTGGTCCGTAAATATTCACTTTATATTGTATTAATGAACAAATTACTAGAGAGTTTGAATGCTTGAGATACGAATGCAATTAAAGTTATATTGGCACCGAATCAATTATCATAGAGATATATGCTGTGTGCTAAATCTTTAACTTAACAGTTTACTTGTTCCAGTTGAATTACAAAGTCATTAATTAATACCAAAATGTATTTAGCCGGGAAGTGATTATTGAATGTGCTTCGTCTCTACACGCTATCATTGATCAAGTAATGTTGGTTTAGTTTTAAGTAAACAATGCATATCAGAAAGTAAAAGCAATACGCAAATACGAACGACACCACTTAATTTTGGTTCAACAGACCAGACAGTGTTATCCGGATTGTTGGTCAAAGGCAAGTGATGGTTTTAATCACATTAAGCGCCGAACAGTATTAATAAACAGAGTTTAAGCACCTAATTTCATGAGGATGCATATTCTTGTTTTCTTATTTTAATCACGTATCTTTCTATAGACTCATGAATCTCTGAGTCTTTGTTTGTTTATGAATCGGTTCAATTAGAAATGTTTATGACACTTGTACGGTTGCACCGATATTTTTATATACAAATTTTAGTAATATGAAATGTGCAAAGGATTGAAAGGCATATATATATAATTAAACGATGGATGTTTGATTCAGATTTTGGTTCGCGTTTGGTTAGGAATATTTTTGTTTGTATGGATTATGCTAATATGCTAATCAAAGTAAAACTGTAGTAGTATTGGGTTCGGTGCAGTTTCAGAATTTAAACATATCATTAGTATATCATCAATTTCTGATTACAGGATACATAAAAAATCATCTAAAGTAAGCTAATATTTAGTTGGTCTGTAAAATTATACTTTTACTCATTTGTGGGTATAAGGATTGGATACTTATATAATAAATACAAAATATCTATGTTTCCATAAATACGTCAATTCGAACCACACGTTGCAATTTGATTTGAGATAATATTTAACTCTAAAATGTATTTTGATTAGTCTGTAGACAAAATATATAAATTTTCTATGATTAGCGCATTACAACAAAGTAGAATGCAATCTGTTTGTTGGCTAAGGAGAAATTGAAGGAAGAAGTCATTAGGCATCTCTTTCTCTCTCTCTCTGCTTCTTCCATCTTCTATAATACTAAAATAGAGAGTTCCAAAGGAAGAGAAAGAGGAGAGGGCGTAAAAGAGCAGACGGTGGCGCACCGTAGCACCGCCCCTCCTAACTTGCGCCTTTCTTCTTCATTTTGTTGGGTTCCGATTTCGGATTATTCCTCTTCTCCTCTCCCAGGTCGCTTCGATCCCACGGCATAGCATCCATTTTGATTCCACCCAGGAAAAAAACATAATCTGATTCTTGCTTCAATTTTGGATTTTTCTTCAGATGCATTCACCTTCTAAATCTCCCTCTCTGCGGTGAAATTTTGAAAAACTCTGGCGGATATCAAAGGAACCCTAGCTTTCCTCCGGTCGTACCTCGCCTCTATCACCGCCGATCGGTGGTTCGATTTCAAATCCAAGAAGAAGAAACGGAGAGGTGCTATTCGTCGTCTCAGGATGCTTTGGGTCATGCGATTTTCCGGCTTATTCTCCGCCGCTCTGGTTATCATCGTCCTCTCTCCTTCTCTCCAGTCGTTTCCTCCCGCGGAAGCTATCAGATCCTCTCATCTCGACGCCTACCTCCGATTTCCGACCTCCGACCCACCGCCGCAAAGATTCTCCTTCAGGAAAGCCCCGGTGTTCCGCAATGCCGCCGATTGCGCCGCTGCCGACATCGATTCCGGCGTTTGCAACCCCTCGTTGGTCCACGTCGCGATTACTCTCGATTTCGAGTACCTCCGTGGCTCAATAGCAGCCGTCCATTCGATTCTCCAGCACTCGGCGTGTCCCGAGAGCGTCTTCTTCCATTTCCTCGTCTCCGAGACTAACCTAGAATCCTTGGTTCGATCGAGTTTCCCAGAATTGAAATTCAAGGTTTATTATTTCGATCCGGAGATTGTGCGCACCCTCATCTCCACATCCGTGAGGCAAGCGCTCGAGCAGCCCTTGAATTACGCTAGAAACTACCTCGCTGACCTATTGGAGCCTTGCGTGCGTCGCGTGATTTATCTGGATTCCGATCTAATCGTCGTCGACGATATCGCCAAGCTGTGGATGACGAAGCTGGGATCGAAGACGATCGGAGCTCCGGAATACTGCCACGCGAACTTCACAAAGTATTTCACGTCGGCATTCTGGTCCGACGAACGGTTTTCCGGAGCATTCCGAGGGAGGAAGCCGTGCTACTTCAACACGGGAGTGATGGTGATGGATCTGGAGAGATGGAGGCGCGTGGGTTTCACGGAGGTGATCGAAAAATGGATGGAGATTCAGAAGAGCGATAGGATTTACGAGCTCGGGTCTTTGCCTCCGTTCCTGCTGGTTTTCGCCGGAGAAGTAGCGCCGATTGAGCATCGGTGGAACCAGCACGGTCTCGGCGGAGATAACGTGAGAGGGAGCTGCAGAGATCTTCATCCCGGCCCGGTTAGTCTGCTTCATTGGTCCGGTAGTGGTAAACCGTGGTTCCGGTTAGATTCGAGACGGCCTTGTCCACTCGATACTCTTTGGGCACCTTATGATTTGTACGGACACTCGCGCTGATGAATCATCTTCGTCCATTATCTGCTTCATGGGTTTATAGTCTCAGCTGGTAAATTCTCTCATCCCATCACAAAACATAAAAAAATGAACAACTTTTTTTACTCCATAATTCTTTCCTTTCTTCTTTCTCCATTTTCTCTTTCATTTTTCCGACTTCAAAAATTTGTTCTTCCACTGTATTCTATTGTTCGTCGTCTTCTGTGCATGGAATAAAGTAAAAACACAAAAACAAAAAAACCGTAGGATACATTCAGATTTGTTGAGAATCTTCGTTGTACAGATTTGTTACCAGATGTTTTTTACTTATAAAGCTATCATTTCTTTTTCATACTCAAAGATGATCCCATCGTTTATCGTCTAATCCAAATTAACGGTTAATTACATTATTCACCGACAATCTCTATTTGTTTCCTCTTCACGAACTCGGTCTACAGCATTTTTGTTGGTTCTTGGTGTTAGTTTTTATTTTTGTAATTGGACAATTGATTGAAACATGTCAAAACCAAAGAGAGAAGAAGGACACGACACTTAAAGAAGAGTACATTCTGGTTGAAAAAATGGTGTCGGTCTCTTTGCTTACTTCACCTTTTTTTTTTTTTTATCTTTTTGTTTCCTTTAATGCCTCTTGACTCCTTTTGATGAGTGGGATGATTATTATAAATTATTTGATATTTAACCTTACGTAAAGTGTCACACACACTTGGAGCCAAAAACAAAAGTGTCACATTTTGATATTTTCTTTTGTCGTCATCTGGTTGGTTCTTAACCAAAAATAAAGCACTTTAATTTTTTAAATCAAGATAAATAACACCTTAGTACTTCGACATTTGTTACCACACATACAATCAATAATGGGATATATCTATATCGATTGATTAATTGACTAGAATATATTGTGTGGTCTTTTTCCGAAGCATACAGAGAGTTTTAAATTCTAGTTGCAAAGGTGGCAGTATCTCTTTATTTCAGAGGTAAAACTTTTTGTTTCTTTTACGTATGTTCTACGGAAAACTTGGTTTGATTTTTGGAATCGTCCACATAAACCATGATGATAGGGTGAAAATATTGTAATCGTAAATAAAGGCTAAAGAGTGGGGTGGAATTTCGTATGATGTGGCATACAATTTTAATTAGAAGATAAAATTCGTTATTTGTTATGGTTTTTATGGGTTTCGGGTAAATAGGGGGGTCCAACAAAAGTGTTCTCCTGGTATCCCACGTGGCCAAGTTGCTGTAACCTTCTCCTGGATTCAGCTGGTTCCATGTGCTCCGTGTCACTCTCTGCGCTGTCTCTCTTTTGTTTTAAACTAAAAATAAATGAATATACAAAGTTTGTGGTCATCGGTTGAATTTTTTCCCGACCTCATCGGTTCTCAATTCTCATCTTTATAAATCCTCATACCTCGCAAATTTGGGAATATTTATGTAGAAGAAATGAAAATTAATCATTATATGATACTAATCGATTTATTTTTTAACAGATTTATTATAGAATCATTGTATGTCCGAAAAATCTTAATCCACAATATGAAATGGAAGGAATGTAATTCTAATAAGTCGCAATTGTTTGTGAAATGTATTTTTTTGTGATTGTTGAACTTATATGACAGGGTTCTTTTATTATTTTTGCCTTCAGTAACTAACCCGGTAAAAAGTCAATGCTCAAACGTGAAAAAGGTACTAATTAAAACCCACAGAAGATAAATAGCCCATTGAAACATCACCGATATTACCCATCGGGCCTTCAGTATTTATTCTTAACTAAAAAATTTAGTCTCGTAAGGCCCATATACTAATAAATAAGTTAAGTCCAGTAAAACACATTATCAAAAGATAACATATAAAACAAAACGAAACGAAGAATGAAATCGCATAAATTTAATAATTAGTTTTAGAGTTCTGAGGTACTGTATGTATGTCTAGTTTATTGTGATATAGATAGTTGATTAAACGAAAAACTAAAAAGAAAAGAAAACATCGTGTATTTAATACAAAAGTACATACGAATTCGTACGTATGAGTATCAATTCTGCCCCTAAGATTGCCCGAGACTAAATCAACTACATCTACGCAAGTGAGGATAGATCACTCACAGTTAAAACCATAAGTTTGACCAAAGTAACAAAAAAAAAGTAACGCAAATCGCAACAAGCTATTACGAATCGCCTCTAGAAAAGTAAAAAGTCAGGGGGTAGTGAGAAAAGCTACGAGAGATCGAAATTGGAGTAATCGGATAGGAGATGCTCGCCGTAATTGTAGGGCAAATCTGGAGGATAGACGAGACCGCCCGAGTTTTCCATGGCTGATGACACGTACGCAGGCTCTGGCTTGGTTGTCACCGACGGTATCTGAGGAGACGGCTGGTAATACTGCGGCTGCTGTAACTGCTGCGGCTGGGGAAACGGGTCAACATAGTAAGGGTTGTTCATGAAGTGTCTGTTGTTCATCGTCACGTAATTGGTCGTTGGATACTGCAACGGTGCGTTCGCTGCGGCTTGATGGTTCGTGAAATAGGGCACTCTGTTGTGGAGATTCAAGCTCTGGTTCAGTAGCGGTTTCGCAGCCGTGAGAGTGATGTTTTGTACTGCGTTACGCCAGCCTGAATCTTCTCGAGTTTCCTTGGGAACGCTTGGGTTCTTCTCGTTGTTTAGACGGTACTTCTGCCATCGCAATCGCTGTAAATTGTTAGTCCTATAAGATTACATGCATGGTTTCTTGTCGCGCACGAAACAAACAAGCCCTAGGTTTTGATATATAGATAATGATCACCTGGAGATGACTGGCTACATTGTTTCTGGTGAGTCCTTCGACGTTCATTTCCTCTTGCATACATTTGAGAATCTGCTTCGGAACAGCACCTGCGTTTTGCATTGTCGAAAAGTAAAAATAATCAATTAATAATCAAGAAACTGATATGAATAGATTCACTCGGGATTAGTGTGGAACTACTTACTGTCAAGGCTGCCCATTTTTTCGACGGCTTTTTCAAACTTCTGGTGAAGCTCAGGAGTCCACGTCATCCGCGGTTTCTTGGTTAAAGACTTGTCTCCTTTCTGATCGGAAGTGTTTTGTTCTCCGCTATCTTCAACGTTCTTGGAGCCTTCTTCGTTGCTTTGATAGAGATCCTCAGGATACGATTCAACCGAATCTAAACCGGATTTTGACATCCCCTTGTGGTAAACATGCCGCCACAGAACTGCAATGACCTCTCTGCTCACCGGCTTCACAAGAAAGTCACACGCGCCGTTCTTCGTCGATTTCATCACCGTTTCCTTCTTGTGGTCATGAGACGTGACTAAGACACGAACAATTTTCACATAAGGTCGAATCATAGATGATATATACTATTGTTCTAACTAAGTTTTATATATATCGAGAGAAGTAAAATATTATATTGGTAGAATTGTATATACATACTTACTTACTACGGGTAAATCCATCTCTTTACCAATGGTATTGAGAGCTTCGACTCCATCAATGTCCGGCATATGAAAATCCCAAATCACTAGGTCGATCTCATGCTTACTGTTCACTAAAAAAGAGATAGCTTCGTCTCCGTTTTCAAAAATCGTCACTGAAACATAATCATAAACCCTAATTTAGAACCTTAAACCCTAGTTTACACTAATTTGCCCACAGAAAGAAGAAAATAAACCCTAATTAACTCTGATGAGATACCTTGGTAGGAGAATTGTGCCATGAGATTCTTCATGACACTTGAAGATTTGGGATCTGCGTCGACCAAAAGAACCCTAATGTTCGTCGTCGGAAACTCTTTGGAGTCTTCGTAGATTTCGTCATCATGAGAAAGTTCTTCCTTTCGCAACAAGTCGCGAGAGTCCTTTGTGAGTATGTCTTCTAATGCGACTGACATTAAAAAGAAGAAGAAAAAGTAGAATCTTTGAATTCTTGAAGCGTAAGAAAGGAGTAGGAGAGAGGGATTGAATCGAAGAAGGTTGAAAGAGAAATTAATGAGCGTGCGAAATAAGAAGGTGTATCTATATATATGTGTGGACACGTGCCAAAAAGTGAATATGGGAAGGTAAATATACTGTTATTAATTGTTAGCTTATTTCTTTCAATAATTATCCATATATTTTTGAAAATGTAATAAATTGAAAAAAAGTGTTTGTAATTTACTTCTTTCTCTGGTTCACTTTCTTTATCGCTCTTTGGTTCGCATTGAGCAATTACAATCGGCAAGTTTGGTAAATGGATGTACATTCGAATTCGCCCGCAGGTCTTTCTTTGTTTTTTGCTAAGTGGTTCAATAGAATCGAATCTTTAATAATCTTTGGAATTCTCTGTTTGTGTGATAAAGAGTGTTCAAGTCGATGAGCATGTGAATCTTTGTCCTTTGAGAGTCTTTCCTGGGGATTGGAACTGAACGTAGTTTGTTTTCAGTGGGTAAGCATAGATTAGGATGATGATGGTTGAAGACGATGAGATCATGTGTTTCATCACATTAAGAAGTAAAACTTGATTATTGGTTTCAAGAAGCTTATGTTAGACTGAACAAATCTCTTGGTCGGAGCTAATATGGTAAAGACAGTTTCCTGATGCCTGAGTTTGATTGATGATGCTTACTCTGCCAAAGTTCAATCCTCTTCCCAGTGATGGAAACAATGTGTCAACTAGACAGTTTACAACAAACTCTTCAACACTAGGCAATTAAGTCGTTGAACAAACTTTATCAGTTTACCGCAAACAATAATTAAGTCTTTGGGTTCTTGAACAAGCTTGAATGGATTCTCTTCCAAATTCCAATGGAGAGGGGCTTGACAGGTTTACTATCGTGTCAGGCGAGCTCCTTGTTCAGATTCCAATTATCACCATCCTTGAGCTGCTTGGCCACGTCTCAAGCTGAGATCACCGAGACTTTGAGACAAACGCACAAGCAGAGAGAGCGTGGCAAGGATGAGCCGCCATATCAGCCAAGCTTCAAGGAGCTGTGATCAAGAAAGCGAGACAGAGAAGCTGAGATGGTGTTGGAGAATGCTTGGGATGTTGCAAGAGCTTGATCGGTTTAATTATTTAAACACAATCTGTTGTTGTTCTCGAAGGGATACAAATTGAGCTTTCTTGGTCAATGATTTTGTAACACATGTCTATGGTCTGTCTTCGATGATTCGCCTTTACGTATGACTTCCTATACATTTTCTGTTTCATTCTTTCGGATTTTAAAATGAATAAACACTTTTGTTATGCCATTTGGTTAAGTCCATGAAGAGTAATCAATTCGATTTTTTTTAATAAAAAGTTTCAATTTCGGGCTGCAATAATATTTGCAGTATTGCAACTTTTACTGTTTGATTCATTTACCAGGAATTATCAGTTAAGTGTGGTCAAGCGGATCAAGTCATAGTATTATAAAATGGGACCATACGATCACTGAAGACAAGAAAAACAGAGTAATATCAATTCCAAGGTGAAGAAAATCAGAGTACAAAACATTTTTTTATAAAGCCGAATCAAAATTGAGGTTGATGGGGAGGAATAAAATGTAAGCAGAGTTACTAATAAAACACCTTCTGGGATTAATAAAAGAAAGAAGGTATTATCAGCGAAACTTGCAACTTTGGTTTAGGCCTCCCATGAATCAGATAAGCAACTCATCAACTTAGCTGGGATTATGGAGGCCCTTCCATCATCTCTAATTTCTCTTCTCCATTTTTTTAAAAAACCAACAATTCATAAACCATAAATCAAAGCAAAGAAGAAGAACCCTACAAATAAGATGTAATACAAAATCTCAGGAAACAAAAGCAAATCCAAGACGAATCAGTCGCCGCTGCTACGGCTTAAGTTTGAAACTTGAGGCAACAAATAATTTATATAGGATTTTTCTTTTTATCGTCATTAGGGTTTCCGGTTTTCACTGTTTTGGGCTAACACAATTGGGCCTTTTGGGCATGGATGATGGGCTGCAGATTTTGTGCGGTTGAGAAAAAGTGGCAGAAAATACATTCCCTGCCAGTATTAGATAATGGGCTTATGTGAGCCCAATGAACGTCTTTTTCAGTTTTCCCATACCTTTGGTCAGCGCCAGTGTGTGTATGGTTGTAACTTGTGAATGGCGAACATGTTTCCGATCGTGCATCCCAAACATGATTTTCGATTATTTTCATGATAATGTGATTAAAAATTTGATTTAAATTCTCAATACCCACTAACATTTTCTTATAAAACCCCATTTGATGAAATCGGTTTCCTCATCCCACTTCAAACACAAATAACTCTAAAGGAAACTACTAGCTCAAGGCAAACGACAGGCCCCTTGCTCTGCAAATGGCGATCACACGCGCCTCCTTTGCCATTTGCCTCCTCCTCTCTTTGGCCACCATAGCCACCGCTGAATACTACACTCCCTCATCTCCTCCGGTTTACACTCCACCGGCTTACAAACCAACCCTTTCACCTCCGGTTTACACTCCACCGGTTCACAAGCCCACACTCCCACCTCCGGTTTACACTCCACCGGCTTATAAACCAACCCACCCACCTCCGGTTTACACTCCACCGGTTCACAAGCCCACGCTCCCATCTCCGGTTTACACTCCACCGGCTTATAAACCAACCCACCCACCTCCTGTGTATACTCCACCAGTTCACAAGCCCACACTCCCACCTCCGGTTTACACTCCTCCGGCTTATAAACCAACCCACCCACCTCCGGTCTACACTCCACCGGTTCACAAGCCCACACTCCCACCACCGGTTTACACCCCACCCACCTACAAACCCACTCCTCCGGTCTACACTAGACCCACTATCCCTCCTCTGGTCTACACCCCACCGGTCTATAAGCCAACCCTCTCCCCTCCGGTCTACACAACACCAACCATCCCACCTCCGGTTTATTCTCCACCAGCTTACAAACCAACCCTCCCACCTCCAGTGTACACTCCCCCGGTTTACAAGCCAACTCTCTCTCCTCCGGTCTACAAAAAGTCTCCGAGCTATTCTCCTCCACCTCCATATGTCCCAAAACCAACTTATACTCCACCCACCAAGCCATACGTTCCAGAGATTCTTAAAGCCGTTGATGGCATCATCCTCTGCAGAAACGGTTACGAAACCTACCCAATTCTAGGTATACATGCATACTTAAGCCTCTATGATTAAATATCTATGATGACAACAACATTACTAATCAGAAAACTCGGTTAATTAAATTCATGTAGGAGCAAAGGCAAAGATTGTGTGCTCCGAGCCAGGATCATACGGGAAGAGCAAGAAGGAGGTTGTCATCTACAGTGATCCAACTGACTCCAAAGGATACTTCCACGTGGCGTTGACCGGCATCCTGGACATATTTCACTGTCGTGTCCAGCTCTACACATCTCCTGTTGAGACTTGCAAGATCCCGACCAACGTCAACAAGGGTCTCACCGGAGTTCCTTTGTCGATGTACGGATACCGTTACTACTCAGACAAGAACTTAAAGCTCTTTAGCGTCGGACCTTTCTACTTCACCGGTCCAAAGGCTGCTCCCACCCCTCCCAAATACTGATCATGATGATCACGTTCTTATGGTCATGATCTTGCATGCACTATATATGAGGCCGTTTTAATCCATTTATTATTTGAAAACTTTTCCCTTAAAATGTTCTTTTGTTTCTTTGTTCCAATTCCATTTGATTCGTTGCATTACCAATGCAATCCATATATCTTTTTGGTTATGCTTTTTTTATTTTATTTTATCATATAATAATTTTGTAAGAGGAAAATCTCTCTTGGAGTTATGCGACTGCTTATATCTATATCTATATATTTCCTGGATTAAAGTTAATTTGGCAAAGATTATTTGTAATTTTGTGGCCGCTGTGTGGACACGTGTATACTCAATGCATAAACAACGATTTGTCTATCTTTATAAACCCAAAATAAACAATAGTTTACGAGTCTGCTAACTCTGCCAACCATAGGTTGATTGCACGATGTAATTAAATAACTAATTATCTAGTATATTTATGCTTCCTAAAATAACAGTTGTTTGACAAAACAAAAACAAAAAAAAACAGTTGGTCGATGATATAATTATAATATATAGTGAACGCTTTGACTTTGTTCTTTTCAAATATTACGTGTGCCAGCGACGCTGTATCGTCGGCTTCAAATAAAATCAACGGTCTGGCAGTAATCAGAATTATACTAATAACGGCTAAGATCTCCAAAAAAAATTATTTTCTTTATAAAACCAGATCTATCAGGATCTATTCTTTACCGATATCAATGTAGATGACGTTTTCTCTTTTTTTTTTTTTAACAATAGTGTAGGTTGTAGAAAGAAACTAAGAGAGTCGTAAGTTGACCCCCCCCCAAAAAAAAAGAGAGAGTCGTTATACTACACAAAATTTGGTCGACATGTTATACGAATATCCGTTATATTAAAATTGGTAATTCGTCCCCACAAACCAATTTGGAAATCGGAGACATTACCTTTTAATAAAAAGATAAAAAAATTAAAGTAGCGTCGTCGTTATTATGTGTGTTATTATTACACAAAAAAAACTATGAAATAGATCAGATTCCACTTTCTTTTTAGTGATTTCTAGTTCTTTACACATGCACACCGCACGCGAGTTGGTCAGATTGTCCCACTTAGAGTCTTCGAGTCCATGTCAGTTTGTGTACGTGTCACTGTGTCAAAACTCCATCCTACCTAATACCACAACCGTGGTATATTAATTTCTAATTGTTATTTTGCTTGTTACTTGACTACACTTGACCAAAAAAGCAAGAAACTACTAGATTTCATTGGCGGGGACTTGAACTGAATATATATTTGTATTGGCATTGACAGTTTTACAAGTGAAACAACATATGACAAAAGACGGTAAAAAAGAAATAATGAATACAACAGTTTATAAACCGATTAAACAACTTTAAGGCTAAAAATAAAATTCGGTTAAAAATATTTTAATTAAAGAAATAAGATAAATCTCGATCTAATGGCTTCGTTGAACCGTCGATTACTTTCAGTACTTAATTTTAGTTACAATATTTCTCAAACCATTAAAGAGTTTTAAAAAGATCAAAGAGAATTGTTTCGGCGGGAGAGCTTCGCTTAGCGATTGCTTCTCTCCCTAAACGACACCGTCTCGTATATTTACATTGATCGAGTACCTCCGTTCATTTTTATATCACTTCCGTTGTTGACTTTATTCGCGTGGATCAAAAACCGCCACGTGTCTTCAGCCCACGCCAGTAATACCAATCTTCCCCAGATTATCGGGTTCGGTGTTTCGATTATACAGAATCCGAATTACCACTCGACCCGGTTTCCCTATTACCGGGTGGTTCAGTAATCAAATATTCCATAATCTCTTCAGTAAAACCCGATTATTCGAGCCGTCACCTCCGGTTTCCCTATTTCCGGGTGGTTCAGTAATCAAATACCCCATAACCTCTTCAGTAAAACCCGATTATTCGAGCCGTCACCTCCGGTTTGACCCGAATTAGAAGCGTCCAATTCCCTGGGAATCTCCACAACTATACCGACTAAATGAATCGGTTCCCTCTCGCACGCTTCCATCGGAAACCTCAACGGCGAACCAGATGAGGAAGACGGTGTCGAGGATTCTGACTCGTCCGGAGAAGACGAACTTCCGGCTTCGGTATCCTCTATCGGCTTAAGCGATGGAAATACGGGAGCAACCGGTTCTGAAATACTCAAACCCGATTCGGTCATCGGCTGCTCGGGTTGAACCGGAGCTCTACAAAGCGGACAGCTAGATCTCGACTGGAACCACGTGTCAATACAGTCGACGTGGAACACGTGGCCGCATTTGGGAAGGACACGTCCTTCGTCGTCTTCTTCGAACTCCGATAAGCAAACAGAGCACTCCTCCGGCGGAGATTTATGGGTTTTAACGGAGTAGACGAATATCGGAATCTTCTCGAGCACCGTCGGATCGAGTGGAGAGAGTGAGGTGGCAGATTGGGTGGGATCTCGAGCGGCGGAGAGAGATCTGAGATGAGCACTGATACGGCGGCGGATACGGCGGTTTTGACGCTGGAATAACCACCTGGCGTAGCTGTGGAAACAGATGATAAGAATGACGGCGACGAAGAGGATAATTACGGAACCGAGCATGATTTTGCCGTTAAGGGCGTAACGTGAAGATCCATTGGTCATGCTTCCCCATAGTGTCTTGCTACTACTGTTATCGACGATACCCATTTTTCTTGAGAGAGAGAGAGAAGAAAGAAAGAAATAAGCAACGGAACACAAAAGCTTTTAGAGAGAAAATGAAGTGAGTGGGTGAGACGAAGAAGAAGATGAGTGTGGGAGGGAAGTTGTGATTTGATTCTGTGGGTTTTGAATCTCTTTATTTATAGACAAACTACATGAATCATTGGGTCCTTCTTTATTTTATTATTATTTTTCTCTCCTTTCTAATATGTTTGTTTTTATTTCTTCTTCATTTCAATTTTTCTAAGTAACGTTATATAATCTTATTAATATAAAGGGATAAAAGCTCTCGCTACTTTTTTTTTTGGTTTTCATAGAGTAGACATATTTTTTTGTCTATTAGCTCTTTGAGCTTTGAACCCACTTGGTATAGAGATGTGAGTTCTAAATATAAATATCGTGGAGACATATGCTTTGTGCAAGTCTTTGACCGTAATTTGCTTTATGATTTTCAACTTCTTGCCAATAATAATACTTTTGAGATTTTGAATTATTTGTTTCCACGGAGAAGCTTAGTTTAGTTTAGTCGGTCGCATACACATCATAGATCAAAATGTGTAGGAACTCACCGACTCATCGTTCTACTTTATGTTCAAAAGTGTTACAAATTAATGATAAACAGCATTCAAATATTTTATTTGGCATTTCTTCAAACTATTTATTTTTATTAACATTCAGCAAAAATAAGTAGATATAGAAACTAGTATAATTAACATTCAGCAAAAATAAGTAGATATAGAAACTAGTATTAGGGCAGAGAAAAAATGCATGGTCCAATCCAATTGTAACGAAACTGAAAGAAAACGTAACTAAATAAACAGAAACGAACCATCAAATCTAGTAAGGCATAGCTTTTGGGACTCCATGAGTCATGGGACTCAACTCAAGCATATGGTCTCTTAAAGTTTTGCTTAAATGCTAAGAGAAAGATTGTCCCAATCTGGCGGCTCTTTTTTTCTTTCTTCTTTTTTCTCTCTTTTTTAAAAAGTAAATATTTTTGGTATTTCTTATTTTTTTTTTAATTTCCCGTCAAATATAACTTTATTTGGGGGTCTCTTTTTCAGAAATGTCTTTAAGACCGTTTTTACACATCAGAAACCTACTAACATTTTTGTCGTCAAGAGGATTTCATATGGCCCTTCCTTGCTAACGACCTTTGATGCCTTCTCCTTTTTTTTTTCTTTGTTTCTACTTTAAATAACATTGAAATTCTTCTCTCTTTTTTTTCTCATTTGTATTTCCACTTTCCTCCGTTTTCAACACTATTTATTATTATTATTTATTATTATTAATGTCATATAATAATAAAATGTTATCCTCGAGAATTGAATTAAAGGTATCTCTAAGATCTTTCTAAGAACTTCCAAGGCAATTAGCGGCTCAAAATGATTCCTCAAGCTCAGTACAGAATATTCCAGTTTCAACCCTACTCTACGGAGTTCATTTTTGTAGACAAAATGTGCGGCAAATTTGCTTCTCTAGCTAGTGTAATCTTATCGTAGCTATTCTATATAGACCGATTTTGAATATTTTTTGACGTTTTTTCTTGTTGCTAAAGATGATTTCACATGTTCTTATAGGACTTACATAGACCAAAAACAAAACAAGACTCCCATAAAATATCTCGTGTATCGCAACACCTTTTCTTTTAGAAACATACATGATACCGAAATGAAGACAAAAGCAGATAAAGAAGCGACTCATTCAACTTGTTTTGGTCCCGGATCGAGGCCGATGATAATTTATGTATTTGTCTATGAAAAAGGATGCTAAATACTTTTATTTCATTTGTTGATGAGTGAAAAGAGAAAAGCAAATATGATATATTATGAATAGGATAAGGTATATTAGTCAAAACATTCTACAACTTGAGAGAAAACTCTGAAGGCTGTACAAACCCCATGGTCCGTGCGCATGCGGGGTAACATGAAAAAATATCATACTTTATACGACTGACGAAAGTTACTCATCTTTTACTTTTATTTTAGCACATTGCAACTTTTTTATTTTGTACACAGACTATATTATATATTCTTTGAATATGATCACAAAGTAGCTTAAAATTCAATTCGAATATCAATATGCAATACAGGTTATCAGCTTTTTATAAAAAGAAATACCATTGACAGGTTTATCCACTAAAATTATATTAAAGGTGACAGGTTCCGTAATAGTCAAGAAAAAGAGAAAGAAAGATTTGAGAAAGAGTTAGGAAGAAAAAGGGATAGTTCAGAAAAAAGTAATAATGCATTCATAAGTAAGAGTTAGTATTTAACAATGTTTAGAATACTGTTAGGCGCACATTAAGTGTTCGAACAGTGGTTAGCGTGTAGCTGTTGTAGCGCAGATAAATCGTCTTGTAAGTGCATAATAGGTGGTGATTTCTATTTCCAATCTTCTAATATTTAATCTAAATGGCTAAACTTTTAACTTTAAGAAGCTTTGATACTCTATAGGTAGGATCAACCAAACCGTGTGAAAGTCGTGAATATATGATGTAACAGCCAGTGAAGTTACATTTCGCGGGAAGTAGTGGCCAGCTCATTCATCTCCCCTTTTCAAATTACTTTATTTATTTTTCAACTTACATCTTTTTTTTCTTCTTTTCTTTTTCTTATTTATATATCTATATATATAGTTTAAAAATAAAACATGACAAATTGACAATAATTGAAAAAAATGTAAAAAAAAAAATCAAGAAACGCTGATCAGCTTCAACCCAAAAAGAGAGACAAGACAATACCAAGAGAGAATATGAAGAATATGATTTTTCTCTTGACAGCCTCAACCAAAATTTACTTAGTTTTAGTTTCAATCTGGAGACTAAAAAGCAAAACAGTTATGAAACGGCAGTGATCAGGTGTAAAACTGTAATTTAACCTAACGAAAAGCCGTGGGGCAAAAGGAAAGAGTAACTTTTTTGTGTGGATCGATCAAATGTACTGATAGAGAAAACCAAAAAGATAGATAATGAAGGAGATATTTGGTCAAATCCAAAACTGGATAATGTGCAGAAGAAAAGTTAAAATAAAAAGATTTGAATATCCAAATGAATCCTGTTAACATCATGTTATTTCGTCGGAATATTCGTCTACCTCAAGGCTCTGTCTACCACAAAAGGATTCTCCAAGCTTCCTCTTCTACAATTCTCCCAAGATTCCGATGAATCAACAACTCTAGTTAATATTGTGACCATACTTTAGATTGGTTGATTTGTTTTCGTAATAAAGGAAGGATTTTCAGTTTCGTAATTACACCAATACTGAATTAATCAATTATGGTTTATAGTTTGATTACAAGGAAAGACAAACAATTGATCATATAACTCTTCATGAACAGCGTTACCAAAGGAAAACTTGTGATTATTGGAAATTTTATTAATAGATCAACATAAACCGTCAGAGATTTTTGAATCATAATACAAAGACAACGTCTTTTCATATTCGTATTTAGCTGACAAACAAAAAAAAAGAAAGAGAAAAAAACGTGGTTGATTCATATTCCGGCAGATCGGAGAGCGTACTCTTGAACCAACGCAGCAAACAACGACCGTCTCTCCAGCAAACGAACTGGACTATCATACTCCTTCGCTTTTCCTGCAATTTTTGTTTATTTTTCCGCACAATTAGCAATTTCGAAATCGTTAAAACTCCATTAATGTACACCGAATTTAAAAAGCTCTGTTTTTTTTTTTTTTTTGGTTATTACCTGCGTCTATGACAAGAACGCGATCACAGTCCATAACCGTAGGAATCCTATGAGCAATGCTGATAATGGTGCAAGCCGAGAAATCCTCCCTTATGATCTTTTGGATCATAGCATCAGTCTGAGAATCAACGGACGCAGTTGCTTCATCCAAAAACAGAATCCGGCACCGTTTCAGCATGACCCTTCCCAAACAGAGTAACTGTCTTTGACCAACACTCCAATTCTCACCATTATCCGCCACTGTCCCAATATTCTCCAACGTTAGTTTATCATCATCATCTCAAACCAGATTCTAAACATAAATTTTTTAACTCACCCAGAGAATCGAGCTTCTCGGGCTTGGCAGAAACAACCTCCTTAAGTTGGCATCGCTCCAGACTCTGTGTAGACAAAAAAAAAAAGACAGAGCAAAGCAATTATATGCAACGTTGTGGGATCAAGAATCGAGAAAAGGGTTTGAACTTTTAAACGTCTAACCTTCCATATTTCTTCATCAGAGTATTTCTCCGTTGGATCAATATTACTCCTCACGGTTCCTTCGAAGAGAACAGGTTCTTGAGGAATGATACCGAATCTTGACCTCAGGTCATGAAGTCCTAAAGTGCAGATATCGATTCCGTCGATGATTATCTTCCCACCAGATGGTTCCACAAGTCTGAACAAGACCTGAATCAAAGTCGATTTACCACTTCCTGTTCTTCCAACCACACCAACCTTCTCTCCTCCTTTGATGTCTATTGTGAGTCCCTTGAGCACAAGAGGTGTGTTTGGTCTGTAACGTACCTTGACATCCTCAAGACGTATGTTACCTTTGTAAGGCCAAGTTGGAGGTGGACGGTTCTCTTTGATCTCCCATTTCGCTTCCGATGGAATATCAGTGAACTGTTTGATTCTCTCAACAGAAACCATCTTGTTCTCAATGAAACAGCTTAGATATATTGCCCAAAACAGAACCGAGTTCAGGGATAGTCCGTAGGAAAGTGAAAGCCCAACACTCTCTGTATTGAACCGAAAAGACAATCATCACAAAGGGGAAACAAAAAGATGTTTTTTTTTACTACTACACATGCTTAGGTCAGTCTTAATACCTGGTTTGATAATGTTGCTTGGTAATAAGACCATGAACAGAGCCGAGATGCAGAGCACCCAGCTCCCGATCAGCTCTAGACGAAACCCGAGCCATTCGTTTGAACCATTGTTGTGGAAGTCCATCCTGAGATTGGCGTTGACTCGCTTCACATTCTCTTGCCTAAAAGTTTGCTGTTTCTTGAAAGAACGGA